TTGGACAATTTGTCACCATTACTTTTCATCTCTAGAATGTCGTAAGATGCGACTAGGGAAAGAAAGCTCTATACAATAATGTAAGAAAAGGTATACTTAACCAATACACCAACTGACCAGCGTGATAATGCATGACATATATGTGCACATTTTTTTATATTTTTCATGATCATTTCAAATCTCTTAGTACGTAATGATTGACTATGGTATGGTAGACCATAGCATATATAGATATTAGTCATAGGAACATAAAAGATCAAGAGTATTGTTTCGTAGACAATGTCCATTTATCAGTTAAATGCCAACTCACAAGATAAAATGGCTACCTTACCTATCTATTGTAATGAAAAGTGTTGGCGCCAGACACACAAAATTCCATTTTACATGATAAAAAAAATAGTTTGTCATTGTACGAAAAGACAATACATGTATTATGGCAGTAAGCACCTCAACTAATTCTCTACTTACCCGACTGTCAAAGAGAAGTGGGTAACGTTATCGGTTGCTTATACTCGTATGTACCGCAATATTTGGTGTAGTCAGTAATAAGTAATAAATTTTTAGATTCGTAAAATTATTTACTTTAACTTGAGTAAAAATTACCGATAATGATAGTACAATTAAAATGTTAAGTCGTGCGTTGATGACTGTCACGTAATATGTTTTCAATACTAAAACTTACTGTCAGTTTTAATAATCTTTTTTAATGAAACCTGACACTAAATATCTGTCCTTATAATGAACTTAATACAATTTAAACACATGGGAAGGTGTGGTCAAAGGCAACCCTCCATGGGAAAGAGCGTGGAAATAAACATAATTAGCAAAGCATACCCACTAATCGTTTTTTTTACCCTAAGTTGATATATAACCATTACGCACTTCCGTCGCATCTTATCCGTTTGCGTGGGGCAACATGGGTTGTGACATGGGGCTATTTAATTGCACTTTCATTTTAATTTGACGTCAGCAGAGCTAGTGATAATAAAACATATTATCTCGTAACTTACAAACATAACGTACCTAACTTAAACATTTATTTCTTATGATCCCGATTATTATCTTAGTAATATAATAAAATTGTAACTAGAGATTGTCTGTACATGGGATATATTTAAGAAAAATTGATATGAAGGGTCATAATAAGACCAAAAAATGCCAAAAAAGCAATTTTTAAAAATGTTTCTGTCTATTTTTATGTTTGTTCCAACGTCACACAAAAACTACTGCACTAAAATTGGATGCAATTTTAACAATTGAAAGTGAAACTTAAAATTTGGTGTTATTTTTTATTGTGATAACTCATTTAGATGTGGTTTATTTCGTTAGTTTTTCTTACTTTTGAATTCCATACAAACAAAGTAGCGGGCATAAAGCTAGTTTAATACATTAATTTAAGGAATTCGATACCTACTGAAAAATAAAAATTATCTATTTATTATTCTAACCATTATAGCATCAACATTTTTGTTTCAAAAACTATCGGCGTGAATTTACTGGGTACAGAGGAATAACACCTGAGTCCTCAGGAATGGCAACGCAAGAGAGATATCATGGGCGAAACAGTATACTCTGTTATGTCCATGGTACTGCTCATGTCTATAGGCGACGGTTACCACTTTCCATCAGGTAGGCCGTCAGCTTGTTTGCCATTCTAAGTTGCATAAAAAAAATCTATCCTAAGTTTCTAGTGACTCGCTAAAGTACTTTTAAATGTTGTGCTATTTACTTTGCACCCGTGACAGTTACAATATAGGATAGTTTCTACATATGGTACACGTACAATCTGTGTTTGATGCATTATTATTATCAATCATAAGTATCTGTTGGTGTTCGTGCGAACGCGTTATAATAGGAGGAGGATATTATAATAAACAGATCCCGGTCCCCTCAGTACTCCGCCCTCCCTAATAAATATTAATGTATGAACTTGAATGCTCCACAATGGTTGCCGACGGTCGCATCATGATGGTACATTGACACTCAATTTGCTTTTTGCAGCCAATGCTGATCTACAGTGATTTCTCGTCTGAATACTACGTCATTGAAATGTTGAACTAGCGCCTTTGTCTTATTAGCATAGAATTGACGTTTCTTATATTGATGTAGGTATCTAGATAATCATTGAATTCATTTAATTGTAGAATAGGTACATTTGAGAGTAACGTATTTAACCTAATAGATCCTGATAACAATCAGTATTCATAACATTACATATACCTATACATGTCTATACTGTGCAATGCTGTACAATATAATATATAAAAATAATTATTTCTTATCTGAATGCTAGATATGTCGTTGAAAGGTTGAATTAAAGATTATTCGTCCATAGAATGAATGTTTCTTATATTGATATTGGGATGTATCGCATATAATTTTGATCAGTTTGTTCCATCATACAATTCAACGTTAAGTATATCGGTGTCGTACAAATAATTATTATTGTATGCACAATAGAGATTATAGGTACTTATTCAAAATACTACAACCATAAATAATTACAAATACGAGTAGTTGATAGTACAAATCTATATTGCATAATAAAAAATTCTTGCTGGTTAGCAACGTTTTTGGTTAAAAACGCTAATAAAAGGTGATTTTAATTAAAGTTATACAACAAATGTTATTGTAGACGCATTCAAAGTACTCTTGAACAATTGACAAAACTATGTTAAGGGTAAGCCTTTTATATTAGCCGGAAGGGTCACGTGGCGCAATGACGAGGGATGCCGAGAACTCATTTCCCATCGGTTTCCCACGCCACCCCTGCATTCATCAATGGGAAACCTAACTTGTTGATTTTGTTCCGTAATCGACCCCATAAATTTCCAGTTCCGGACCGCTAACATTAAAAATAAGGGCCAGAATGGGTAACAATTATTTCTCAACTTAGTCAAAACTTGGTCAAAACTTGCAGACATATTATCGATTAGAAAATTATGAGACAGAAATATTAAGCATTAGCTTATTAAAATTACCTAAATATTTATTTTGAAAACAGATATGTATTTAAAATAAATATCACAAGAAATTCTAATAAAATGCATACGATTCTAAGAATAAAGTTTGACAAAACATTTCAACAGCTAAAATCGATTTGTTGAATGTTTAAAGATTTTATGAATTAGAAACTACGTAGTTATGTCTATTATGAAAGTGTAACGAGAATACCTGTAAGCAGAGAGTTAGTACATGAATAATTATGTTTTATGAACGTCATGCACAAGCTAGATTGACCATCTTTTAGATTGATCCATCACTTTGATGAGCTTAGCCTAACGATATTTCAGATAATAAAAATATTTGCCAATAAACAAAACCGTACTAAGTCGCTTGCGTATAGTAACAATCAAAGATGATGATAGATCAGAAAAGTGTTGCGTGCAAATTGCGAAGATTTTGATTTATTTCAAGAATCTCATCTCCATCAAAACATTTATGTCTGACCTGAGGCAAATACCTATTTTAGCAGTTATTTGCAAACTTATCTTCGATACCAGTGTCCTTACGCCTTGATCGCGTGCGCTAAATTGCTATGGAAACCCGGTCGATATTTATTATTTTCTGCCAGTTTCACTATCATTCCGATTGCATCAAGCATTATAGGGATTCTGAAAATATGCGACATAATGGAGGGGTGGGACCTTGAACTATTCTTAACCTATAATGACATATTAATCATTCTGCAAATCAATAATAATATAAAAACTATGTAATTACTAGATTTCGTTCTCGTTAGATCTATCTATGATTTATTTAAGGTATTACTTTTTAGATATCAAATTAAGTAATGAATTACTTTAACAGTATACAGTGAAGTGGAACCAAAGAAATGACGATCTGTACATAAATTTGGTTCAAAATTTACCCCAACACTTAATAAACATTTACTAATTTTAAACATTTTTCTTCATAGTTGAACATTTAGAGTCACAACCAAAACTTACCTGCATTATTATTACATATCAATTCCCAAAAGATAGCTGATGGAATCCAAGTTAATTTTAATACTACAAATTCCTCTCGCCATTTTTCAATACAAAAAAATAGCAAATAAGCATAAGGCCCTTCTGATGGTAAACATTGTCCAAAAATGCACGAAATATCAAATATATAAATTAGGTGCTACTGATCATTGACTAACTTGAAAAATCTTGAGTCATAATTTCTAGCGACTAGATACCTACGCAAGTATATTCTATCTATACAAGAGAAAACATCTGTAAACCTCCAAACCTCTCTAAACCTTAATCTTCTTAAGCTAATATTTTTATTCGATAATTTCAAAAAAATAATGTTTTATGGACCATCATAAACTAAAATTATATAGTTCTGTTAGAAGCTTAGTCCATATTGATCCTTACAATTAAAGATTTCCCTGCGATATATATGTTATGGTTATTCGACATCACGATACGGCCACAAACGAAGCCGGGGGATACATCTAGTCTTTCTCTAAGATTACCTAGATAAAGCCTCTTTTGGCTTTTGGAGAATGCAGTGGTTTTGTTTCAAATATTAATAATTTAGATGATTTATGAAAGAAAACGCACTTCAACTGAAACAATGTAATTGATAGGGATGTGAAGGGATGTTCTACCCTTCATCATTACAATTACAAATGCAGAACTCGAATCAAAGTCTTATACTTTCAAATCCCGCATAAAATATATTTTGTAATCATGTATCTTAAGAATAAGCAGTACAACGGTGAAATATGTTGTAAGGGTATCCACTGACTGGATACTCTTCTGGTTCAGGAATAACACGAAAAAATTGCATTTATTATAAACACCACCTTAATCTTTAAAAGTAATAAGCAATAGGAATTATATTGACGGTATTATCCTCTTTTTTTTTATAACAGTACCCAATTCCCATCAGGCGAGCTATCAGTTTTTTTTGTCACTTTTAACAATATAATTGTACAGAAAATAAAAATCTTTTACAACAAAAATTGTCATACTATACAATAAAATACAATAAACAAAACATACCTGCCAGTCCAGTCGCACTGATCACCCATCATCCCCGCCTCCGCAACGCATATCAAAACCAAAACAGTCCAAAAAACAGCCTCAGAATACATCTTAAAGTAGATATATACTATAGTCTCAACTCCAAATATCACATCACTACAGAAATCCTTGTACCAACTACATTATTTTGAAGTAAATAAATTGTCACTTTACAATAATAAACAAATTTCGTAATGTCGCTGTAAGATACGACAAACTAAGTTAACTTCAGAAATACTACTAAAGTACGAAACTAACGAAACAAATACGTGAAGAAACGAGATAGAACTTCGCGTATCCAATCACAACTCCCGTGTAAAAGAGACTGCTATAACAATAGTCTGTGGGAATGCAATACAAGCTATTGCTATCTTTCTTTGACGCGTATTTCAATACATGATTGAAAAACGGATCCTATAAATATATAAATAAGATTCGATTTTGGGAGAAAGGAAAAAGTCACCAAAGTGCTTGGCGGGAAAAGTGTTTACAAAAAGTTTTATCGAAGGCTTACCTAACGTAAAAGAAAGCGACTATAAATAAATAAGTAATAGGTATTTTAACTAAAGGTTCTAATTAAGTAAACTGATGTCAAAAAGTTTTTTTGTTTATTCTTATTATATTCTACCCATGACAATACTCCCACAAATCGGGAGAAAGGGATTGTTAGTTATAGGGATCTAACAGCCCCATTGCTAGCAATATACCCTATCAAGTCGACCTCCACGTGGTTCCCCCTGGAAACCAAGAAGAATTAACCAAGATGGTTAATTCTTTATGTATTCGACACTTAAGGGTCAACTGATTTGTTTCGTCCTCATCTATCAACTGTCACTGGTGCCCCGCCAGCATACACCGAATAGGCAAGCTGGGTTACTATTCCATTATCACCCCTTAAAAAAAACTTCTACAAATCCTTAATCTTAGCTTCTAGCTAAATAAAATAATCAAAGCTAGGTAAGCTTTGATTTATAATTTATTTTCTTATTAAAATTTTCTGAAAAATAAAAGTTACCTATCCGCAATTATAGCACCTATTTACATAAATAGGGAGCCTTTGAAATAAATTCCTTTGCCTATCTATGAGAGAAAACACAGTACCTAGTATTCAGTGAATTTATCTATGTAAGCACATCTCTATTATAAAGTTTCTATACTTATAGAAAAATAATTAATTTCAAATGCTAAGTTAAAATTACGATTTTATAAATAAGTTAAAATTACATTAATATGATACGTCATATTACAAAACCAAACCCTAGAATGGCAATGATGCGCGTACCTGCCTAATTCGTAAAAATGTTATAACTTTACTATTTTAATAACTAGAACCTAATTAAACACTTAACTAATAAATAATATTATCGCAGTGATTATATGTAAAATGCTTCAATCTTTATTTAGTCAAAGCACACAGGTAGAATTAAGCCTGCGTAAATATAAGTTTGTGGTGTGGTTATTAAAAATAAAAAAACTTGGATACGTTGCTAAACTGATAATTACCATCCCCATACCCGCCGTGAGTTGGCACATCCCTTGGTTTTTTATTAAAAGGCATTATTCTTTCATTAGTACTTAAATGCCGAGATGATCTTTTTGGGATAAAGGCTGCGCTCCAAATATTAGTAATTATTTGTGAAAGATGGCAGTTTTTGCTACTACAGCTTAATAGTTATTGGTCACGCCAGTTTTTTTTTTAATGTTTTTGTAAAGTACCTGCCTGAGTTTTGCAATATTTAAACATACAGAAAAAACTAACCACGTAGTGTAGTGATTAAGCAAGTCGTATATATAGACTTCGATGCCATTTAGTATATTTAGTTATTTTTTCTCGTATTATCTTAAATCTAAATTGTGGTAATGTCATTTATCCAGTTCAGTGTAAAGAATCCTAATTCACCTAAAGCATAAAAGACTAAACGACTAAACGAAACTTGTCAATTGTATTTTACGTTTTTAGGTAGATAATCTTTGCCTTTTTGTTCGTGCCGTGAACAATGAAAGATATTTCATGATAATGCTGATATTTATCTTTAGCCTTACATAAACCATTACCGCTGTACCTGGTCGGCTCGCAGTGATAACTGTCTTGATAATATGAACTCAGGCAGCAACATTACTAGTTATAGAGCTGTTGATTATGACTATTATTATTCTCATTTAAATCTGAAGAAAACAGTGAAATATATAATGGGCGTCACAGTATACTCTGTGATTTCCATGGTGCTGTTCATGTCTACTATGTCAATTTTTTTTGTTTTATTGTTTTATACAACTTAGAATGGCAAACAAGCTGACGGCCCACCTCATGAAAAGTGGTAACCGTCGCCTATAGACATGAGTCAATTGTCATAGAGTGGTCACCAGCTTGTTTGCCATCCTAAGTTGTATAAAAAAATCATAAAGAAATGTTTGTCTCCAACGAATAGAATTACTATTATTGTTAATTTTAAATTTATTATAATTAGGTCTACTTATCATTAGTTATTTATATAAAATCATGTTTTCAAACGGACACATTATGGAAGGTGCTTGGGTGCGTGCGCTCATGTTTGAGGACAGATAAACTGAATCAATAGGCGTTGTTTACACTCAAGATAGATAACCGCTTTGTCGCATTGACTCGTGCTTGTTTAGGACGGTGATTCGCCTTTTACCTTACCTACCTAGAAGCAAAAATATTATCCTCCGAAATCTTTTGTTTATCGTTTTTAAACTTTTATTTTACGTTCTATAAACGTTAAATTAAATATTATTTCATTTATTATTATACGCTACCATGTGTCTATTAAATATTTTGCGTAAATTCATCATACTCATATTAATAATAAAAAATTTCGTACAGAAGTTAGAATGTATGTTGAATGAAATCTATTGTAATCCCTATAATACTAACCTATAACCTTATAATGCCTTAACGGCTTAATCAATTACTATGGTATACACGTATTATATGGGATGGAGAAGGATATAGCCTATTTTTGTCAGTGAACAAATCCCTATTACGCAGACGAAGTCGCGGGTAAATACTATTATTTAACATCCTAATTCACGTAGGCAAAGCCACGGGATACTATTAATTGTAAATAAGGAACTATAGAAATAAAAATAAATAACATCCGAATATTTACTATACTTGTGTACATTCCTTGTAATAATATAAATTTATACCTATATCAAATATTCAATAAAACTGGGTCCCACAAAACAAATCAACTCCAATTGTGTATTTTAATTTAAAACTAAACCACTGAACCGTTTTTGATATAATTTCTATAGAACCAATCTGTAAGTATATCCTTTCAGATAAAAAAATAATTTTCCTTATCGATTTACAACTGGAAATATATATATAATTTTTTTCAGTAATATGGACTACCAGTCCCATTGCTAACAATAATACCCTAGCAGGTCAACCTCCACGTGGTCCCCCCTGGAAATCATCGTGCTGAATTCCAGGTGTATTCATTACAATGGACTAACTGACCTGCCTTTTCATTGTCACTTATCATCCTTCACCTACCATTCCATTAGATATCATCTATTATAAAAAATACATGTAAGTTAGTGATTTCGTCCATATTCAAACAAGACTTGTTACCTACTGACTGTAACGTTGCTGTTGTTACTTGTCACCGTATCGTATCATTGCTATTTGAGTATCTATTGTAGAGTATATTGCTACTTCATATGCCTGTATTTCAAAAGTAGGAATAAAATTCACCACTTCTAGATGATGTATCAGGATGAAACGTAGATCAGATTTTAAGTTAGACTTTTAAGAACAAAACTGCGAAAACCACATCCAATCCGATGCGTGATGACCAAATAAAAAACCAGACAAATAGACAGACAATCAGACGAAATGTATAAAAATTGTTTTGGTATCTAGTTGATTTTATTTTTTATTATATCATTTAATTATAATTTCATTTTAATACGAGTAGGTAGTAAGGTTACAACTTTATACGTTGTAACCTTACTTCAGCGACAAAACACCAATAGGAGCAGTTTTTAATAAAATCAGGGTGGCAATCAAGCATACGGCTCACCTGATGGTAAAGGACCACCGCAGCCCAAGAACGCTACATTATTAGAGTAATGTCGTTTATTTGCGATCTTTATGATATGATATGAAAATCTTAATAGAAATTCAGAAACATTTACTTTGTACTTGTAACATTGAGATATTAATTTTTCAGTGCAAAAACCCTTTAAAGTACCAAAGTGTCCATAACCTGATTTCATTCTTACCTATCATCTTTCACTGGAACCCCGCCAGCGTATAGGTACCAATTACGCTGGAGGGTTATCGGCCCATTTTTATCTACTATAAGTATCAGAGGTACTATGAAACCATAGGTTTATTTTGTTATATTTATGACACTCTTCATGTCTATTACCAACGGTCATCACTTGCCATCAAATGGGCCGTTAGCTCGTTTGCCGTTCTAAGTTAATTAAAAAAAGTAATTAAATTTTATAATTGACCTTATAATGTGTATAATAAAACTTACTTATCTAATGTATGGTTTAGATGTAAACGCCTGTCCTAAATGACTAGTGCTAAAGATTGCAAGCAATTGTGCAGACCTGTCTGGAAATCGCAGCTCACTTGTAAATATCCTGAACCAACGTATGTGACTGGGGGGAAGGGATTGTTAGTAATGGGGAGGTTAGTCCCCATTGTACATATATATACATACATATACATATGATACGAAGATACACTTCGCAAATTGCACCATAACAAATTTAAGTATATCTTGTTTTTAGATTATAATGTCAGGTCAAAAATGACTATTTACAGGGCCGTATAATACATTAATAAAAAATTTGGTTAGCAAATTATACTGACCTATTTGAAGATCAAGCTATATGGCTTAGTTCCTTTGCCTTTACCATTGTGGATAAATTAATACTACTACTAGACAGGTCTACGACAGTTTGAACCTGTTGGAATGACGTTTTTGTATTAAACTGTGTTACCAATCTGTATTCCATCATGGCGGATCAAAGCCATCTTAAATAGGAGCCATGACAGCAATAAAACAGCGTTTCTCTTATAAATACATTTTTAAATATTAAAGTAATATGTGTTTTATTAACTTGCGTTGTAATAAATTAAAATATAAATAAATTTATGTTCAGTATAATATAATACAAAAAATAGACGTTTTTAGCACAATTTTTAATAGATTTAAACCGGTGAATAAACAATAAGTATAATTAATATAGTTGAGTATAACTTGTAAAATTTACTAAAATATTTTAATGTTATTCCTACCATGGTACTATTAATAAATATGATCTGAAATTGAATTATAATTAATGATACATAACAAAGAAAAAAAGTACTTATATTTGTAGAAAATCGAAATTGATTATACTTATTAGTGGCATACGGTTTCCCATTAAAATCTCACCTTTTAAGATAAAAATTATTTTAGTCATATTATAGCTATATGCAATTATAATAATATTATAACAACAAATAGAGCTATTTCTCTTATATGCATATAAATTTATAATTTCTTTAGAAATAAAAACGTGTCTTTTTAGATGTAGTTATATAATACTCGGTATAATACTTTCAACTGTTATTTATTGCGCCAAAATGAATTTGCATTACTCGTCTATCAAAAATTTATATAAAATTGAACTAGAGTAAAAAAAGTAACCAAACATACTTATTAACATATTTTTTGTAAGATTCTAAAATTTTATATTATGAAATAGGTATGTTTTTTATAACAACATGTATCGACGTGGACATCCATATTTTGGATAGAGGAATATATAGATTGTGGTAAAACACTATAGATACTCATTTTTTTTTATAACTTATTGTGTTATTACTTCAAAAAGGTAACATGCATTTAACTTTGAAGGTTCCATAGATAATACGTTGGTGCCAACTCTTATAACATAGCGATTGTGTGCTCTTTGAAATTAGACAGCTGATTTAAGCAAAAAATTGTTATAGGCATATAAATTTTTCAAGACATTTATTCTATAAATGTGATTTTTATTATTATATTTGTTATCATTGCCAAAGAATAATCAATATGTTACGTTATTGTATAAAGCATACGTTGTCGTACAATAGTCCAGTTTTACGAGAAAGCTTCAATAACCTAAAAGTTAACAAAGTAAAATATATCAGTATTTGGAGCAGCGCTTTGCAAAGGCCTTTTGCAACTAAAGTAGAGAATGAAGAGAAATTAGAACGAATCTACTATGGTCCTTTAACACCACAAATTAGAGCTGTGAAGGTATTTTCATTGTGCTCGAGTCTAGCCGGTTTAGTAGCTCAGCCTATACTCATAAAAGAGGCGTCCACTATCGGCAGTACTTCTCTACTGGTTGCAGTGTGTTCAGTTGTTGGTTTCTTTACATTTATCACACCTATACTACTGCATGTGATAACCAAAAAATACGTCACAGAAATTGAATATGATGATGCCACTTCAACATATAAAGCATCCACTGTGAACTTTTTTCTCGTGAGAAAAGAAGTAAGTAATCAAACATCAAAGTTAATATAATTTTTATGATAGTGTAATTAAGGTTCTTATTCTTACAATAATTTCTTGTTGTAAACTTAATTGGTAGTGCCACATTAATTAAGCTTGGGTAATCCTAAGCTTTAACTTATACCTTAATAACAGTGGGTCAAACCCTGAAAAATGTGACTTATCATACTTTTACAAATTACACTTTATTTATAATAATGTATTATACAATTACATTGATTAATCAAATTGATTTTTTTTTTATTGTAAAAAACCTTAAACTATTTTCAACTGTTATAATGACTGTTTTATCATTTTTATATTTTTTTGATTATATTACATGTGTTAAAACATTTTAATATTTTTAGATTGACTTCAAACCAGAAGATGTTGAAGTTCCTGATGTTCCTGGCATGTTCACAACAATGAATGCTAAAGGCAAACCACTCTTCATAGAAGCCAGACACTTCACCGACCCAATGCATTATGCTAAAATAATGGGTTATGATAAACCTATGGATTTCAAAATGGGTGACATAGATGATTCTAATAATAAAAATAAATAGCTTTAAATACTAGTTTTAGGTTCCTGTAAATTAATTTTGTAGTTATGTAAATAATAATATTTTTTGTTTATATTTTATTTACTTTTATTTTTCAATAAGTATTTAAATTATTGTTGAAATGGAATTTATTCTAATAGCATAGAGGAATTATTAATATCTTTTACTATTTATAATATGGTGGCAAAAAAGCATATGACCTGTCTGATTGTAAATGAGATTACTGTAGCCTATGGAAGCTTCTGACACCAGGATGTCATCTTAGATATATAATTACTCCTTTCTGTATCTTTGTTGTTGCTTATTATAGTTAGAGGTAACTTTATCATTGAGTTGGGATGTGGCAGTGACATTACAAGATATGAAGGCATAACATAGTTGCATCAGTGTATTCTACAATTTCCAAGGTGCTGTTAATGTCTTTAGGCAATGATTACTTTTTTATTTCTTTGCAAAGGGTGTGGTAAGTGTTGCCCATTATGCTGGAATATTTATATGTAGAAACGGGAGATGGGTTATTAAAAAGTATCGATAAGAATTTTAGTATTTGTGATAGTTACAGTCTGATGTTATTGATAAATGAAGGAAGTTAAGGAGTTATAGATCAAAGGGTCAAGATGAGCTAATAGACATAATGGATGTAGGATAAGGAAATAAATGACATAATGAGTGAGAAAAAATGTAATAAGGAGCAGGAAAAGAAAATACGATATAGATCACACACATCTTTATAGATGACCTATATGAAGTCTTACTTGAGCGGGCATACATACATGGGCAGTATGCATCCGAGAATATAGTGGAAACTGGTAACTACTTTCTATCCAATAATCTGTCAGCTTGTGTATCATTCTAAGTCTCATAAAATATTAACAAAGTATTTGTGATTTAAATCACAACTAGTTATTTTCAAACAACAATTTTTTTGTCTATATCTTGAATTATGTATTGGTCTAAGAGAGAATATTATTAGTTTATTTTTTAACCTAAAAAAGAGAAATGTGTTAGATTAATATATTTTTTATATATAATGTTTGGTAACATTGCATTATAGTAACAAGGTTTACTCTGTAGATTAAAAATGGTAGGTACCTGTATTCCTACTTGTTCTCTCTATTGTTTACCTATGTGTAACTCACAAATGTTATGATCGGAATTTTCTTTCAATTCAGAAACATCCATCTGATTTGGCCACTATTCTATACTTCTCTTTAAAACACCAGACATATAGCTATTATATAAAATACTAGTAGAGGTCCATGATATTCGTATGCCACAGAAGTCTGTGATATACTATGTCACAGACTATGTTAAAAATCTTCAAAGATTCTTTAAAAAAATAAATAAAGATAATTGTTAAAATAAACTTTATTTTCTAAAGTTAATTATATCATTATAACCTTAATGTCAACATAAAAGTATAGAATATTACATGTATAAAAAATAGTCTATAAAATAAAATATTAATTTCTTATCTTGCCTGTAAATGACATTAAAATATGTGGTTACACATACTACCCACAGCTGTCTTTAATTTACGATATTCCAAGTTTGTCTTTACAATGAAATATTTCGTTCACTACATTTTTTATTATACTGGTCATAATTAACAAATAGGAATCAGACAATATAATAACTATTTTAATTTGTGCCAGTAATTTTACTAATACCATAAAATTGTAATTACACAATGTCTGTACATAGCAAGATATTTAAAAAAACTATATGGTCTTAATAAGAACAATAGAAACCAAAACAATAATTTTTAGAAACTTTGCCTTAGAAACTCTGTATATATGTTTATTGCGGTATCAAGTAAAAACTAATATACCAAAAATTCACAGATTATTTAATGTAACTTAAAATTTGGTACGCCAACTAAAAGTGTATATATTTATAAACCCAAGTGTTGGGAAGTTGCAGGTTTTGTAAAAAAAAATGTTAAGTATAAAAAATTAAAAGATTAGTGACAGCCAGATTTCGACACCTAGGACATTGCGGTCAAGTATCTTGCACGCTCTGAGTTAATACGTACCTGGATATGCCAACATAATTGTGTTAATAGTCGATTCTAAAGTCACTATCATGATTTATCATTAACACTTATATTTGTGGAAAATTTACAGCTCATTAAGAAATTGATAGACTGTATCAACTGATGATAAAAGTACTTCTGAAACTCTATCTTTTTATATATTAGAACGAACCGTCTAAAAATTGCATTTTTTTATAACAAATCATGTTAATCGTTCAATTATCAAATAATTTTCTTTCTACATATATTAACAAATCGAAACAAAGTTTATATAAAGTTTAAGAAACTATTCAAAACTAAAGAGAGGCAGGAGTAACGCGAAACAAAAACAGAAAGACACAAATTTACGTCGGCACTTCTATAATTGAATCTCTGAAGATTGTAAACGCTAAAAATTATATAAAACTAAATAGCAACGTATAATAAAGACGTAAATTAATTAAACTAAATAGAAGTGGAATGTATCTAAATAAGTAACATGAATAAAAAATGTTGAAAATTAGATTTTGTGCTCTAAATTTGTGACTAGATTTAACCAAACATTTTACTCTTAATTTTTTACATCAGTTATATTTACACGTGATTTCATTAATTACTAATTTACTATATCTGAGAGCACCTCAATTATATACTGACAATAATTATGTACAAAGCTGATTTGACTACATATATTTCTCGTAAATTTACATATAATTTGCTTAATACACAATTCTTTCCACTTAATATTAATGGACAGTCATTTTCATGGCTTTCATACGTAATAATGAATAAAGACAAATATTTCCAGTTTAAATAAATTGTGGACTAAAATAAGTTAATAAAAAAATAAAAATAACAAACCCTGTACTACCTTTAGTAACATTTCGATGTTATAATTATATAGATAAAGAACAATATTATATTAAAGACTTTTTAAGATGTGAGAAATTATATAATTTATTTAAACTTTAATGCACAATCATATGGGTGTACATATGGCGGACTTAACACCCAATAGCGTTCTCTACCAGTCGACCATGAGGCAAGTAAAAAATTAAGTAGGTAGTATATTATACCATATCCATGGTATAGAAAATGTTAAGACAGAAAATTCTTAAATAAAAATTCAAAAACGAACCTCCCATACTAACTTAACAGCAGGACGTGCCGCGTTAGTATAAGAAGCCCAAAATTGTTTGTCAATTTCGACGGGTCTTTTTTTTTGATGAAATATACAGTTCTACTGATAAAACACTCATTTACAATAGATGTTAATGATTTCGATTTCACCTGCATAATACATTTTTTTATTTATTATAGAAGGTATTACAACTATGTAAACACAGACAATAATTTTAATTGATATATAGGACTTGCGTCTTGCATTTACGCCAATTAAAGAAGCGCACATATGGTCGAAACATCGATTTCACATTAATAAAATTGACATTATCAAAACAAAAGTATGATATATAATATCACAATAGGTGAATATAAGAAATAAGTTATTGATTATTTCGGTATTTAATTGACAATTACTTACATTAAATAGTAGAACAGCGTAAATTGGACAAAGTCTTTAATAAGAAATAAAGCCAAAACAAAAAAAAAAATTCGGGGCCCTTCAATCTTATCCCATAATATCGATACATGTTGACAAAATTTATATATTGATTTTGGCGTTGTATTAAAAAAAAAACGATCTTTATATCCATTACATCAATTCATAAAGAATAAAATTATACCAACTACAAAATAGGTAGGTACGTTTGGAATGTTGATATGCAAAAATGGTTCTGCAAAAAATGCGACATTTCTCTTTTTGGTATATATCCAATTGAAACTTATAATCATCGCTACAACTATATATTTTTTAAATATAACTTATATATGGATATACATATATCAGCCTTTTACCATAGTACTGTTCCAATTATTTCTTTCAAAAATATATTACCTCTTTTAATACTTATTTATCTTATTAAAACATATATATAAAATAAGATATATTTATCATAAGTAGTTCAATAAAAAATAACGGTGACTTCACTTAATTTAAATAAATGGAATGGAGACAATTGTTTAAGTTCATTCACTCCAAATATACAGCAGTCTATATATAATCCTTCACACAGTTATACAAGACTCAGTCATAGTGCAAGGCATTGTCTGCCAGTGCGTGGGTGACTGGGGCTGCCTTTTCGTCGATCGCTTCCAGGGCAGCGGCCCGGGCACGAGCTTTGCCCGCCCACTCTACCTTGCAGAACGTCGCGGTACCCAGAGTTGCCAACACACCCAGTATACTCAGCTGCACTGACAGCAGAGCGCGAGATGAGTAGAAGAAGCAAGCGGCTGCTGCCAATGACTGAAAAATAATAGAAATATATTATTTACTTTTATCAAGGAATTCGTAATTTTTACATTGAAAATTGTGATATTTTATTTATAGAATTTACGATCTGTAACCTATACTAGATGATAAACCTGGGTTACTAGTTAGTTACCGAGACAGTTAAAAAGCCCATCTTACACGAATAATAGTAGATTCTACTATAATGCTTTGGATAATCTACCGAGGGTTATACAAAGCAGGTAGATCCGATTATGATATCTGTACAACATAGTTGTAAGCCCACTAAATACCATATTTCAAAAGATGCGATTTTACTTTATATTCCAAATTTTAATGATTATCACCAAACAGTGAAAGCGAGTAACGCAATAACTCAAAAATATATGTATAGATATATTTTTTATTATAATAATAACTCTTTATTGCACCACAAACAAAAAAATGTACAATATTAATTAAATAATGCAAATAAGATATACCTAGTTGCATAAAATACAATTTATAATTTTTACAATTTATATTGAACGAGAGAAAAGTCAGTATTACCATCAGTCCTTACTTAAAGGAGAACATTTACTGGACAATAACAAACAAATAAATTTTTAAATATATCCAAATTTGTCATGCCGTTCTCAAATATAACACAAAGGGATATCTAAACTTCTTTAACTCTCAAATGACGTATATTAATATGATCTGTGTATCAAATTTAAATCCCTTCAGGCAATTTAAGGTGACATCTTAAGATTTTTACATATAATAAAAGTTAGATGGATTATGATAATCGTATCGTATATCGATACATAACGAGCGCCTCATATATTAAAATATCACTTTTTTGTCGTTGTATAAAAAATACCTTCTACGAAATTTACTCCGTAGTGTGGCCCGGCCGTGTCAATGGCCTAAAATTGTGTTTAGGTATTTTATATTCAGAAACAATAACATTTATAACTGCTTCTTGTATTTTATCTCCTTGAATAATAATCGTCGCGGTATTTTTAGTTATCAAATTCATATCTTTATTAAATACACAACGACAAAACAACGTATTATTAAACAAATAAAGTTGACAGTTGCGATAACAAAAATAACAGCCATTCATTTAAAATTAAATCTTTTTTCAGGGACCATAGAATTCTAATGCACACAATTTATGCAATAAATTCCTTCCCAAAATGCCCAACTAGTACATAACTTGTACAGCTTAACCAAAGTGCTTAGCCCCCTTATTCATAAGAACTTTTTTTTATTCTGCGCTGAATTTCTAATTTAAAAAAGTGACAAAATCCTTTAATAGATAAAATAAGTTTATAGGTGGTCTTAGTTTATATGAATAACCCTCCTTATTATATTTTGTTATTCTCACAGTACTTAGTAGATATTTATAAATAATTCATTACACCTGAATTGAATGAAATTACATCAATTAACTATGATGATGAAAGAACAACTAAACTCACCTGCGTGAATTTGAACAGCGCAAACGCAGATGTACTGTTGTCCGAATAATTGCCGCCGAGTATAGAGTAGATCTGCGTGTTAAAGCAAGCATCTCCGAAGCCCAGTAGAAAACTACAGCACATCGCCAGGTACGGTGATGGGGTAATGTACGATGTGTTCTCGGTGTCTCCGAACGGCGCCTCCGATGGTAAATTGATGAAGATCAGGAAGAAACTAACTAGGTGAATCACATAGCCCATGATTACTATAGGGTCGCGACCCCATCTTGTTGTCTTGCTGCCAAGAATACCGAATAGGGCCCCACCTAGAAATAATAAAGAATATCTTTATATAAGTTTGTTTGTTACCTCCTGATGCTTTAAATTACCAATTAATCGTTCTCAATTTGGTATTATTACATTATATTCAGAATACAAAGTAAGACATAGGCGACTTTTATCTCGGTCACGCAGACGAAGTCATTGATAAAACTACTATTAAATATGTATGTTATTTTTAAATATTTAAATATTGTTTTTGTATTTCTATTTATTTGCTCGTCACGTTGCACCGTTAATTATATTTTCTGTTATTCCTGTCTACAGTCGTTTGGTTAAATAACGCCATATGATGTTAAGTCCGCCATTTACACTATCTAGATAAGTTTAATAAATATATAAAGTAAATAGTCCCGCAACTATGATAGGTTACTGTATTTATGTCCCTAACTTTAGAATAAACAGAAACATTACATAAGAAATAATGTTCTTGAAAAAGTAAATACATATTTTTTCACTAAACTGAAGAAAAAGTCTAAGAAGTTATGATTAAGCCGAATACAGTGTGGTATCTCATGTTATTATCTAAATACAAAATACTAGCTAAGCCCCGCGGTATTGCGCGCTTCAATTATGATACAAAGTATCCTATGTTTCAAGTTAGGTTATTACGTATTCATGTACCACATTTCATGCAAATCCGTGCAGTACTTTTTGCTTGACAAAGTAAGAGGTATCCTATATATAAATAATCGCTTTTATAATAGTAGTATGATTATGACAATACGAATATAGAAGGTCATAATGGTAACTGCAGTCATAAAACAAACAAAAAAAACATAACGATAAAATACGATTTAAAGTATGGAAAATACCAAATACGTTGAGATGACAACATTTTTTTTATGCTGATAAAGAACTTATTACAAAATCACTTATCCTTAGGTAATACGGCCAAGGCCTCAATATTTATATCCTTATAAAATCTTAAGAATGAGATTAAATATAAATACTTGAGATATCGAAATGGCTTTATTACAAAAAAAGGATGAAAATTATGTTAACAAACATTACAGTTATAATTGTGAAATCAGTGGTCAATTTAATGGTTCAGGTTTTTAATATCTTGATATAGAAAAAAATTGTAACATGGTTACATACATAGTAGATGGAAATGGAATAATACATCCTCTTCTATGCAACAGTGGCGGACAGTTAAAGATGAAACATGATAATAAAAATGAGTCAGTTGGTTCAAAGTGGCGATTTTACTAGGAATTAGTAATGCATGACGGGGTCTCATAGGCGACACCGTATATTCTGTGATGTCCATGGTACTGTTCATGTATATAGGCGACAGTTACTACTTTCCATTAGATACTTGTCAGGTGGGCCGTCAGATTTACAATTCTAAATTGTATAAAAAAATAATAAACACGATGATTTTCAGGAGGACCGCATGGAGGTCAACTTGACAGGGTATATCGTTACTAATGAGGGGTAAGCGCTCCCTTCACTTTAAAACATTGGTAAACAAGAATACAGCTTACCAAATACGACATAACTAACTTGACAACACAAATAAGTACGTAATAAAGTAACAATTATTCATAAAAGACAAAATAATGTTTTTCAAAGAAGAGAATATAACTAGAGAAATATATGGATTATCTTTACTTGCGACTTAGTTCGCGTGACCAGGTTATGTTCATTAGCCGGTATAAAAAGAAGTCAATATCATTCACCATCGCATATAGTATGTGTATACCAAATTTAAACATTAGTAAAAATTATTATGTATCGATGAAAGAGAACTCACCAAGCACTTCTCCCACACCAATAAACACTCCAGATAAACCAACAAGCTGCTTCGCATTCTCGCCCATAGCGAGCGTGAAACCAATACTTGAACTGTACACCCCACTGAAGAAGGACAATTCGACACCTGTCACAGAACCAATAAATTATTAAATAAATACTATAAATATACTATAGAAATAAACTCTAGAAATAGCCGACATTTCGAGAGCATTTTAGAATTTAACAGAGGGAGACTTTATACAAAATTCGGTTAGTTGGGTACCTCTGTCCCATTCTATTTATTTATTGTATTTCGGTTTGAAGGATGAGATATAGCAGTGCAATTACGGGGTACAGAGACATAACACCTTAGTCCGTAGAAATAGCAACGCATGAGTATCATGGACTACACAGAATACTCTATTATGTCCAAGATACAGTTCATGTCTATAGGCAACGGTTACCACTCTCCATAAAGTGGTTCGGCTTGTTTGTTATTTTAAGATAAATAAAAAAAAAAAACTAATAGCAGACGGCGAACTTCCTCACTAAAGAGTTAATCATTTATTTATTTTATTCTAGTTTTAGTATTTAATAGATTTAGTACTTACAAAAATTAAAAAATGGTCAATCAAATTGTCTTTACGTTAGTAAGATCAAATCTCGAATAAAAAAAACTTTTTTTATATTTGTCACAAATTCTTTAACAAAATTTTGTTACAAAAAATGTTTGAAATTAAATCTTACCCGTATAAATAAATGTAATACTCAATAAGATCATGTCCCTTGTACAGAACAATTTTATGGCGCCTTTAAAAGCTTCTAAGGGTGTTTCCGTTTCTGTGTTAGGTGCGTTCGTCTGAAAAATAAAACGGCCATCAGCTACAGCATTGTAAACTGAAGCTATTAAATACGAATAATATATATTTAAATACATAATTCAATATAAATAAAGTCCATTTTACCTTGACGTCATCGAAATTGGGCGTGCGGCGGACGGGCCGTAACAATATAAGAAAAACGATGCCGATAGCGCATATCGCCGTCAAAACTCCAAAAACAACGTTACGAGTTTCCAAATCTATATGTGTTTTGCCTTGAAATTTGATAAATACGAATAGATTACCAAAGAACATGCTGAAAAAAAATATACTTTAGTGCATTTCAAACCATACAAAGACACTCAGTATAACAGGATTCAAATTCTTAATATGTAAAAAGTGAATATATTTGTTGTATGATATTCAAAGTAATATATAATATAATATAATATTATATATAATTTAAATACGCGTGTTATGGCGGCCTTTAATTAAGGCAGTATTTTATAATGAAACTACATTATTATGTATTTTAAGTTGATATAAATGTATGTTTTGTTGGTTGTCCTTAAATAAATAAATAATTTAAATTGTTTTTCTAAATATATACGTTAAACTACACGACCTTCCATTCCAACGCCCGAATACGGAACAAAACTTTAATAAAAGTATAATAAAATAATTGTACAATATCTCCTCTCTGTTCCGGCAATCTCATTGATTACTACCGAAACAGTTTTCGTGATCACTACTCGTTTTGTTTTATAATATAATAATGTATATTTATATATAATAATTAATAAATAATATTAATGATATTTTAATTCATCTTGAAAATATTTATTTCTTTCTTTCGACAGACAATACTTTTTTCCAAAAAAAAAAATTGGCTATATCATCCTAGACCGTCATGATGATTAAACTTGAGATTGAGAGAACTTACTAAATAATTCTAGTCATATTTCTAATTATATAATATACCTGCACTGCAACATCGCCCAGAACACACCAGAATTCCTTGATATCGTGTCGGCATCACTGTTGATAGTAAGGTAGTTGCCTTGACCGGTCCATATCGCGGCAGCGCCTGCGCCTATTAGCACGCTCGCTACGTACAGAAGCCACGTCCGAGGAAACAGGAATGTAACGATAAAGAACCTGCAATATCAAGCAGAAGTAAACTATAAGTAATATGATTATACCTTTTATAGTAAAAAAAGAACAAGCATGAAATATTTTGTACCACATATTTATATGTGATCAATAAATTAAATTAAATTTTTAACTATTTTTGCTTATTATTTTCTACAGACTTCAAAAAGAGAGATCCGTGAGTATACACTCAATGAAACACTAGTCACCATGTCTCTACCAAATAAAAAAAAAAGTAATATAAGTTATTACCAATTACGTGTAAATAAAATATTTACGGGGTCTGTATTCGCAACTATTATAATTTAAGATTATGTTCCACAAAAAAAAAAACATCAACTTCAATCGTGGCAAAACCAGTTATTTTGATTTAAAACCTGAACTACTGAGCCGATTTTAATAAAACTGCTATGGAGTCAATTGGAAAGCATATTCTTTCTGATAAAAAAGATTTTTTCAAATCAGTCAATAAATGACGGATTTTATGGAAACGGATGACATAAAAAACCGAACTGAGAACCTCCTCATTTTTTGAAATTGTCTGTAATAATTTATAACTGTCTGTAATATATGCAAATAATATGATAGCAAAAATATTAAAAAATAATATATGTATAACATCTATAAGTACTGCCATTAGGTCTATTTACTTATGATATATCACCATGAATGAGTGAATGTGTATCCTTTATTTACATTAGATATATTTAATTAATTTTTAACAATCAAATTTTCTACATATGCTTGTATATTTATATATGTTTTCGGTGCGTAACCTGATTTTAAATATTATTCCAAAAAGGAATAAATCATCAATTCGACTTTCTTAATCTGAACCGATTTGAGTAAGTCAGTTTTAGGTAATCGAAACTATCTAATCAGCATCTTCCTCGTAGAATAGGGATAAGTATTAAAGTTTAACACTTTATTCCCATTTTACGCGTATCGTATATCTTATTTTTTTAGCAGATTAAACGTGATTGAGTAACAAATATCTAAACAGAAAAATTTACAATATTATTATATGACTTTATTCCATGACATTATCTGCATTAATTAAAACACATTCTATAGTATAGGATGATTTATCTGTCGACCAAATATTATTCAAATTCTTTTAGTCGCTTAAGCGAATTTGTGTTACAAACTTTTAATGCATGAAAGATTTTGCTTCACTCTACGTATTCTACCACTTGTACAACGAACTGTGTTTAGAGGAATTATTCAATATAATGTCCACGAGCACTTTACATCATTGTACAGTTCGCCATCGATACGGAGTTCACTCCCATTCCTTAGAGCCGGATGATCGCGTACATCGCGGTTTCAGAGATATTTCTCCCCACAAACGATCAGGTTATTAAATGAGCTTTTAATGGAGGTTTTATCAAGAGACTACAACATAGTGTTCTTTAAAAAAGGGGTAAAGAGGTTTCTTTAGGGTCAGCAACGCACGCGTAATGCCCCTGATATGGTAGGTGTTCACAGGCTACGGTAACAGCTTACCATCAGGTGTACCATATGCTTGTTTGCCAATAGTATAAAAAAAAGTTAAAAAATACTCCATACATTTTCACGTTTCTAATAAAATTAGAAAAATTTCCGTGTCAGGTTTCTAATAAAATGAAAATGTATATTATATTTACTATACTCGGTTACAATATGTGTAGCACTACAACTGTTTCTAGACAACCTTAACCTTGGTGCGGAAATGTGGTGAATGTTTTCGTATAGTGGAACGGCATATTTTAAATAATTGCTTCTATTCATTTCAGCTGCATATTACATAACAGTACCCACCATGTATACAATAACATGCCTGGTACACTAAGGTAGTTTAGGGATTAGCAAATAACTAGTAATATTTTTTCTTATAAATTGGAACTAATAAGTAAATGGTTATGCATGTCTGTCGTTTCCTCATCACTTTAGGTCGTCACTACATGAGGATGTCAATTTGTATTCCTCGTGTTCGTTTTCCTAGGACAATAGACACAGTAGTTTCCTATTCCTTTCCAGTACAGAAGGAGTGTTTAGGAACAATTTAGACTCATAAACCACTATCACCACTATTGATCAGTTTCCCAGTCCGATGAATAGTTATCCTGCCATTTTCTTAATCACCAGAGCCTTATCCATTACCTAATAGGGTTATCACAACAGTTGAAAGTTACCTATCGACGTGCATAGGTAAAGTTGTCTGTTGGGCCAGAAACAGAATTCTACTCACTCCCCCAGAATTCTTTCAGTATAGAATAAAAAACATAAAAATAGATACTTTAATCCACACAATTTACTAAACTTTCTTTGTGTGATTTTTTAATTATAATTAGCAATGAAGCAGAACAATGAGAAAACTCACGCATCTAAAATTCCATATTGTTTAAAGAGGAGAAATAAACAGTTATTCGTTCTACTGTTCATTGTTATAGAGTTTCACTACCTAAATTATACTTTCTATTAATTCCTCAAACTTAGAATGGATGTAAAAATAACTGTTATAATATAATATATAATTTGTATGGGGATCTGCGACTCAATTCCCATGGAAATGAAAACTGCAGCAGTACCGTAGGGACTTAAACGTTAAAATAATTAGTATTCTCGTCTATAAATGGTGCCAATTATAAAGTCTTTTAATAGTAATATTTTACATAATTTAAAAATAAATAATTTATTAATTATATCTTTATATATAAAAATCCCGTATCCCGAAATTCGTGCATACTATAAAATGTTGTATAAATGTAAGATATTATTTATTTCAACTAAAAGATAGAATACTTTTTATTCCAATAAAAAAAATCGAGATCACAGTGGAGGGCAAGGTCCGCCAGTTAGTACTTATATATTATTATTAACAAATTTAAAATTTAACACCTCACAAAAAAACATGTATACTGAAAATATTTCTGTTGTTTAGTTGATTTTTAAATGTTTATTTTAAGAAAACCCCTATTTTTAGCTTTTTCATATTTCAAAATTCTCATTAACTTGGCTTAAAGGACGAAATTTTTTTATTAGTTTTGTAGGCCATTTAAATACTCACTGATTAACTGTAAATTTATTTGCGGTACTGTTTATTTATTCTCCGTGTGATTTTCGGTTGGGAGAGAGTAGTAACATTTGTCAACTGACACGATTAAAGAATCGATGTCTCAATCAAGTTCCAACAACTGTTATATATTTTATAATTAAATTAGTATGGAGTTGTTGTATTAGCCGTTAACTGTCCAATACTGAACACAGCCTCCTCCATAAGGGGATTTTGCCAGTATTTGCCACGCTTGGCAACTGCAATTCGGCTTTTGGTGATGATTTAAGAGGGATGTTGCTGCCCATCCCTTTACCATAAGCTCCCATAGTCCCCTCTTACGACATTCATAGGAAAGGAAAGGGTGGCCTATTCAATGCCGAGATCTACACGGCGAGTAATATTAATGAGTCAGTAATGAATAAAAAATAATCTTTCGATAATAATTACTTTTAAATTTATATATGTATATAAACAGAGGTAGTTAAAGTAATATAACCTTTAAAATATCTAATATACTACCTTTTTATCATGAAATATAAAGGCTCACGTAATGATAAGCGCGAATAATACAGCCTTCCAAGGAGCTCTGGCAATTTGCCACAAACAACATTACTCAATGCAAGCACACAACGCTACGGAGAGTGTTATTAAGTCGCGGTTTTATGTAAAACAAAGGAATGTTTTCTTATTTACATTCTATATTTAAGTATTATTATTTACTTCAAAAAATCCAAAAGTAAAGTAAAAGTAAAAGGAATTTGATATATCTGTACCATTAGGTTCTAGGAGAAAAATAAATTTGACAATGTAACCTACAACAACCGAGAAAGGTAGATTATATTATAAAGGTAGTTCGGACAGTTGTTCATTTTCGAATAACAACAACATTATCAAAGAAGATATGCCTATAAAAAATATTATCTGAACTTTTCATATAAGGTCACAAATTATACTCTAAAGGGTCAAAAATTATATTAATATATCCCCTAAATATTACTTCTTGGGGAAAGTTATTCAATTTTATTAACATTATAATAGAATTTCTCTTCGTCATAACACGATTGTTACACCTTGTTTTTATAAAATATGAACAAATACATTGTAAAACTACTCTTGTATGTTACTCAATGGACAATAAACTACATGTTTGATATTCAAGTCCCGAACTCAACGTAACGGATCCCGCATCGGTTCTGTGTCTGCAGATAGACATCAAACTATTTTCACTACAAAATATTCTAATTAGCCGGTTGTGTGACACTGAAGGGCCGTAGTCGGAAGCATACTTAATTTTATTTTTTTTATTTTTACAACACAGGGGGCAAACGGGCATGCGGCTCACCTGATGGTAAGTGACTACCGCTGCCCATGATCACCCACAACACCAGTGGCATTGCAGGTGTGCTGCTGGCCTTTTAAAAAGGAATATGCTCTTTTCTTGAAGGTTATGTTGTCGTATCGGTTCGGAAAAACTGCTGCTGGAAGTTGATTCCAAAGAATGGTTGTGCGTGGAAGAAAGTGCCTTGAAAAACGCACGGAAGACCGCCACTCGTCCAGATGATTGGGATGAAACTTTAGTTTGTGGCGGGTTGTACGGTGGTGAAAATCAGCAGCAGGTATCAATCCGAACAATTCCTCAGAACACTCCCCATGATAAATTCGGTAGAAGATGCACAGAGAATGATATGCAAAATAATATGAATGCTAAAAATTCCAGACGCTTTTTGATTTTACGATGAAAAGTTTATTATTTTTAAGACTTGAAAGCCTTAAAGCTTAAGTATAAAAAAGCTTCATATTCCTGTTAATAACTTTTTAGTTTTTTATTGTACTGTTTACTTTCTTGTAGTCATTATTTTGAAATTCTTATTATATTTTTTATTTTACTTATTATTATTATTTTGTTGAAATACAAAATGACTGAAACAAATAATAATACATTATTATCAATGTCGAATATCAAATTGGGTGAAATTTCCAAAACATTGTTATCGTAACATATGACAGTTTTTCTAAATGTATAAATACAAATCATTATTATTGTGAAACTTATCGGTTATATCTTTAGCAAGAAGACAACTCGTGGTTGTCTCTTACTTAAATATGACGACAAGGCAAAAGGCATTTCTGATCAGAAACATATTTACATGTAAATCTGTTGATTGGTAATGGAAACGATTCTAAACCTATCTCTTAACCTAATATTTTAATTGATAATCCTGCGAAATTTATGGACGATACGATAGTCCACAAATGGATCATTAAAAATTAATATTAGAATAGTTTTGATTTAAATTAGAAATTTAATTTTAATTTTAAATTTAATTTAGATTAGAAAATTAAGTCATTTTGCTCCTTACAATAAAAATTTCGCAAAAATATCGAAATGAAATTTAAATTTTAGAGATAGATTTAGAGAAATGACGCCTCAGAATCGACCCTAAAATCGGGTTATCATCTTTCCATAGAGAATAGATTAAGTGCATTTACAAATTGTCCATAAAATCCTTATATCCGTATGTAGTGTCGAGTTCATTATGATTCCGTTTATAACCTTGTCATAATTGTATTATCTAATGCAATGCTAAAACATAATAACGTAATAAACATTTTAAAATAATGTATGTACATACTAAATATAAAGATTCAATAAATACTCCTAACCGGTTTTTAGTGCGTGTATTTTTAATTTGTAACAAACTGAAACAACATTTAAATAATAGGTTTACGATTACTGCTAACCAGCGTTTGTATTAAAAAAATATCTTCATTACGTACTGTCAACCATGAATTGGATTTCAATTAAATAACCATTATTACAAAGATAACTTGCTTTATATGTATATTGTGAAATGAAATTGAGTACATAAATTAAAAATTACTTAACTACTATTATTAAATTTCTATTATTCCAAGTAAAATAACACACACACCGTTTAAATTTCCAATCAATATGATAAATTTGTACACTTATATGTATAATAATATATATAAAAACGAACCTACTCCTTTTTTTAAGTTTATTAATTATAACGTGTATATTTTATAGACCTATAGAACTGTTAAAGTAGTTAATAAATATTACGACATGGATATATAAAAACCTAGAAAATTTGTATATAAACTAAAATAAATGTAAACTTATAAAATTTTATGGTAACCCTCTTAAAATCTTTCTGAAGTCGAAGGTCTATTTATAATTGGGTTCCGTTCGAGCACAAATACATAAGTTATTATAATATTATTAATTAGTAATGTAATTAGTTATGTAATAACAAGTAACTATTGCGCCTAGATAATAGAATATAGCGAAGGCACTATCATATCGTGGAGTGAAATAGATATACTTACGTTTAAGTATTACGATTTAGTTAAACAGCACCTCAACAGTAACGTAACATCTTCACATAATCGTGATAACATTCGGCCATTACATTTGGCAATATGAAACTTATATAGTATGTATAAACAAAGTGAGAAGTGAAAGTGTTTTCCTTAGTGGACGTTTTTATGGATATATCTTGGGAATATTTCCGGTTCGTGATTGTATAATTTATACAATAGCGCAACTTGTACTAATGTATATCCTGTCTGTTACTTATTGTGGCTGGCAATCACAATAAGTAACAGCATTAGTACAGTTGCTGCTTAGTACCTAAATATTAAATAAATATATAGCAAATAAATAATATCTTAATACCTAAATATATAGCAGCAATATTGAAGCCGTTTGGTCTCGGTATAGAATAGGTCACCCCTTCCTTTCCCGTGGGTATCGTAAGACGCAACTAAGGTGGGCGAGAGATGGGCAGCAGTGTTCCTATTAAAACATCTCCAAAGCCTAACTGCGGTTGCCAATCCGCGTGCCAAGCGTGGCAACTACTAACAAAACTCCCTAAGGGATAGGCTTATGTTCAGCAGTGGACAGTTAAAGATATGATGATGAACACTAAAGGATGATATGGAGATACTATGGAGAGGGCTATGCTCGGAGTCTCTTTGCGTAATAGAATCCAAAGCGAGGATATCCGCAAAAGAACCAAAATAACCAACATAGCCCGAAGGATAAGCAAGCTGAAGTGGCAATGGGCTAATCACATAGCTCGGAGAACCGATAATCGATGGGGAAGAAAGGTTCTTGAGTAGCGATTACGTACGGGTAATCGCAATGTAAGACGACCCCCCACTAGATGGAGTGACGACCTGAAATGCGTTGCAGGGAGTCAGTGGATGCAGGTGGCTGAAGACCGTTCTTTATGACAGTCTATGGGGGAAGCTTATATCCAGCGGTGGACCGATAATGGCTGAAATGATGATGATGATGATGATGATGATGGACTATCATAAACTCAACTTATAATAATTTTGATTTAAATCTATAAGAAAATGAGTTTTAAAGACAAGTTTAGAGAAATGGTGCCTCACAATCGGCCCATTATCTGTTAAATAATAATAACATAATAATAACAGCGTCTGATAACATTTTAACATTATTAATTGTATTCACGAGTAGCCGCGTGAATCAGTAAGTACATAAAGTATTCTGTGCTATGTTTGGATATAACCTCACATATAGAGCTAAAGTTCACCGTCATTTCTTGGGTGCGTGGCATAATACTATTGTCAGTGCATCCCGTTCATTTCTACCTCATACATCTAAGTTGTGAAATGAGCTCCTGTTTTCAGTTTTCCCTTTACGATATAATATGTGATATGTCAAAAAACGTTCCTACAAACATTTAAAAGACCGGCAACGCACAAGCAATTCCTCTCGTGTTGCAAGTGTTCATGAGTGACTAGCCGCTTTCCATCACTTGGACCGTCTGCTCGTTTGCCTTCCCAACAATACTAAAACCTACCCGTATACCAAATTTCATTCAAATCCATTCAGTAGTTGTTGCGTGAAAGAGTAACAAACAATCATCCATCCATACAAACTTTCGCATTTATATTATTAGGATTAATAGAAAGAGGAAACAATAAAATTGTAAATGAAGGATTGATAATAAATATTAAGATAGACGATTATCCATCATGTACTTCAAGCGATAATAAATTTAAACGACAACAAAAAAGAACGAGATTCGCAATTAGACCCGCACGACTTTCAAGTATCTTTTGCAACATTATTCAATACCAGCCACAATTTCATTTTCACTTCCTGCAATTCCAACGTCATGAAAAGCTTACTTACAAATATGTCAATGCTCCAATCAGCATCGCACCTCTGGGACCAGTAAGGGCGATGATGGAAGGCGCCATCCAATTACATATAGCGAGAGTTGCGTAAATGATGGCCAGGGAAGTATAACCATCGCCAGTGAATGAACTGTCATCATGCGATATGCTGTCCAAAATGGTTTTCTGCAGACAAAAAGAAAATATAGTTTAGTTTGCACAGTGGCAGTAATTACACAGAGTCTACAGATAATACTAAAATGTGATAGTTGTGACAAATAGAATCAAGCAAATTTCATTTCCTCTGACATATTAATCGTTTACAAGCTACTTAAAATATTTTTTGCAGTTCACCATTTAGTGCACCTCGTATGCGGATCTTTATGGGCATATAGGTTACAAAACGGCCACCCAAGGCACACTAGCTACTTTAAAGATTCATCACAGTACTTAACATAAGATGACGATGTATCTCTTTTATCAGTCTTTATTTTAATAAAGTAACATTCTTTAGTGAAATATATCGAGACGAAAAAACTGCATATATTTCTTGTGCATCCAACAGGTCTCCCCACCTTGTAAAGAAGACAAAATTATGAGTGTAATAAAGTTCGAAACCGTACAACGGTGCCCTTAGTACAGTCGATTCACAGTTGTGTGTGTGTGAGCTAAGGTTAAAACCAAATGTCCTAACCACTTTCCTCTCACACATAACTTTCGATATACCTAAAAGCAATAAGATTTTTTTTTAATATACTACCTACTGAGTGTACTGGGCACATAAACCCAGTATAAGTCGGTCATCGGTTCTTCAGTCTTCTGAGGTCATAAATGTATTGCGGCAGTCTAGTTACAATCTGATACGAACATAATTTTCTTTCAAAGAAGTGCACAAATCGATCCGCGATTCTTGCCTTACTTTTCCTTCCTTGGGTATAATATTATATAGAATTATTTTTTATTAGCAATCCGCCCGGCTTCGTACGGGTAGATAGATAGATTAACTTTATTAGGCAAATTTTTTATACCTTGAGTTGCATTATGGTCATTTTCGTGGACATATCTAACTTTTAAAAAATAATATATCGCCTATGTTACTGTCCAATACAAGCTAACATACAAAAAGACAGTATAGATAATTATAAAAGTATCACTTGAGTGCAGTATATGCTATAGTAGGTGCTTGATGCTTGGCTTGATGCAATGCAGTTACCAAGGTGTTATAGAGCATCTGCGACATCAGGAGACCCCCGGTGTTCGTTCTCAATCCGAAATTGTATGTTATGTATGGATAAATATTATTAAAAACTTGTATGTTGCAACTTGATGCGTGGGATTTAAATCTGTATTACTACATATGGAATCGTGGCTGCATAATGATTGCAAAATGGACATTGACATTTAATAATAACGGTATAATTTATACCGTAAAGTACAGTGAACGCTAATTGAATGTTTTCGAAAATTTACAGTTTGTTTAAATTTTAAAGCTCTAAATTTACCACTGCTGTAGCAATGCACTGCTGGAGCTGGTTAGGCGAGCAATATAGGCCGCACGAGCTCACAGTATATAATTTCAAAGTTCACATAAATAATATATAAAATACCAACATAAGAATAATTACATGACCGATTCTAACGAATGGAAAACAGTAAAACGTCGCGTAGATATTAGATTTTATATAATATACATATATAAAAGAATTTACTCGACGTTTTTCGACCAAATAATACAATTGAATCCACAGAGGATAAGTGAAAGCTAATGCCAGATCAAGGAAATCTGCAGGTTGCGTAAACATAATGCGGTTTCATTAAGGAAAATGTTTAAACAGGTACAATGCTAACAATTCGGTTTGGTCGGTATTGAACGATGAGATAAACAACTTTGAGTACGATATAATATTATTATCTGTGGTACAGTCTTTGGATGGGTAACCCTGTGTCGTCTGCGTGTCACAGAGTACACGTACTCTCGCCAGTTGAATAATTTAGGAATATGTTCCACAAAAACAGCGGCTTCAATTGCGACAAAACCAATTATTTTGATTTAAAAACTAAAGTACTGAATCGAGTATTGATAAAAATTCTATGGAACCAACCTGAAAGTATATCCTTCCAAAGAAAAAAGAAAATAATTTTCCAAATTGGCTTATAACTGACGGCGTTATAAGGTAATTATTGGCATTATCAGGGAAAATGATGAATGAAAGATTATATATTAAAAAGCGAATGTTGAGATGGATGTATGGTATGACAACTATGAGACAAGATTAAAACTGAGAATATCAGAGAAGTGAATATAAAATAGACTACAAAAATAATTATAAATTCCAAGTGTCGCCGTTCAAAGGAAAAATCATTATGCTCTTAAAAAGTTTGCCGAAAATCGTTACGTAAAAGCCCCGTCATTTTCATCATAGATAAAAAAATTCTATAGACTCGTGTAGGTCATCAATAACATCGCTCTACTGGTACTTGTTAGCTGATGATAATAAATATAAAAAAAAATCGACATGATCCAATACTTTACTCTGTCGTAGCCATTGCCAATACTAAATTAATTTTAATATTTCTACTTATTAATAATAGATTTATTTGATTTAATTATAGAATTTATTTGCTGCTAAATACTATCGCTTGCAACAAAGTAATATAATAATACTCGAAATTAATCTTTGAAATCGTCAGATGTCATAGGTGTAAGAAAATATTAAAATCGTTTAATTATGAATGCATGTAAATGTACAATTGTATTACACGTGTGACATTACATTGAACAAGACCCTGGGAAACATATCATCAGCAGTAAATCTTATTGACCTAAATAAAATACAAACAAATCCTTGAGTTTATCGACTATAGACAAAAAAGATTAAATTATCTTTGCAGTTCGAGTCAAATTGGAACATAATTTACATTGATATTAAAATCGCGACATAAATATATCGTTTTACGCTATCTACATACTAATTATTATAAAAACCTAATTGTACAGAATTCTTAAGTTTAATAAGTGAGTAACTAAACTCAATTTTTATAATTTCAATTTTTATAAAAAAAAAAACTACAAAGAGTTATTCCTTTACTTATATCTACAATACTATATGTATATAATACATGAAATAAAATATTTTTTTAAATAACATCAAAATATAAGATAAATTTCTTAATCTTTCATACTATGGATATTGGATAACACGGTTTATATGGAAATGTCCTGCTGTTATTACTGTTCTACAACATAGTACTCTTAAAAAGAACTTCTACTTATAAGCGAGCTCGCGCGACCACGATATTGATTGTAATAAACTACTACGTATCAAAAGACATATAAAAAAATATGTCAAAGTAGATGAAAGAATTTATATAGATAAAGGTCATGCGATACCAGTTTCACGCAAGGAAATGCCCAGCATCTTGCACTTTCATTTGTTTTTTTGCAAATTACTTATTTAGATGGGAAAAGCCACGCGTCAGTTTTTAGGGACCAAAATTCGCTTATCACTTTCAAACACTTTTAAATATTTTTCAAGTAAGCCGACCAAAAATAAAAATTGGTATAAATGTAGTAAGACGATGAAAGAGGGCACTTCAACTTTTTCAAATACTACTTCTTTCGTTAAATGAACCGTTAAGTGCATTTCATGCTTACAGTAACTAAACATTTTGTGTTTACGGTATACATAACTGGCGTGCAGTGACCGTACCATGTTCGTAATCGAAGTTTACGCAACAATTCTTTGTTTAAATTGCAAAAATATATAAAATTTATATCAAACTGTATTTAGTACAGAATCTACGCAGGATTATGGGGCAGTTATGCAGTTTCACGAATACAAATACTGTTTTTTAGATTAGTACTTATATTACCTATGTAAATGTTTATTACTATAATACAACTCTGAATAAATATAAGTATTCAAAAAGACGAAAGCGAAATATGTAATCATTGATTGTCTAATCACGAAATATTTGAAGCTATGAAAATTTATATATACTTCGACATCCACTAAACAGATTTTTAGAATTTAGAATAGTAGAAAATGAAGTTGACATGAAAACAATCGCAAGCAACAGTCAGTTTATGATAAAACAATAATAGTGTCATAGGAAAATAAAAATTAACTACTTGTAAAATTACAAAACAAATAAAAATAATAGATATCTATAGATACACAATGATATAACTAGTTTATTCGTTTTGTTATATAGATCTAAGTACCTGTGCGTCTATGAATAGGTACCTACATAAATACCAATATTCATATTGTGCAGCCGTAATAAATAACAACACGACCTTAACTACTAGAAAATCTAATGGACAGATATTTTCAATATTGTAAAAATGCCGCTGCTGTTATACAATCCTGCGACGATCTCAATTTAAAATGTTGCACAACAGAAAAGATCTTACAGATGTATCAATACTTTCCTTAACTGACAATAAACTGTGCCAACACTTGACAACCAATGTAAATTATTATGACACATTACATTGTTATGATATCTTGCAAAAATAAACACTCGATAAACTACATATATAATTGTGTAATTAACCCATTTAAAAATCTGTACTCAATTCGCATCTTAAGAGTAGTGCCCGACTGAATTTTTTATTACGGTTTCGATTTTTGCCAGTTTCGGCCATATATTTGGACTATCGTTCACGATGGAAAATTATTAATTTTCTCTATCACTTCAACCCGGTGGGATCTTTGTTGTTTACCTTGCCTAACGTTATGGTAGATTCGTGTTTTTATCTACTACACTTTAAGTGCCTTGCTATTTCCTTGTTAAATTAATAATTATTTAAATCCTTGTTAAAGTCTACAGGCGTCGGATAATAATGAATAATATAATTCCATACTAGCTATGATACTAGTAATAATACCCGTATACTATTAATATGATGAGTACAATTGGCAATAGGTATTTCGGATTTGGCAAATTTCTAGTCAAAATGGCAGGATAGCTACTATGTATATTAAGCTAATGCAGATTCGATGTTTTGATTTAATTAATATCACCCTCGTTCATAATTCCCCAATGCACTGATTAGGGTATCATGGATTCGAATCCAACCTACTCTAAAACACTCGCGTAGGCGTATACTCGTAATATTATGATTACATCGACTATTAGCAAGCTTTAACTTACACAGAAACCTACAAACACATAACTCGACATACTTTTGTACACAAAATAGGCACTAACGTAATCTTTTCTGTTTCGAGTGACATTTGTGAGACAGAGAAAGGCAGTAATAACACGTACCAAGGTCCCCTAGTACCTATGAATTACTTCGTGATCTATGCATACCATTCAAAGGTCGAATATTTCGTGTTCAAAATTGTAACATAGGGTCAGTGACTTCAAAATATAAATAAGTAGTAAGTCCATAAGGTGATAAAATCAATATCAATAAATAAAGATTCTTTGGTTTCAACTCTAATACTGACCATAGGTTACAGAATGAAGAGGTTATAGAATGTAACTGGAGAGACTATTTCATAATGATACGATACAGTTCAAGTTCGCAAATTTATCCATATGCGAGCGAACACGGTCTATTCTGTAGGGATGCAGTTCTTGGTCCATCATTGTAGTACGATATCGGAAAGGGGAACATGGAATAAGGAAAAAGAAAAGTTCATCTGAGTACTCCTTATCTAATGGCAGAAAAAGATCCAAATAAAAGCTATATCTCTACGTAATTTCAGAGATTCTAGAATTTTGTTCGCTTTAGTATCTCCTACGATACGGGCAGCTCGCCTCTAAGCAGAATTCTCCTAGATATGTTCAAAATTTCGAGTTTTGTACAAGCTGTTTTTACCATACTTTCGATGTAATCATCCCTGCAGAGGTTTTTCTAGTTCTAATTGCAGGCATCCATAGACTTAGAAATCGTTTACCATCAGAGAAGCTTTATGCTTGTTTGCCATCCTCGTAGTATAAAAACAATCTCTGTATTCGATTGAATACTCCCAGTCAGATTGAGCTTGTCATGGGAATGCCACAGATGGAAGAAATAAAAAAGAGAAAAAAGAAGTTTTTGCAGAGTACACGCATACTTGCATCTATAAATTAATTTACCGCATTAAATGTGAGATTTGTTGCTGTAAGCGAAAACTATGAGCAGTGTTTCATCAACTTCGCTTAAGCGCAACCCGCCTCAATTGGATTTTGAAAGGGCACACTGGCTGTGAACTAGAGTATCCCTTATGGACGGGGCTATCATCAGTATAACCATGGGTCTAATCACGTCAACATAAACGTTGATCTAATAACAAGACTACATGTTATCAATGTGGATCAGGAACAGTATTGGCAACACCGAATTCTACGGGATTAACTCCTTTGAGATTGAAAGTACATTTATATACCAAGTCACGGAAACTGCTCTGTCGCAGAGAGTCCGCTTTCCAGTCCCAAAGTTTGTCAGGCAGGCCATACGCCAAAAGCTTGGAAATAAATGCTTTGTGTCAAACCCTTTCTAACGCCGCTAACGCTCACTGCTAGCAACTCGCCATAGTAATTCATAGTATTAGTCCAGGGACATGTGACATATAATAGAGAATTTGGATATTTGAAGTCCTCTAAAAACATACAACATATCATTAAGATTACCGCAGGCGATAATTTAAATAATCAGATCGGTCCCTATTTTTAAAAACCGGTTGCCTGTTGGCTATCTTCTAAGAATCCGGCAAGTATCCAAAGGTGTAACTTAGAAGGAATAAGCGTTAAGAAAGGATACAACTTGGGTATACAATGCCTAAAAACAATCACAAGAACCGACCGGCCCAATGACTCTGATATCTAGGAAACTATTTTCTTTCAGTATATTTTTTTTTTACTATATGGTCCCGGCATAGAATAGTCCGCCCCTTCCTTTTCTGTGGGAGTCGTTAGAGGTGACTAAAGGAGGGTGAAGGATGGGCAGGAGCGTCTCTCTTAAAACATCTCTAAAGCCTGATTGCGGTTGCCGTTCTGCCTACCAAGCATAGCAACTACTAGCAAAACCCCCAAGGAGGAGGCTTATGTTCAGTAGTGGACAGTTAAAGGCTGATATAATGATTATGTCTCTTTACCATATTGTAATATTAGACAGCTCACCCATATCTAGAGTATGGTAAAATAGGTGGTGATTTTCCTCTGCTATCAAGACAATCATCTTGAAAATTTTGCATAAAGAATTACACTCTCTCCAGTGATATGAGCCAGAGAACCATTGGATAATCTCAATGGAAGTAGAAATGAATGGCAGAAAATGTTCTGAAAGAATTTTACCAAGTGTCAAAAGTTATGACTGCCCCTGGAATGGAATAGAAGTTCCTGACAAATACATTCTTGCAAGACTTAAAGGTTGTGAATATGGGGTGGTGTTAAAACATAGGTTCTTAAAAAACATTTCTTTAGGGTTGGCTGCACCCATGTAATTGTTGTACATATTAATAAAATACTATCCCCTTCATTCATTCACCCCCTCCTTCAACCATACTACTTAATATTATATAAGTTAAAGTCTTCACAACTAATATTCTTTTTTTAATAATTAGCTAGGGACGCTGGATGGTAGGAATTTTAAAATTAATGTCAGTATATTTGTAGTATTACTACATATTATAAGCAAATAGCTTATTTGATTTTTACAAAATTTTATATAATTTACAAAATATTGATTCATATTGTGTATACTCAAATGGAGTGTGTTTTGGCAAAACTGGTGAAACACATCATGAAATAAGACTTATATGAAAAAAAATTCATTTTATATAAAATTTGCATTTATTTCTATACATCAAAATTCCTATAGTATCAAGAGACAAAAAATTCCACTCAGATAAAACTTAAAAGATTTTCAACATTGCTTGTAATTCAATAGCATCTGGAAAGCTTAATATCTCTTTGTTTAATTATTTCACTAATATAATATTATGGAGTTTCTGAATTCAAAACTTTATGCTCAAAACTGAATAAAAATAAAAAGCTATAGAGAAAATACTGTACTCACTATCCAGACATAATTTTGGAGTTTAACTTTAATAAATGATAACATACTCTTTATTGGTACATATGGCAAACTTAAAGCTTTAAGTATATTTATTTAAATCTCTCAAAGAGGATTAATTTTGGTTTAGTAGAAAAATAAAACTGATATAAAAATGAATAATGAATTTATGGAAAAATATACATTATTGAATTCAATTACACTGATGACAATTATAATAAACAACTATAATTCAAATTAATCAAATGAAATAGATAGGGTGTTCAAAAATTAATAAGTCAAGTTTTTATGGTACATGTAAGTACTGTGTAAAGAAAATTATTTTAGAAATTGGAATTAAGTTACTGTTCAGTACTAAAATTAAATTGTCACAGAACATACAAGCCTCAAAAGACATTATTTATTACCAGAAAAAAAGGTGTAAATCTCAAAAAACACATCAATGTATTATAATATACAATTCTTTGTATTAATGAAATAAATGATATTTTGTAGCAGATCATCCTAAAATTTGATTATTTACAATCCAATTTCATTTTTTTCTAGTGTCTATTTAGCCAAAGAATTACCAATATAATTACACATACACACAATAACCATAATAACATTTAGACAGTAGTAACACAAAATAAATCTTCATTTTGGATATAATGATAATGTTGAAACATTTAATATTTTTAATTGCAACTAAATAATTAAAATAAGAAATCAATTAGAAATCACACTTCACAACATACCTCAATATTTCCCATGGTTTGAAATGCAGTGAAAACAAACATAAACCCGAACCCAAGCAGAATAACATTTACAAATTTGCGCTCCATTGTGAACAGTCAGTTGATGTTTCCTATTATTGTTGTATTTTCTTAAACTTTTATATGATCAATATTAACACGACACTTGACCACTTAAGTAACTACGGTGAAACTGACTGGACTGGAGTATTGTTTCGCTTGTAAACTTGAGTCGCGTCGTAACGATAAAAATATGCGTTCTCCATACTCCCACCTCTCGATAAGATTTTCAACAGACAACAAAGCAAGCACAGTAGTCAATTACGACATGTTGGTACGTATTGATTTATCATTAGCTCTTTAAAACAATAATAAGAATTCAAATACTATTTCTAATTCTATTTATTTTATAATTACATATAGGTAATTAATAGAAAAACAAATGTTAAATAAATAAACAATTGAAAGTAAACATTTTTTTTTTTTTAGTACGTTTGTTCCGTTTGGAACAGGCTAAGGTCGGAGACCATGCTGCCTAGTCTTCAAAAAGATAATTTGTCTGGAATTTTATTTTTCTAATGTCGCTTCAATTATTGTCATAATCTTCAATATTTCATTTGTCAAATCCGGTAAGTACATTTTCATAAATATCTTTTCTTGAGTTTTCTTAAACCAGTGGATTTATCAAATTAAAAATAAATAATTATAAAAAATCATTGTCTTGCAATTCAATAAAAGTATTCTTATAGCTCCTTGAATGTTGTAGTAATATAAGTGAAAATAGCTTTGAAACAAGAAGGAAATCTTAAGAGAAGCGGGATTGAGTGCGGGATATTTTCGGGTTTTTTGAAGATAATCCTAAGTTCGTCAAACATAATGTGTCTTTGAATGACAAATTCAGAGCAATCAAAAAAAAGGTGATGTAGAGATTGGGCTGTATTTGAGTTACACCATGTGCATGATGGGGAAGCGATCATGCCCATTCGGTGCAGGTGTTCGTTGAAATGTCCGTGGCCGATTCGTAATCTACAAATATTGGTGTAAAATTTTCTGTTTGTGTCCTTTCCTTTGCAGAACCACGGTTTTCCAATACGCCAATTAATTTTGCGGTACCATTTGCCTTTAGTCTGTAATATTTGAGTCCAATGCTCCTCCCATTTAGTTGTAACGATTTTATGTATTCCAATACTACAATCTGAGTAACAAAGGGGTAAATCTTGAACACGAGCAGCACTTGAATTAATAATTTTAGCCAAAGTGTCTACTTGTTCATTCCCAAACACTCCAATATGTGAAGGGGTCCAGATGAAGATAATATCTTTTCCATATATAGTACAGAGATGATAATATTTATTACGAATTTCTTGAATTAAGTAGTTTGATGATGAAATGAATGTGTTATTTTTTAATGCCATAAGAACACTCATACTATCTGTAATTATAATCCATTTCGAATATAGTACCTGTTTTTCTATGTATTCTAATGCTAAAAATATAGCTTTTGCTTCTGCTGTGTAAATACTAGCCAAAGTTGAAATTTTATAACCGTGACCAAATCTATTTGACAAATCGTAAAAAGCCACTGAAGCGCTAAGTGCATTTTTGGAACCATCTGTATATATCTGCCTGTAGTCAATAAATTCTGATAAAGTCTCATACATATCGTGCTTTTCTTTTATGTCTTTACGTATAACAATTTTGATTTTACAGAACTTACTCTCATAAAGGCCATTATAACAAGGAAGTATCTTACTACTATAGATGTTATATTCATCTCGTAAATTCAAATCATTGATAATAGTTTTATTCAAAAACATAGAAATGGGGCAATTTAATAATTTGAGTATGAGTGGGTTATTGGAAACTGAAAAAACTTTGAAGAGAAATTTGAGTTTTAGGTATTCGAAACGAAGAAGGATAGGAGGCAAATTACATTCTACTTGCATTGAGATAATTGGAGAAGTATACATAGCACCTAAAATAAGTCTTAAATTCATATTTTGAATTTTTTCGAGTTTTTCTACTAATTTATGTTCTGAGGCATAACAAAAGAAAGCGTAATCAAAATTACTTCTAACAAGAGATTTGTAAAGTAAAAGGATAATTTTAGGATCAGCTCCCCAGTTACGACCAATTACAGATCTTATTATATTAGTGGCTCTTAAAGCACGATCTACTAAGCAATCAACGTATAGATCCCATTTTAAATTTTGATGAAAAATTACCCCCAGAAATTTAACGCTACAGTCTGTTGGAAGAGTTTGATTATTATATATAATATTCATTAATGGAACATATTTATGAACTTGATGAAAAACAACTACTTTACTTTTGGTTAAACTAATATCGAGGGAAAGAAGAGAAAAATATTTCTCAAGTCTTTTTAATGACTCATTTAACACTAATTGCATATCAATAATATTCTTTCCTTTTATATAAATTAATAAATCATCGGCAAATTGCAAGTTGTTCACACTGTTTCCTAAAACTAAATTAAGTTTATAGATATATAAAATATATAGTAGCGGGCTTAAAATACCACCTTGACATACTCCTTTAGAGCTTAACCTAGGTCCTATTAATTTACTATTTACTTTAACATACACTTCTCTATTACTAAGAAAATTATAAATCCATTCGATAAGTTTCATTGGAAGAAATGAGGATAGAATCGAAGATAGAACTGTTAAATTTACATTGTTAAAAGCTCCTACGACATCTAAAAAAACAGATAGAACATATTCATCGTTATTCAAAGCAGTACTAAGGTCGACATAGAAGTTTGCTAAACTTTCGCGCGCTGAATATCCACGGCGAAAACCAAATTGATTCGATGGTAATATACTATTACTTTCAATAAAGAACTCTAAACGCTGTTTAATTAATTGTTCGAATAATTTGCCTGCACAGGACGTCAATGTTATAGGTCTATAGGAGTCGAAATTTGTAGGATCTTTACCGGGTTTAATTACTGGAATCAAACAATCCATTTTCCATTCTGGTGGGATAATACAGTCCTTCCATAAATCGTTAAAAATTTGTAAGAGTTTAGTAAGGTTTATTTTATTCAGCAATCGAAACATATTGTATGTTAAGCGATCAAGGCCACTAGCTGTATCTTTTCTAGATTTTACTGCACTGGATATTTCATCAATTGAGAATGGGTCAGTGAGAAATTTTGGGCATGAATTAACAGAATTAAACTGTTTGTCATCAAAAGGTGAGTGTACAAAATCAGGAGTATATTTGCGTAAAAAATCATTGACCCATGATATATCTTTAAAATGATTTTGACGATGTTTTGAATTTAGTTTTCTCATATTTTGCCAAACAGTGGAAATTGGTGTTAATCTATTAAATTTGGAACAAAATTCCTGCCACCCCTGTTGTCTTACTTGCTTAATTACTAACTTTTTAACAGCTTGAACTCTTTTAAAATTTATGTAATTATCGAGAGTTGGATTTTGTTTAAACCTAAGGTAAGCCGCTTTACTATCATTGACAGCTGTCGCACACCTGTTATTCCACCAAGGTACTGCAATATGTTTGTGCCTCTTTGAAGTATTTGCACCGCTATTTGATAAGTTCCTACGTGGAACGGAACGTTCCACAGCTGTCAAAATAATTTTACAGAACCTATTGTAATTGTTTAAGGGTTCATTGACATCATACTCGAAATCCAAAAGTAATTGATTAACAGTTTCAGAATAAAGATCCCAATTAACGAGACGTAGGTTTATACGATTTAACAAAAGTTTATTAACTTCATCTATAGGAGCATGTTGTTCACCTGACGGAGTTGATGAAGAGTTCTTTGTGTTTATTTTAGTAAAAGTCGGCAGGTGATAACTTCCTAACGGATCATCATGAACCGACCACTCGCATTTTAATGATATGGATGGGGATACCATAGTTAAATCAAGGCCATTGGGTCTCCAAATATGAGAGCCAACAGTAGTAACTTGCTTATCATTTAATAGTACCAAATTACATTCATCTAAACAATCAAGAATGTCTTTACCTCTTGTATTAGTGGAGGTACAACCCCACATAGTATGATGTGCATTTAAATCTCCAGATATGATAGTGGGTTTAGGAAGAGACTCCAAAAAGAACTTAAATTTGGCTTTAGTAAAACTAGGTGTACTATTGGTAGGACAGTAAATACTGGCAACTGAATACCAAGAATTATTAACTTCAATACTAATAGCTATAGTTTGCAAAGAATTGTCGAAAAAAGAGTGAAGTTTTTTATATCTAATACTATTATGTATAATAATCGCTACTCCATTGTGGTTATTACCACAATCATTTCGTTCTATACAATAATCTTTAATTTTTAATTTGTAATGTGGTTTTAGCCAAGTTTCTGAGATGAGAGCAATGTGAATATGATGTTCATTTAAAAATTGTGTAAAAATAAGTCGATTGCTCAGTAGGCTCTGAGCGTTCCACTGTATGATAGTTAATTGGTCTCGATTGAATTTTGTGAAATAGGTGTATTACCAAAAGTATCATATAACACATTCAAAACACTTTTAGTGTTAATAGATGTGTTCTTTGTGTTATGTAGTGAAATAAGTTTGATTATGCTTTCTATTAAAAGTGATAAACTCTTGTTATCAGAATTTAGAATTGAAATTAGGTCTACATTTTTTTTAGGTTTGTTACCCAGTTTAGGAAATATTTCAGTGCTAAGTATATCTCCAAAAGAAGCAGGTCTGAATTTAGATCTATTTTCAGCAATTTTCTTTTGTTTAACAGGGCATTGTGGTGATACACTTGTGTGATTTCCATTGCAGTGTACACAAATAGCGTTTTCCATTCCAGTTGTACAAGTTTTATAATTATGCTCACCTTTGCAGATGCTGCAACGCTCAGAATTCTTACAGAATTTAGCTAAATGTCCATACCTCAAGCACCGGTAGCATTGTTTAACTGGTGGTATATATGGAGTGACATTGTGGCGCCAACCTCCAATATCCAGATATTCAGGTAATACAGATGCAGCAAAAGTAATTGTCACGGTTAGAGTTGGCTGTAACACATATCCATGAGTCAAGGTATTTTTTCTTAAAATTCTTTTAATAGCAATAATTTTCTTAGAACTCGATATCATAGTATATATTTTTTTATTAGATATATTTGTAGGTACATTTCTAATAACGCCTGTAACTTCTGTTGAAGAAGCAGGAATACTGGCCTTAAAATGGTAGTCATTTAAAAAAGTTTTATTATTTAAAAAAGCATTGGCTAAGTCTGGCTTTTGAAAGTATACTCCGATTTTGAATTTATTTATAGATCTAAGATAAGTTACCCCTTTATTAAAACGTTTTAAACAGGAGGAGAGTGAGAGCAAGTCTCTGGATCCAATGGTTTTCTGACTATCTGAGGATTCTACAAAGACAACAAATTCTGTCCCAGGGGATTCCTCGGGATATCTTCTAATATAATCTGTGACGTAGTAAGGTTTATACTTATCGGCCTTATCAATTTCAGATTCTGAGTCAGTAGAAGTATCTTCCGAATATATATCCTTGTCATTACAAGGTTCATGGTCTACATCACCTGAATCGTCATCTTTTTTTTTCCTTTTCCTACAACTGCGCTTCCCCATGAATGCTAATTATATTACTGTCACTGAATTTAGTGAAAATATAATATTTTATTCAATAATAAGAATTGATAGAGATAGTTTTTATAAATTAATAAAAAAAAATTTAAAAAACCCGCTTGTTCTTATTCGAGTTTCCCGCCTTTTCGTAAACATTACAACTGGTTTGTAAAACAATGACAAATCAATTGACATTGACAGTTCACATCAACAAATGACACGCAACACGGACACTTTGATTTTATTTAATGACAATTTCGTCAAAGATACTGAAAGATCACAAGCGAAGACAAGGCATATAACATTAAATTACTTCAACGACAAACAAATCCTTATTATAAGAGATAAGAAAATGCTGGAACGCTTACTGAAAGAGTCAGTCTGATAATTTTTGCAGAAAAGACGACTCGTTCATAGGAATAGGTGGTACTATCTTCAATCTATGTTCCTTATTCCTTATCTACTATCTCTGTCTTCGTTACAGCTCAGCACAGAGTACCCACTTAACATTTTGTAATTTACTCTATGTGATTTGCTTTAATCTGTGCTTTTATTTTTCTGATTCATCAAAGGATACTTACTGCTATGCCATAAATAAATCTAAAATAAACGTAAATAAATAATTTTAGTCATGTTGTGTTTAATTAAAGTGAATAAAAGGAATGTAGTGCCTTATTGGATCTAATTTGTTGTTATTTGTCGCTCTGGACTTTCCTGTTAGGGATGATCTCATTGACGCGCTGACATTAGTTTCTGCATAGCGAGATTTTAATCGTTTTATTTATTTTACCATTGCCCAAGTCCAATGACCTTGTGTTTTTCACTTTATTAATTGAAGATATTTCGCCAAAATGAAGAAGCAATTTTATAGAGTAAAGCAACTAGCGGATCAAACATTTTCAAGGTAGGTAAATTTACAGAAAGTACCTTTTATCTAACAGATAAGATTCGTGGTGGCTTACAAAACTACGAGTCGTTTCATTTTTGTTGCAAGTTCTTAGCCAAAGAAAGTAGGTACCTATTACTTACAATTTATGTTATTTTTGCACGAAAACGAAAAATTTAAAATATATAGATTGTCAGGTAAACATCGCATTTTCAGGAGTTGTTAGTGTTTACCATTACCACTGTTTGCACTTAGTTTCTGATGTTATAAAAACTTCATACTTATACTATGTGTTTACAATAATGTAATATTTAAGTATTGTTTATAGTGCTGAATACAGACTTTATTATGTTTAATTACCTAATAAGTAGTTCTGGGAGGAAAGGGATTGTTAGTAATGAGATGTAATAGTTCCATTGCTGGCAATACACCTTATTAGTTTGATCTCCACACGGTTACACTTGGAAACTATAGTGGTTAATTTTTGTATAAGGGATCACTATGGGCCAATGGACCTCCTCCTCACCTGTCACCCTTCACTGGTACCCTGTCAGTCTATACCGATAATGCAGGCAGTGTAATCATTTCATCTTCAACCATTAAAAAAATACATAGTTCTTCACCAAGAAATTAATAGACCTGATAATAAAATTTATAAGTAATGTTTTTTATGTCCCTCAATTTCACGAAAGTGACTTTACCACAAATATGTTAAGTCATGTTACTCGGATTTAATTAGCACCCACATTTATATTATTATTTTAATTTTATTCTAATATATCTATTTCGCAAATTACTAGATCTGGTAAAGGGGAAGCATTAACAGATGAGCTCCAAACAGCTGATCGGAAAGTGGAACAACTCCGCCATGCCTTGCAACTTATCAGCAAACGCCTGGCTACTGGTGCTGGCAGCACTCAAGGACAAGACCCAGCAGCACGGGAGAAAAGATTAAAAAAACTCCCTGAATACCTCCTTGGTCTATCAATGTGTGAAGCCAGCAATTTTGATGATGATGACAGCATTTTGAAGTACATCCTGCATGAATGTGGTTTGTATTATCCAACTAGTAGCTGTTAAATTTCATACCTAATATCCAGTCAAAGGGAAAATATTCATTAATTTTAACCACTGGTACATTGTATTATCAAATGTACTATTTTAATCCACAAAATACTGGTTAGTCAGCAGTGTTTGTATACCTAAATATCACACAAGGCAAAATAAAAATGTTTACTCATACAAACATATTCAATCAGTTATTTAGTAAAAGTAAAAATAAATTACATAATCAACTTTAGCAATTTTGTAATTTGTAATATTTTATACAGAAATAATAATACAACAGAATTAATTATGGCATAGTGGCAACTTATAAAATGCCTTGTGATTTTAAAATAATATTTTTTAGAAATTTTGTTTATAGTAGGAGTAAGTCAATACAATATAAGTTTAAATTCAGTAGATTGATTTTTGTTAAAAACTATGATGCTATGAAAGATGAGAATGGTTCAAATACCCTAATACAGTGATAAACGGCTAGTATTACAATATCATCCACATAGTAGGCAATACCTTTGCTGTTGGGCGAGATACCCATCCTAGTACTTACATAATCATATACATATATATGGGTAGATATACCAAAATAAAAATTGTAATTATTATTATTATATAGCAACTTTTTGCCCACTACTTTATATACATATGTTCTAGAAGTAGGAAAAACAAAAAAATAGACCACTTCCAGATGGCTAATCAATACACCAGCAGAACTCTTGAATCCAGTACTGATATCAATCCACTCTAATGCCAATGAAAATTTTCTGTTGCCCTCATAAAACGACTATTAGGAATTAAGTTATAATTGGAATTTGTTTCCAATAGTTAGCATTGGCAAGTAATGCATCTATCAGAACAATATGGAACAATTATGTCACTAGTATTGCAATTAGAGAGTATGAAATGTTCTTATTCCAATATAGATCTATTGAAATTTATTTCAAGAGTAACCCCACAGTTCTTTTTTATTTTATAATGCAATAATTTAGGAACATAAAGAGAAAAGTAATAATTATTTATATTATTATTATGAGAATCTTTTCCTTGTTTGTTTATTATTACATATAACTTTAATCCAAAATGTGTTACTATGGTTGTGTTCGTGTGTGTTTTTGTATTTTATTGCCAAATCAAATCTTTAAAAACACAGTTTATGTACATATAATAATATATGTATGTTTATAACACTAATTATATAACAGGTAGTTTTCAAGATGTTTTAAATCAATACTCACGTTAAACCTTTACTCGCGATAGCATAGTTACACTTTATCTGTACGAGTATTGACAGTACGCTAAGGGTCGACATACGACATTTGTCCTACAGCGCTTCGAGTTACCCTTCGTTGCTCTGTATAAGTACATTCATTGCCCAACTGTATGCATTGTAACTGCTATTTGCTATCTTTTCATAGTAGTATATTTATTTATTAAAGTTACATAGTAAAATAACAAATGTAGAAATCATATAAAGTCATGTCTTTCATTTTTATTAGGATTAAAGATGCAGAAGTGTACCCCTCTCATATTAGGATGCATACCGTACAATAATTTAAAATTCTCTACAGTATTGCATATATGCTAAATGTATATTTTCTAAAATGTTCTCTTACGTCATAATGTTAAAATTGCACAATGCGCCAATCTATGATAACTTACAATAGAGCCTACTGAGAAAAAGATTTGTTTATAATTGATAAACTCACACATCTTATTTCATATATCGTCATAATAGATTATGGTCATACCTATTAACACGTTGAGCGCCACGCGTATTTCTACAGCAATCCCGTTCAGGCCACGCGCGCCGCTTCGAAGCGCTGGTACTGCAGGAGCTGGTGTTTCCTATCGTAGTAGAAGGTAGTTTATGTTTGGAACGTGATTCCTATAGGCATTCATTGAACACGTTACGCACCAAGTCTGTTTTGTTTTCTTTATCGTTTGACCTGCTAGACAAGATTTTATCGAAATGTATCCGTAACCGGTGTTCCCTTTGCGACAATCAGTTCATTACAGTTCTTGGCTCCGTGCAGACAAAAATTTGAAAATCGGGAAAAGTCTCTGAAGTTCGAAAGTACGGTAAATTATGTTATGACAAAAATGTAAGAAAAGATGGTAGAGTGATGGCAAGAAGAAAGACCAAGCGTGTTGTAACATTTTGTGATACTTGTGAAGGAAAACCATTTTTATGTTTGACATGTTACAATGAATCCCGTTAATCCTGTAATGATATAAAATTAAGTAAATTTTAAATAAATTTTCTGTAATTCCGTCAAATAGTGTAAAATTTTATAGTTCTCATGTTACACGCTGTCAGACACCGATGGCTGACGCGGCCTAAACGGAAAGTCTAGTGTCAGCCACCGATGGCTGACATGGCGCTCAACGTGTTAAGGATTATGTTTCCGTTCGTCAAGCTACGAATCGTACATACCAATATTATTATAGTCATCAATCAATAACGCTGGCGAACTAGCACGTAGAGTACAATTTTATTTGCTTACCTACAACTTTCACAGTGTCTCCTGCCAGTTTCGTACCATTAAATGATTACGAATATAGCTATCGATTAAATCGGCCATTATTGTGTTTGGAACCTATATACATACAAAGATTTACAGATGTATGACAAAAGCTTCAATGACATCTTTTTCTTTGTCGAGTGTTTAACCCTTAGTATAATTCACATTGAAATTGGTCGTTTGAAGTCGAAATTGATTAGAGAATTGGAGATTCGTAAAAAAAACTATAAATACATGAAAGAAAATGTAATACTTAATTTAATACTCTATTGATCTGATTTTCTTATGTAAACAACTCTGTGTCGCCAACAAAAATGGGTTTATAGGATAGAGCGCTGCAATGCCTTCAATAATACCTAAGTAATTTTCACGCAAATGTTCAAAACTTATTAAACGCCTCTTATTCAAGGCGTCATTGATTTTCTTCAATGCAATCGAAACTAGATATCAAGTTATTCGGTTTATTATTCATGCAAAATGGGCTCTTAACGTCCAAATGTTTGCTCAATAAATCAAATTAAAATGATAAAATAAATGCCGTGATCTCGCCTCTCTATCTCGTGTTTTCGTGAAAATTTCGTAAAATATCTAACTTGAGTATAAGGTCCAAAGTTTTCACATCTTTTTTATATCCAATAGTTTTGACATTCATCAATCGGTCAATTTCCACTTTGATTATATTATAAATTTTGTTATTTCAATAGGAAAAACGGAGAAATTTCTTGCAAACGAGATTGCTGAGCATGAGTTGAAGGTAGAGCAGTTGGTTTGCGCTCCTCTGTCCACCATCAGTGATCAAGACCTGCCTGCCATCATGAAGGCAAAGAAACAGCTTAGCAGACTTATAAGTGAAAAAGAATCCGCGACAAGCAGATATCAGGTGGGTAACACTTGTTTGTCATATCATATGACAATCCATGATAAGGGTTCTGTAATATTTAACTTGATAAATTTTTATCTATAAATATAACAAAAATAGAAACAATAAGTTATATATCTAGTTATCTTACATCTTACTAATATACTAAAATTGTAACTAAGAGATGTCTGTACATTGTAGATATTTAAGAAAATTTTAAAAAGTAAGCAAAGGTAGTTGGCTGTTAGTTCCCTTTATCTACACATAAGGGAAACTATCATGTTTTTGCATGAAAACGACAACAATGGAAAAAAATGTGAAATTAGGTATTTCCCGTCAACAAAGTTATGTATACGTTCGTAAGAATCTACTTATACTTACATATATAGCTATCAGAACTAATAAATGATTAATGACAGAAATAATTATTTTAGCACTTGGAACGTCAAAAAGAAGAAAATCCAACAAAATTGAATGCTGCTCGGGAAGAGTTGGAGGAAGCTGGGACGCGCGTTGAGGCAGCCAGGGATGCATTAGCGGCCGACATGTTCGCGCTCGTTGCGAAAGAGGCCCAACTAGCTCACACTCTCTTGCAGTACGTCAAACTGCAGAGAGCATACCATGAATCTGCATTGCACTCCCTGCAAGATACTGTACCAGAGCTGGAGAGAGTTATAAGTAAGTTGTTAAAGTTTGTAAAGATGTTTGTTATTTAATTTGTTGAATCATCTGAACGGATTTGAATGAATTTTGATACATGGAAAAACCAGTCCATGTAATCACATCCTTACTTAACACTTCGGATATTTTAGATGCACACAGGCGAAGCTGCGGAATACAGTTAATTTGTAATATTTTCCAAATCTTGTAAACAGGAAATTTAAAATTTAAAGAAAATTATATCAATGATTAGCACTTAGGACGCTTTATACTATAAAATTGCCAAGGACGCAGGTGTCATCTGTAAACACCCACATCTCATTAGAAACGGCAACGTCGCATTGTCGAATGAATTAATCTTAAATGCATTTTTTAAAACGACATGATTCCACTAGTACATCAACTAGTATTCTATAATCCTATCCGACTAATATTATAAACTTGCTTATCAAAACCGCGAGAGACAGCCAGTTAAAAATAAAATATCGGTATATGTTATTGCTATATATAAATAACTATAAACTATAATTATCTCTTTAGCAACAATAATATTTACTGGGTTAATTAATTGATTCATAACGACTGGTACAAACAAGAGACAACTGTTACAGTCATTTAAATAAAACTGACACACAGACAATTCTTCCATTACGTCAGTGAACTGAGATTATTTAATTGAATAATGCTTCTTTCGTTTTATCTCCAAAAATAGGACAGCAGTGACTTCACTCGCTTTATAATAACGCCATTTTTTTTTTCATTTTCTATTACAGCGAATTATTCATATCCATTATATTAATTAAAGTAAAATTATAATCCTAGGAACAAAATCTATGCATTGTTTTACATGAGACTGTTAAATTTTTTCCATTGTCGTAAACATTCTTTATCCGGTCAGTTTGAAAACTCCTAAACCAATTGTAGTAAAACTCATAAATACATTATGAGATACAAATCATAAATAGATATGTGTTAATATATAAAATCCTCCAAGTTATTGTTAAGTAAATATTACCTTATTCTTTAGTTAACAGAAATAATCTCTATTAAAATAAACTTATTATTTTTTAACGGTAAATTAAAACAGGCACAAAAAATACAAGAATGTTTTGTACATATCTTCAATTATGAACTGATTTTAATCAGTATTGAATAGAAATAGTTATAGATTCATATATATTTGTTTTTGTGAAACAAAATCTTTACTAAGAATCTACAACTACCATTTCTTTTTATTACAGATGACAGTGCAGTGAAACCTGTATTCGGGTATCCCTTAGAAGAGCATTTAAGGGTGGCAGGACGGACTATAGCATTCCCCATAGAATTATGTGTTTGTACGCTACATGAATTGGGCCTTAATGAAGAAGGACTATTCAGAATTGCTGGTGGTATGTATAGAATGCAATTTTTACTAGATAGGAATTTATGATAATTTTTGTAGTATTAAATATAACCATTATATGTGTTATTTCTTAGACGTTTACTACAAAAGTAAAAAATAGAATTTAGAATAAAAATAAATAATAACTAGCTGACCCGACGAACTTCGTACCGCCTAACAGTCGATTCTTTAATATTTTAGTTTTTTAATACTTTTTCTGCTATTAGGGACGCCGGATAAGGTAGTAAGATAAAAAAAGAAAAAAGAAAGTTAATAAAAAGTCAACAATTACATTATTTCAAAAAATAAAAATTATAAAAACACCTAAAATTCTTTTAATAGTCAATAAAAAAATCACAATGAAAATTCCAGTACCATCGTATAAATATTGACATCAATATTCGTATGACACTAACATCACTCAATTGTTTTGCCTTCCCGGAACCTCTACACTAACACTTGAACTTTATGGTATAGTATTAAAGTTCAAATTGACTTAAGTATTTAAGTATTACCAATCGTTTGTATGGCAGTATAGAAAAATATTGTTTTTAGACTTTGACAGGCAATTTTTAAAATTATTCTCCGTAAGAACCATCCTTGTATTTCAAGGCATATTCTAAAAAAAGTTAGTAGAATCGGTTCAGCTGTTCTTGAGATTTGCGCTTAGCAACGCATTCATTTTTATATATGTATTAAGATAATAATAAATAAGTAATGTGCAATTTATGACTGCCAGTAACGCCGGTAACAAAATGTATCATAACTCTGTAAATAGCAAGACACTGTTACTAGTAAGGAATTTTGTTTCATTTCCCTTTCGGATTTCCATTGTTTTATCTGCCATTTTTTAAACTTTGTCTTATTTTTTTACAGGTACATCCAAAGTGAGAAGAATGAAGTTGTCGTTAGATGCAGGACTATTCAACGTGCCTTTACCACGGGACTACAGGGATATGCATGTAGTGGCTTCAGTACTGAAGTCGTATCTCCGCGAACTGCCCGAACCTCTACTCACATACCGTTTATACGAAAACTTCATCGCCGCGTCGCGTCAACCTACAGAACAAATGCGACTGAATGCTCTCTGGGAAACTATTCATTTTTTACCCAAAGCTAATTTCCAAAACCTTAGGTACATTATAAAATTTTTGTCCGCTTTGACCCAAAATCAAAGCACGAACAAAATGACTCCTTCAAACTTGGCTATTGTGATTGCTCCGAATCTTTTGTGGGCGGCAGACGAAAGCACTTTCGATATGAACATCACGACAGTGGTCAACTGCGTCGTAGAACTTCTAATAAAGCATGCAGACTGGTTTTTCAAAGATGACATAAATTTCTTTGTATCCTTTACTAGAGAAGATCTACTTCCTAATCAGAATGAATATGGAACTGCACCAGCTTATGACCACAATGCTATTAATCAAGAACATTCGAATGGTGATTACAACAGTATGAGTAAATCTATGTACGATTATTCTCACAGTACACAGAATAGGAGCAACGTCGATGGGGCTGGTCGCCACTCTAGAAGTAACAGTCACGACACTAGTTTAATATTGTTAGAAAACGATATTAAAAAAGCTCAATCTAATAGCTCACTATCTGACCAATCTAGTCCACCGCACGGTAGTCCCAAACCGATACTGAGGCGGAAAAATAAGCCACTAGCTCCCGTGCCGCCTAGTTTCACGCCAGACAAAAGCCGGAAGGCGGAAACACAAACTCAAACATCAGACCCGACCAAAGACTCCATCGCCGCGCCGAAAGACGAGAAGCCTGCGAAACCTCCGAGACCCGTCGTATCGGACACTGGAAAGGTAATATCAGGCGTGCAAACGATAAACAGATCCACATATAGACAAAACAAAGCCATGAAGGATGAGACCAGAAGTGGCAGCCGCGAGAATTTACTGGACATCCGTCGGCAAAGTCTCGAACTCGAGAAGGATAAACTGGAAAACGTGAAGGGAGGGGACAGAGAAACCACGCTCATAGTGAAAAACGTGACCGCTCAGACAGGCGTCGTCGGCAGGATGAAGGTGGTCGGCGAAGCGGCGAGTGGGCCGGCATCGCTCGGGTTCGAGAGAGTGGCCAAGCCGGTAGCTAAGCCCGGCGTGCCAGCGGCGCAACCCCCGCCGCGGCCCGTGGCGGCGCCGCGGACCGTGCTCCTGGCGCCTACCGACGACCCCGAACTACAGCTGCGCCACAAGCCCGCCGTGCCCGAGCGTCCGGCTACGTTGCGCCCACAGAGCTTCCGCGGTGCCCGCAGCTCCGTCTCCGACGCCGACTTGGCGCCCACAGTTCTCGAGCGCACACATATGTACACAGTGGACAAACATCAACCCACGGTCATTCAAGTGGGTGCCAGTGGAGAACGCGAGACCGATGACGGGCCGCGCGCGACAGTGCAACGGACCCACAGCTCTGGCGGTAAGGACGCCGAGCTGGACGAGCAGAAGTGTTTGACCAGCGCGAGCCGACAACTATCGCAGTCGGAGGGCAGCATCACGGAGGTACCGCAGTCGCCTCGACCGTTGCCGTCGCGGCCCCCTCCGCGGCCGCAGGTCCCCGCTCCGCCGCCGCCCATAGCGCCACATGCTCAGCACGAGAGCACCGACCTCTAGTCGCCGAACGGCACCGACATGATTGTGATTATAATAACCGACTCGGGTTCGATGGCCCTCGATTGCGAAACAAATTCTGAATAATCAGTTCACAATGAAACTGCACGATTGTAGTTCATCGGCGCTACTGTAATTGTTTCTTCGAGATTTAGCGCAAGAGCGATTATTTGATCGGAATGGTTAAACGAGACTGAAATATTGTACTTTCTGTTAACGCCTATTAGCTCAGTCGAAAAAGTCTATTTTTATTTGCATAAAACACATATGAATCAATTATCTTTATTTTTATAAAATCTAATTATAAGATATTTGTGATGAACAATGTTTATTATCAAAATATTTTTTCATTATAAATATATAAGAGTTATAAATTATTCACTTAATAATTCCAAAAATACATATCGGTCACATTGTCAATTTAGCCTTTTTATGCTTTCAATAATATTATTTAGCAAAAATAAAATTGTACAATATAGAAATATTGCAATTATTCCTTGTGATATTAGGGAAATTTAAACAGAAGCCACGCCACGCGTGAGCGGGTGCACAAAAGTGTTGTATGATGATTAGCCATATTTTTATATTTATGACTTAACAATTCATTGATTGTATTATTATTGGCCACACTGTTTCAGTGAGTATTTAGGCTTAAGTATGTTATGTAGTATTTATAACGTTTTATGTGATATGCGTCTTATTATTATTATTATTATACTACAAGTATACAAGCTTCTGTTGTAATATTAATCATTATATGACATATTGTGTTTTATTTTTACACTAGTCTATGTTAATTGACCGGGATAAAAAGAAGGCTATGTCTTTTTCCATCGCAAAGAGTATGTGTAAGCTAAATTTCATGAAGATAAAAATTTAATATTAAAAAGTAGACGAGCTGTAAAACAGCCAGAGTCACATTCACATTTATAATATTAGATAGGACACTACTATTAAGAATCAAAATAAAATACATGTTTAATAATTAAATACTATGTGTTTACTAAGTTTGCCATTTTACAATATAATAATTTCGTTTACCTACCCTTAACAATGATATTAAGTTAGGTAATATATGAGCTGACTCTGTTACAATTTCATCAATTTTCTTCATTCTTTGATGATTAATATAAAAACCACCTGCTTGAATGATCCTCATAGCATCACCTAAAAAAAATAACCAGTCTTTAATAATAAAAACCACTTCATCTATTGTGGGGTCGACCTACACTGCGTTTGCCCGTGGGTTCGCCACTCAAGAACCTTTCTTCCCTATCGATTATCGGTTCTTCGAGCTATGTGACCAATCCATTGCCAATTCAGCTTGCTTATCCTCCGATCTATGTCAGTTACGTTGGTTCTTTTGTGGATATCCTCGTTTCAGATTCTGTTACGCAAAGAAACTTCGAGCACAGCTTTCTCCATAGGTCGCTAGTAATTTGAAGCTTTTACATACAATCAGCCGTGTAGAGCCATGTTTCGGTTCCATAAGTCATCATTGGCAACACTATTTAACTATTATTACGATTATATAACATACTATATAATCGAAGGGCAACACGCACTAGTTCGTCTCCAAAATTTTATGTATTCTGGATAAGAAGTTATGGCGTAGTTTCCCAAACGTTGCCCAGCCGAGTTGGATTCGTCAGTTGACCTCTCGGTCGAAGTTAAACTAGCGCTGTAGCGTTTAACTAGCTCTTAGCTAGTCGGACGAGTTGTCCGACTAGCAACGAGTGGCGTGAGCAGCGCGAGCTGCCAGACGAAAACGCCGCTCACTTCAGTTCTATCGTGACTACGACGTGGAGCTTTCCACGTCGAAACGTCGGCAATAAAAAAGCAGATGTGTAGGTTTTATTCACCTGTAAAGGCTTTTACATTGTGTTAAGTCCCAATTGGGTATTTAAATGCATGTGGTCTAAAGCCCTTTCGGAAGCCAGCTTGTTTCGGTGACTGGAATTCGCCGAGTTATAATTGTACACAGTATTAATATTAGTACACTATCTGGGCTACAATATCTGGTTATGTAATGACCTAGAGACTACAGCATGGGGTTCTTCAAAAGGGGGGTAAAGAGGTTTCTTCAGGGTCGGCAACGCGCGCATAATACCTTTCGTATTGCAGGCGTTCATAGGCTACGGTAACCGCTTACCATCAGGTGGGCCGTATATTTGTTTGCCACCTCAGTGGTATAAAAAAAAACAGGCTGGATGTGGACATGTACACTTCATATATAGTATACTTACTTTCTGTTGGGAAGCACTTTGCCTTCATGCCCAGTTCCAAAATGGTAATACCAGGAGACAACAACAATGTGACAACAGGTGCACCCTGGAACATTTGCTCCAACTCTACAGAACTCAAGTCCACAAGAGCATTCACATCTTTATTGTATAAAGCGTCAGTAGCTTTAAGAGCCTTAGCTAAGCCTTCCTCTAAAAAAAAATAACCAATTGATTAATTTATTAATTAGTACTTCTAATATAGTTTAAACACTTCATAACAAATGAATCTTACCCCCATGTACTAAAGTGGTTAATTGTTCAGCTAAACATGTCTGTGGATACCTTTGCTCTGGATGTTGTTTATGTTTGAACATTATATCCTTTATTTCTCCTAAACTATAGAATGTGAAAAGCTTTAACAATCTCTCCACATCTGTATCTTTTGTTCTAACAAAATATTGATACAAACTAAATGGGCTTGTTTTTTCTGGGTTTAGCCATATAGCATTTCCAGCTGATTTTCCGAATTTATCACCTTCTTCAGTAGTGACAAGAGGTAAAGTTAAACCTGGAATAAAAACATGAAATATAACAATTTTATACTGTAAAAATTATATAATAATATTTCAATTTTAAAAGTTTTAATTGCAACTCACCATAGACATCTTTCTTAGCAGTTCTACTGATAAGTTCATGTCCTGCACTTATATTCCCCATCTGGTCACTTCCACCTATCTAAATAGTAAAAATTTTTAATCAATAACAAACACCGGCATTACATTTATTGTAAAACATCATACACATAATAAATTTTACAATATAGTGTAATTTAATTATTTTATTGAACAAACAACTTACTTGAAATCTACAGTCATATTCTTTCAACAAATGTAGCCAGTCATATGACTGGAATATTTGATATGCAAACTCAGTGAAACTCATCCCCACTTGTGAATTAATTCTAGTTTGCACACTCTGTTTTAGCAACATTGTACCCATTCTGAAGTTTCGTCCTATGTCACTCACAAACTTTATTGAATTTATATCTCTATACCAAGTTTCATTATTTACTATCCTGAAATTATAATCTTTCATGTAATTTTAGACATGCTGTAAAAATACTTATCAGTTTATCAAATTGATTGTATCTGTATACAAAAGGTATAAATTGAATGGTAGAAATTTGTTGGTTGAGAATTTAATAATTTTAAAGTTTCTTCGAAATGGACATAGCTTTGTCATACAACAAAACAATCTCACTAGCAAAATTTCAGTTTGTTTAATTTGCTTTAATGAATAAGTGTGTGTTGATAAATGTTAAACAGGGAATCAAAGCCTGAAAGTAATCAAGTGATGTACAAAAGCTATTTTTTTAATATATCTTATACTGATTATATTATTATTTTAAAATAATTCTATTGTTATTGAATAATGGAGGCGATTAGAACATTTATTAACAAACCTTAATGGTTTCAAGACATCTTCATTTTTTGGCCAAATATATTTCTGATGATTTTCAAATACTACCTCTAAATTTTTCTTTATACCACTTATATTTTCTTGAATTACCTCTGGCTCTAATGCAATACGATCTGTGCTCCTCCCGCTTGGGTCCCCAATGTATCCTGTTGCACCACCCAACTAAAAAGATAACAGGATTTAAAATTATATTTTTTACTAGAGCTTTTAACTTTGTTCTAGACAACATCTGATAATTTCTTCTATTACATGTTCAACCATAAAATCAACATTTTATTCAAATATCTAAACTGCCATAGCCTGCTCCATTTTACCATTAACACCATATATCTTATCATTGGAAAACTATTATTAATTTAAAATTATGTCTTACCAATGCAATAACATTATGTCCACCGCGTTGCCAATGTAATAGATTTATAATGACTAGAAGATTGCCTACATGCAAACTATTTGCTGTAGGATCAAAGCCAGCATAAACACATTGTGGAGACCTATTCAGTAATCTGGTTATTTCGAACCTATAAAAAAATTATTTCAATATTAATATACAAAATAAACATATAATTATTTATTAACTTAAAAGAATAAAATGCACTTTCAGAAACATCTGTTACAGGATTATATCAAGTAACAAAACTGACATATTAAAAAAAAAATTATAGTAAAATTAAACCAGTGTAAAATATTTGTTGTATATAATTCATACAAAATCTAATTATTAGTACATCAGTGATGCAAAACTTACGCTGCAGTGTTTGGAAAAATGTCTTGATACAATCCACGTTCACTTAATTTTAATATGTTTCTATTACTATACTGGCGTGTTTGTGTCCATAGGAATAATTTAGAAAATTGTAACACATTATTTAAAAGCAACATTTTGAATTTAGCTAATCATAACCTCAAATAATGCGGGGTCTTAAATTATTTTGTTTAGGAAATAAATTTTATAATAGAAAGTTAAGCTGTATTAAGAAATAAGTAAATTTTACAAATATTTCGTATATACATCATTCGAGAGAGAGAAAACTTATAAAAAAAATTACGGAATTTAAATCAGATAAATAGGTAATCAGCTGTGACATGACATTGGCAGTTTGACAGAAAATAACAATACTGTCGAAAAGCGCGGGAAACGTTTAAAAAAGCGGGAGTGTTTTTTGATCTTCTTTAAATTAATTTTATTTTTAATTATATAAGGATTAGTCTTATTTATATATTGTGTATTAGATTGTATATATAATTGTATATTTTGTAGTAATAGTGTTTGTTGCTGTAAATATTGGTAAGTAAATTACCTATATTAATTAGACATTATGGATCCACCTATAGACCCTGGGGGGACAACCCCCCAGGTGTCTGCAAATATAACTATCCCATTTAATAATAGTTTTGATATATTGGGTGAATCTAGTATGGACACAGATGGTTCTAGCGTTGCAAGTTCTAAACGTAAGCGAGTACGTGGCGAACGTCGCATTTGCAAACATTGCAATAAAAAACGAAGGAGGCACACCAAAGGTCTCGAATCTAAAATTAAAGATAGTGATTGTCAATGTATTGAGGATGAGAATCAAACTCTAGTATCAATACCAGTTGTAAATAATACCGAGTCTGTTAAACCTGCTTCTCCACCCAGTACTTTAAGCAGAACTTTGTACAATGCCGAGGATGTAGCTCCTTATGTCGTTCATGTACAAAAAAATGAAACACATCCTAATGATAACACTACATTACATCCTATTGCATTTGGTCGCTTTTTACACACTAATAAGATAAATAATATAGTGAATGGTAGCCTCAAAAGAATAGGAAGAAACCGTTTATCGCTTTCTTTCTCAAATTTTGAAAATGCAAATGCATTTTTAAATAATAGTCACTTAGAAACACATAATTTTAAGGCATTTATACCTTCTTTCCATGTAACCCGTATGGGAATTGTGAGGGGTATTCCTAAAGATTGGACAGAAGAGGAAGTAATCCAAAATATATCAGTACCTATAGGTTGTGGGAGAATTCTAAAAACCAGAAGAATTAAGAAAAAGACCATTAATGAAGGACAACCAAGTTTTATTAATACTGAAACCATTGTTATTACTTTTGATGGACAAATATTACCAAAAAGAGTATTTATGTTTTACACATCATTAACTGTAGATTTGTACATTTACCCCACTATCCAATGCTATAACTGCTGTAGGTTCGGACATGTCAAGATGCAGTGTCGTTCAAATCCTCGGTGTTATAAATGCAGGCAAAATCATACAGGTGATAAATGTGAAGTAGATGAGGAAAATGTTTCTTGTATCTTGTGTAATGGTTCTCATTCAGCAATTAGTAAGAAATGTCCTGAATATGCACGTCAGAAAGCCATTAAAGAAACAATGGCCCACAGTTGTGTTTCTTATGCTGAAGCATCAAAATTTCATCCTCCCACTTCTAAACTATATTCAGATGTATTAACATCATCATCTCCGTCCAATAAATCTCATTTTCAATCTTCTTTCCTCAAAGAGAAATCATCATTACCACATATTCAATCATCACATAAAAAAACAGTTACACTTAAACCACGCTCTCCTCAAAAAGCACAACAAGGATATGATCGTTCTGCCCATGAAGCCATAGTTAAGGAATATAATATTCCTGCTCCCTCTAATGGTTGTGCATTATCATCAAATAATATTGACAATAATCAATCCATCTTTGATATTATTCTCATGCTTATTAAAGTGTTATCGCAATCGAAGATGATACAAACAACTTTACCACCGTCCAACGATGCCATTTACAATGTATTTTCTCAATTATTAACTTCTCACAATGGATTACAAAGTCCTAATAATTCAGTGGAACTGTCGTAGCATAACAAACAAGAAATCAGACTTATTTTATTTGATTAATAAATATAATCCTTTTATAATAGCTCTCCAAGAGACTTGGTTAAAGCCAGGATATCCTTTTAGGATTTCAGGCTTTACAAGTCTCCGTGATGATAGAGCTGACGGATATGGCGGTGTTGCCATATTGGTCAAAAACTCCCTTCCTTTTTCTTCTTTTTCGCTTCCTGTATATAGCGGCATTAATGCAGCTGCTATAATTATAAATGGTATCTGTTTTGTTACTTTATATATTCCTGATCCTACATGCCAAATATATTCACAACTAGAACAATTATTTTCAATTTTACCTAAACCTTTTCTCGTAATGGGCGATTTTAATGCTCAACACCAATCGTGGGGCAGTTCTACTTCTAATTTTTATGGTGGAAAACTCCTGACGATAATTGACACTTACAACTTATGTATTATTAACTCAGATGTACCAACACGTAGAACTGCACCGAATGAAGGGTTTAGTGCTCCTGACATTTCAATATGTTCTTCTGATTTAGCTTCTTCACTGTCGTGGTATCCTCATTCCTCTACTTTCGGAAGCGATCACTTTCCCCTCATTCTTTCTTTTCCAATTTCCATTCCCTCAAGTCGAAAGAGTGGTCCTCGGCTTAAATATAATTTATCAAATGTAGACTGGAATATTTACAAACAATATTTAGATAATAAAATATCGGAGTTACCTATTGTTTACCATGGAAATGAACATCAATGTTGTAATGACTTGATGATAAATATGAAGGAGGTTGCTGATTTATTATTTCCTGTTAAAAATAGTGCTTCAGGGAAAATTCCCTCGCCACCTTGGTGGGACAAAGATTGTACGGAAGCAATTAAAAATCGTAAAGAGGCTGAAAAAAATTATAATAATTACATGACACCAGAAAATTTTGAAATTTACACCGCAGTTTCACGTTCTACTCGAAAACTACTGAAAAAAAAGAAATTAGAAGGCTGGAGAAGATTTTGTTCTTCTATCTGTCCAGAAGTTAATTCATCAGTCGTTTGGAATAATATTAAAAGATTCAGATCTGCCTTTAGTGATCATACATCACGTTCTGCACTCGATTTAACTTTAGCGAATAAATTTTTAGATCGTCTTGCTCCTAGTTATGTGCCGGAATGCCTTTACAATATTTCTCTATCCGTCTCTGACGAATTATTCGAACTTGACTCTCCTTTTACTCTAGTAGAACTTAAAGGTGTTCTAGCTTCTATTAAAGACTCTGCACCGGGAGAAGACGGTATACCGTATTCCTTTTTTAAAAATGCTAGCGATGCGACATTAATTTACTTTTTAAATATAATTAATTCCATAATTATTTCGGGAAATATACCTACTTCATGGAAGTCTCAGATTATTATACCATTTCTAAAGCCTCATAAACCACCTTCTGAACCATCTTCATACCGTCCTGTTGCACTTTCCTCTGTCTTACTAAAGCTAGCTGAACATTTAGTGAAAAACCGTCTAGAATGGTTTTTAGAAAGTAATAACTTACTATCCCCGAACCAGTTTGGTTTTAGGAAAGGTAAGAGCACCTTAGATAATGTGAGCATTCTTATTTCAGATATTCATATAGCTTTCTCACAAAATTTGTCAATCCTCTCAGCCTTTTTAGATATAAATTCTGCCTATGATAATGTAATAATTTCTATTTTAAAAACTAAATTACAAGCTCTAAATGTACCGGTAATGCTTTCTAATTTCATTATTAATATTTTATCAGAAAGAACAATATATATGAATTTAGATGAAGATACCAAATTATCTAGAACAGTATGGAAAGGCCTTCCACAAGGATCTGTTCTCAGTCCAATCTTATTTAACATATACACATACGATCTAGAATTATTCCTTGATAAATCCGTCAAAATTTTACAATATGCTGATGATCTTTTATTATATTTTATTGCGAAGTCCATAGAATCTGCTTCTGCCAAATTATCTGATTCATTAGATTTGTTAAAAACGTGGTTAGATGCAAATGGTCTTAATCTTTCTGTAACCAAGAGTAGTGTAGTTTTGTTTTCAAGCATGAGATCACCGCAACAAATTAAGGTGCTTTATGATAACTCATACATTCCTATAAAGACTGAAATTAAATTTTTAGGTATCGTGCTAGATAATAAATTAACAGGTCTGTCCCACTGTAATTATATTTCTACGAAATGTGAGCGTAACCTCAACATTCTTAGGTGCCTTGCTGGAGTTTGGTGGGGAGCACATCCCGTTTCACTAAAACTTGCTTATAATGGTCTTATAAGGAGTGTCATTGATTATGGAACTTTTTTGTTAGCTCCAGGAAGTTCATTTGCTTTTAAGAAATTGGATTTAATTCAATCAAAGGCCTTGAGGATTATCTCTGGAGCAATGAAATCAAGTCCAATCAATGCTTTACAGCTCGAAGTCGGTGATCCACCTTTGGTTTTAAGAAGACAATATCTATCTGATCGCTTCTTTTTTCGTTGTTTACAATTATCTGATCATCCGCTTATTCAAAAGTTATCTCAACTACATATCTTTATTTCGTCTTCATCTTATTGGAAACATAAAAAACCTCCATGTTTAATACAAAGTTATGAAAAATATAAATCCATAGAATCTCCCACTTTTACATCGTCCTGTTTTCCCATTTATAAATGCTCATATCAATCTTTAGTTTTATCTCCTAATATTAAATATGATTTTGGGTTATTAAAAAATGATTCAGAATTGAATGCCAAATTTATGTTTATAACTGACATTGAATGGAATGAATGGCACTACATCTTTACTGATGCATCAAAACCAGACAATAGCGGTTGTGTAGGTGTGGGTGTGTTTCATTCACAATTTAATATCGTTCAAAAAATTAAACTTCCACCGGAGTCTTCAGTTTTTACCGGGGAATGTTATGGTATTTTAAAAGCTGTAGAATATATACTTTTAATGAAATTACATAAGGCAATAGTTTTCACTGACTCTATGAGCTCTTTGCAAGCTCTAGCCAAATATCCGTTTAAATCAAAACCAGTTTATCCCATTATTTGTGACATAAGACAAAGTCTTTATCTTTGCATGTTGAGAGGTTATTCCGTTTCTTTTGCCTGGTTACCAGGACACAGTGGTATTAGCGGCAATGACAAAGCTGACCTTATTGCAAGAGAGGCTGTAACTTGTGGTGATATGTATCCGTATCATAATTACTGTAGTGACCTAGCTTGTCTCCCAAAAATATATTTAAGGTATGCCTGGAAGGAATATTGGGAAAAAACAAGTACAATAAAAGGAAGATTTTATCGCCTTATACAACCCGATATTCCTTTCAAACCATGGTTTTGTAAATTAAAGCTTGGAAAGACCGCAACAACTATTATAACTCGTATGCGTCTAGGTCACGTATGCACACCTTCTCATTTATACAAGCTTGGTATTGTACAAAGTTCGTCGTGTAATTGCGGTGCTGAAGTGGCGGACTTGAATCATATATTCTTCTCATGTTCTAAATTTGACCACACCTCCCTTTTTAATCATCTCCGATCCATCCGTGTTCCATTCCCAACTTCTATTCTTACTCTACTTTCTTCCAATGATCCTATTATCTATAAAATACTATCTTCATATATATATGATAACAATATTAAGATTTAGTTATATTACATGAATACATTTATAGTTGCATCAATTGCTTTTCCTATATATTTATAAGTATATTCTCATATGTACAAGTATATGTTTCATATCCTATAAATATCCTAGACCTAATCCTTATCCTTTCTAAATTCGTTTGTGTTAGGTATTTTTATTACTATTATCGTTTCCCCGTTTTGTTCTTGGCAAAATACCCTAATATCGGGGTGAACGCCACAAAAAAAGAAAAAAAAAAAAAAAAACAATACTGTCAATGTCTGAAGATTGTCGTTTTTATTCCATTGAAATCCAAAGATCTTAAAAACACATAAGGCAAACATAATAAATCGTACAATTTTTTTAAAATATATTTGTTACAAGAAATATATGACAAATAACATTAGCATTAGCGTATAAAAATTATGTTTCAAGTAGATTTTTTTATCGATGATAATAGAATAGTAACCACTGGTGAAGCACCAGTGAGGGATAACAACTAAAAATGAAAAGGCAGGTCTACCCCATCATAACGAATATCCTGGAATTCAGCACGATGATTTCTAGAGGGAACCACGTGGAGGTCGACCTGACAAGATATATTGCTAGCAATGGGACTGATAGTTCGCATTACTAACAATCCCAAGGGGTTTTTCAACATTCGGCATTCCATTATTTTTGCCTACTCTAATGGGAAATGGGTGTGACAGTTACGAGCAATTGGGTTAATAGTTACATTACTAACAATCCCTTGTTTACAATTGGACTCTCAATTCGTACTAAGCTTCTCATTTGGACTGTAATGCAGACTACCAGTTCTCTCGTTAGCGATATACCCTATTAGATAGACCTTCACATGGTCTCAGCTGATAACCATCGTTTTGAATTTCAGCGATAGAATTGAATTCAGTTGAATTTAAATTCATCACTATGGGCTAATTGACCTTTCTGTTCATTCTCATCTATCATCCCTCACTAGTACCCCGCCAGCGTATACTGTTAGCGCAGACAGGTTACCGTGCCATTATTAAAGTCATTCATTAAAATCCCTCCCCCTACATAGGTTTACTTGACAGGTTATTTCAGTAGATCGATTTTGGCGTTGTGTACACGCTATTTAAATTATTAGTTGCATCTTAACTTTATGGGATTAGTTACAATAAAAACAGTAAGTCCACAAAGAGTTTTATTTGTTAAAATTTAAATACACAGTTGACGTTTCTATAAATATTATACGACATATAGGGTGTGCATATTGCAAAAACAACTACGTCGCAATAAAAAAACATTTATAAATATGTCGTAGACGCAGGCCTTATTTTCGGACCGACCGGTGGATCGTATATACAGTACACGTTATTCACAAAAGCTTAAAATATATAACATCATGCAAACAATAAAATCATTAAATTCATAATCAACACTCAGAGGGGTAGAGTGATATTACCGTCTTTATTGTGATTTAATCATAACACTGAGTGTTTGGCTCCACCACATTTTATGTCGGTGGAAAATCGAAAGTATAACATAATTGATATAATTAGAAATAACAATTTGAAAAATTTTACTGGGATCCTTCATTTTTTGACAATAATTAAATGCATGAAAGGAATTTTATTATAACTATAAAATAGTAATCATAATGCAAGTTAATAAAAATTAAACAATAACAGATTAATCCAACTACAATAAGGAATAATACAAGAAACTAACTCAATTCTAAGGAATTACAAGCGAGGCCTTGCTTAGAACTTTATAATCACTGAGATATTTCTACTCACATTCATCACTAAATGTATTGGTGCTATGTTGATAATACTTGCTACAAAAATACCATCTCTTATACAGAAATATAAAAAGAATAATTTGCACAATATTAATAAACCTCCCGATTATAAAACACTAACAAGATCATAATACTTATAATAACAACTAACACTAAATAATATGGAAATTATATTTTACAACTAATCTTCAAGTGTGACATTTTTGAATAAATAGGACATAGATTCCTTGTTGTGAATGCGCCTTATTGCTTCACTTAACAGCACAGATATGTCGATTGTCTTGATCTTGTTGCACTTCATTTTCTGTAGTTCATGCGGGACAGTATTGGTGACCACTACTTCGTCAATGGGCGAATCCTCTATCAGGGTAGGCGCGTCCGACGAAAGGAGGCCATGAGTTGCGAGTACATATATCTTGTACGCACCACATTCTTTCAAAACTTCTGCTGCTGCGACGAAGGACTGCACGTCGTCAATCATATCATCCTGAATAAAAAAATATGTATGACACTACTAGATCTAAATAGTCGAGACATACTTATTCAATTAAAGTATGCCAAACTTCAATACGATAGAACCGTTATGTTATAAATTCTTTATATTGCTGGTGGTAGTTAAAAAGATATTACTTGTTAGACATAGAATAGATATTTACTGGATAGTTTATTAGAATTATTTTGATTAATAACACCTAGTTTAGTAAACTATTGTAAAATTAAATTATCATAAATAATGCTCTGGTGTGATATTGAACAATTTTTAATATATGCAAACTGTTTATATAATACTGATCGCACCAAAGTCGTAGAAATTTTAATGTGAAATAATGGCTAAATTACTCGACTATGGCGTAAATGTCTATTAGTGAAGAAATTTTTAAAATTGGTTTATTAGCTTCAGAGATGAATGTTTGTAGTGAACATAGGAGAGTGTTTGGAAGGCGACCTCCATGAGCGCCGAGGTTTGAAAGAAGCGCATCGGTTTACAAGTGGTGCCGATATGTAAGAGATGCGCTATAAGAGGAATATAGTATTAAATTAGAACTTTCAAGTGGATCCGGATGACCTTTTTTCTAGTCCAGGATGGCGTCCAGCGCCGTCAATCGGCTCCGGAGCACTTCAACAAAAGATTTCAGCGGTCAACTTGGATCAAGCCAATACTATTACCAATACTTAGTGTATGATATCCCAGTTCTTAGATAGAATGTCGCAGAATGCTGACATTACGTTACCGTAATATTAATACTTACCACCATGATGGCTATCCTTCCTCCAACATCACCGACCACATTAATTGGCGGTTTCTCTTTAGCTGGATGTACTGGCACTCCAACAGACACGTCCATTGTTCGTGATCTATCGACACTGTAAATATAAGAAAGATGCCCATTTCAAGATTTTATTGGAACAAATTTTAATTTAATATGATATTTTATGGAATATTTCAAACAAGTAATATAAATCATTGATGTCAAGTGGTAGCAATAAAGGTCACTAAAGTTTTACAGGGGCGGGAGAGGGATTCGAAAAACACGTTACGTAACATGGTAAAATATTTTATTTAAATACAAAACTAGGAAAGTTAAGATTTCCCATGTTAGCAACCCTTTTCGGTTTAGATTTACGGGGAATGCCTCGATCATTTCATTCATGTTTTACGGGACTCTCTCAAATGTATTGTACGTCATTTTTGTTTTGTTTTCGATCTCAGTATTCAGTACTAGTGTTTTGGCTGTTAAGTAAAAATGCTAACTTGGATGTTACGTAACATTTAGGGAGGGGGAAGGGGATACAGAAAAATGCTATGGGGTAGGGATTGGGGGTGTTAGGTGGAATTTAATATTTAAAAGATTCGCATTATGTAATACTTGAATTTTCCTTAAAAGTTGTGTGTGATTTATTTATTAACCAAATGTGGTATGTGATTAATCATTTTCCAACAATCACTACCCTACAATATTAATTTTACTTAAAAATCTTCCACGAACAAACATTAGATAAAAACAATTTATATAAATAAAATAAGATTTTATAATGTTTTTTTTTCAATACCATAAACACATATTCAGTTGCTCACCTCGGTATACAGGGTGGTGAATACCGCCCATCAACCTCATCACTTTCAGCTTCTTTCTGCTCCCCGTGTATAACCGCAATGGCGAGCCTGAGACGTTCTGCGTACGACGTCGCCTTCTTAGCAGAACCAGGATTACGCGCCACAATCACCGAGTTGCGATAATCAGGAATCTGCAGGAAAAAGTGTTATATAACTGCTGCCATGTATTTGAGATTTTGCAAAGATCATTGATCATTAGATTGTCAGAGACTCATGATCATCAGCCTTTAACTGTCAACTGTTGGCACTATTGTAAATGTAACACGTCTCTTCTCTCTGTCATGGCGTCCTACATTAAAGTGCATTTTCATTTATAAGTGTTTTTTAATTACAAAGAAAAATAATTTTAGTGTGCAAAGCACATTCCATCTATTTACAACGTTATACCCACGACTTCGTCCGCATAATGGGGGATATGCTGATTGCCCAGGATAAAAAACTCCCAAATGCTTTTCCATACCAAACCTTAGGTCAAATTTCGTAATGATTAGGTAATCCCTTTAGCAGTCAAGAAGTAAGGAACAAACTAAGATTAACCCTTATATTATATAAGTAGGGAAGTAGGAATTACTGTATTGAAATACCTACACTGATACTTATTTGCTAGACTTAAATAATTTCCTGCACTTCAGCAGATTTTTTTTATAAGAATAGAATATGTTAATGGTGTTTTCTAAAATAAGTAGCCATTCACTCTAGAGAACTCAAAGCTAGATGATTTATTATCACTAGATCTACTTAAGTTGGAATATTACATTGGTGTCGATTCTGATGCACCATTTCTCTAAACCTGTCTCTAAAATTAAAATTTCCAGTGAAATTTTTATTCTAAGGTTTATTCTAACCAAATTTCTAATAGATTTACGTCAAAATTATAAAGTTATTTTGCAGTTGTCCATAAAACAGTAATTTCACAAAATTTACAAAAGAAAATTAATTTAAAATATTGCATTAAGAAATTGTCTCAGAATCGAACCCATTGGTTAATAAACCGACTGCCAACTGCCGAAAAATCCTTAGTTACTCCAATAAAATGAAATAAATAATAATTTGAAGTAGTAGAAAATTTACTTACACTCTCTTGAATATATTGAAGCAAGAAAGGAGAGGCACGTAGGTTATCAACTGGACAGTCGTAAAATCCCTGTATTTCTTTTTGATGAAGATCCATTGTAATAATATGTGACAGCCCTGATTTGCACATCATTTTAGCCAATAATTTTGTGACAATCGAGCCTCGTTTCCTCATTTTGCATTGTTTACTGTATGGCAGATATGGTATCACTCCTACAATTGATCGAGCTGAAGACGTCTTGCAAGCATAGGCCATGATTAGCAGTTCCATTATATTGTTGTTAACATCTCTGAAATAATATATGGTGTGAATAAATTTTTCTTAAACAAAAACTTTACTTCTGAAAAGTAATTTTCAAAACCAGCACAAACCAAGATATGCAAGAAAATAATAGGAGAAAAGCAATCTTAATCATAAAAAATTTTACACAATTCAACATTCTTTCTTAAATAGTCAACAAATTTAAAATACAACCAAATAGTAGATATTATGATGATATTAAATAACTTTTGATGAAGTTTAAAACTAAAGTAAACAAAATACTGCAAAAAAAGGATATGTGTAAATTTGTATTGGTCTCATCATTTTCAAACTATGATTTTTAATTTTTATTACAAGTTTTGTCACAACATTGAAGTCACAACTTTCTTGTGTAAAAAAATTTAATAAATTAGCTAGCTACCTAATACATTTGTATTTATTAAAATAAAGATATTATTAAAATATGAAATTATACTATAATATTTATTGTGGTTATTACTTACTTGTAATAAACATATGTACATTTTATATTGTTCTTTTTGAAAAACAAAGACTACATATTTTATTATTACCTACAGCATACATATTAAATGAAACAAATCTATTAAATAATTTCCTAGAAAACCTTTGGAAACAAATACTAGCATCATTGTATGCTTTCAATAAAAGAGCCTTTTATATACAACACAATACTGGTCCAGTGACCAGTAGTAAATAAACTACATACCACTCTTGTTTATATAATCAAAATTAATTAGATAACAAAGTCCATTGTATGTAATAATTAAATTGCAACTATTTCTCATACAATATCTTGTTGTAAACATTTTTTATTTGTCCAATAAAATAATGATGTAAAACATTTGTCTTTTCTTATATTTTTTTTTTATATTCTTATAATTTAATAGGTATTGTTCTTCCACATGATTCAAGATATCAATATAGCAAATTTCTCCTCTAAATAAAAACTGTTTTTATTTATATGTGAAAAACAACATACATATCTTACTTTCACACATATACATAATCACTATAATATTACATACAATAATTTACTCATACCTTTCACTTAAAATCTTACAATTTTTAATTATTAGTATTATAACGCAAAATCAACCACACCAACCCCCTGGTTTTACCTGTTTGTCACTATGATACTCTTTATGTTATGAGGAATCAGGCAACAGACATCTGGGTGAACAATCCAAAGCACCTAGACCCTAACAAACGAAAGTTCATTTCCTAAATTGATTTACTGATGCGATTGAGAATTGAACCCAAGACCTCATTTTATGCAAAGGAACATCTCATGTAATTTTTAACATTATATAATTACAAAAAAATTGTTAATTGATTGAAATTCTTACAGTGTTGGTGATATTGTTTTTTCATAAAATAATATTAGAGTTTAGGTTTGTTATAAATAAAAAAATTTTAATCCCACCTGCATTGTTGGTTTACTTTGGTGGGCAACCAGATAGAAATGATAAATAAAGATAAAGTCTGATCATTTGATTAATCAGGAGAAATTCACCAGGAATATGCAGTTTCCAGGGGCTCAGTGAAGGTAGATCTAGCAGGTTATTTAATAGCAATACTATTATTACAGATACACCCTTCCCTCTCTCCCAGAAACTCCGTCTTTTCAACCAACTTCAAAAAGAATGAGGTTGTCAATTCAGATGTATTTTTTTTATTTATGTTTGTTACCTCACAACTCTGTTAGTTCTAAACCAATTTGGAAAATTCATTTTTTATCTGAAAGGATATACTTATTAAGTTCATCATCATATCAGCCTTTAACTGTCCACTGCTGAACGTAAGCCTGCATCTTGAGGAGTTTTGCCAGTAGTTGCCACGGTTGGCAGGCGAGTTTGTAGCCGCAGTTACATTTTAAAAATGTTTTAAGAGGGATGCTGTTACTCATCCCTCACCGTCCTTAGTCGGTTCTTACGATACCTACAGGAATGGAAGGTGTAGCCTATTCTATACTGGGACCACACAGCAATTATATTGGTCCTATAGAAATTTTATAAAAATCAGTCAAGTAATTTAGTTTTTAAATAAAAATAACTAGTTTTGTCACAACTGAAATTGGTTTCTTTTTGTGGAACATATTTGTTTTTACATAATTATTCTATGCTATTAATTGAATTTAATATCATAATGAATTTGTATTGGAATTTGACTATGGTATTAATGGTCAACAGAAAGAATTGTCTTAAAATTTTAGATGTTTAAAACAAGGCTACTATTTTATAAACAACTTCCCATAATTTTGTTCATACAACTGTGATTTATTATTTGAATGTATTAAAAGATAGCTCATTTTTCTCCTTTCCAACTATATATTTATACCAAATTCATTTTTATTTATTCCAATGGCAATAATTCAATGTTTATACTTACTTTGTACCAGTTTGAACAATATATATATTTTTCCCACGAATAGAATCTGCAATTTCTACGACAGTTTCCCGGTTGGTTTTGTGATAAACAGAGCATCCTCCTTTACGTACACCAAGACGGCTAAAAATATAATTATTAAACTGAATATCAGATTCTTGTATGTTTACATGTAAATATATACCGATATGTTCATTTAACTATTATTTGAAATTTTTGTACCCACTGCCTTTTAATCTAGGATTAAACATGAAATCGGGTCACATATTTAATGATGAATAAAATTAAAAATTAAATCGAAATATAAGAACAACAAACCGACTATTTAGTCATTCCAAAAGTTTGAATTCTTAAAAGCTCATAAAACCACTTACTTGGCGATTAAGTCTGCCAATTCCGGGTGTGAATTGCCCGTCAAAATCACAATGTCCGACGTGGAGTTACCTTCCATATTGCTCTTGCGGGATCGATTCGTAAAACCCACCAGTCTACAAAAGCAAAACAAATTTATAAATTGCTGCCACTAATTATCCTAGCAATCTAATAGAATTAAAGTAAGGGACAGCACGTTGGATCAACAAGAAAAACAATAAACCTGGTTTTGTTGAGTAACATAATAACCTGATGGCGCTTTTGAACTACAGCAATATATAAATAAATGAAATTTTATTATCCTTAAAACAAAAGGGTCTTCTTCGCAGTTCACCACGCCGAATCACGAACAAACATAAATTAATTTAATTCCCACCAGTAGGTATTATTACGTATATACCACAGAGCAGAGCAAGTAATCACTAGGCTTGACTATTATATAGTTGTAATATATGTATATTGATCAAATTAGAAATCTATGTATAGACTGTGAGTGACATAATATATATATATATATATATATATATATATATATATATATATATATATATATATATATATATATATATATATATATTAGATATTATCTGCTACAAGCAACAGGCTTATTTTAAACACCGTCTACGACGACTACGACGTAACAGTGTGAATCGGACCAGCTAATATCCAATATCGCACTCAATGCGATACACTGATACGCACGTATCAGTTTATCACGTTGAATCCGATATTGGCCAAAGCGATTAACACTACTACGACTTAATTCATTATACACTACATGTGCGATATCGATATTTACAAGATGATAGTGAATGAATAATGGAAAAAAAAGCGCGGGAAACGTTTAAAAAAGCGGGAGTGTTTTTTGATCTTCTTTAAATTAATTTTATTTTTAATTATATAAGGATTAGTCTTATTTATATATTGTGTATTAGATTGTATATATAATTGTATATTTTGTAGTAATAGTGTTTGTTGCTGTAAATATTGGTAAGTAAATTACCTATATTAATTAGACATTATGGATCCACCTATAGACCCTGGGGGGACAACCCCCCAGGTGTCTGCAAATATAACTATCCCATTTAATAATAGTTTTGATATATTGGGTGAATCTAGTATGGACACAGATGGTTCTAGCGTTGCAAGTTCTAAACGTAAGCGAGTACGTGGCGAACGTCGCATTTGCAAACATTGCAATAAAAAACGAAGGAGGCACACCAAAGGTCTCGAATCTAAAATTAAAGATAGTGATTGTCAATGTATTGAGGATGAGAATCAAACTCTAGTATCAATACCAGTTGTAAATAATACCGAGTCTGTTAAACCTGCTTCTCCACCCAGTACTTTAAGCAGAACTTTGTACAATGCCGAGGATGTAGCTCCTTATGTCGTTCATGTACAAAAAAATGAAACACATCCTAATGATAACACTACATTACATCCTATTGCATTTGGTCGCTTTTTACACACTAATAAGATAAATAATATAGTGAATGGTAGCCTCAAAAGAATAGGAAGAAACCGTTTATCGCTTTCTTTCTCAAATTTTGAAAATGCAAATGCATTTTTAAATAATAGTCACTTAGAAACACATAATTTTAAGGCATTTATACCTTCTTTCCATGTAACCCGTATGGGAATTGTGAGGGGTATTCCTAAAGATTGGACAGAAGAGGAAGTAATCCAAAATATATCAGTACCTATAGGTTGTGGGAGAATTCTAAAAACCAGAAGAATTAAGAAAAAGACCATTAATGAAGGACAACCAAGTTTTATTAATACTGAAACCATTGTTATTACTTTTGATGGACAAATATTACCAAAAAGAGTATTTATGTTTTACACATCATTAACTGTAGATTTGTACATTTACCCCACTATCCAATGCTATAACTGCTGTAGGTTCGGACATGTCAAGATGCAGTGTCGTTCAAATCCTCGGTGTTATAAATGCAGGCAAAATCATACAGGTGATAAATGTGAAGTAGATGAGGAAAATGTTTCTTGTATCTTGTGTAATGGTTCTCATTCAGCAATTAGTAAGAAATGTCCTGAATATGCACGTCAGAAAGCCATTAAAGAAACAATGGCCCACAGTTGTGTTTCTTATGCTGAAGCATCAAAATTTCATCCTCCCACTTCTAAACTATATTCAGATGTATTAACATCATCATCTCCGTCCAATAAATCTCATTTTCAATCTTCTTTCCTCAAAGAGAAATCATCATTACCACATATTCAATCATCACATAAAAAAACAGTTACACTTAAACCACGCTCTCCTCAAAAAGCACAACAAGGATATGATCGTTCTGCCCATGAAGCCATAGTTAAGGAATATAATATTCCTGCTCCCTCTAATGGTTGTGCATTATCATCAAATAATATTGACAATAATCAATCCATCTTTGATATTATTCTCATGCTTATTAAAGTGTTATCGCAATCGAAGATGATACAAACAACTTTACCACCGTCCAACGATGTCATTTACAATGTATTTTCTCAATTATTAACTTCTCACAATGGATTACAAAGTCCTAATAATTCAGTGGAACTGTCGTAGCATAACAAACAAGAAATCAGACTTATTTTATTTGATTAATAAATATAATCCTTTTATAATAGCTCTCCAAGAGACTTGGTTAAAGCCAGGATATCCTTTTAGGATTTCAGGCTTTACAAGTCTCCGTGATGATAGAGCTGACGGATATGGCGGTGTTGCCATATTGGTCAAAAACTCCCTTCCTTTTTCTTCTTTTTCGCTTCCTGTATATAGCGGCATTAATGCAGCTGCTATAATTATAAATGGTATCTGTTTTGTTACTTTATATATTCCTGATCCTACATGCCAAATATATTCACAACTAGAACAATTATTTTCAATTTTACCTAAACCTTTTCTCGTAATGGGCGATTTTAATGCTCAACACCAATCGTGGGGCAGTTCTACTTCTAATTTTTATGGTGGAAAACTCCTGACGATAATTGACACTTACAACTTATGTATTATTAACTCAGATGTACCAACACGTAGAACTGCACCGAATGAAGGGTTTAGTGCTCCTGACATTTCAATATGTTCTTCTGATTTAGCTTCTTCACTGTCGTGGTATCCTCATTCCTCTACTTTCGGAAGCGATCACTTTCCCCTCATTCTTTCTTTTCCAATTTCCATTCCCTCAAGTCGAAAGAGTGGTCCTCGGCTTAAATATAATTTATCAAATGTAGACTGGAATATTTACAAACAATATTTAGATAATAAAATATCGGAGTTACCTATTGTTTACCATGGAAATGAACATCAATGTTGTAATGACTTGATGATAAATATGAAGGAGGTTGCTGATTTATTATTTCCTGTTAAAAATAGTGCTTCAGGGAAAATTCCCTCGCCACCTTGGTGGGACAAAGATTGTACGGAAGCAATTAAAAATCGTAAAGAGGCTGAAAAAAATTATAATAATTACATGACACCAGAAAATTTTGAAATTTACACCGCAGTTTCACGTTCTACTCGAAAACTACTGAAAAAAAAGAAATTAGAAGGCTGGAGAAGATTTTGTTCTTCTATCTGTCCAGAAGTTAATTCATCAGTCGTTTGGAATAATATTAAAAGATTCAGATCTGCCTTTAGTGATCATACATCACGTTCTGCACTCGATTTAACTTTAGCGAATAAATTTTTAGATCGTCTTGCTCCTAGTTATGTGCCGGAATGCCTTTACAATATTTCTCTATCCGTCTCTGACGAATTATTCGAACTTGACTCTCCTTTTACTCTAGTAGAACTTAAAGGTGTTCTAGCTTCTATTAAAGACTCTGCACCGGGAGAAGACGGTATACCGTATTCCTTTTTTAAAAATGCTAGCGATGCGACATTAATTTACTTTTTAAATATAATTAATTCCATAATTATTTCGGGAAATATACCTACTTCATGGAAGTCTCAGATTATTATACCATTTCTAAAGCCTCATAAACCACCTTCTGAACCATCTTCATACCGTCCTGTTGCACTTTCCTCTGTCTTACTAAAGCTAGCTGAACATTTAGTGAAAAACCGTCTAGAATGGTTTTTAGAAAGTAATAACTTACTATCCCCGAACCAGTTTGGTTTTAGGAAAGGTAAGAGCACCTTAGATAATGTGAGCATTCTTATTTCAGATATTCATATAGCTTTCTCACAAAATTTGTCAATCCTCTCAGCCTTTTTAGATATAAATTCTGCCTATGATAATGTAATAATTTCTATTTTAAAAACTAAATTACAAGCTCTAAATGTACCGGTAATGCTTTCTAATTTCATTATTAATATTTTATCAGAAAGAACAATATATATGAATTTAGATGAAGATACCAAATTATCTAGAACAGTATGGAAAGGCCTTCCACAAGGATCTGTTCTCAGTCCAATCTTATTTAACATATACACATACGATCTAGAATTATTCCTTGATAAATCCGTCAAAATTTTACAATATGCTGATGATCTTTTATTATATTTTATTGCGAAGTCCATAGAATCTGCTTCTGCCAAATTATCTGATTCATTAGATTTGTTAAAAACGTGGTTAGATGCAAATGGTCTTAATCTTTCTGTAACCAAGAGTAGTGTAGTTTTGTTTTCAAGAATGAGATCACCGCAACAAATTAAGGTGCTTTATGATAACTCATACATTCCTATAAAGACTGAAATTAAATTTTTAGGTATCGTGCTAGATAATAAATTAACAGGTCTGTCCCACTGTAATTATATTTCTACGAAATGTGAGCGTAACCTCAACATTCTTAGGTGCCTTGCTGGAGTTTGGTGGGGAGCACATCCCGTTTCACTAAAACTTGCTTATAATGGTCTTATAAGGAGTGTCATTGATTATGGAACTTTTTTGTTAGCTCCAGGAAGTTCATTTGCTTTTAAGAAATTGGATTTAATTCAATCAAAGGCCTTGAGGATTATCTCTGGAGCAATGAAATCAAGTCCAATCAATGCTTTACAGCTCGAAGTCGGTGATCCACCTTTGGTTTTAAGAAGACAATATCTATCTGATCGCTTCTTTTTTCGTTGTTTACAATTATCTGATCATCCGCTTATTCAAAAGTTATCTCAACTACATATCTTTATTTCGTCTTCATCTTATTGGAAACATAAAAAACCTCCATGTTTAATACAAAGTTATGAAAAATATAAATCCATAGAATCTCCCACTTTTACATCGTCCTGTTTTCCCATTTATAAATGCTCATATCAATCTTTAGTTTTATCTCCTAATATTAAATATGATTTTGGGTTATTAAAAAATGATTCAGAATTGAATGCCAAATTTATGTTTATAACTGACATTGAATGGAATGAATGGCACTACATCTTTACTGATGCATCAAAACCAGACAATAGCGGTTGTGTAGGTGTGGGTGTGTTTCATTCACAATTTAATATCGTTCAAAAAATTAAACTTCCACCGGAGTCTTCAGTTTTTACCGGGGAATGTTATGGTATTTTAAAAGCTGTAGAATATATACTTTTAATGAAATTACATAAGGCAATAGTTTTCACTGACTCTATGAGCTCTTTGCAAGCTCTAGCCAAATATCCGTTTAAATCAAAACCAGTTTATCCCATTATTTGTGACATAAGACAAAGTCTTTATCTTTGCATGTTGAGAGGTTATTCCGTTTCTTTTGCCTGGTTACCAGGACACAGTGGTATTAGCGGCAATGACAAAGCTGACCTTATTGCAAGAGAGGCTGTAACTTGTGGTGATATGTATCCGTATCATAATTACTGTAGTGACCTAGCTTGTCTCCCAAAAATATATTTAAGGTATGCCTGGAAGGAATATTGGGAAAAAACAAGTACAATAAAAGGAAGATTTTATCGCCTTATACAACCCGATATTCCTTTCAAACCATGGTTTTGTAAATTAAAGCTTGGAAAGACCGCAACAACTATTATAACTCGTATGCGTCTAGGTCACGTATGCACACCTTCTCATTTATACAAGCTTGGTATTGTACAAAGTTCGTCGTGTAATTGCGGTGCTGAAGTGGCGGACTTGAATCATATATTCTTTTCATGTTCTAAATTTGACCACACCTCCCTTTTTAATCATCTCCGATCCATCCGTGTTCCATTCCCAACTTCTATTCTTACTCTACTTTCTTCCAATGATCCTATTATCTATAAAATACTATCTTCATATATATATGATAACAATATTAAGATTTAGTTATATTACATGAATACATTTATAGTTGCATCAATTGCTTTTCCTATATATTTATAAGTATATTCTCATATGTACAAGTATATGTTTCATATCCTATAAATATCCTAGACCTAATCCTTATCCTTTCTAAATTCGTTTGTGTTAGGTATTTTTATTACTATTATCGTTTCCCCGTTTTGTTCTTGGCAAAATACCCTAATATCGGGGTGAACGCCACAAAAAAAGAAAAAAAAAAAAAAAAAAAAAAAAAAAAAAAATAATGTTTAATTGACAATATTAATATCTAAAACAAATTCTGATGAAGTAGATTTTATATGTTCATATTATTTTATGGAGTCCCCAAGTTACTAGGATACATTTTACTTATGTTACTTTTTGTCTAATGTAAAATAAAATATATTTGGGTTATTCAGAGTAGTTTTTATTATTTAAATGGATAACTACTTTAATTATTACAATATATAGATCTTATCCCCATTTTATTACATTCAAGTCAAATTAATCATAAGCGCGTAAATAGATACGAAGTTACGATGTATATCTTTTCTTTATTGATTAAGTGAATGGTTCATCTAAGCAAATGATTGAGTAAAATTATCATTTGCGACTACTTCTCTCTTTCAATTAAACTATGTAGTAATTCGGTAATGTACAATTATTTGTTTTCTTACATGTTAGTTTAAAATATTAGATTTAGATATTTAACCAAGTAGAAGAGGGATATTGTTGAACGTTTACTTTGGATACCGGCTGGCCGCTGCTGTCATATGACAGTGTCAACTCGACACATCTTTGGACTAGGTATTAGACAGCTATCAATCCACAACTCAATAATACGAATGTCAATGTCACGATCATGTGTTTAATCTGTGTTGTTAAAGCCAAATTTGTTGATAGGTTAGGTTACTTGTTATAAATAATTTGTTAACCTTTTATTACAATGAATTTGAAATTGTAATATTTTGAATAAATATTATATTATTATAATATGGGTCTCACAAAGCAATATTTACGATACGCACCTAGCGGAACATTTAATATAATCGCTAGTGCTGAATGCAACAGTACTCACGTGTCATTAAAAGGTATTAGTGGAAGATATATCGCTGTAGGAGCTTGTGAACATGTTATTATTTGGGACATGAGACTTGGAGAAAAGGTTAGTAAAAAAGGTCATCAGTACCTTTAAATTAGTATAGTTGAATATACTATTCACTGAATTAACTAGCACATTTTTAAAGGTACGTTTAATAATATATATTTAAGGAGATTCTATGTTTAAATATAATTTTAAAATGATAATTTTAAGGACCAAAAAGTTGTTGTCCAATAAGTTGTGTCAGAGATCTTCATGTAAAATGAAGGCAGTCTAGAAACTTCAGAGGGCCCCGCTGTCACACGAGTAATAATGGTATTAGTGGGTAATAGCTTTGTAATATTGTTTCCTGATGTTGTAACAAGTGAAAATAGTAGAAAAGTTAAATAAAGTGATTATTCTCTAATTAAAAAAAAATATAAATAATAACAATGGGTATAAAATTTATAAATAAGAATTTAATCAGAGCTCTATTTTCCCAATCACTTAATGACTGAAGATATTTAGAATAAATTCAATTTTTCATTGAACAGATTTCAATCATAATCAGTGAGTAGCCTTAAAACATCCTACTATTCATTATTAAGTAGTAATATAAAAATCACAAATTTTCTTCATGTTATAATGATAATATAGTTTTTTTTACAACACATCTGATTAGTTGTTTCAGTATTTTTTTAATTCTATATGTGTAACTTCATCTTTGGTATTCTAATTAGGAATGTCTTTAACCTTATCTATGTAATAATCTAATTATTATATAATTCTCTTTTTTTAGCAGCTACTCTTATCAGTCATTTCCTTCTCAGAAAATACTAATACCACAAACCCAAATTTTATAAAAAATAATCAAACTATAATGTATAAGGTGCATTTCAAATTGAAAACTGTTCTATGATGTAATATCACATAATAACCCTTTTATTTCAGGCTCAAGTACTTCCTGGTGAAAATATAGTAGTATCACAAATCTGTGCAAGCCCTACTGGGAACCACATGGCAGTAGGTTATATAGATGGCAATATCAATGTGTTTGATCTCATCAACAATGAAGTTCTGTGTGTATTCTCAGGTCATAACTCAGCTATTACATGCTTGCAATATGATGAGCAAGGGCACAGATTAGTGTCTGGCTCTAAGGTAAAATTTAAGTAATAACAAGTAGTAAATATGTATTTATGATTGTTTAGTATTTTTTTTTTGTCATAGTATATCATAAAGATTGATTTTATTCCCATTTTTTATTTATTGAAACAACATATTAATACATAAGTGATCTTTTTACATGTATGAGCAATACTTTTGTCTATGGAAGAATATTCCTATTACTATATTTGTAGAAGAAATCCATTAATCTTGCCCTAGATGGATATCAAAAAATACTCATAATAGATTCTGCCAAATAGTTTCTATTTAATTTTCAACATTTTCTAGGACACAGAAGTGATCCTTTGGGACATAGTTGCAGAGACAGGTATAGCGAGGTTCAGTGGTCATAAAGGTGCAGTCACCAGTGTATCATTTATTAATGGAAAGAACTGCATAGTGAGTTCTTCCAAAGACACCTTTGTTAAGTTCTGGGACATTGAGACAAAGCATTGCTTCAAGACTTTAGGAGGGCATCAAATGGAGGTTTGTTAAATACCATTATTAAAATAATATACTAATTACAAATTAAAAGAATGTTCCAATAACAATTACAGAGAACAAAATATTTATAGTAAGTAGTACTTTATGTCTTAGCTACTGTAAAGGTGAGGCTATAAAAATTTGAGAAATCTTTTTTCAATAATGTTCTTTTTTATGTACTTATAGTTATGTCATACATTATGTGAAATATTGAAATGTTTATATATCAAGTTTTCTATTAATCATTTCAAAGGTATGGTCAGCAGTATTAATAAAAGAAGAGAGATATTTAGTAACAGGCAGTATGGATCAAGAGCTGCGTGTGTGGAAGTTAAATTGGACTAGTGATGTGAAAGATGAAGATAAACTATCTCGACAACTAGAGATTGTGAAAATTGAAGAATCTGACGATACTGAAGATAGTTCAGTAAGTAATTTAATTTAATTCATACATAATTATAGTATATACATATATATACTTGTAGCTGAGTTTTATAAATTGGAAATATAGTAGTAATCACTTCATTCAAATATTTTAACCTTCATACTAAAAAATTATCATAAGTCATAAATATAGGCAATTAAAAGAAGTATGACGAACACATTATTTCTAAGTTATTATTAAATATTTTGTATAGTTATAAGTTCATCATTTCAGCTGTTAACTGTCCACTGCTGAACATAAACCTTCACCATAAGAGGAGTTAATGAAGTTAACTCCTCATACTACCTCATAATACCTCAACCTTCATAAATCAATATATTGATAGAAATATTTTTAAGGAATAATAAAGTTTCATATTAGTTAATTACTAGTTGCAATAATAGCAAAATGCCAATTAAAAATTATGTAAAATTATTGTCTATTTAATTATGTTTTTTTACAATAGGTGCTTCAGTGTCATCAAGTAGGTACATTAGTGCGTGGAGGCAAAGGTCGCGTAGTCGGGCTTAATACAGATCCTGGACAGACCATATTATCTTGTTATGGAACAGATTCATTATTGGAGCTTTTTGTTTTCTGTACTGATGAAGAAGCAAAAGTAAGAATGAATAAACGGATAAAAAAACAGAGGAAAAAGCTGTTGTAAGTATATTACAAGAACACTTTTCAATATCAAAAGGAGAAGATTCTCAATTCTTTCTTGTGTAATGTAAGCTTTTTAAAACTAAAAAAAATAAATAAATTGAATTCCCTATTTTATTTATTCCTTAATTTGATCAAGATTGGACTATTTTGTAATAAATTATATATGTTAGAAACTATGTTTTCAGTTATGTATATTATGTCATAATATTTTCTTTATATTTTACAGAAAATTAAAAGAAAGTGGTGAAGTAGATATAGATACAACAGAAGTACCAGAATTGCTTACATTGACAGATGAAGTACGTAGGTTGGCTTCAGTAAAGTTAGGCACTAAATTGAAATCGACCACTTTACTATTGGGTACCACAGGAGAGCTCCGTGTAGGCGTTACACTAGCTAATAACACAGTTGAATTACATAGTTTGAAAATGGAAGATGGAAATGAAGGTATTCAATAAAATTCTTATTGAAAATAAGAATGATACTATTAATTTAATTATTATTATTGAAATTATAAAAGATAATATTTTTTACAGTGAAATGTTTGAAACAAATTACACAACCTGGTCATCAAAAGGAGCCCCGCTGCGTGGCTATTAGTTCAGATAATTTAGCTATATTATCGGCCTCTGCAGATTCCGTTAAACTTTGGAATAGGTTTGTACAACTTATGTTATATTATATACAACACAATACAACTTTTTCGGTACTTAATGGATTAGAGTTAATTTAGCTGAGAGCTACATAGTGGCTGTTTTCAAACGAAAAGAAGTTAATTGTCCTTGTATTGTATTTTTTACAAGTCAACCGTTACATTCATCGCAATGTCTTACCCAAAGCAGAATTATATATTGAATTTGTATCATTATTTTCATTATAAAAACAATCAATCGATAGAAATTATAAAAAATTATAATTAAATTGAACTCTTCCTCATTTTTTTGACGACGACCTCCCTGATGACGAAAAAAGTCATCGGATAGTCGCGATGTTCACTGGAAAGTCCAGTTCCTCATCTTTACATTCAATAACTAAACTCTAACTGTAAAAAACAAATGGAATCGGCAGAGCGAACCAGACGTGCCTGCGCACGATCCCGGTGTCGTGCGGCGGCGCGAGCTGCGCGGTGTTCGCGCCGGGCGACCGGCACGCGCTGGTGGGCGGCGGCGACGGCTCGCTGCTGCTGCTCGACGCGGCCGCCGCGCGCCTGCTCGAGCGCGTGCCCGCGCACGCCGCCGCCTGCGCCGCGATCGGCCTCACGCCCGACAAGGTTGCCACCACCACCAATACCACCGTCAGGGGGAGGGTTGTTAATAATGAAGATTAAAGGTCCCATTGCTAGCAATATACCCAACCATGTCGACCTCAAGTGGTCCCTCCTGGATACTATCGTGCTGAAATCCAAGTGTATACATCACGATGGGCAACTGACCTGCTTTCATCATCACCTATCATCCTTTACTGGTGCTCTCGCCAGCGTATATCGATAGAGTGGGCGGGGTTACCATTCCATTATTACCCATTAAATACCATCTCCATTATCGTTACCACCGCCAGCACTGCCACCTGAGGGAAAGGGATTCTTAGCAATGAAGTTTGTTAGTTTCATTGCTAGCAATATGCCCTATTAGGTCGACCTCCACGTGGTTCCCCCTGGAAACCATCGTGAACAATTCTTGTTGAATTCAACACGATGGGCTAACTGACCTGCTTCATACTCATCTATCATCACTTCACTGGTGCCCCGCCTGTGTATACTAATAGCATGGGTGGGGTTACCATTCCATTATCACCCATTAAAAAAAAGCACTGCCACCTGATATGATGATGTTCACAGCCTAATATAAATTTTCATGAATATTTATAGAATTAATTTGTACATTTGTTAATTTTACCGTAATCTGTTTAAACAAACCTGCTCTCTTTTCGAGTTTCTAAATCTCAAACTTTTTTAAAGAGAATTATATGAGACTGATTGCTTTCATTTTGAGCTTTTAATCATAACAGGTAGTATTTAAACATAAAAATAAAAGTTTGAGATGCAGTTGATCAATTTTTATCATTTTCGCTACTTTGAGGAGAGGGCAGCATGCATGACACGTACGGGCCAGTCACAGGTCGGTTAAGTGGGCGTTCGGATGAACGATGCTTTACTGCAATATATCAATATAAATTGAATATGAATCAATTAGGCATAAATGGCCGAATGGATTTAAATGAAATTTGATATAAAAATTTACCATATCCTAAATTAAAACATGGGATAGCCTTATTAACTCGAATAAAGCCACTGAGTATAGTATAATATGAAAAAAAAAATGTTACAGCTCGGCTGTTTCACCGGCGGAGCAGATAAAACAGTCAAATTATGGCGGTTTGAACTTATACCAGATCCAACGGGTGAATCTAAAGCTAAGGTAGGTACTAAGAGTAAAACATAGGTAATTCAGAGCTTTATCTAAGAATATACCTCGACCTTTCACGTCTAATTTTATATGCTGCTGATTGTTACATAAATGATTGATTAAATCACAGTTGACTTTCTGAAACTATTTTCTTTTTTATGTTAAAAATAGTGAAGTCGATTTTGAAATATATTTCTCTAAAATTTATTAATTCTATAATTTTAATATAGTTAAGATATTTGCGAATTAGTTTATAATTCTATTCTTTTTTTTAATAACAGTATTTTAGCGATAGGTTTAATTAACAAATTTTAAAATCGGAACTGAACTGAATTTTTTTATTTATTCATTATGGCTATTAACATGTTTTCAGGTATTATCGGTTCTACACACGCGGACGTTAGAATTGGAAGAACCTGTGCTAGCAGTTCAAATTAGTCCCAATAATAAATTCATAGCTGTTGGACTTTTAGATTGTACAGTTAAAATATTCTTCCTTGATACTTTTAAGGTAACAAAGTTCTGTACATATATTTTTCTTTTAACCAGAGATTCTATAATACCTATATATATGCTCTCCGTATGGAATCACATTTAACTAACTTTGTTCTTGTGAACAATTCAATACTACCATAATATTAAATCGTTTTCATTTTTTTTTTCAGTTTTACTTATCTCTATATGGACATAAGCTGCCTGTTCTATGCCTGGACATTAGTTACGATTCAAACATCATCGCAACTGGCTCCACTGACCGAAACGTCAAAATCTGGGGGATGGATTTTGGCGACTGCCACAAATCAATCTTCGCTCACAATGATTCAGTGACAGCTTTACAGTTTATTCCGAACACACACTACTTCTTCACGGGCTCGAAGGATGGAAAGGTGAAGCAGTGGGATGCGGATAGTTATGATAATATTATTACTTTAAATGTAAGTTGATACTTGTATGTTTTATTATATAATGCTGTAACTTGTATAATGCTGTATATATATACATGTGTCCCCAAGGGTCACGCGGGCGCGTGCTGGGGCGTGTGCGCGGGCGCAGGTGGACTGGTGGCGGCCTCGTGCGGGGCCGACCGCGCCCTGCGCCTCTACACGCGCACGGACGAGCCGCTCGTGCTGGGCGACACAGAGGAGGAAGACGTCGGACTCGCCACTGGACCCGACCGGGTATGTACCTACTGTTACTACTTTTGTAATTGTATGATCAATCATTATCATAACCCATTAGTTTTTCGCTGCTGGGCACCGGTCTCTCTCTAAGAAAATATATAACGTATTAAGTACTAATGTTAAGCCGTGTGGTGTAGCATAGAATAGGCTACCCCTTCCTTTTCAGGGTGTCGTAACAGGCGACTAAGGGAGGGCGAGGAATGGGCAGCAAAGTCCTTCTTAAAACATCTCTAAAGTCTATTTTTACCAATCTGCCTACCAAGCGTGGCAACTATTGCCTAAACCCCCCAAGTGAAGGCTTATGTCAGTAGTCTACAATTCAAGGCTGTTATGATGATGATTACTAACGTAATTTCGAGGATAAAGTTTTTTTAAGAGTTGTACATATCTTAAATTATGAATGTGATATAATTCATACTCATAATCAAGTTTTTTTTAATGAACAACAATGGAATGGTAACGTCGCCTGCGCTTACGGTATACGCTGGTGGGGCATCAGCAAGGGATGATAAGTAAGAATAAGAAGGCAGGTCAGCTTAGAATTGTACAGTGTGTGCTAATAAAAAAATATGTCTTTACAGGCTCCAGTACCCGGTCTGCCAGGTCTAACGATGCCCACTAAAAAAACAATAGGAGCCGAAAAAGCTGTAAGTAAATATATTAAAATTAAGTAGATAGTAATCAATAGCTCTGATATATTCATATTACATATTACACTACATGTTATCCCGAACTAAGGCGGCGTTCAAGTATTACGTTACAATGTGTTAAAGGAGTAGAAGAGAGAGGGAGGTTTGAACAACGGGTTACGTAATATTTTTTAATTAAATAAAAAACTAGGAAATTAAATCTGCCAAATTGGCAACTCTTCGTTTGTATTACGGAGAATCCCTCGCATGTCGCATTTATTTTGTTTTCTTTGTCACTATTCCTTAGTGTTGTGATTTTATGTGAAAATGGTCATTTGGGTATTTCATAACAATTAGGAAGCGGTAACGAGCGAAAGAGAACCAATAATCTTCAAAAACTGCGTTACGCATAACTTGTAGTATAAGTATTTTATATATGACTTGTTTTTAATGGATGATAATGAAATGGCGACCTCGCCTGCGTTGATGATATATGCTGGTGGGGCACCAGTGAGAGATGATAGGTGAGAATGAAAAGGCAGGCCAGTTACCCCATCGTAACGAATACCCTTGGAATTCAGCACGATGGTTTCCAGGTGGGACCACCTGCCAGGGATATATTGCTAGCAATGGGACTGGTAAACCTCATTACTAATAATCCTTTTCCCCTGTATGTGTCTATTGTGTACTGGTAGATCCACTAATGTACACTTGTATATTATGTTTTGTACAGGCGGACTCGATAATGGAATGCCTGTCGGTGGGCGCGGAGTACAAGCGCGAGGTGAAGGAAGCGCGGGGCCACCCTGTACCACCGCCGTTACTCATGACCGCCTACGGCTGCTCTACACCTGAGGACTTCTTCGTCGAAACTATCAAGAGAATACGATCGACGTTAGCATTATAACACAATTTTTTATGGGTGAAAATGGAATGGTAACCCCGCCTGCGCTAACGAGATACGCTGGCGGAGCACCAGTGAAGGGTAATCGATAAGAATGGAAACAGACCAGTTAGCCCATCATGGCGAATTCATCAGGAATTACCCATGATAGTTTCCAGGGGGAACCACGAGGAGGTCGACCTGATTGGGTATATTGCTAGCAATGGGATTTTTAGTCTCCATGACTAACAATTTCCCCCCACACAAAACTATATTTTATATATATATAAATATCTTAAGTATATTTTCCATCAATTTAAAATGTATTAAAGCACATTTCAAAAAGTTATTTCTATTACACTTTCAGCGATTTAGAGGAAGCGCTCCTACTGCTACCGTTTAACACGGCGTGCGAGATCATCCGCTTGCTACCGAAACTTTTGGATCGCGGAGACCACGCGGAAATGTTCTGCAGACTTGCGATCTTCCTCCTGCGGGTGCACCACGCGCCTATTATCGCCAACCAGGCCCTGTTCAAGCACATGATACAGATACAAGCGAAGGCCAATATGAGGCTTAACGAATTAAGGGTAATAATTATAAAATTTTAAATCTTTGATACTGTGAAGATAAAAAATAATAATATTATATTGATCTAGTACATATACTATATACAATAATTAAAGATTGTGTCCCACAATAAAAAAAAACCGACTTCAATTGTGACAAAGCAATTGGATTTTGATCTAAAAACTATTGAATCGATTTTTTGATAAAATTTCAATAGGACCATTAGTAAACCTTTCAGATAAAAAAGAATTTTCCAAGTCGGTTTTAGATCTGACAGAGTTATGAGGTAAAAACATAAAAAATATGACTGAATTGAGAACCTCCTTTTTGAAGTCGGTTGAAAAGCACTTTAATGGCTAAAATATATTTTAGATGTTTGGCCTTTTTTTTTTATAAATAATGGAATTAGTTTATTTAGGAGACTTATGTTCAGCAGTAGATAAAGAAGAAACATTTCCCCACTAAGATGATATTCTAAGACGAGAGATTGAATATTCTGAATACTCAGTACGAAAAACGACGCGTCACGCAACTCTTGGCCCACCTACCTTTTTGAGTCATTTTTTGACACTATATTTTATTGTGATGAATATAATTATTCAAGTTTACGTATAAGTCACATATTACCACTATTGCTTTTATTGTAGAAGTTTGGTTTTGCCATTAACATTTTAATGTACGCGAACGATGTCGCAGATAAAAGGCAGTTAATATAGTTTGACGATTTCCATAGCGTAGTGGTAAGCACGTTGCGTAAATGAGGTCCTGGTTTAAGTTCTTGGTCGAAACAATTTAGAGAATGAAGATTCTGAATTTTCTCGAGTCTGGGTGTTCTAAGTTATACCCTCATATGTTCGTTGCCTGGTTCCTCATAATACCGATTGTTCTAGCTTAAAAACCAGACAATTGATGTGATTTTGTGGCACTTATTAAGATATTTCCCGCGGTGTTAACTGCGTGCATCAGTATATAAAGTACTCTACGTGTAGAATATAACTAAGGTGTGTACTAAATTTCTTACAACTCAGTTCAATCGTTTAAGCGCGATTTGTGTAGCAGATATTTTGTAAACTTTGATATTTATGTTAGTAAGATTATGTGATCGGTGCATTGTGCAGGATATGGTGGGGTGCAACGTCCATGCACTGCAGTGGGCGCGGCGCGAAGCGGAAGCACGCGGCCAGGAGTCGACGTTCCGCGTCGCCACTACTCCCGCCGCCGCCCGTTCCGTACGCCGTCGCCGCACTCTCAAGCGGCCCATACTCGCTGTTACATAATAGTTACCTAATAAATGTTTATTATAATGTTGGCTCCTTTGTTTTTCTCATAATTTATTAAAGACTTGCGACCCACCTCGGCTTTACTCAGGTGCACATTAAATCGCATTACATTAGAAAACTCTAAAATTATCAGTGTTTCTCTATTATATTATGCATGAATTATATATAATAAACCTTCCTCTTGCATCACTCACAATTAAAGAAAACTGCATCAAAATCCGTTGCGTAGTTTTAAACATCCAAGCATACAGATGGAAAGTGACTTTGTTTTATACTATGTAGTGATAGACGCGACGAACACTAGATTCCAAATAGTAGTGACAGTCGTTTGAAATTTTATTTTTAAAATAATAACAATATTTACAATATCGACGAACTCTGAAAGGACACGGGCAAACAATTTTCTCGAAATAAATAATACAGTAATAGTACTAGTTTTATGTTATCTGTCGTAATAGGCGCTATCATCTTAACCGCAACAATCTGTATAGCTGCTTACTCACAAAAATATAGTATGGGCCTTAGCAGTCCCATCTATAAAGACAGGTATTAAAACAAAAAAAAAAAGTAGCTGCTATAATTTATTTGTAAAAAAATATTCTACTCACTACATAGCCAATATATCAGTTAAAATTTTAATAATTTAAGTATCCATCCCTGCGTAAGTCACATTATTTATCATCTATACAACAATAACTAATGTTTTCACAATGAGTATTCCGTCCACGTATTCATACGAAAAATCTCAATCGAATAATTTATGCTGAAACTTACGATTAATTAATACATACAGTAATTTCACGACAACAAATAACAAATGGTCCATAAGCTTTCTATTTTGGGAATAATTACGTCTTCTACTTTATAGTAGTAGGTATTGATACAGTAACTGAAATACAAAAAAAATATATAAATTTGATAACAACACCTACTTTTATATAGATAATGGATTGAGTAGCTCCAATTATAGAATGACATAATTAAGATTCCACAGTCAATTTCACAATTTGGGCAAATAATAATTAATATATTTTTATGTTCGGAACTAATCTAATCTGAAAGTAATGAAGTTACATAACCAACAATTGTGAACTTAACCGTGCAACGTATTTTACAATTTTATAATTGACAATATTAATTATATATAATTCAGAATAAATATCTGAATCGAGTCTTGAGTATAATGATCATCGTTACTTATCACAATGTTATTGCTTTTGGAAACACACACCACATTCTCAAACATATTACTATCACATTCGAATTAGAATACTTTATCGTTTCGAATATAGCTGCGGGTGCTTGATTGGTTTACGTATAAAGAACAGAAGAGGTTATCAGTCTTTAGTTTTTGAGTAATGCTGTTACAAATAATGGAATATAAAAAAAAGTAAAGCCAATATTTCAGCATAAATTATAAAAAAAATAAATGGTTACATTGATTGCAGCTCTTTGACAGGAGAAAAAAAAAACAAAATCACAAACACATGCTTGTTAGAGCATAAGCACACACAACACAACCGGTTTGTTAGTAGCTTAATGACGTTAATACATTGTTCGTCAACACTTAATACCAATACATTCAAAATTTAACCTAAATAGTAATTAAACAAATTGGAAGATCGTGAACGTAGCTACTGGTTAGGTACACAATATATGAATAAATGAAACGGATCAAGTACCAGTATGGTGCGTATATTTTATATTTTTTTTTCAGCTTTCTACAACTTGGAATGACAATTGGGTTGACTGCCCAACTGATGGAAAGTGATCATTTATACCATAAGTAGCATCATCAATTTTATAAAATACACCGTACCATCCATGGCACCCCTCTTACGCCGCCAAATCTTAGAATTAACGTGTTCATGATGCACTATTGCTTGTTTCAACGTATTCATATATTGGTAGTCAAGTCTATATGAAACAGAAAGTTAGTGATTTGCTTTGTATGTTTAAGAGTTCTAGAATTAATAAAAAAAATGAACGAAAACTAATTTTAGCATTTTGCCAAATAATAAACCATTCATTATGTACACAATAAAAATAAATTCGGACGTCAACTATGTTATATAACTAAGAAAGTATAAAAATAATAAAATTGTACGCTAGTAGTACACTTTGAACCTAAAAAAAATGTACAGAATAGAATTTAACAAAATAATACTGTATCACTACTGCAAGCAGTAATATTAGTGCAGACTGATAAATAATAATGCAATCATATCGTCTCATTCAAGAATAACACTGGGTCATTCAATTACAAAAGTAAATTAATGATGTATTATAATGAAATATAATGAATTTTACTCGAATTTAATTCAATTCGAATAAAACTAGATTAATGTAAATATATATATATCATCCAATAATTTAGAAAAATAAGCACATCCTTGTGCAGATTTCAATTTTAAAAGAGTGTAGACAAGAATTATTCCTACATAAATACAGAGAGCTAGATAGGCTGAGTAGAGAGCAAATTTTCGTAATATTTACTTACTAGAGGTCATAATTTTTTATTGTCAAACTGCCTTTCCGAAATATAGGAGTAAGCAATACTAAATAGTAAACACTACCTAGACAATGTTCCCAATAATATAATGAATAAATAATCTCAAATTTTAAAGCTCTTAAATACGTAAGCATGACATGAAAGTATTACCGAAGAGTTAGCTGCAATAAAATCACATGTTTTAGGTCTCAACTATAGCAATGATCGAGCCCTGTCTACCTAGTATATCACAATGTCTCAAAGACTGCTGCATATTACTGGCCCGTGGGGTTCGATAATTAAAAACTGACCTATCACTAAATTAAGTAGAGACGTTAAATAAGGGACGGTGACAAATTTTACAGACAAAATAATATTGGAAGCGATAACAACATAAATTTGGTCCGCTTCTGATTTGAGACTATATAAATGCTTTTTGTTATAATTATACGTAACACTGACCATCATGAGGTGAATTCGGTAAAAGGTGAACTCAAAAGTAATGCCGTAGTGTTAGCTATATAGGTACATATCCAAACGCTTAAACTACTTACCAAAATGCCCAATAATTTTAGTGGATTATAATATTGTACCTAAAATAATATCGAGTCTAAAATATATAATACGATATCGTCAATAACACCGGTTTGCAAAAAAAAAAAAAAAAAACAGAACAAACAGCTGAAGTCGATCGTTTGTGGTATTTTTCATATCCACAAAATGTTCATTATGTAAAGATATTATTATTAGATAACCTGATTATCGTAAATTATTGCTCATTACTTAAATGTTTTAAATTTTATTCCCTTATATGGTTTTCAACTTATGGGATTTATTAGATTATTTTGTCATTATTGCTTCTTACTTGTTGTATACTTAACTAAAGAATACTTGAGAGAAGTAAAAAATACTTACACTGTAAATACTGACCGAAATGGGAAATAAATTAGATAACTATAATTTATGAACTTAAAATTAGTGTTACTACTACTAAGTAAATAAATGTACAATATCTTAAAATGAGCTAAACCTAAACGAATACTTGCTTCCTGCTATAGGTAACCGTAAATATAATTTCATCAATCAAGAGAGCATTTTAAGGCTAGGTTTCAACAAAACCCTATAATATCAATTAATTTCGAATGAGATTTCTAATATTGGCAACTGTGCATGATTCGCTCAGACGAGCCTTGCGAACGTTATAGGCACACTATAAAAAAATACATACATACAACTGGTCGCGCCATTCTCGGGCGTATAACATACGAAAACAGGTGCATCACTGTTACATGTATGATCCTACTAAACATCATACATATCACATATCAGAAACATCAATCGCCGCGGTCTCACCTCTCTATACAATAAATAGGCACTAACAATGACAGCGTACTATTGCTTCTCGCGCCCTCCCTATACTCAGTTACATAATGCCCTGCATTTTAAAAGTAATACTTGTTTAAATAATATCATCGTTACACCATTATCACGTTTAGATCTTTTAGAGATTCATTAAACATAATGTACGTGGTTATTCTAAGTGTTATTATATAAATTGTTATTGTTATTACAAACTAATCGCAAATTCCTAATGTTAACTCTCCACAATATTAGATTCGCATCTTTGGGTATACATATATATATATATATATATATATATATATATATATATATATATATATATATAATTCTAAACTTAAATATAACTTTGTAAAATAAAAATAAATTATATTTCAAACTGCCAAATGTATAAGAAAAAATATTCTCATTATAATATAAACATTTCTATCGGATATAAATATAAAATGTCAAAATTAAGTAGTGAAAGAAATATACTAACACTTAGAAAATACCAAGTATTTTTCGCTTATTGTTGTTACACTGGCCATCTTATCACTAAAATATAATAATGGTTTTTGTCACATGTACTATTAATATTATATAAATTATCTATTTTCAATAGGTTCACAATGTTATTTTTAAAAATTATGTTCATATTTTATTTAATATCTATATACACTATCGCTCAAAAGTATCTCCTTTTTTTTTAAGTGATAAACAATACATTTTAACGAAACAATTTATTAGGTTTCATTGTTTGTATAACACCGAAATTTTCATATGGTCCTGGCATAGAATAGGCCAGACCTTCCTTTTCCGTGGGAGTCGAAAGAGGCGACTATGAGCAAGGGATGAGCAGCAGCGTCCCTCTTAAAACTCCAAAGCCTAACTGCAGTTGTCAATCTGCCTGCCAAGCGTGGCAACTACTGGCAAAACACCTCTAGGGGGAGGCTTATGTTTAGAAGTGGACAGTCACATGATGATGATGATAATATCGCAAAATACTTATCTACAGTACAATTGTAAACAGCTTATTGTTATTTGCCGATTCCTTGTCATAAAACCGTAATAATGTTAGTCGGAATTTCTTTAAAGTTAATCTTTGAAGTCGCAATTTTGTTTTAAGTTATCAAGAAATAAACACAAGTAAAATATAGAATAACTACTACTAATATTTTTACGTTAGTTATCTGATGCCATGTGACCAGAAAACACGCTCTCCATAACTCAGTACCTAAAGTCTACCAATATCTTTTGGTTTTTCACTTCTATGTTTCATTTTTTGAAGAAAATGGGTAAAAATAAGAAATATTCCAAAGAGATCAGGGGCATAATAATAGGCCTTTATAATTCGGTAAAAAATCCTGAGAATTCAAGACTACAGAAGATACCAAGACAAACTGTTGACTACGTCATAAAGAAGTTTGCGGCTGAAAGAATAACTTTTTTTTTACAACACAGGGGGCAAACGAGCATGCGGCTCACCTGATGGTAAGTGACTACCGCCGGCCATGGTCACCCACAACACCTACGGCATTGCAGGTGTGCTGCCGGCCTTTTAAAAAGGAATATGCTCTTTTCTTGAAGGTTATGTTGTCGTATCGGTTCGGAAATACTGCTGCTGGAAGTTGATTCCAAAGAGTGGTTGTGCGTGGGAGAAAGTGCCTTGAAAAACGCAAGGTGGAGGACCGCCACTCGTCCAGATGGTTGGGATGAAATTTTAGTTTATGGCGGGTTATACGATGGTGAAAATCAGCAGCAGATATCATTCCGAACAATTCTTCAGAGCACTCCCCATGATAAATTCGGTAGAAGATGCACAGAGATGCAACATCTCTACGCAGTTTCAGTGGGTCGAGCCGGACAGTAAGACGCCGATCGCCAACAATTCGAGCTGCCCGACTTTGAATGCGGTCTAACGGAAGAAGTTGGTACTGTGGCGCTCCTGCCCACAGGTGAGAACAGTATTCCATGTGTGGCCTCACTTGAGCTTTATACGGATTCAGGCGGTTTTCCGGCGTGAAATACCGTCTCACCCTATTGAGCACCCCCAACTTTTTGGAAGCTATCTTAGCTTTTTCCTCCAGATGACCACAAAACTGGACGTCGCTAGATATATCGACGCAAAGACGACCCCAGACTCGACTTATTATCAAGGGAAGTCTTGCAATAAACGTCGTTCAAGTAGACCGAGAGTCACAACTGAGTGAAGATTTGAGTATAGTTATTAATACCAAACTAATAGAAATAATAAATATAAAAAAGTGAATTAGACGAGAGAACACAAGAGTTTCACTCAATCAGACTTACAAAATGTGTTTTACTATGTGGCTAAATACTTTTGAGCGGTAATGGTACATATGTAATCGGAAATTAATGAATTCGCTGTGTTTTGCCGTTTCTGACAATTGTTTCGACGTCATCCGGTAATCTTTTTCAGGGGGCGTTTGGCGATTTGCTTCGCAACATCTCATTTCATATTGCAGGCTGCCGCTAGCATAGCTTGTAATGACGTCTTTGCCGTTGGGGGCGGAAATAGCGGTGAACGGAGACAATGGTATTGTCGGAGATGAGTAGCTGTATCTCATATAGTTATTGATGACTGTAAAGGGACTCTCTTTTTCTTCTTATTTTCTAAAGAAGACAACCGGATAAAGTCGAAACAATTGTCGGAAACGACAAAAACACAGTGAATTCATTAATTTCTCGTTACATGTGTATATAGACAGGTTCATAAAGTCCTATACATAATCTTGTATCGTAGTATCACAACGTTCATATTGCAACAGTTGTCAGGCTATTATTATTTCTTAATCTCTATTATTACTTCTACCGTTGCAAAATGCACGTGGTAATGTTAGGCAAGAAAAAAAATATATACGTACATGCAACATTGAGAGAAAAATATGTGTGTACAACTAATTATTTGGGAAGATCGTGATTGCAAAAAATAAAAACAGATCAACAATTGTAGCAGGGTTGAATTGAGCTAATTTTGTATGAAAATTGATAATTATGTAGACGTTTGGATGAGTGTGTATGGGGGCGTGTCGATATCACAGTGTGGGGCAGTCAGTGGGTTTCCTCGGCGGCTACGTGGCTTGCGACCAGGTTTAGCGGCGCTTCGTCATACTCGGGCGCATTGAGGCCCACCTGTCAAACAATAGCAAAATAATAATGTTCACTAACTGGGATAAAATGTAGCCTCTCTATATAATATTTTATGTGTATACTAAATATCGTAGTGATTGGATAAGACGCTAAAAGGTAACAAATAAATTCGCTTTCATAATTATTAGCAATGTTAGTATGGACTGCATGAACGATATGTCTTGTACAACTTATTAACGTTAAATCCAGCGCATAGTATTATATTTAAGCAAAGTCTACATAATACAGGCTAGTATCATATACGCCAATACTAGTTTTAGCAACAAAGTTTTATATTTATATTTGTTGTTGGGATAAATGGATTGAAGCACTAGTTAATTTAAAAGTATTTTTTTTATTTATAAATAAGAAATTCATAATACATAAAGATTCTATGAACATAAATTATTTATTTTATTGTTTAAAGTTACGTAAGTAAACTAGTAGAGCTATCTCGACCAATTTACAACTTAAATTAAAGCAGTAGTTATTATTACTAAAGTTATTAAAACATAAATTTGAAGAATTGATGTTTTATTCCTTTACTGCATAACCAAGAATAGGTGCAAAAAAATCCTAAATACTTCAATAAAAAATAGCTTTATTAGAAGTTTGACGTTTTTATGAATAGAGATAAGTCTCCAATTTGTATTTATGAATTTAAAATATACCTATTTATGATATTTAATAAGCTTCTAATCGGATGTGGGCTAATTAAGGAGCCTTAAGGAGTTAGATCTACTATCCATGGAGGTGTAGTTGACACGCATTTCAAATTACAACGTGCATCTTATACAATCTATGTACTGTAATAAATACTAAACCTTGTGTACGAAGTGCACGCGTACTTTTATGACAATCTGTATTAATTAATTAACCGTGAAACTGTTGTGTTTGCATGGCTGTGTTTCGGTTTGAAGGGTGGGATATGGCATGAATTTACTGGGTACAAAGGAATAACATCTGCGTCCTCAGGAATGGCAACGCATGGGGGTATCATGGGCGAAACAGTATACTCTGTTATGTCCATGGTACTGCTCATGTCTATAGCCGTCAGCTTTTTTGCCATTCTAAATTGTATAAAAAAAATCTCACAGCAATATTCGCAAGTTTCATAAAAATTAATACGTGTAATTCCACTTGGTGTAGGCTAGCGAATAACACACTGTACAACAGTGACCACGACGCTGTCGCTCCTTCGGTAGTGTTGTATGTAAGCAGCAAAAGCAAGCGTACACCAAGCGTATAATGATACGAATACGTATCTATGAAGCTACGCGTCGTGGTCGGTAGGGTACGCATTAGGTGTGCGTACCTGCGGTCGTGGATGCCTGGGCGAGTGCGCGGTGTGCGCGTGCAGCGCGGCCAGCAGGTGCGGCTGCAGCTGCCGCCGCAGCGCCGCCAGCACCGCCTCCTCCGCGCCGCCCTCCGCTCCCCCGCCCCCGCTTCCACCACCTCCTCCTCCGCCGCCGCTGGCTACGGATCCATCAGATTCCGCGGGACCACTACCGCTGCCGCCGCTCCGCCGTGACTCTGGATGAACGATAATTACATTATGCGTTTAAAAAAAAATTAGACGTCAGTATTTCTGCGGCATCTCGACATAGTGCGCAAATGCTTCCACAAAATAATAAAACATGACTCTACAAACATACTAGTCATTAAATGTGAATTCATTTATCATAAAAATACGTAATTATATACCTAATGAAATCAAAATAATAGATGTCTGATGTCTTGCTCTTTCTTATGTAAGTATTAATTAAAATAATTCTATCAACCAATCAAGAATAAGTCGAACATTATGTTTTGCTATCATAGGGCATATAAATACTACTAAATATAATTTTAATAACCAAAAAAATTGCAAATACTTGTAAGTTATTAAAAAAATCTTAATATTCTAATAACACTTATTAATAAATATTATCTTATTCATTAATCGATTCGTTCGCCACTTAATTAGGGGGCTCTTTTGAAAGCCAAAGAAATTTCTTTAAAAGAATGTTTTAGTCCAAAGGAACTCTCTCAGGGAGGGGACCGCAGTCACTTACTATTCCTGGCGTGCTTGGCGTCGTGCCGCGGGCGGCGGCGGCGCGTGTGTATGGTGTCGCGGCGCATGGCGGTGGGCCGTGGTACACCGTGCAGCTTGTAATACAGACCACACGCGTTGCATACCTATGTTAAAAATATACACGTTAGAGTGAAACGGGAAGTTCACGTCCACAATATAGGATTGAAAAGTATACGGTGGAAGTTTGAAGAAAAGAAATTCTGATTAATTTTATGTTTTAAATTGTAATTAATTTTAGGTGAATGTAGTCGGTTCAGTGTATTTTACCCGGATATAACATGATTTAGTAAAAAAATCACTAAATACATATTGTTCATATAAGCACGTTTTTAACATTGGCACTATTTTGTTGAATAATTATCCATTTTATCTCAAGTAAGGTTTTGAATATTCACCAATTGAAATTAAAATTATAACAAGTATGTGAAGTTCTGCTAATTTTGCAACTTCAATTCTACATAAAATCAGTTTTCCACATTCACAATACACACACACTGTTGTAACTAGTTTATTTTGTCTCATTTATATGATTGTATTGCCAATGTGTCAGTATATACTACGTGCACGTAGCTCACCATCTCGCCGCGCGCGTCGCGCCGCCAGATGGTGGTGGTGTGCGTGCCGCAGTTGCTGCACGACAGCTCCACGCGGCCGGCGCCGCCCGCCGCCGCGCCCGCTGCCGCCGCCGCCCCCGCCCCGCCTCGCCCGCCCGCCCCCGGTGCCGTCGACGACGCCTCTATTGCTTCCTGCTGTAATATATTGATTGACCAAATACATTAACAATACAAATGTATGCAAATGATCCACGGTATTGTTAGCGTACATCAGTAGATAAAGAGTACTGATGTACTCTACTACCATACTACTCATTCTATACCTACCATATACGTACCTACTCATTCACAAAATTTCATTCTAACCTGTTCATACTCATTGGGTAACAAAAATCTAAAAATATCTTAACAAACTTTCATATGTGTTTAAACTTTTAAATAGTTTGTCCTGATTGACTATCAAGCAAAAGTACCAAGCTAAAAAGCTTAAATTTACAACATAGGCATATTTTATAACTTTAGCATCTGCTAAGAAAGACCTTTTAACTTAAAGGAGAGGGTGAGCTGAACTTTTGCACAACAACATGTGTGCAAAAGTCTGGGCAATACAAAGTTTTATTATAAAGTCTGTGTTCAGTATATTTATTGGCACAGTAGGCGTACTTACGTTGTCGGAAATCGGTGCGTTAGGCCACACAGCGTTACCGTGAGGCGGGTCGGGCGCGGCGGGGGGCTGCGCCCGGGCGGGAAAGCTCTGCTTTCGTCTCGCCGTGCCGCCGCTGCCGCCCCCGCCCGCCGCGCTCGAACGAACTGAGTTCTGCCACTCACCATTCTGTAACACAGAAAAAAAATAGTAAGTATCTATTCCTATTTATTTGTCTCTTTTTATATTCTTTCAATTCAATAACGCACCACCTACTTATTTTTCGGTTTGTTTAATGGTTGACTGTTAGAGAACATCGTCCGGTGTTAAGTACGCCATATGTACATAGTTTCACTGTGCATTAAAGTTTAAATAAATAAAAAAATAATAAAAGTTTTGGCCAGTATGAAATGTTTTGGAACAAATAAATTATTATTATTATAAATTGAATCGTATAGGAACAAGGCATAAGATCTATCATAATGAAAAGCACGTAATTTTTTCTATCATATAACATATACAAAAATATGTATTTTTTCAGGTATGGTCTTTAATAGAATCTGACATTTTAGTTGCAAAATTGAAACTATTTCAATTGTCTTATTTAAAATATGTTAGATTCATATTAAAGAAAAAGAAAACCCTAATACAATGGTTATAATATAATATGCATGTATAAATTATACTCTTATACCTACTAGTTACTAGTAGCCGTATGAGAGTGGATCTTTGATACACCTGAGAAAACTATACATAAAGCACGTTCAATACAAAAACTTAAGGAAAACTCTTTACCTCATAGTAATAATAACATAACAATGTAATTCACAGCAATAATTAATGTCAAGTTTACATCTTATTCTTTTCTAAGATTCAATCCAGTCCAGTTGTAACTTCCGATGTTTACATGTATTATTTGTTTATTTAAATAAAAATTAATTCTTATTTAAGTGTATGAACAGATTGTACAGTGAACATTGTAAGAATGGAATAAACAACACTGTATGTGTCATGGATTGGAGCCAATTAAAGAACGATCGGCAACGCGTTAGTATACTTATTACATATCATTTTATGTAAATAGTCAAACTAATTTATTTACTACAGCTATATCTATCATATCTACATATATGTAGTTCACTACGCCGGAATGTGGTATTTACAGAAATTAAAATATGTTAATTTCTTTAATAACGCATTTCTGTTACTCACACGAAGTTGTAATCTTTGATCACTTGAGCTTGAGTGAGTTCAGCAATACCTATATTAAGTAGTCCTACACATATAAACACATATTTATTATTAGATCGTTTCCAAACCTAATGATTTATTAAATTATTATATTTCAATAATATGTCTATTACGAAATAAAACTGTTAAAGTAAACGTAGTGAAATATATTTATTTACTTAAAAAATGTTATAGACCAATACTCGTAATTATGAAAGATGTCCCCTTACAAAAATAGAAGAGAATATTCATACTATTCATGGCATATATTACTAAATTCGATATATATTTATCAATGCACTTCTTCTCTATTATACATTTTTATTACATATTTTATGAAAAAGATATTCGAAATAGTAGTACTCGACTGATTGACGTATGTAGCTCACATTTACACATGTCAATCAATCGAGTTAAATATAAATCAAGAAAATCAATCAAGTTTATTACTATTTTATAATATGTGTAAAATTGTAAACAACCAACAACAGAGATGCTTTCTCCCACGAACACTCAGGTTATGGAATGAGCTCCCTGCCGAGGTTTTCCCAAGAGACTACAGCATGGGGTTCTTCAAAAGGGAGGTAAAGAGGTTTCTTCAGGGTCGGCAACGCGCGCGTAATACCTCTGGTATTGCAGGCGTTCATGGGCTACGGTAACCGCTTACCATCAGGTGGGCCGTATGCTTGTTTGCCACCTCAGTGATATAAAAAAAAACCATGATGTAAATTTAAATCAGTATCAACATCGTCATCATATCAGCCGTTATCTGTCCACTACTGAACATAGGTCTCGCCCATAGACTATTATAAGGGACGGTCCTGAACCACCTGCATCCACTCCATCTAGTGGACATCATCGTACACCGCATTAGATCGTAAGGGATCGCCACTGTTTCTTCCCCGTCGGTTGTCAGTTCTTCGAGCTATGTGACAAGTCTTTTGCCACTTCAGCTTACTTTTAGCCTACGTCAGTCACTTTGATTAGTTTAAGGATATCCTCATTTCTGATTCTATCACGCAAAGACACTCCAAGCATAGCCCTTTCCATAGCTCGCTGAATAACTTGAAGCTTTTGCATACGGGCAACCGTATAGGACCATGTAACTGTTAAAACAGTATATTTTATTAATATTCGCCTATGTTTAATAGAAGTAATCATAATAAAACCAACTCACTGGTGAGACCGCGCCGTTGAGGGGTTGCTGCATCGCGGGCAGCGGGGACGTAGTCGACCTCAGCGGTGACACGGTCATGCCGAGATGTTTGCTGTTGATAAGCCGCCGTAACAACTGCGTCGCTTCACCTCCTCGACCTATAGCATTTATTATATTTTTTAATAATTATTTTTTTTATAACACTTACAATTTCAAACAAGCTGACGGCCCACCTGATGGAAAGTCCGTCGTCTGTAGACATTGAGAGCACTGTGGACACTACAGATTACACTGTGATGCTCATGATTCGTGTGTTGCCATTCCTGACTAGACTACGGTGTTATCTCCGTACCTTGTAATTTCACTACCACCTCCCATACTTCAAACTGAAATACAAGTCTCTAATACTACTCAAAGACATAAACCAAAGTGAGACAGATGTAGCAAATAGGTTTTTATACGAAGTCTCCCTTATTATCATCATCGGACCGCGTTTATTATAGCGTTAAGATCCGACTGACGGCGAGGGGTTTCTCCCCATCATAAATAATAGGACAGTAAATATACTACTATTACCATGCTGAGTTTATAATTTTTATTACTAACTTTTACTCGTGCCTTCGTTCAGATAACCAGGATATGTTTACAGACTGGGCAAAAGTAACCTACATCCTTCTCCATCCCATATAGTATGAGTATACCATATTTAATAACGATTGGTCAAGACATTAAAGCGCTATAAATTAAGAAACAAAGACATAAACTCACTTTCACATTTATGATATTAGTAACTTACCATTTTGTCTATGTAGTGCTTGCCATAACGATTCCTTGTCGTTTTCATTATCGGCAGGCGGTTGTGGTGATGATTGCGTCGATCGGGCTGATTGTGTTTCCTCTGGGTCGTCCTGAAATATTCATTACATAACATAAAAAACAAAACAGTTTTCGTTGACGACACACGGCATTCAAAAAAATCTGAAACATTTAGTTGCCGACGTGGGCAACACTTAGTGTAATGTAGGGCAGTTGGCATTTACTGCAATATTGCTTTTTATTCTGCGCAAATCAGGCAGAAACTTAGGGAGACATTTTTAATAATAGATTTTTGTTAAACTTTATATAAGATAAATACTCTTTGATATGTTACACAGTCATTTAGTCCCAAACTAAGCAGACCTCGTGTTATGGGTATTAGAAAACTGATACAAATACTGAAATACTTTTTTGTGAATACATACAATACATACCATAAATAGAAAACATTCAAATCAAAACAAACATAAATACATATTCATGAATACGAAAGTTTGTATTATGCGGGAATTGAAACTGCAATTATTGGAAGATAAGGCGGTATGTTGGTTTATAAGGTACCAAGATTGTCTGATGAGATGGATAAACTTACGATTCTCACCTGCGACATTTGTGATATATCCATTTGAAGCCTGTCAGGATCAGAGCCACTACTACTCCGACTGCAGTCATCGTATACCGAAGAGTTGTCCTTCGATGTTTTCGTTTTGCTGGACGATCGGGCGAAAACCTGCTGCTTGTATTCTTCTATAAAATTTGATGATTTGTTTTGAGTTAATGATCTATGATAGTATGATGAATTTTTGTTATCCTGATCTGTGGTCTCGTTCTGGTCTGCAGATTCATTTTTAATATTACCATAGAGTGACAAGTCCATTTCTTTATTATCATTGTCGTCGTTGCTGCCAGGACTAGCGGCGCTCTGCGTGCTGTACACATTGTACTGGTCGTCAGAGTATTCTTGGGGGTAATTTATTTGACGACCGCTTGATGTATGGGTTCTATCATCGATAACGCTCGTATAATTTGAAGGAAACTTTTGTGACTCCTCATTTTCCCGCTGCGCGACCGCAACCGCTTTGCTTATAATATCGATAACGGCATTACAATGCATCACCTCTCTCGCTCTCTCTGGGGGCGGTAAACTCGGTACATTGTTGAACATTATGTGAGGTTCTTCTTCTGGCTTAATGGCATATTTAGTGGGATCATAATGTTTTATTGAAAGTAACGCGACGGCCGCTTGTCTGCTCTCTGAATTCTTCATTTCCTCCGTAGAGTCTGGCGATCCTATTTCCTCATAACTATGTTTATTATCGTGATCGAACACATTATCGTTGAGTGGTCTGATTATTTCTTCTAGTTTGGCCGCCGTTATACTTAGATTCTCCTAAAAAAAAAAAGAAAAATATTAATACTAAAAACAATAACCATAGAGAAGATATCAAATGATAGCTATAAACAATTTTATTATAATATGATTAGCTAGAAGCCTTATCTTTTCATATTATCTTATCAATTTGAAACACTCAATTATAAAGTGTTATTCGATCAGTCAACACTATAAGGTGTTGTGGTATAATTTTTTCAAGAAAAATGGCCCAAAAGCCATTTAAAGTGAGTAGTGTTTGTTGAAAAAATTGTGTAGAAAACTAATATAAATATATAATGGTGTTTCCTTTGTTTAAGGTGTTAGTGATATTATGCGTCCTAATATCAACAAGTTATGGCCGAGAGGGCAACAAGGAAAATCCCGTATGTGACATTTCCATAAGAGATACTGACAATCTCACTTTGAATTGCTCAAGAAAAGATATAACTACCATTCCTACAAGTTGGCCTGCAGAAATAAATAATATAGAACAAGGTAATGCGTCATACATATCACATGGAACGGGGAGGTACATTATCTAAGCACAGTCAATTATCAACGATACAAACAAACACCTGTAATCGTATAGGTTTAACGATTATTGTTATATACATCAAAGTATTTTATGTGGTGTACCATTGTTATAATATGCGTTTTATTGAAATTGGACATTTATCCATCTATAGCAGTATCACGTTATTTTTTCTAATCACAACGCCATCTAGAACAGTTCTGATTTATATATATACAGGTAGATAATATACAGGTGAAAGTATATATGTACATAATAACATCATATCATAGAGGGGTTTCTTTAGTAGTTGCCTCGCTTGGCAGGTGGGTTAGTAACCGCATTTAGGCTTAAGTTAATGTTTTAAACGGGCGATCTTTTTATCCTTCGGCCATTAAGCTCCCTTGGTCGCCTCTTATTACACCCACGGGAAAGGAGGGAGTGGCCCATTCTATGCTGCCGCCACATGGCACCCTAATAAATAGTTTTAATTAAATTTTCTTCAGCACTGCGTCATATTAGTGCTAGACGGTGTTGTATATTGAAATTTATATTTGATAAATTAACAACAAGATCCAAGATAAGTTTAAGAAAAACTAGTAATACTAACTTTTTGATACAAGTCTGCTTTTTAAGTGTCCTGACATTAAAAAGCATCCTCTATTTAACTAAAATTTTGTTTCTTAACTATAAAATCTTTACAAGACTATCATCCTACCAAGGATCTACCTTGTAAAATTTATAAACACAAACATACTTCCAATAGACGAAATATGTATATGTAACAACTAAAATAATTTCAGCCCCCTAAAATATCAAGAAGTTCATCGTATTGATAAGTATTATATGTATATTATATTTAATGTAATTATTACCTGAATGGTACTAATTACATTAGGTATAAATATCCTAATAATTATAAATTATAAAAAAAAATGACGTGATGTGGACATGTATTAACTTGATGTCTTAAAAACGGGCACAGCGTTTTTAAGACAATTCTTGGCTTCTGATTTATTAACATTTTTCACTTTCAGCGGGCGACGTGCTGATAACATTTTTCTACAACAACATAGTGAATGTAACCCAACTTCCGGAGGTACCAGGCAACAAGATCGCCATCATACTCAAGTCAAATAAGATCTCAGAAATCGAGAACGATGCATTTAGAAATATACACGGCATGGTATACTTAGACTTGAGCAACAACTCCATAACAGGTACGTAAGATCTGTTTGAACGATTATGTCTCATAATCTCTATTTTATCATAAGAAACATCAATATTAAAATTGCTACTTAGTTACTATGCCATATATATTTGTTTTTCTCTTTTTAATAAACCTATCTTTAGTATTTTTATCAAAATTTCCATTAATATTACATATTATAATAGTACAAAAGGTGAGATGCCGTCATAAATGCGATTCGCGAAACCTCTGAATTGTAAAATTAATTTCAAAATATTCAAACAATAGCCATCATGTCAAAAAAGCTTTTGTCTAATTGTGTACAATGAAGGTGTTCTATAAACTCTTGAAATCTAAGAGCGACACCCTCATACGAGAAGTAGCAGTAGCAAAATAATATTTATGTAATAATACTGAACTCTTAGACTACACACAATCATGTTTCCTATAAACGGTTCAACAAATATGGCGAGATCTTCGTAAAATAAAAATGCTATAATTAATGACTTTTATCACACCCTTCGTCAGTTTATTTGTTTAGATTCATTATATTGTCAATACTATACTTTCAATAAAAAAAGTAACGCGTCAACCAACAGTTGATTAACCATTTTTTGGGATTTTTTGTCACTCGATGCTCCATATAAATGTACACAATCTAGATAATACTCAAAGACAACATAAAACGATGGGAGAATGATATCTATTTATCTTTTCTAAACACGAAATAAGTAAACAAGATAAGAAATAGCAGTGAAGAGTCAAAACGAGGACATAATACATGCAAATTGATTATCTTTACACAAAATTTGCCAAAACATCCTGCATCGCTTCCCACTTTGATTTGACGTATTCCTAACCGCATATTTTGCTACATACTCGATTTTTGTAGGACAATTTTGTGTATTTTCGTAAGACAATGCCCGGTGTCAATTTGCATATTGTCTCTATAGACAATTCTTAGATAAAATACTAATAAAGATATGCGAACCAATAATTGATTATAATCATCAAACACATGAAAAACGGGTTCATATGGTGAGGTGGCTTATGCGAACATCAAGCAACTGACAGCAGCATTTTTAGAGGTACTAGACAACATTCCTCAATAATCATTGAAAGAACTGATAAGGTCCATGGGGAAAGGATAACAAATAGTTGGAACTAAAAGTAAAACTAATTATTACTATTGAACGTTTTTGAATAAATTATTTAAAAAATGTAGCATTTTAGTTTAGCGAGTACGGAGCTCTTATATTAACTGATATCTTCTAGTCCCGTTGGTAGATATATGTGGCTAATGACTAGCCTGTTTTTAAACAGTTATAATTTTCGTGTGCATGATTATTCACAACATTCTCTTTTATATATAATAATACACTAGTTGCTTACCTCAGATTCACATATGGACTTCATATAATGTTAATTCGACTGTTAATTCGTTTAGCTCAGGTGACTCAAATGAAAAATTTATATATGTTTATATATATAAATATATATAGATGTTTACGTAAATTTATTATCTCGGAAAAAGATAGAATGCCGTGAGAAATATACTATATACACTGTAAAATCGGTTTGTTCAGTAGTTTGAAACATACTGCAACAAAATAAATTAATATTTCATTTTTATTATAATAGCCTATCAATATCAGTTTTATACATTTTACCTATTATAACTTCAAGTTTTTTTGTACCACGAAGGTGGCAAACAAGCATACAGTCCATCTGATGGTAAACGGTCACTGTAGCTTATGGACACGGTTGTCACGTACGTGTTGACAACTCTGAAGAAACTTAAATTTACCCTTTTTGAAGAACCCCATACTGTAGTCTTTAGGGAAAACCTCGGCAGGGAGCTCATGCCACAACCTAAGCGCTCGCGAGAGAAAAGTCCTTTGAAACCGCACTGTACTGATCATAGGTAGGTATAGGTCCAAGCGTATGAGGACAAATTCAACTTAATGCTCTAGATTACTAAGAAATGATCGAAGTTCGTTTACAAATTAAAACATTTTCACTTTCATTTTGATCGTAAGTGTAATCATACTTAGATCATACTTACGATCAAAATGAAGGATTGATCGATTTGATATTGATGATTCTTGGAATGATTCTTTCAGGCCACAATATAAGATTCGATTTTTAAATATATAGATTCAAATATATTTTAAATCAAATCAGAGTTAAATATACCTATATAAATGAAATCAATGCATATGTTTTTCGTAGAGATAAAAATTGATATACACAGACCACTATTTGTGTGAGTGACAGAGTGCTTTATTTAATTAAGCATAGACTCAATATGAATCATTTCCGAGAATGAGATTTCAAGATGATGGGTCATAAATATAACATGACTCTGTTATATATATGTATACATATACCTGCCGTAGATACTAACGTACCGCTACTTTCACGTCAGTATTTATCAACGAATGTTATAAGTACAGTCATCGTTGTTCAGATTAGAAGTGTATGTATGTATCATCATTCCCAATTATAGAAATACGAAAGAGTCCTTGTTTGTTGGTTTCGTTTTAAAGGCGACGAACAGATTTATACGAAACTTCTGGGAAATCAAATTCGAAAACAGGGGATATATAAATGTGTATGTAACGTCTTTATCGATATTAGCTGACGATGTAGTTCAATAACATAGCTAAATATTCTTTAGATTTCAAAAATAGAATATATTTACATATTCTGTAATAACAACAATCGTAACACAACAATGCTATCTAGTTTTTTTTTTTTTTACGTTTCTGAATTTCGTGGAAGAAACATAAATTATTTGAACTGCCGTAACTCAAATGGCGGAAAAATTATTGAAAAGTGAACGAAAAAAACATTAAGGAGGTTACGTGTTTGTTATGGTTTTTGAGATTCATAATTTTAAACGTTCAACATTTTGTTATGTTGCTAATATAGATATCAAATTCTCTATTATTAGTTAATATGTCAGTATTATATATTACTATATGGTATTAGTTACGTTGTTAATATTTAAAAGACTTCAAAATTATATATATATATATATATATATATATATATATATATATATATATATATATATATATATATATATATATATATATATATATATATATATATATATATATATATATATATATATATATATATATATATATATATATATATATATATATATATATATATATATATAAATTCTAATGAGATAGATAGTGTTTAGGTACTCTCCTGTCGGTCTCATAATAATTTTGTCAGACCTGATTTTGCTTTATATTTTTTCGAAGCTTTTGCTTTATATTTTTATAAAAAAAAGAGATTTTTTTGTTTATACTTATTTAACCGCAACGGAACGGAACCGTGTTATTAAATTAAACTCATACTATTCCAATTTTTTTGTAATATTATACATAAGTTAATATCAGATTTAATCTGCTAGTTTGAAAAACATGTTGGCTTAGTGAATAATAACTTATAGAAAAATAGCTGTACACACATGTGAATTAACTATGACTTAATATTTCTGCAAGTATTCAAGGGACACTGCAGGCTCAATACATAAGGATGAATTGTTTTCGAAGATTCTAGCTTATATTTTCTGAGAGATATTTAGATTGTACAACTTGTTCGCAACGTTTACTATTATGAGTATGATAAGTAAATGAACTTCTCGTCAGAAAAGATACAATCAGCTTGATCGTAATCTGTTTTCTGATAATTCTTGTGTCTATTTATAATAGTTATAGTTGTTAGATAGTAACTATCTTATGTTAAACTGATCACTGTCGTAAATAGTATAATATGTTAATATCTATTTGCACCAGTGTTTGTTATACCTTTAACGTAAGTGTGTATTGATCATCTGTAACTAGACAGTGATAGCTGATGAGTATGACAACATGGGTGGTCGACCACCTCACCTTGTTATAATACTATACTATCACTTGTTGACGTTAGATATGAATTGATATCTATATTTTTATACGATAAACATTATGTTAATAGCTTTTAATAGATATCGTTGATGATAAGTGAAGAGAATGTGTTGTTAACCCTTTGTGAAGATTATTTATTTATTTATTTTTTATTGCACAATAAAATTTGTACAAATGGCGAGCTTAATGCCGTATGGCATTCTCCATCAGTTAACCATTAAGTAAAACAGAAAATGTTTGAGACTGTTATTAAGGTTATTGTTTATTTAAGATTGCATTGATAATAAGAACATAAGCACATTAGGTAGAAACTATAGGTATTATTAATTACTATAGATACTATAGGTTATATTACTAATATATAATTGTATCAAGTTTCATTCTACATTATAAAATGAATAGTCTATACCTGTGTAATGTATAAAAATGTCACATATTTACCCAAATACGATACAATACGCAATTCTCACTAAATAACCTATCCATTACGCCAGAAAATATAAATGAAAAGGTACAATCCGGTCAATTTTTACGCGTTCCCGTCTGGATTGATCATTTAAATCCTCTTGAATGCACCACGACAGGCTAACTAACCTGACTTAGTCTTCACCTATCATCCCTTACTTTACACTGCTAGCGTAAACCAATATCACAGGTGGAATTATCATTCTATTTTCATCCATTAAAAAAAAATATAACGAATGATTTTCAGGGGAGGTGTTAAGAAGTGAAATTTTCCAAGGCCCATACAAGGATGGTATATACAGTAAAATCGCCTTGGAGACCTTGAATCTTGGACATAATGAGATACATTCATTGGACAGATACTTATTCCAGTATACTCCGAATTTAACGAGATTGTATCTGAACAATAACCCTATTGAGACACTAGATCACGTCACCATCCTTGCTTTGTCGAGCGCCGTCAATTTAGAGGTAAATGCACAATAATTTGTCATCTTTCCCTCCGAAAATAATGAAGCCTTGTTATTCCAATCAATCTCTCCAAGTGGGTATATCGTATAGGTATAATAGATCAAATACGTTATATAAACTTACAATATAGATACGTAACATAAATACACGTCACTATCAGTATGATTATGATTCATTCAATATAATTTAAAATTATCAAAGTATTTACAATATTTTAACTTTCCTAATTCTGTTAGTAGACAGAATTAGAAAAAATACCGGTAAATAATTTGGCGGGTCATGACTGGCATGGGGTTCCGTGGCTGTTTACTATGAACGATAAAAAGCAAGATAAAGTCAATTATCATAGCCGAAGTCTTATCGCACAAATAGTTGTTTTTGCGGTTTTTCCTGAACAGTTGTTTGAATACAAATAGGCAGGTAAGATCGACGTGGTCGGTTATATGGTTATATCTCGTGTTATAAACCATTTGACGTCAATTAGTTGTGTTATTCCTAAAAGTATTTCTAAAGAGTTTATGCTACTTAAGTATACATTTGTTTCTTAATTTTTTTTTTTCTCGTTAATTTGTTCAAAATTGCGTTTCGTAACATTATTTACTGACACAAATTTACCTAACCAAAAATTTATAAAATATTTACTCCTAAAATATTATTAAAGTAGCCTATACACGCGACTTTGTCCGCATGACCAGAGGGCCATAAAATGTTTTCGGAAATTTCGGGGCCGAACAAAACACAAATTTCATGTTAAAATTACATAATACATAAAATTTTAAAATGTTAATACAACATTCCTTTAGACTTTTATGGTTGGATTTAAGATAAAGAAAAATAGTAAGCTCCATTTATTGGACCCATTTCGGTATGAACAAAAACACGAAATTGAATCCGAAAATTCGGAATTTCATTTCATGGTAGACCTCCAGGATATGTTGAATTTTCAAGATAAATAATAGTAATTTTATAACGATTGGTCGAGTCGTTAAGGCACTAAAAGGTAACGAATAAACTCAATTTCATATTTATGAGACTAGCTGTATCCCGCGGCTTCGTCCGTGTAAATCAGAATGTAACTTGCTGTTTTTTGTTAGAAAACAACCAATCCGTGTATCCAATTTTATTCAAATCCATTCATCGTTGAATAACATTCATCCAAAATACAAACTTTTAGATTGCTAATCGTCGTGTAATTACCGTGTGGTCCCGGTATAGAATGGGCCACCTCTTCTTTTGCCCTGGGTGTCGTAAGAGACGATTAATAGAACTTAATGGTCAAGGGATGGGCAGCAGCATCCCTTTTAAAACATCACTAAAGACTAACTGCGGTTGCTAATACATCTGCCAAGCGTTGTAACTACTGACAAAACTCACCTTATCACAAGATAACTTGTTTTGTCACGATTGAAGGTGTTTTATTGTTGAACAAAATCTTTAATTCTATTAAAAACTACATAATTTTCGTATAAATATTCTAATTCGATTCATATTTATATAATTTCAGGTTCTTGACTTGTCGTCAACGGAGATCGACAGCATACCTTTAAACGCTTTCAGAGGTTTAGAGAAACTGCAGCATATTGATTTGTCTAATAACAAATTTGTTACCGTACCGGAAAGTCTAAGGCTGGTTGGGAGTACTCTCAAGTATCTTACATTTAATAAAAATCCAATTGTGGAACTCAACGATGACAGTTTCATGGGTAAGTAATCCTTACTAATATTTCAAGTTTGTTTGCTACCTCCTTACGTTTTTAACGGCTTAACCAATCACTATAAAATTTTATATACACAATCAATATGGGATGGAGAAGGAGATAGGCTTGGAGATATCTTATCCCGATGAGGAACATAGCGCGATAACGCAAAAGAAGTCGAGGTTACTCTTTAGTATTTTTTATGCAACATACATGTATAATGAGAAACAAGCAAACTGCCCACCTGATGTTAAGTCATAACCATCACAGACATGAACAGCACTACAGATATTACTAAATACGTACACTGTACCAGAAAGATTTTGTACAAAAGCCGTTTGCTTGGGTACCTCTGTCCCATTTGTGTTTTTGCCGTGGAACAGTTGTATTTGTACGGCTGTGTTTCCGTTTGAAGTTTGGATATGGCAGTGTAATTACAGAGTACAGAAGCATAATACCTTAGGCCTCAGAAAGAGCAACGCATGAAGGCTATCATAGGCAACACAGTATAGTGGTATGCCCGTGGCACTTATACCTCCATACCCTTTAATGTTACCGCCATATCACATACTTCCAAATGAAATATATTGTGTTTCGTTTCATATCGTACCACCTAATCTATTTAACATTAACCGTTGACCTACTAAAGTCGCCAAGTGAGTTCTCAGCAGTTAAAGCATTATAGTCACTTGTCCTATAAAAGACCTTATTAAAATAAGGTCTTTTATAGGACATGAATAACAAAACTGGTCCTAGAATCCATGTTAATAAAAAAAACTCGTATATAACGATCTTTGCTATGGACTTTGACTTAATATAGGTATAAATATTAAGTAGTTTGAAAGGCAATGCTATCTAACCGATCATGACTAATACAAGAAAACGGAAAAGAGAGTGATAATATTGTGCGTAACTCGTTGAGAAATCCGTTTCTGTATATCATTATACCGTTTGACGTAACGTGAATAAAAGTAAAGGTAACGTTTGTACTAAATAATCTTGCCAGGTTTTATCTGCAAATGTAAATTATGGTATCACTCCTCTATTGGTATTAGTACAGAAAATATTACAACACTGTTTATCTAAACAATGTTTAACAAACTCTAAGTGATTTAATGTTGTTTAGTCAATTAATAATGTTTATTTATAAATTTATGTGGCGAAACTTTGCAGACTATTATAATACTTAATATACTTTAAAAACTTTTTATTTTAAATAATACAGAATTTCTTTTTATAAGACACAAACAGATTTTTTATACAAAAATGCATTGAACACCTGCTTATCGCAAGTTTAACTTTTTTGCGTAAGATGGTATTAATTTTATTATAGTTTACTCTAATAAAAATTATTCTTAAAGTTATTTACAGAACCGTTACCTCATGCAATAACACATGTTACAGCTATCTACTATATTAACACATATATTTACACACACATACCTGTCATAATTAAATTATAATACTAAGGTGTAATTTATATAAACTGCGCTGTTTTTACCCACATATTTTACTTTAGAATAATACTAAAATTGATACGATATTTGACTTGAATAAAAATATTCATATTATGATGTTTCAATGGCATTATTGCTTATACAGAATTAAGTCGAAATTATTAACACCTTTTTAAGGGAGTGTTCTACCAGTGGATACCAACACTTTTTCAATATAAACATGAAAAAAATAAAAATAAAATTAATCTACAATAATAAACACAGCTGGACGCGTCGCAGAATATACGAAAGTAATAATTTGGTTAGAATTATTTCAAATATAAAAATATTTACTAGCCTTATATAACTATCGTCTAGGTATTATATATTTACTCCTTAAAAGTGAAAACAGGGAATGAGATTGCTATTGCTATAAACGGTATGTTAGCACTTCACACACGGGAGACATGAACGTGTGTTACGATTTTCTATCAAATGGACCATCAACTTGTTTCACAGGAATAAAAAATTTATTGGAATGTAAAAGTAGCAAGAGAAGCAAAATTTGAAACAATTTGTATATATTAACATAACTTACAAGAATAAAATCCTCCAGGTTTGGATCGGGTTTAGTTACAAAAATCACCGCGTACCTATTCTGGCACTTGACGGATATATCTCGGAATTCTTATTCTTTAGTTACTTTGAGTAAAAGAAATTGAACAGGAAGTTACACGCTTTAACAATATAAACACTGAATTCGATACAGAACCCTTGGTTTTACGGTTAATTTTAACTATCGGGATACTTCGAGAAGTACAATCTGTATATATAATCTTACTGTACCAATAACTGATTAATGCTTTCCCTTTACAGATTTATCAAATTTAATAGAACTGGAAGTCGCTGAAAATGAATATCTCGAAGAAATAAAGCGCAGTACATTCACGCCACTTAAGAACTTGAGAGTACTCCGGATCAGTCACAATAAGAACCTGCGCTATATTAACCACAACGCGTTCCGAGGCATGAAAGACAAATGGACTTTGAAAGAGGTAGGTACAGAAATTATAAAAAAAAATCTAGTCTAATCGACTAATTAACAGACACAATTAGAGTAATATGAAATTTTGCAGGATAAAACCTAAGACATAGAATTATAAATGCTTATATATTTTCTTTTACAACGACAATTTTAAAGACAAAATTTTAATAGTAACCCTATCTGCGTTATTAATTAACGCCGGCAAGATACCAATAAGTGGAAAATCAAAGAAAAGATAAAATCAGATAGTTGGTCCATGGTAAAGAACTTATTAGGCTAGTTTAAGAGAATACCATTGATAATAATGGTAATTAATTTTTTGACAGGTGAACGATACCTGACGAAGTATATTGCTAAGTATAGTGTTACTTAACCCCATTATTAACAATTTTCTCATCTTTATACTGTAGAATAATTAATTACGTTAGTTGATGACCAATTATTCAATTTTTAATCAGTTATTTTTAATTCCTCTTATGTCCAATTCAAAAATATTGGCTTGGTAGTTTGAATTTATGACCTACTACCTACTCTACACTTTTAAACACATATACTATAATGGCAAACGCAGATAATTTCATAATTTTACTAACCCACAAACACAAAACAAATATTTGATTAAAATCACATTTTTTTTTATACTGCGGTATATGCACTATTAATAGACTAACAATAAAATTCCAAATCTTCAAATTTAAACGAGCACATGACTCGATTTCTTGTACCATAAAGGTGGCAAACAAACATAGAGCAGGTCTGATGGTAAACGGTCACTGTAGCCTATGGACGCCTGTAACTAGAGTCACGTGCGTGTTGCCGACCCTGAGGAAACCTTTTTGAAGAACCGTGTACTGTAGTCTCTAGGGAGTTGTTTGCTATCTATCCGTAAAAGCTCACTGGTTAGAAGTTAAATAGACAGGTAGAATTTTTTACTAATATAATAAATTCGACAATGTCTTTTTTACGTAGATACTACACTACTGAGAAAGGTAAACTATTTGATGATTCATCTTACAAAATGTGTTGCTTTCTATAATAGTCAGTCAGTACATCATAGATCATTGAAATTCCAGTATCAACGAAAATAGTCAATGTATTCTTTAGTATCGAAAACTTCTATATTAGCTTGCTGGAACGGACTATTTACCACCAAATATATCTAAGAACTATTCTGACTTAACCAGTCATTCAAAAAAATAATAGTTTATCTGTTCAGAAGCTATACGCACGTTTACATGCTGCAATGGCCACTTACTGTCAGGTTTATGATGAATTAAAGAAATTAAATTAAAATTGAATTAATAAAATAAAAAATAAAAAAAAAATTGAATATTTGTCCGCAGCAACAAAAGCTTTCCATTACTATACCCTTTTTTGAGACAAGATTTAACGATAAAAATGTTGCTATCGTGACGTCATAAAACATTTTCACAGTGACACGGGTGTCATCTAATATAATTCATTGTAAAATCAATAAAAAGGTTCATTTTATTAAATTGTAATAATCACGTAATGGTGACATCATAGTTTATATGAGTACTGTATTACATTCTATCGTATAATGCCACACTGATGATCTAATATACTAAAAGTACAGCCCGTGTTTAGTATTCATTTACAAATTCATAATTTATATTCTTCAAGTGACAAATTATAAAATTATATATTTTTATTACCACGAAGGTGACAAACAAGCATGCAGCCTGTCTGATGGTAAACGGTTTCTGTAGCCTATGGACGCCTGCAATACTAGGGATGCCACGTGTGCATTGCCGACCTTGAAGAAATCTTAATATACCCTTTTAGAACAACCCTATACTATAGTCTCTAGGGAAAACCTCGGCAGGGAGCTCATTCCACAGCCTGAGCGTTCGCAGGAGAAAATTACTTTGAAACCGCATTGTACGTGACCATTAAAAATAAATAATAATTATATACCATTATGAGTAATTAAAGTAATCTTTTCAATTTGAATTGCTGAAATCGGAATTGTAACTATGTTGACTAATTAATGTAAGGGCTATATATTTTTATTCCTGACGGCGATTGTTAGTGCTATATTAAATTTTTAATAAGAACCTTTCATAAATAAATAAGCTTCTATAAAAATAACAATACATTATAAAGGTCACTACTGTAATAATTTCTCCATGTAGTACATCTCCTTTTCATCCCCAAGATATCATGGGAAACAGATAAGGGAACATAATACCATACACTAGTGCAAGAGAAGGAAAATTCAAAACGAAACTCTATAGCAAGCTTCTTCGTAAACGTGTTAATAGTGGGCTAATGCAATATCCTTCTACATATAATGGGGAGTGTGATCCATACTCAGTTGTAGGACATTATAAATTACGTTATAAAGGGCATTATAAATTACGGATTGTAATAATAAATCGAGAGAATAAGATAAAAATGTAATAAATAAAGAGATTACGCATCATTTTTATCACAAAGACTAAGACGACATACATATTAGTTATCACTTTTGTAACGTGCTAAAATTAGCGTGGGCACATAGAGTTCATCATTTTTTAAATGTAGCATTCATTTGTATATAAATAACTTCTCATAAGCAGATTATAATCATCGTGTTGTAAAATGTATGCAATCAATTCGTCCCAGATTTTGACTGCTTACTTGACAGTCGCTGAACGAGGTCAGCTGATTAATCATTTCAGCGCGTGTTTTGATATCGATATCAATCATGTTGATTGCAAAATTTATCCTATAACTGGATCAGATATAACAAGATTTCTATCACTAGGGCTGATAGCAATTTGTACACTTCCTTATTGCAACCCTTAACAATTACGATAAGACGTTCATATAAATATTAATTTCAAGTAACGCACAACTCGTAACATATTTTATTGATTTGCATAAAAATAAAGTACCCGATAATAGTTACTTCCAATTTTTATTAGGATGGGTATGCGCAAACAGTGCTATGTATAATAGCCTAATGATTTATACCTAAGATAAAACAGAACGTCCATAAATATATTTTATAATTAAAATAAGTATTTGATAATATATAATTGTAATTATATTATTATTGTAAAATAATAATTTATATACTTAATAATATACTATTTTATTATTATTTTTTTATATTAGCCATTAATTGTCTTATGCTGGACATAGGCCTCCCCAAAAGGGAAGGTGTTGCCAATAATTGCCACGCTTGGCAGACGAGTTGACAACTACAGGCTTTGACCTTTCGTCAATTTAAATTCCTTTAGTCGGCTCTTGCGACACCCACGGGATAGAAAGTGACAATATACATTTGCTAAAGTTTAATAATATCATAATTTAATCAAAATTTATAAATTTTAAGGTTCTGTACCAAATTGGAAAGGAACCCTATGATTCGATTTTGTCCATCCATTTGTCACGGCGCTATATCTCACCAACTAATAATACTATTACTCTGAAAATTGAAACTATTTTAAATATTGTTGACCAACTATAGACTTATTTATGTTAGGGAGTCCAAAAGGAAATCATACGAAAAGACTTCCTTTGTACATTTTTAATACTGGCTTTAATTTATTTTTAGACTGCTTAATTTTTGACTTCTAGTAGAAAAAGTAATAAAAAATACAATTCCTCCTCCTCAATCTCCATAGTACTAAAACGAAGTTTGGAATAATTTAAAATTATTATAGGAAAAATAGACATTATTTACTAGAACAGGTTTTAAGAAATTATTCTAATCTTCTAATATGAAGGAAAATATCCTAATTGATAAATTTCTCCTTTGAAAAATAATTTTTCTTTTCATTCAAAGGATTAAATAAAAAAAATTTTTCTTGGTGTACATTTGGTTTGGTAGTACCATGGAATAATCATTCCCTCTATAGCGCCATTGGGTAAAGATAAAAAAATTGTAAATTTATCACAACATATATTAAGTGTTATTATTTATATAGCCACTATAACACATTAAAACATGTTTATTTACTAATATGCAACAATGAAAATTAAAACTAAGAAATAATTAACAATCTGATGATGTCTAATAGTAGTACAAAAAAAAATCAATTAATTGATGAAATAGATGAGAGTATTTATGTGATAATTTCAACACAACTATTACTTTTTAATCAAGAAATAGACTATAGTTTTCACTGTTCAACTTTTTTAGGTTTACCTGGATGACAATCACTTGAACGAACTATCAACAGACTTGTTGCCATGGAATAAGTTAGAAGTATTGGGTATGACAGGAAACAACTGGCTATGCAACTGTGATCTAAACAATATTGTTACATCACAAGGTGCTGGTACAAAATTCAAACCAGGAGAAATCCCTTAGTAAGTTTTTTTTAGTTTTATACTATGAAGATGGCAAACAAGTATACAGCTTGTTTGATGGTAAACGGTAACTGTAGCTCTATGTCACAATCATAAATATTTATAAAAGTTATAATTTAATCAACATAACCAATCATAGTCATATAGTTATTACTATTAGTAAGTAAAAAATAGATGTATTCCATTTCTTTACCTACATGAATTAAGATAAAAGAAGGCACAATTTCTTAATAGATCAAGATATAATCATATACCAATTTTCATTCAAGTTTGTTTACTCACTTCAGCATAATTAACTTCCAACAAAATATATGAATTAATAGGATAGAAAGAATTTCTATAATAGCAAAATACACATTTTTACGCAGTATTGGTAATTATGAGTAAATCAGTTGTCACTGTATTTTTTTTATGGACAAAACTAATACTTCTATTTTCAGCTGTGCAGAACCAATGAAATTCAGTGGAATATATGTAACTAATATAACAATACCATTTTGCCCTACACTTGATCACACTTTTGCAACTAAGAAGGGTTTCAGCTTATCAGATATGAAACCAAAACATGTTCTATGGAGTATATTTGGAGTAGCTATGGTAGCAGCTTTTGGTTTAGTTCTTGGGCTGTTCATCAATAAAATTACTTTATACATAAAGTACAGGAATCAGCCAGTTCCTTATGGCCTCCTTCCATCAGATACTGTCAATGCTTGAAGTATTTATTTAATAACTAATGATTCAGATTAGATTATTGCTTATTTTTTATAATAAAATTATTTAACAAAAGATACTTAATATATGCACATATATTTTTAAATAAATAATATATATTATGAACACCAATAGTTTTACTGTGTCACTCACCTCTTTGGGACCAGTCAAGGAATTAGCATACTGCAAAAACTGCTCCAATAGCCTTTCAGACTTATGTGATAATTCTCTGAATGTATGGAATTCATCGAGTTTATGTGCACAACTCCCACACACCACTTGAGGTAGCAAATCTCCAGGATATACCTAAAAATAATATAATTTGAGTATTTTAGCTTTACATCAGTCATTGAGAGAAATTATGTGGTCTGTGACCTTATGGTAGCTTAATCATAGGTGATGAGTCATAGATAAGTAATCTGGTAATACATTACTAGCTTAACAACACATGTTAGTTTGAAAGACAAGTGAGACTGTGTTCCCCTGTAGATTAATTTCCTTAAATATACTTCTAAATTTAGAAAATATTGAAATCTTAAAATAGCCATGTATGTGAATAAGAGAATGCAGGGAACTTTAGTATCAGAATAGTGTAGATACTGGACGGAACGCTGAGGGGAGGGCAGACGAGGGCGCGAGAGCCGCAGGAGGCGGGGCGAGATGATCTCCGTGCGCTCCTTTGTTATCAGCGACGCGGCCGCTGCTGATACAGCGCGCTCATAACACACCCGTCTATCAGTTCCCCGAACGATATTAGTCATACGCTCGAGCACACGACGCGTGGGTCGTAATATGATATCACAATGCGAAAATACCCAACACCCGCGAGAAAGTTAATGGCGCTTATCAGCATCCACAATCTCATACGCTTACGCTAAACTTTCACACGAGAAAACAACATCTTCCTGTTTAGTAAAACTAAAAATAATCACATATTATTACCATTATTGACAAATATGTCCTTATCATATCGGACAGATGTGATTTATCCTTATCACGGTCGAATATTGGAAGTTTAACATCACTGCAATTATCGCCACAGAATGATAAACAAAGGCGACACACTGAATGGAACTTCGGCGGCAAATTACACATATTTAGAAATCAAAATAGAGAAAGGGAGTCACAACGAAAGAAAACATTTAGAAATTAATTGAGTAACTGATATAAAAATTAAAAGATTTTGTTGAAAATATAACTCAACATGCGATGATAGAATACATCACATCGCGATTGTCAACCAAACGAACGAGCAAGCTACACACACATACAACACATCTTTTGTTTACGATGTGCTGAATGTTGTATATGTGTGCATAAGTATGTTCTCATTGACCGACTGATAAAATGATAACACTATCATAATCATTTTCCTTATCATCATATTTTTTTACATAAAAATATATATTCGGAACGTTTATTTATTCTTGTGATAATAATGTTATAGGTCATTGATAATTGAATAATCACTGCCAGCATGTTAATTACGCGTATAAGGATAATACAAATAATTAAATTTATCTTCTTAAGTAATCACGAACTTTCAACACAGAATATAATATAAAAAATAATTAATACCTCTCTTTTGGGTAGCTATTGCTAGAACTAAGGTGCTATGCCTCCGTGTCTTACAATTTTACAGCTATATTATAATAATTTGCCGTGTGATTCCAGCATAGAATGGGCCGTCCCTTCTTTTTTCATGGGTGTCGTAAGAATTGACTAAAGGAAGGCGAAAGATGAGCAGCAGTGTCCCTCTAAAACATCACTAAAACCTAACTACGATTGCCAATCCGCCTGCCAAGCGTGGCAACTATTAGCTAAATCCCCCAAGGGGGAGGCTTATATTCAGCAGTGGACCGTTAAAAGCTGATATGATGATGATGATACATAAGTACGTATTTAAATTATATTATGTGTATCAACGTTAAGAGGTAACAGTTGTTTTCCAAAAATAAAAATGTTGATTTTTCCTTTTGTTAATATGGCAATACCAGACGTACGTACGTAGGTACATACGTACCTAGTACATAGGTACCGGGGGAAAGGGATTGTTAGTAATGAAGACTGAGAATCCCATTGCTAGCAATATACCCAACCAGGTCGACCTCTTCGGCGTTCTCCCTGGAAACTATCATGGTTAATTCCTAATGAATTCATCACGATGAGCTAACTGGTCTGCTTTCATTTTCATCTATCACCCTTCACTAGTGCTCCGCCAGCGTATCCCGTTAGCGCAGGCCGTGTTACCATAACATTTTCACCCATCAAAAAATAAAGTACATCAGTACCTATAGTCATATATAATAGTACATAGTACCTATCTAGAACATTTTCTGTTACCTATATATCAACTAGAATTATATATGCCTGATATTGGAATAACAGAAATAATCTTAGTACCCAACGTGTACTTACTTATGTTAACACTAGCGGCCCGTCCCGGCTTCGCACGGGTGGACATTTTTACAAAATTTTACATTTTTATCTGATTCTATCTAGCTACCTATTTCAAAAATGTGCCCACCCCCACATGCCCCTTTCCCGCACCGCTACAATGCTTGGCTAGCTAGCCACGTGGCCGACACGGCGCGGGCGGCGAACGATGCCTTTTCTATATCTGACTTTTTAACATAATATTTTTTTAATGGAATATACCTACGATTTGAAAAGTTTAAAAAGCAATCTGCAGGTATTGAGACAATTTTGAATACAAAATAATTTATTTGGATAATGATTAATAAATAGGTATGAATAAGATATACAACGCGACAGCGTTATTTTTCCTATTTCTAGTCATAGAAATATATTAAAAGTGTAATATCTATTGAATGAAATAGTCGATTTGAACAATTCAAAAAGTAAACTACATAAATTGAAACAATTTTGAAAACAATATAATTTATTTGGATAAGGATTTAAACAGAAGTATGAATAACATGGTGTATTTTTTAAATGTAAAAAGTGGTTATTGTCACATAACGATAATAGTTGGACATATAGTATCACGAAGTCTTTTGTAGTTATTGATATTTCCTTCAATATTGTAGAACATACTTTTGTTCTATCATCAATAGTTACCGCAGCGCACGCGACGAAAGATATTTTATAGTATTTTTTTACACCTTGAGTTACCTTACTAAAATTTTAGTACGGATCCCTAATCTTTTCTAACAATAAATATAGCCTATGTTACTTAGGGTGAATGTAGTTTTCTAATGATGAAAGAATTTTTGAAATCGGCAAAGTAGTTTTTGAGTTTATTCATTACAAATATACATACATACAAAATTACAAATCTTTCCTCTTTATAATATTAGTGTAGACTTAGCTATTGTAATTAACATATTTATGTAATTGTGATAAATCTGGACCATAATATAAGTGTTTGGTGTAAATATAATGAATTGATGGAGATTAAGAGACTAACTTATATTTTTACGTCTCTCTTTTCTATTATTATAAAACCTTAGATTATAAAACATGAAACTTCTATGAAATTGGGCTATTTATATCAAAGTTCATCTTATTTCTGTTCACACTATATCTTATTTTTGTGTGAAAGTGATACCTATATACCTTTTTTATTCTACATGCCAAAATTATTATAAATTTAGTTTATGACAATTCATAAAGTAATAATTTCACGACATCATCGAATTAAAATATTAGATTAAGAGATAGGTTTATAGAAATAGTGCTTCAGAATTAACATTAATAATATTTTTACTTGTGAATTGAATAAAATATTAATATTACGTATTGGAAATAAGTTTAAAAATATATTTTGCTATTAAATAAAAACTGAACCTTTCGGAAAGGGAGTTAAAAAAACAATTTTCTTAAACGAATATAATACGACTCATAGGTGCTTTTTTTAGATATAAATAATATTATCTGATTAAAAAAATTAGTATACAATTTTCATTTTTATATGATATCAATCTCCTGTTAGTTCTTGTGTTGTAATGAAATGAGTTTATTTGCATTAAACAGTTTAAAATTATAAATCTATGTTGTAATAAATCTCGTGCCTATTTTCTGCATTGAATCTGGCAACTCTGTTCAGTAGTGACAGCAGATGACAGTTGTCATTGTCAGTTTTTTTACACAAATACAGATACCTAATTTATGATACAATGATGTATATATAATGTGGTCGATTTTGAAGCGCCATTTCTCTAACCTTATCTGTTAACCTTTTTTTTAATATGATAATTTCCATAAATAACTATTTTATACATTGTAATAAACTAAGTTTATAATAGTTTTTACTTAAATCTATTTGAAAATTAGTTTATATTGGTTCGTGCTATAAAGAATTCACTGTAATATCAAATTTAAGTTTTTATTTTAGAAATAGGTTTAAAGCAATAGCGCCTCAAAATCAACCTTATTCTTTATATAGTATGTATATATACATAGATATAGCCTCTCTTATCTGTGATATTGTCTCTAATCTGTTATAGTGATGGGACTCGAGTGATTTTTTCGAGTCACTCGGTACTGATAAGTTACTCACTCGAATGCCACTCGAGTGAAGATAAAACTCGAGTGATTTTTATTGACCCGAGTCACTCGGAATATAAAACTCGAGTGACCAAAATTTTAAAACGAATAAAACAGTATTAATTTTACATAGAAAATGTGTATACATTTTCTCAAAAAAAAAAAATCTAAACAAAATGTAAAAAATAGAATTTTCCTTCAAACTAAACCTGTCATACATAATCAAGAAACCTCTTATATCAACTATCAGTCAAATTAAAATATTATACCATAATCTACTACTAATAAGTTCTAATCCAATTTAATTTATTCTAACAAGGAACTTTCATGAGATCCAAATATAAACAGTTTTATTATGTTCTTACACAATTTAAGTTTAAAAGTAACTTAAATAAACTCAACAAAAAAAAAAAACAAAAATAATGTATCTTTAATGAGATAACAAATTTAACTAAAATTGGTGTAACTACTTTAAAAAAATAAATTGATAAATTTTTTCCCTACCAAACGGCTTCGATAATATCGACTTCAGCACACTTGCTAAAATAATAGAAGAATGTTTCTCCGTAACCTCTTTAGTAGTAACAGTTTGCGAAAAAAGTTTTGAATTATAAGTATTGTAATAGTTAGGTATGCTTTATTATTGTCAGAAGTCCATAAATCTGTTGTAGCAGTCGTATATTCAACTAAATGTAGAATATCTACAATTATAGTGCGTGCGGCATGATAAGCATCAGGAAGAATTTTCTCTCTTAAAAGTTTCCTGCTACCGCGGGTAAACTTGTCACAATTTGAATTTCTCACTCAGTTCGGTATAAACCACTCGAGTGGTACGAGTCAACTCGAGTCACTCGTAATTCGAGTCGACGCGAGTCACTCGAAACTCGAGTCGTCAAAAAATTAACTCGAGTGCATGTAATATAAAAACTACTCAAGTCACTCGAGTGAAAAGCAACTCGAATCCCATCACTAATCTGTTATATAGATATATTAAAATACATCAAATTCTATTATTCTCTGAAATTTAAAATGTTATAGTGTGATTCAATATTTAGTTTAATAATCTCATACAAGATTCATAATATGGTTAAAATAATTTGGCTTGCAACATATTCGTCATGACTTCGACCGAAAACTTCTTTTGTTATTATTTAATTGTCTTTGTTATTGTATTCTCCTAGATCAGAGTGATCAGTAGAGTGGTTTTTGGTTAAGTGTGTGTTATTTATTACAAACGATATTAATTGAAGTATTTTACATTGTTTGATAGGCTAAATATGGATATAAAATAACACACTCCGCTTTTATTACACAATCAATTTTGATAATTTGAGTGTGTTTTCTATGAATTTTTCAAAATGAATAATTCAAATGACAACGTAAATTTTATTGTGGGTGATAGTACCTCTATCGGAAGCACATCAGACACTGCACGACTTATCAGTAATGATGAAGCAAGTACTTCTAATTATACACAATTTAACAAAACTTCCAATTATGAGGTAAATATATATTATTATTCAGACCATAACCTATTTTTCTTATTAAATAATAAATTTAGAATTAATGTATGTGGTGCATAAAAGATGTCTATTGTTTTCATCAAAAAGTAAAACTTTAGCATAAATAAAATTTTATGCTGTTAATGTTTATAAGCAACAGTTATTACTTTCCACGAAGTGGCCCATAATCTTGTTTGCCGTTAAGAAAAAAATGCCTAATTTTATAAAAAAATTGAAATAACAGATTACATACAGAGAATAATGAACAGTCATATTATTAAAAGTGATCTCTTTTAGACAATTTTGGTATTAAAATATGTTCTAAAATACTTTTTAATTTTTTAGCATTCAGACTCGGATGACCTGCATGGCAGTCATGGCATTAGACGAAGGCATCCTGTGCAAAAGATTGAGCCTGGATCTATGAATATGCTATCAGCTAAATATGAGGTATGCCTTTAATACAATAGATAGACTATTACTGAAATAAGAATTATTGTTTTCTATATTGTTTATATTTTACAAATGTTATGTATCATTCTGCATATTTAGAAGCTTGCACATATGACCTCTTTTTATCTTTAACAAGGATTAAATCTTCCACCACAATAATATTTTATGTATTTCTTTTGGAATTCTTATAATGTAAAGAAAATAATTCATTCATTTTCATTTAAGAGTTTCCTCTTGTCGGTGCAACCAATCCATGCATCTTCCTCCAGCCAGCTCTATCCCAGGCCATATCCTTTATCTCCCTATACGACATGACGCCTAGTGTTTCCTTTATCTGTCCCATGTAGTTAATCCTCGGTCTTCCTCTTCCTCTTTTGCCCTCTATCTTTCCTTCTACTATGCTCTTAAAAAAATCGTCATGTCGTATAAGGTGGCCCAGCATTTTGCCTCTTCTACTCTTTATTATTTCAATCAACGCTCTCCTCTCGTTTACTTTTTTCAGGACTTCCTCGTTCGTTAGTTTTTCCGTCCAGCTTATCCTTTCCATTCTCCTCCATGTCCACATTTCGAATGCCTCAAGCATCTTTCTTTCCTTCTGCGTCATTGTCCAAAGAAAATAATATAAGAAATAAAATATTATATTTGTATTTATAAAACCATTTGTCCTGTCAGCCTAAAAAGCTGACATTTGGAACATATGTTTATTTTATAACATGAAGAATGAAAATTCTTTCTTAGAAAACCTTTTTAATAAGAAAATATGAGACCAAATAATATTTTTTTTTGTGTAATAGCTACTTTATTATATAAATGATATATTTTAAGACAAACCATGATTAACAGAAAAATACAAGGAAGTATCATTTGTTTTTTATTGGTATGGAGCTAAAATATGATATAAATTCACAATAAGTATAAAGTGAGAGACATAGTTTGTTAAGTTTATAGATCATTAGGCTAGTGGATTTATTTATTCATACATTATTAAATTGAAACATTTATGTATATGATTATATGTATGCCTACATAAATTTCAATAGTATCCTTTTTTTTTTGTTTTTTTTTAATGGGTGTAAATGGATTAGTTATTTTATTTGCATTATTTATATATGCTATACATGTAGTATACAGTGGAGTACCAGTGAGGGATGATAGGTGAGGATGGAAACAAATCTGTTAGTCCATTAATAAAAATTAACTGTGGTTTCCGAGAAGAACTGTGTGGAGGTCAACCTGACAGTGTGTATTACTAGCAATTGAACTTTTTTTATTGGGTGACAATGGAATGACATCCCCCTTTGCACTATCAGTATACACAAGTGCACTAACGAGGGTTAATAGGTAAAAATAAATCAGGCCAGTTGACTCACTGTGATGAATTTATAAATATTAAAAATGATGGTTTCCAGGGAACTGTGTGTGATGTGTGAACTGATATCTATATATTGAGTTCCTCTGGACATTGATGGTGGAAAAATGTCATCACCCATTTCAATATTGCCCATATTGGTTGAATATTTTTTTTTTAAAATGCTAAAAGTATTATTTTTTGGATAACAGATTTTAAACATATTCATTATTAGAGCAATATATAGATATTGTAACAAAAATATATACATGTTACCTATATATTACCCATCCCTAACCTGAAAGATCAAATGCTAGCACTGGAGGTACTTGTTTTACTAACCCCATTATTAATAATCTCTTTTCCCCCTTAGGATGAAGGTTATTTTAATGGATGATGATGAAATGGTAACCTTGCCTGCGCTATCGGTTTACACTGGTGGGGTACCAGTGAGTGATGATAGGTGAGGATAAAAAGACGGCTCAGTTAGACCATTGTGATGAATACACCTGGAATTTAGCATGATGGTTTTGAGGATGAAGTTAGGTCAGTTGTGGCCAATACACCAGAAATAATCCAAAAGGGTTTACAGGGAAATCGGCAATAGGCTTGCTAAATTTGCTAAAAATTGCCAAATTTAATCCAAAATTTTTGGTCAATCATTTGTGTTTTGGGGAGAGAACTGTCATTTGGGGTTTGGCATTTGGTCAAAAACTTTTAATTCCTGTATTTGTGACAATAATAATGTGTCAACGCAAGCTGTGTGAAATACCTGTTTTTCCATGACAAATAATAAAAATATTATTTTTAGAGTCTGGACTATGACACCTGTGAGAACCATTTACTTTTAGATGAAGAGCGAAAACGTGGATATCCATTTATAGTGAAGAAGGATATGGCAAGATGGTTCATTATTCTACTAATTGGAGCAATAACTGCACTAATTGCATTCATTATTGATATTTGTATAGAAGAATTCTCTAACATCAAATATAAGGAATTGAAGAAATGTATCCTTTGATTTTGACTGGTATTACAATAGATAGCTTAAGCACAATTTTAGAAAGTGGATTCTGCTATGAGCTGAAAGTACTAAAATTATAAATATAATAATTTTTCAAATGTTATGTTTGCTCAGAACCCCATCAGAGGAGGACTTATTATAAAAGTCATCTGCTTTTGTGTCGTCTGTACCAGTAATTTCTGCAGTAAAGCAGTCATGTTTGCATAGTTGTGTGTGATATTATGTGTTTGAAGGGTGGGATATGGCAATGAAATTACAGGGTACAGAGTATGCCTCTCACTTTAGTCCTTAGGAATGGCAATGCGTGAAGGGTATAATGGGCAACATAAAATACTCTGTTATATTCATGTTTATAGGTGACAGTTACCACTTTCCATCAGGTGGGCCGTCAACTTGTTGGTCATTCTAAGTTATATAAAAAAAATCACTAATCGTAATAGGATTTGCTTTGCAGCACTTGCCAAGTTTTATCTGTCGTGCTGAGAGTGTAACATTATCAAATACAAATCAAATCCTTATTATAATCCATGTACAACAGTATTTTAAGCCCCCAAGCCCTATCTATAGACGGTGGTTACTTCCTCTATCAATATTTATTTAGATGCAATTTCTGAGTACAACAAAAAGAAGTAATAATCCTTAAAATTATAATACAGCTGTGGACAAATATGTGCTAATGGACAGGTTGTACATTCCATATTTATTATGGGTACTATCAAATATATGTGTTGTATTTATCGGATCAATTTTAGTGGCTTATGTAGAGGTAAGTAATATTACTCTTGATTTTAATCATAACACACTATTATTTATTTCATGTAACATGTGACCTATTCTTGATTTTAAAATTAACATTTTAAATTATGAAATTTGACACTTAACTCAAATTTGATTTATTATTCTGTGTGTCCATCACTGGAAATTTAACTGGGCATTTTTCTGGTGTTATACAAATTCTTAATCTGAACATTTGAGATTTATTAATTTGGGTAGTTAATCCTATGAATTGATTAGGTTTACTGTCTCAACTTATTTTAGAATTATTGCAGTGTTCAGTAATAATATTAGAGAGATAACTTTTTTTTATAGAATAAATTCTTAAATTAAAACAATATTGAAAATTATAATAATTAAATTATTTTAGCCTGTTGCAAGCGGGAGTGGTATACCACAAGTAAAGTGTTACCTCAATGGAGTGAAGGTGCCAAGAGTTGTACGAATTAAAACTCTCGTAGTGAAAGCTATTGGTGTAATAAGTGCTGTTGTAGGTGGACTAGCTGGAGGAAAGGTAATATTTTTTTATTATAATGAATAATAATTTTTACAAAGATACTATAAATAAGTGTGGCTCAGAGCAGGCTACAATTTTTTTCATACTTAGGGTGTAAAAGCCAATTAAGAGATCAAAGTGGCATACACCAATAATGGTATATAATAATAATATTAGACTAATATATTTTATATTATCCATTTAATGTGTTTATTATAGACTTATTTATAATTTTCATTGGATAGTATACAAAAAAAAAGAAAAATCTATATTTAGAAGTTTCAACTTATTTAGAATAGAATTTCAACCCCATATTTCAATTTATTACAATGTTGAGCATCTTCTCTATACATAATAAAATAAATACCACCTCAATTATTATTTATTTTAGGAAGGCCCTATGATACACTGTGGTTCAGTGGTCGCAGCCGGCATATCTCAGGGGAAGAGCACCACATTTAACAAGGATTTTAATATATTCCAATACTTTCGTGACGATCACGAGAAGAGAGAATTCGTGTCAGCGGGAGCGGCTGCAGGGGTGTCGGCAGCTTTCGGTGCTCCAATTGGTATGATATGAACTGTGTTCTACCAGTACAAGCCGAAATGCAATAATAGTATTTGTGGTATTTAACAATAAGGTTCATCTTTGGGCTGAGGATAGTTGTTATAAATATAATTTTAAACTTTCTATACATACAGCAGTTAAGTTTTTGATTTTGTGTATTAATATCTAATATATATATTTATAAAGAAATATTTCGACTCTGCTTATTTAAGATTTTTTCTTGAGTTCATATAATGCTATTGTGTTGCTGGATTTCGGCTAGTTATACCCTGGCTATTAGTACTTTTTGTATGTTAAAGTTTAAAGATTAAAATGTTCTGATGAATCTAATAACGCCCAGCACAAACGTATCACGTTTGGACCTAGGTAAAGCCACGCGCTATAAGAGAGTTTTAGTAGTACACATATAGGTATTTAAGCACGTCCTAAGAAAGTAGTTTGTTAAAAAAGTTGACAATGCCACTTGGTTGGTAGATTTTTTTTTGTAATTGAGACGGTACTAGTTCGTACTTATTGCATCCGTAATGGACGTATACGTGCGATGTTTTATTTTAATGTAGATAGCTAAGAAGATACATAATGTAATTTTTAAAAGCAGAGATATCATACCGTGGGTCACGGTAGTGGTAAAGCATGATACATGGGCGACACTCTATTATGTGAAATACATGGTTTTTTCATGCCTATAGGTAACAATAATTATTTTCCATTAGATTTTGTCTTTATTGTACGCCTTAATAGTGAAAGATATTATAGATAAGTCTCTGTCCTTACATCAAATATTATTAAATTTATATATGCTATATGCAGGAGGAGTTCTGTTCTCATTAGAAGAAGGCGCCAGTTTCTGGAACCAAGCGTTGACGTGGCGAACGTTCTTCGGCACTGTTATAGCTACGTTCACGTTGAACTTCGCATTGTCCGCATACCATGGGCATCCAGGAGAATTAAGTTTTCCAGGTAAATGATGTTGATGATTCTTAATACTTAAGTATACTTTCATTGTTTACTTTATCGAATAACATAAGAGAATATTTATTTATAACTTGAGGTACTGATCTACTATTTCTCAGTAAAATATGACAGAAAATCTAGTTTAATATAAATGTCATTTACCTCAAGTATTTTATGCTTAAATTAGTAAATTAATATCGCGTTGTGCAATTTTAAATTTTTTATATAGTTTTTTTTTTTATACCACTGAGGTGGTAAACAAGCATACGGCCCACCTGATGGTAAGTGGTTACCAAAGCCTATGGACGCCTGCATTGCCAGGGGCATAACGTACGCGTTGCTGACCCTGAAGAAACCTCTTTACCACTTTTTTTTTAAGAAGAGTAACTCACATAAATTAATACGTTTCAGGTCTTCTAAACTTAGGAAAAATGGAACCGTTCCCATTTCAGTTCTATGAATTGCCCATATTCATGTTGTTCGGAGCTATTGGCGGAATATTAGGCGCATTGTGGAATTACATCAACTATAGACTTGCTGTGTTTCGCATAAGGTAAGATTTTATTATCAAATTATATATTCCTCCTGATGAATTCATCATGATGGGCTAATTGGCCTGTTTTCATTCTCATCTATCACCCTTCACTGGTACTCCGCCAGCGTATTCCGTTAGCGCAGGCGGGGCTACCATACCATTTTCATACATCAAAAAAAAAATATATTCCGTTGATTTTTTTTTTTTTTAATTAGGAATAAATACATATCATTTGTGAATCGTTGTTCATTAAGTACTATTTCTAGTATTCAATACTTATATACTCTTCTTCAAATTATTACTAATTCTTAGAGTCTGTTAGTTCAGGCAGAAATGAATACAGTAATACCTCGACTTAAATCTCGAGGATTCGTAATTTTTTGAAACTTTACACGACTATCGATTATCTATGTACTCATTTACAAAAATTTTTATATATATATATATATATATATATATATATATATATATATATATATATATATATATAGTATACTTTTTTATATTACTGAGGTGGCAAACAAGCATACAGCCCACCTGATGGTGAGCGGTTGCCGTAGCCTTACCATACGAAACTATACCTTGAGTTATGCGGATACTACTCAATACCGCTTAACGCGTAAGTTCGGTGTGTTACTATATTTACCGCACTTTATCATGAATCATGTGAAGTTATTTTGTCACTACTGACATTTGGCGAATGACCTGGAAATAAGCAAAAATATAGTTATAATGTACCACAATTATTGTAGATATATTTCTACTCCCTGGCTGCGCGTGGTGGAGGCGTGTATGGTGGCAGCAGCAAGCGCAACCTGCGGTTTCCTTATGATGTTTCTACTGAATGATTGCCGACCACTTGGCGAGGATCCTACTAAAGTCCCTTTGCAGGTATAAAATGATTTGTCCTAATTTACTGGTCTGTTAATATAGGTACAACCTAAATTGCAGGACTTAGAACAAGTAATATATATATATATATATATATATATATATATACGTTCCTTTTATAACATAAGCATCTTCTAAGAATGAATTTCCTAAATTTTCATGAAATAATGAGACAAGTTCTTTGCAGTAAAATACAAATTTAGTATAAAAAACTAAATGTTAACCACACATAATCTGATTATCTGAATTATATTACTATTACTAGCTGTAAATCAAGACATCGCAGATGTGAACCATGTTTACAATACCAATACAATACAAAACCAAAATATTCTCTATTGATACAATTCGATTTATTATTGTACTACATTTTTAATTCAATTCCGATCAGGCATTTAAGTACGCCGTTTACTGCGATCTAACCGCACCCCCTCTCAAACACGCGTCAGTTACGATACTCATTATAGTATGGTAACTGACACGTGGTAGAAGTACTAAACTAGAGACATTTATTAGGATGTCTCTAGTCTACACTTTAATAGCCGCCGTTGCCGAAGAAGAAGAGAATTATTATATCAATTACGTCACAAATCAATCGCCACTATATAGGTATACATCGAAGCGTGCGTTTTTCCCGCGCTATCTCTTATTTCACACGCACTCATTGTCAGATGTACACACGTTACTTGTTTCTGTAGTTGTGACAATCACGGATCATGGCGTTTTTGTATGAAGTGTTCAGAGTGTGGTTTAAGCGCGCTTTAGTAACAAACTCACATTTAGAATATTAGTAGGGCAATAGTTATTTTTGTTTTCTAAACAAAAATAGATATACTACTGTCATACAACAGAAATATTATATGTGATTATAGTACTCACACAGCGTTTTTTCTATATAGAAGATTATTAATTGAACTGAATATGCAAAGAGACACATAAAAATCGGTTCAGAATTGGTGAAAATATCACGTAAAATACATACAAAAAAATAATAAAATTGAAAATAGTTTTTTTCTTGACGTTGTATGAAAATACGAATATTTTTCACCGTATACCTATAATATCATTCTATGGGCTATCTGGTAGAGAATGTCTGTTGCGTTAGACAGAGATAGATAGACGTAGACAGCCTTTTATACCACATTTTATTGGTCAATAAAGTTTAAATAAATAAACATTGTATTCCAGCTGTACTGCGCAGATGGTGAATACTCAGTAATGGCAGCAATCTGGTTCCAAACGCCCGAAGCATCTGTGCGATCATTTCTTCATGACCCGTTGGGTTCGTACAAACCCATGTCGATCCTTGTGTTTGTGGTGTGCTACTTTCTGCTCTCCACTTGGACCTTCGGCCTAGCGGTGTCCAGCGGAATCTTTATACCGAACCTGCTGACTGGAGCCGCTTGGGGCAGGCTTTTAGCGCTCGGCATGCAAGCTATAGTGCCATCGATGGTAAGCAAAAAAAAAAAAAAACAAATTTAGCCACAAAAGACTGAGACCAAATCTCTTATAAAACTCATTTCTCACTAATTTAAGTGTTCTTTTTTTGAAGAAAAAGTATTGTTTAAAAGAAAAATCAAAATCCTTTTAGGATTTTCCGTTTGTGTTTATAGTATATACAATACATACATACGCATCCATAATTATTTAGATATTATGCATTTTCTAGGCTTTTTTTGAAACTTAAACAAAATTTTAAACGTAAAGAATAATATAAAAATACATACCTAATTGCAATATAAATGCTACAAGAGAATAAAGTCGAGGTCTTTTGACCAATCGTGACGAATTCACTAAGAGTTAACCACGATGGTTTCCAGAGCGACCGTGTATAGATCAACTTGACAAGAGTATCAGCTGATAATCAGTCGGATGGTATACTAAATAATTGTTTTTATATAAACAAAAAAAACCTATAGAGAGGACATTTGTGGAAAGTCACGGATTGGTATAGGCAAAGTTGTCAGCACGAAATTTATTATTTATATTTACTACATCTTTCAATATATTACTAATATGGTAAAATTGTAATTAAAAGATGTATATACTTGGGAGATGTGTAAGCAAAAATTATATAGTATCATTTGTCCGTCTTTATGTTTATTCCGGCCAGTGGCGTAACTATACCATTTGGGGCCTGTGGCAAATTCTTTTAATGGGGCCCTATCAGTTAAAAAAAAACACCTTTCAAGTAAAACAAATTACTCAGGTACAATGTAAAAAAAATCTGAGCTCGCGGCCTCTTGAGTCGGGGCCCTTTTGGGTCGAGGGCCCGTGGCATTTTGCCGGCTCTGCCACCCTATTGTTACGCCACTGATTCCGGCATCTCGCAAAACCTACTGCATGAAATTGAATGCGGTTTTCATATTTGTTTCCCTGGAAAGTCTAACCTAAAAACTTGTGCATGTTTCATCTCGATACTCCATTTAGAATATTCCTGAAATCCATGCGGGCGAGGTAGCGGGCAAGAAACTGTTATAATAATATATAGATATGTAAACTGTAAATAATTTGCAGACTATAAATTCAGCGAAGTATGCGCTTATAGGCGCCGCGGCACAGTTGGGCGGCGTGGTCCGCATGACAATATCGCTCACGGTCATCATTATAGAGACGACTGGACAGATTTCCAACGCGCTGCCCATTATTATTACGCTAGTCGTAGCGAAATGGGTCGGCGATTTCTTCTCAGAGGTAATTACTAAAATAATAAAAATATGTCAACTATTGACTATGTATGCATGTAGTTAGATTGTATTGTTCATACTATTTGTTATTCATATAATTCATTCATACCGAAAATTATATCAAGTGGTCCTTTAATCAATCTCTTTATTTATTTAGGAATTATTCCGAAAATATTAGTAAATTAGTATTAATTTTATTTTTACCACCGCAATTTTCAATAATTGCTACGATAATCAATATAGAATCACGTAATCACAAATTGACTTACACGCCTATACAGCTACTTCTTTTGAACATCACGAGTAATGTGGCTATTTTCTGTATAACTGTCTCCAAATGTCTTGATGATAGATGGTATATTAACGTGGTTATATACAGGGAATCTACGACATCCACATACAACTGGCGGCTATACCATTACTACCTTGGGAGCCGCCTCCACTCGCGCACAATGTGTACGCGAGCGAGGTGATGTCGCATCCTGTGTTCACTCTGCGCACCGTCGAGAACGTCGGCCACATCGTCGAGTTGTTGCGCCTCGTCTCCTACAACGGGTTTCCAGTTGTAGACCCGCCGCTCACGGACGATGTTAGTTAAACCAGTTTGTACAATTCATCCATGGAAAAAACTGTCATGTGTGAAACGTACTTTATTAATATTTCATTTTGTACATTTTGGCTATTTACCAAAGTATGCCTAAAAAATAGAAAAAAATTTGAAACATGGAAACAGTAAATAACTTCAACACGCAACTTTAATTGCTACATCAACTAATAACAAGTGTCTACTAATTTCAAATTGATAGCATTTAAGGACAAGTACAGTTAAATACTGTTTTTTTTTTACAGGCCGAAGTGACCACATACAAACGTCTAAGAGGCTTAATACTACGTTCGCAATTGATAGTATTACTACAAAATAAGCTATATAATGAAAATGCCAACACATCTTGGCCAAATCTCAATGTAGATATGAAAATTTTTAGGAAGGAGTATCCTCGATTCCCTTCTATTGCAGAGGTAAATAATAACTTATTCTAATTTAGCAGTTTAATGAAATTATAGTTATAAAATTATGACGAACTCTACAGTATTTACGTTTTCGTTTTCGACCATGTGTTTTTATAATGTTTCATCACTTGAGCATTTTTTGCTACTGTATCTTTGACTAGTCCTTTATATTTCGATAATTAGATTTTATTACATATACAGAATAATTACTCATCTGCTGTGAGAATATTTTTTTTTTTAATTAAAAATTACTTGTGTGCGCAGTTGGAGATATCAGAGTGGGAGAAAACTTGCACCATTGATCTGAGACCTTATATGAACCCGTCGCCGTACACACTCCCGCACCGTGCCTCTCTGCCGCGCCTCTTCCGGCTTTTCCGAGCGCTGGGTCTCAGACATCTACCTATTGTAAATGATGTCAATGAGGTAATGCTGAAGCTTATGTGGTATAGTGTTGCATGCAACTGTACCACTTTAATACTTTACCTTATAGTCAAGTGGCAAATAAATTTATTTTTAGATAGATATTTTTATATTATCACATATGAGAGAGAATAAAACACCAGTTGCTTTTTCATTATATATAATTGTTCAGAATTAAAATGCAACATGTACGACTAAAGACTATTTGTGTTAGCCTTTTTTTTAATATTTTTTCTATAATATTAAGATTCATTCTCGTCGTGTGAGCCCGACAGAATGGGCCATTCCTTCCTTTCCCGTGGATGTCATAAGAGGTGACTAAGAGAACTTAATGGTCAAGGAATGTGCAGCAGTGTCCCTCTTAAAACATCATTACAGCCTAATTGTAATTGCCAAGCATGGCAACTACTGGCAAAATCGTCCAATAGGGGGAGGCCTATGTTCAGCAGCAGATAGTTAATGGTTGATATGGATTAAGATTCTACATGACTGTTTTAATATTCTGTTTTAGGTTGTTGGCATGGTCACCCGGAAAGATATTGCAAGGTATAGGGTCTGGAGACATTGTGGCCATATGGGCATGGAAGAATTGGTGTTGTCTAATGAGATTTAAATTTGTTTTGTTTATTAAATAGATTTTTATACTGTTTCATAATACTGGTAGGTTTTAGAAAATTCACTTACCAAAATGATAGAAATCTGTATTTACAATTAGCTATCTTAATACATTTAGTTAAGATACCTGTTATATCGATATTATAGAGTTGTTACAGGAAGGTATAAGTATTTATATACTCTTTAGAATTTAAATTGTATAAATTATTAATTCATAATTTTTGATGTGATAATTATGAAAAGTTGCCTTCATTGAGAAATAGCATCAGGGCTTTTTTATATTATTTAATTGATACTGTGATTACTTGAAAAATCATCTATCTCATCATCATATAATGTATTTGTATAACCAGAATTTAGGTATAAATAATTTGTAATCTTGTTTATTATACTTTATGAAACTCATGATAAATATTTGTAAAATTCATTTAAAAGTACTTAACTGTCTAGAGTCATAATAATGTTATTTATATATTGCTAATGAGTGTTTGTTTCAATGTAATTCCTTTATTATCACTAAATGCAATTTCACACTGTCAGTTTGGTTTAATACGAGATATATACATTAGGGCAAAACACTAGCAGTACATGACTCATTAGTATCACCTTGTAAATTAATCTGTTTTATATAAGTGACTTGTCTCAAATTCTGAGTTGATAAATTAATTTGAATTTAACTATACAATTTTTGTATATTCTTTACAAGTTTTGTCTACTAATAGATAAGTATGTTATAATGTTTAATAATAAGGTAATGACAATGTGATACTATTTTTTAAATTAATGTATTCCTTATTTAAGCACATGTATGTTATTAAATAAAATGTTGAAAATAATTATGAAGTATTTATTATAATTATAAACATATATTTGTTAATTAACATTATAAATAAGCAAAGTTATCCATAGTTACATTATCATGAATTATTAAATTTACAAAACTCTGATATTGTGGTAAAACTATAGTCAGTTTTTGTAATTAATTGTTAACAAATAATTCCCATCCAATGCCAGCCCACAAATTAAAAAATAAAATAACCGGTAATATAACTAATATTAGTAAAATATAATTCACTAATTCGTCCATAGTGTATTCAGGTAATCATTGACATAGAAATTTCCTCAATGTATTAAATCGTCAAAATTATTTCGCGTATTTTAATACCACATTAAGAAAAATTGTGTTCTGGTGAATATAACCAACAAAAATTCATTTATCAAGATTTTCGGTTACCCTTTGTATAACAATATTATTAATTCTTCCCAATCGTTCAAGTTTCTCAATTTTGTTTCTTGAAGTATAAAATAGATTCGGAACAACAAAATACGTTCTATTTAATTTATAAAAGCAACAAATAAAGATCGAAGGAATAACAAATACGATAATAAAACTGGAGACAATGTTACGAATGACAATTTGTTCTTTTGGTATGACACTGCCGAATATGTCAGTTTGTCTAAGATGAGTGACGTTTGTGTCAAGTGTATATGACGTTTAGTCTTCAGAACGTCACTATTTGACCCATAGACAAAAAAAATTGTAAAATAAAAAGAGAAATGATAGTATGCAATTTCAAAATATCAATAGAATAACATTATGTTTATAAGGATGATAGAAAGAGAACAATTTGCCTGTGAAAGATTAATATTTAAGCAAGAATGTTTAATTATTTATTACTACTCAACAATTGCACAGTTTTAAATAGGGTTAAATGATTAATATTACTTTTCAGATACAAGAGGTATATATTTATAAGTAGGTAGGTTTTATATTTTTAGAAGGTATTATATAAATAAGTAGGAAAGTTTATATTAAGGCCTATGTTCAGCAGTGAATAAAAAATTACATTACATCTTGTTTATAAAATTGATTATTCAAATAAATGAATTGTTGGCATAAAATGCATGATGGAAGCAGGTTATATAAATTTAATTCAAAGTACATTAGTTTAATAATTATTAAAATATGAAAGTACTTATTTTAATAATATAAAATATAAATAAGTAAACACTAAATTGGTTTCCTTATATAAAATCATCAACAGCATCTATAACTTATATGTAGAAAATAGGTAAGTGATAGCTTGTTGAGCATCTTCGAAATAGCGCGGTTTATCAGCTCTTACGATGCCATAGTCTGGTTCTAATGCTGGTAATATGATTCCAACACTATGGTTGCTACAGATACTGTAATTTAACGACTGATTTATAGTATGTGATACATATTTGGATTGTGGTGTAGCATGTCTATTCCTCATGGCATTATTTGTCATTCTTTTCATTCTATCAATGTTACCTTTGATAGTCACCAACATTTTATGATTTTCAGGAATATGTAGAAATTCAGTCAGATCCTGAAAAATAATAAAGTATATTATTTAAAATTTGACTACCATTTTAACATTCTGGAAAAGAAATTGTATTTAATGTTGTCATCTGTTCTTTAATTACCCTATCATAGTTCCGATTAAATGGAATATTATACTATTGTTTACAACACTATCTAGATTCATTTTTATTTATATTACAAAATGTCAGTACATAGCTACGTTGTGAACAATTGTTTACCTACCTACTATTGAAATAATTTCTTTTTATCTACCTACATTATTAAAGTTAACATTTTGTGAAATAGACTAAATATTGAGTTACATGTGAATATTATTTAAAAAAATTAATAGTAGATGTATTTTTAAAGTACTAATTAAACCAAAAAGCAAAAATAACACTTGATAATCATTCACAACTATCATTTTAATTTATTTATAATATTGGTTTCTGTAAAAAAAAGTTATGTATACTGTGATAAAATTTGATGACGAATAATTATATTGAATAATGAATAATTATAGTGACAGAAACTTACCTCCCTGACGTCTTCATACTTTGAAAAAAGCCATAGGTATGTCGATAGTATGCAGAATAAGTATGTTTCACTATTACTGAATCTCCACATGAACTTCAGAATAGGTGATATGCGATCTCTCTGCAAGGATACATTATTAATTTTAAGAAGTTTTGTTATTATTAAATAAAATTCTAACTCAATTCGAATTGTAATCAATTTAATACTAGCATATTAATAAATATAATTGAAATCCTTTTTTTTCTTGTTGTCAGATTCCAATACTAGAAGTAGGTATGTGTAAGACAGTAAATATTGAACAACATTTACAGTTAACTTCGAAAAGGAAGGAGATTCTCAAATTTATTATTTTTTTTTTATTGTGGCCTCAGTATGAGACATTCCTTAATTTTTAACCGATTTTGATTAGAACTTTTAAACTTTGTCAAAACTGAAGTATATTTGTGGAACAAAATTTATATTTATCATTACAATGAATATATAATAGCCGATTCTGTTGCACCATCCTCTAAACCTAACTGTCAAATTAAAATATTAATAATTTAATTAAATTTCTGATACAACGAAATGTTTATTCTAAGGACTAATATTATATAATAATATGATTATTATAAATTTTAAAGAAATTAAGTTAAAATTATTATAAATTTATTTTATCATAAAGTCCATAAAATAGTAATTTAGCGAAACTATCAAGTTAAAATATTAGGTTAAGAAAAAGATTTAATGGTGCGTCAGAATCAACCCCCGTGACTAATTTTAATTATGGTATCGCACACAGAAAACATGAATTCTTATGATAACATCTTGTGATGGTAAAAAGTGTCCACTCTACGCAGTGGATAAGGTCAGTGGTCACTAAATATTCACAGTATTCGTAATGTTGGTTTAATGTCCCGTTTCAGATCATTGAAGTAAAAATTTTAACAATTAGACAGGAATATTTTAAACCTAATATGACCGTTATATATTATAACACTTTATACTTGTTTGTTATTTCAAAATTAAAAAAAAAAAATTTTTGCAAGATAGCGTAGTCTATATAAAATCAGTACCTAAAAATTAAAGGAAACAATATATTATTAGAAACAGATACTAAGGACTTACATCGTAAATTTTCGGTCCTGTTATTCTGTACCTAGTCAAATTAACAAGAACTGAGGCAGCAGACTTCAACACTTCTATGCTAGAAATTGATCGGTTGGTGACTGACATGTAGATATAAACTCTGCGTACAATCGACGACGCATTTTTTTCGTACATCATAGGGAATACTTCTGTAAGTAGTTCTGGAATAAAAATAAAAGATGTCTTCACTTCTTTTTTGAACAAGATGTTCAGTTTGGATGAAGGTTATAGGATACACAATTCACGCCCGTAAGTGGACTTTCCCTTCAGGAAGAGCTCTTAATTACAGGAAGAAAATTTTACTGAAATAAATTGTGCACTTTTGTCTCTCATTATATACATACAAAATGATAGTTATATATAAACTCTTACATTACTTATCTCTCACGCAAAGTTTTGACTGCAAAGACGGGTTTCTACAAATTTTAATGCAAAAGTTTTATTGTTTACAAACAAACTTACGTACAATTATAATCAACGTAGGAATACTTGAGCTTGTAGCCGAACCTTCACATGGTTTGTTATTCATAATTAGGATTACTATTGTTATTATTATGAAGGTAGCGTCTTTAGATGTCAGGAGTTTATAGGTCGGTACGGTTGACACCCGTAGATAAACTTACCGAGAGATTTGAATGCCCTTATCACTGTTTCTATATCAGACATGTTGCGTAGGACATCCATGGCATCCTCATTACGTTCTTTTAAAGTCTGTTGGTCGGACTTTAACGCCCCTTCCCGCCATCGGCGACGAATTTCAGCTACTCGTCTGTTTCCGGCGATCATAACGCGAGTTTGATGACCACGGAAGAGAGCCTTAATGTATAAAAGTTTAAGTTATTCAATATACAAGGCAATTCTTAAGATAAATGTGAAGTAAGATTAATATGAAATAAAAAATAATATTAGTGCGTATTCTTAATTACGATCCACAGTAAAAATCTGAAAGTGGGAAACTTAGTTGATCGCGTACTATCCAAACTATCGCAAGTGTAACATGAATGAGAGTGGTAACTAGATCGTTAGGATTGGCAAAATCTTTTTTATGCCAATCCTTACAATAGAGGACAAGGGATAGACAGCAGCGTCCCTCTTAAAAATCTCCATAGCCAAAGGTTAGCAACCGTAGTTAGGCCTTGGAGATGTTTTAAGAGAGTAATTCAATTCAATCATGCTAATCGTTGAAAATGCAATAACATTTTCATGTTGTAACAATATAGATCTTAAGGATTAAAAGTACAGAATCAACATGAACCCTGGAAGGGGATAGCAATTATATTAATAAATACTATATAAAATACGCAACTTTATTTTTATATTATACATACATAGTCGGTTAACACAAAATAAATAAAACACGATTAAATATAAACAAATATGTACAAATACGATTAAATTTTCTTATTGAAAAGTTCCTGCAGTGTATATTAACTTTTTATAATTAAATATATTTTTAAAGTTCTTTAAACTTTTTAGAATCATTTGATTTATTGTTCTACATTTATGATATCAAAATATTATGCTACGTTATGATCATTATTACGACAAACATAAAAAGATTTAGAAATTCTAAATACCTACCTGAATTTTTGATGCTGCCCAATTCTTCTTGTTTTCCTCTTTGAGTCTTAGTAAATGCGCCTTTTTCTGTCGGATTTGTCTCCGCACCAAATACCCTCTTATAATAGATTGTAATTTAATTATAATTTGTCTTTTTTGGAAAAATTCACAACGCATCAGTCTCGTCACTAACTTCCCTCTCCATATTCTTTGAATATATATAACTTTTTGCCGAAGCTCTCGATATCTAGATTGAACTACGTACCGCTTGAAATGCTTCTGTAAACATATCGCTGCGTCTTCTTTTTGAGCTTTGACTAGATCTCGTTGTTTCTTAAATCTATATGCTGTTTGTATCACCAATACAGCTTTACGTAATCTCAAATAACGTTTTCTAGTTATGTATCCTTTAATCAAAGCTTGTAATTTTATGAAGGACTTCCTTATTCGCAAATATCGTTGCTTTGAATTTACAGTTAAGACATGAGAACGGTAGTATTTTTGTATGGTTAAAGTTGCACATTTCAGTGCAATGTATCTTTTTCGTTGAATATACATTCGAATATAGGATTGTATAACAATGCAACTCTTTTTAAGATCGTGATACCTGTTCCTATACATATTACGCAATTGTAAAGATCGGAACCACGTTTGTATTTTTTTTGCAGCTTTATTCTGCCGTAATTGACGTGATTGTTTATTAGCTCTGTAGCGACGTTGTGTTAATATAACAGCCTTCTTTAGATGCAAATATTGAGTTCGTACATTATTAGTTTCGCAAGTTGTTCTGAACCATTTCTGAATTGTAATGGTCGCATTTTTCAAATTTATATATTGTAATCTTTGTCTTTTAGATACCAGATAAGACCTGTATGTTTGCTGAATAATTACACAAGCCTGTAAAATTCTTATAAATTTGGACCTCTCTAGTAACATCAAGTGGCGTGCTCTATATTTTCTCTGGAGAGTTACAGCGGCTAATCGTGTTTTTAAGTAGGATTGTCTCTCTTTACGCATAGCAAGTAATGCTCTGTACCTTTGTTGTAAAATAATGGTAGACTTCTTTAACCTTAAATAACCTTCCCTTTGTCTCGAACATAGCATATGAGCTCTGTAAAATCTTTGTATATAAATACATGCTTTAACTATTGCTACATATTTACTTTTTTCTTGTTTCATACGTAAATGAGCTCTGTATCTCGTTTGAAGAATAACAGCAGCGGAACGTAACTTCAAATAAACTAGTCTTGCTTGTCTCATTGCTTGCAACGCCCTATATTTTTGTTGTAATACCAATGTCGCATTTTTCAAATTCTGAAATCGATCTCTTTCAACTCTCATAGCGCGAATGCTTCGATATCTTTGTTGTATACAAACAGAAGCTTTTCTCAAGTCACAATATTTTTGTCTGATAGCTTTACTTTCTTTATACCTTCTGTAATAATTTTGAATCAACAAAGCTGAAATTTTTGCTTTTAGAAATTGTTGCCTATGCCTCTTCGTATTCAAATATGATTTATAGAATCTTTGAATAGTAACAGTAGAAGCCTTTAATTCTATGTATTGTTGTCTGACTGTTTTCATTTCTATATAAGCTCGATAGTATTTCTGTATGCAAACTGTTGCAGTCTTAATTCGAATAAACTCTTGCCTCTGGATTCTGCCAATTATATAAGCTCTATAAACTCGCTGTATAGTTACACAAGCCTGTTTTGTTTCTTGGTATTCTTTCATTACTTGTTTAGACTTTCTTAGGCTTCTGTACCATTTTTGAATATCAACAGCTGCTTGTTTTTTATTGAGAAACTCTCGTCTCTGACGTCTGCCTAAAGAATATGCTCTATAAGCTCTTTGAATTAATATACAACACGATTTGAGATTTAAATAAGAAGACCTCATTTTTTTCATTGTGTTTTGAGCCCGGAATCTAAGCTGGATTGTAATACTTGCTGCTCTTAATTTATCATAATTATCTTTACATTGTTTCATTACAGTCATAGCTCTATATCGTCTCTGAATACATAAAGTTGAAGATTTTAATTTTAAGAAAGCAGCTCTTTCTTTACGCATTTTTAATAAGTTACGGTAAAAACTTTGAATGCTGACTGTTGCATTTCTTAGTTGGAGGTAATTCTTTCTCTGAGATTTTCCTTTTAAATATGATCTAAAATAACTCTGAATCAAAACAGCAGATTTACGTTGTGCTAAATAATCTTTTCGTATATTCTTCATAGCAAGATAAGATTTTATATATTTTTGTAAAGTAATAACAGCGTTTCTAGTTTTTAAATAATTACACTTTTCTTTCTTCATAAGCTGCTTAGCTTTTACTTTTCTTTGTAATTGGACGATAAGATTTTTTTGCCTTAAAAATTCCTTGCGAATTTTAAAGCCACGATAGTAATTCTGCAATATGATGGCACATTCCTTTTGTTTTAAATAATTACTTCTTTCATTTCTCATGCGCAGCAATCCTATATAATGTTCTTCTACAGTTCTTACAGCTTTTTTAAGTTTTCGATACACCCTATACTCTTTTATCATTCTATAGAAACTCTGTATCATAATAGCACTTTGTCTTTTTTCAGTCAATTTTTTCATTTCATTTTTCATGAGAATATTTCCTCTGTATTTCTGTTGGACATATGTTACAGTTTTTATAACGCGCAGATACTGCTTTCTAATAAGGTAAGAACGGACTAAGCTCTGAATAAATACAATTTTTTTTATTTTTAATTTGTATTGTTTCAAACATATCCACCGCCTAACATAACTCTGTATAATTACAGCAGATCTATTTCTTTGTTCTTCTTTCTCATGTTTTAATTTTAAAAGGGAATCTTTTGCTTTCCTTATTATTTTTATAGCTTTATACCAATTTTCAATAGTCAATACACTGGTCTTGAATTTACGCAATCGAGTCCGGCAAAGCCACATACGACAGTACTTTTGTATTATAATTGTAGCAACCGTAACTTGGTGCATTTTCCATTCTACAAGACGATTGTATTGAATTCGACGCCACCAGCATTGAATCACATATGCTGCATGGTTTCTTACCTGAAGTTGTTTTTCTTCTTCTTTCCTTTTCTCCATAATGACTTCGAATTTCTTTCTCCACCAAGTCTGTATAACATTTGCTGCTTTTTCGAATAATGGAGCGCGGAATTCGTGAATAATCTGCCATAATAGTGACAAGGTCTTTTCTCTGTGGCCATCAGCTATATCGTTCGCTGTAATATCGCCGTTAATTACAAAATTGGCCTCTTTTAATGCATTTAAAGCAACTTGAACATTGTGTATCTTCTGCAGCCGCGATATAGCAGGTGTTCGCAATTGGTTAAGTAAACCATTTTTCATCAAAATTATTTCCATAACTTTTGTTAGGCGAACGCCGTCCCTAATATCGAGTGCTAAATTGTGAACTGCGTATTTGTATTCATCTAAATAAGACTGTTTATGGCTTACCACATACCCTAACGGCCTGAGATGTTTTGTAATATCACCAATACCAGCAATAAGTTCCCTTGTAAATCTAATAATGACCTCTCTACTTTCTTTGCAAACTGCGTTCCTGCAAAATAGACAGGGATCATGCGATATTAATTTTCTCTGTTTAGCTTGATCTAAGAAAAATACAAGCATGAAAAATTTCTTCAGTGTGAATTTTTTTATAGCTTCCATATACGCAGGCAAAAGCATATTAGGCGCATTTGATTTAGAGTGTTTATTTTTCAAATAGGGATTTTTAAATAATCTTTGAATAATAAACGTGGTTAGTCCTTCTATGTCACTGTTCGATTTTAATGGCAATACAATACCATATATAGCTTCTAATCCAATACGAAGCCACAGTGGGTTGTAAGATAATAGTAGGTCCATGATTATTTTTTGTAATCCAACATCTAAATGAAGATTTCTATCAGTTCTAATAGCAATCAATTTTTTCTCAATTTGAGCATTCAATTTTTGTATAACTAGAGTTATTTCTGGGCTCATTAACAAGGTCCTCGCTGCTTTTCGAAGGCTTTCCAATCTATGACTGTTGTGATACATACTGCACACTTGTTCTTTTGTGGGGGCAGCAGGAACTTCCTTGTTTCGATTTTCAATCCAAGCTTTGCCTACATCGATCTTTTGTTCTACGTTACTATCCAAATCAGCTGGGGGCGTCAATATACAGTTGAGCCATCTCTTGAATTCTTTTTCAAATTTATCTACAGCTTCTTCGTCATAAAAATAAATGGAAGACAAAAATGGATCTACTGTAGAAGACTGTGAGTACACATTTCCTATTTGATTAAGAGATAAATTTTGATTACATTTAGTTGTATTTCTTTCGTATGTCGTATTGCATATGCTACCCAATGATTCTTTACCCTGTATACTAGTCTTAGGTTTTAATGATTTTTTGGGCAGAGAGACTGGGATCTTCCAAATATCTGGTTCAGCTTTAATGACAGCTTTTTTGGACCATGATTGTCTATTGTGGATCGAGTATTTTGTATTAGCCTTTTCAAAAGTGCGATCATTTATAGTGAAAGTAAATGTTTGCTTATCAGATTTGTCAAATACTTGCATTTCGGAAAATTGTGAACTTTCTTCAGGAATAGACTGAAGTGGTGGCGTTAGAGACCTGGGAGGTGATCTTAAGTCATTCTGTATATCACTGTGCCAAATGTTACTTTCAGCTGGATGCAAATAATGTCTTTCATAAGCATCCTTCTGTTGCTGATATTCTTTAAAAAGAGATTGCCTGCACATTTTTGGCTGATCTCTTAAGAAAAAATGAGGTGGTCTATTTTCGGTATGTATATTAAAACATGGATCCATTGGCGTATTTGGTGAGTCTTTAGTATATGTGTCTGAACTAACTTTAATATTTGTATTCATATCATCAATTAAGAAGTGTATTTCATTATTCATTGGAGGCAAACCCTTTTTCTCAGTTGAAAATCTTTGAGGAAAGAAGGACAGGTCACTGATACGTGAGAATTCTGTATTAATGGTAAAATTGGGGCTATTCATTTCTTTCGGTGATGAAGTATTAGGGATTTTCTTGTTTGGAAGTGAGGGTGTTTCTGTATATTGGTTTTCAACTTGTGTGTGTTGATTTACAGTCAACCACTTGTTAGGTTGTGAGGATGCTATGCTAATTATTGAATGAGTCTCATTTTCTTTATTGAATGTTTTTAAATCTAAACTGTCATCAAAATCACTTTCAGAGTTCATACTAAGTATTATTTGAGGCCCTTTTTCTAATTTTTCATTTTTTGAAGGGAGACTTTTAAGAGGAGTGAATGTAAGATTATCAAATACATCAGTGGACAAAGTATTATATTGTTTCATAGATGGTTTTAAGTTATTTTGGATTTGTATATGATCTTTGTCATTGTTTGTATAAGATTTGTCATATGTCTGTTGTAAGACATTAGAATTTGGTTTTCTTATATTAGAAAATACTTCTGATGTATTAAAGGTGAAGTTGATATTGGTTGGCGAGTCAAATGGACATTTGAGTTGATGGGATTCAGTAGAATAGTCACTGTATATAGATATGTTATCTTTGTTTGATGGTTGCAGTATCCGGTGCTGTGTGGACTGAATGACATTAAGAGTTTTTTTTATTTTAGTTGTATTATAAATACTTTCTGACTTTTTCTTGTAAATGGCCACAGGTGATCTTTTTGGCATTTTCTTTTTCATTTTATGTGGAGATATTTTAAAACTCTTAGATTGGTTAGTTTTTCCTTTTACATGCTGAAATAAACAATATTATAGAAAATATGAAAAAGACCAAAAAAATAAATAATAAGTAGACATATTATATAAATGCTGTCTAGTCCCAAACTAAGCTGAGCTTGTATTATGAGTACTAAACAAACTTTTTTTTGTAAGTACATGCATATTATACACAGAAACCATCAAGACCAATACAAATAAGTGTACTTAAGAATACAAATGTTTATATTGCATGGGAATCAAACCCTGAATATTTCATTTATACAATATAGAATTATGTGAAATAATGTTCAGATGATTGACAAAAGTAGTATAACAGATGGTATTTTCAAAAGTATATGCTGTGGGTGAATTCAATAGAAGCCATAATTAAAAGTCCATATGCTGATCTAAGGATAATATTTTCTTCTTATGAATATTTAGATAGAGCTATCACAACAGCAGCAAGTAATTTAGTATTATATAGTGATATCAATTTTAATAAAAATTCAAGTATCTATTTTATTTATTTACGTTTGTGTCTATAATGTTGACAGTTAAATAAAAATTAATTTGAATTAATTTAGGAACAGACTTTTTACCAAGATATAAGAAAAAAAAAATAAAAATTTATATTTTTGCTATAATCTTTTTAGAACAATCAATAAAAAAAATACATACCTATACCCACTTCTGAGCAGATATCTTTCAATCATGGAAATAAATGATAGAATTGGTGCTGTTGTATGTTATGCATTCTAATAAATATTTTAATAACTTACCATTCTAGATTTGAGTACAACAATCACATCATATCTGCCCCTATTCTCATTAGTGAACCGTATAGTCTCCCTTAATGTTGTTGGCTGCATAGGGGTCCATAGCATTGTCAAGCAGTAGCAGCTCTCTGGCTCTAACACCAGCCATTCTTCAGGTAAGTGTATAACAAGTCCAGCAGGAAGGGATCGGCCGAGTGTTATCTTTAATTTTAAATTAACAATTTATTTAATATATACTTTATAATATATTAAAAAATATATATAAAATATTTCACAAGAACTCAAAAATATTTAAAGCTTTTTTTGTATTTATAAGTAAGATTTATATCACATATTTACTGTTTTTTATTAGGCCTAATTAATAAATAATTATAGCATAACATTTTTCAAAATTGATGATTTATAAGAGACACATAAAAGTTAGACAATAATACTTATCAATTAACACTTTTTTTTTTTATTTTAGCAATTCCATTTATTATTATTGCTTTCTTTCTCTACTCATCATGTAAATTTCAGCACACAATGATACCATTGTGTGATGGAATTGTATTGTGTGCTTACTATTTTTAAAGTCAAATGGGTAATAATATAAAGTAAAAATAAAAGTAATTTCCATTATACAATAATTCATCAATTACAATATAATCCATTAAAAATTTCTTGGTTTTACTTTTAACAACTATTATTTTTTCAATAAGACATATATGGGATGACTTATCTATTGATTATTATAAAAAAAAGGATTTAGTAGAATAATATTATTCTTTAATCATGTTGTAAAGAAATGTATAACACATGTGGCATTATAAATAAAACAAAATCTATTGCATTCTTATTGTTTCATATATTTATGTTAAATATGTAGTAATACCGTCACCACTGAACAATTTTAAAGATGCTAGACTTTGAAAAATCATTATTTTTAGTAGATATAATTATTGTTAGGATTGCAAATTGTGCAGATTTTCAGTTCATGTTCTAGTTTTTGGAATATCCTGGGGTGTTCTAGATATTTTTAAGCAACATCCTCAGCTTTAAAAGCATCCTAATAAGTAAAATATTCAAAATATTTTTATGCATACTTCAAAATTATTAAATATTTTTAAAAAATTTTGAATACTTTTATTAAATAAAGATTGTATCTCACAAAAAACTAACTTCATTTGTGATAAAACCAGTTATTTTGATTTAAAACCTACTGAACCAATTTTGATAAAATTTCTATGGGATCAATCTGTAAGGATATCCTTTTAGATAAATAAAAAATCATAAGTCTGAAATGTTTGAGTCCCTATAAGTCAGAAACAGTGTGGTGCATGAAAAAGTCATATGATTATAGTTGAATCTCTTGAGGGTAAAGTGTGGTTCATACAACATCAAAAATTCATAAAAAAAATTCTAAGTCCTGTGCACCTACTGCTTCAGTGGTACAGCATAATTGATATATATCAGAAATGAAGTGATTTACAAAAAAAATGTCATATGTTCAAAGTTGATTTTCTTGAGAAATCATATGATATCAAAAAAGTCATTGAAATTTCCAAATTTAAGCATATCCTTTCAGATAAAGAGTTAGTCTGAAATGTTTTGGCCTCTATAACTCGGAAACTTAATGGCGCACGAAAAAATGTCACAAGACCATAGTTGATCGTCTTAAGGAACTGTATCTGATGGGCGAATAAAAGAATTGTTATTGTGACATCGAAAAATTCATCTAAATTTTTAAGTCCTTGGCCCATAGAGCCTCTAAGACTATTCTCACCTATAATCCCTCACTGATGCATCGCCAGCGTATACCGTTACCGCAGGCGGATTACCATTACATTATCATCCATTAAAAACCCTAATATATGATAGATAGTTGAACAAATATATACCTGTTGTACATTTTTTGAAGGATTAAATATTTCTAAACTTCGTTCACACGTTGTACCAACAAGGACGCTCTCAAAAACTACTAAAGGAGGCCTAGAAAAAGGAGCCAAAAAAAGACGAGGGCACTCTTCTTTTGGCGAATGCTTCTGTACAGCTTGAACACGGCGAGCCTTTTTAATATGCTCAGGAGTGTTTTCAATCTATAAAGTAATAATAACGAATTTATAATTGAAACAACGAAATAAATTAAGATAAAAATAGATAGCACTTAACGTACATACCTCAAAATACATTTTGATCGTTAACGGGTAATTGATTAATCACTAGTCATACTTAAAAATGCACTCACTTTATCAACGAATGAACTATGGTACAAAAGTAATTTTATTTATAAAATTCTATTACTAAATTTCAAATAATTTGCTATTGATGGCGATTCAATTGTAGAATTAATTCAAAATTTAAACCGACGTTAATTTTTTTTTTTAGTACGTTTGTTCCGTTGTGGAACAGGCTAAGGTCGGAGACCATGCTGCCTAGTCTTTAAAATGATAATTTGTCTGGAATTTTATTATTCTAATGTCGCTTCAATTATTCAGTCATAATCTTCAATATTTCGTTTGTCAAATCCGGTAAGTACATTTTCATAAATTTCTTTTCTTGTGTTCTTAAACCAGTGGATTTATCAAATTAAAAATAAGTAATTATAAAAAATCATTGTCTTGCAATTCAATAAAAGTATTCTTATAGCTCCTTGAATGTTGTAGTAATATAAGTGAAAATAGCTTTGAAACAAGAAGGAAATCTTAAGAGAAGCGGGATTGAGTGCGGGATATTTTCGGGTTTTTTGAAGATAATCTGAAGTTCATCAAACATAATGTGTCTTTGGATGACAAATTCAGAGCAATCAAAAAAAAGGTGATGTAGAGATTGGACTGTATTTGAGTTACACCATGTGCATGATGGGGAAGCGATCATGCCCATTCTTAAACCGACGTTAAGTTAACGTACTGGAATCTGACAGTGACAGAAAATAGTAATGCATCAGTTGAAGCATTCGTCACAGAGAGACTATGTCTAAAGACAAAGAGAAGTAAAGACATAGGAATCAGCTTTAACCATCAGTCACAGACAGGTAGGTACTTACAATAGACTTATAATAATCAAGGTACCTACCTATCATCATAAATATATGCATTATAACTAACTTTTTAAAACTTTTTTTTATTCTAACTTTTTTAATTAGATAAGAAAGATTTTTTACCTTGTTCTTGGGCGCCAACAGTTCACTAATTATTACTAACTTAAAAAAAAGACTACATGGTGGAACCGCAGATACTATTCTAAATCTGTGATTACTAATTACAAAAAAAATGGTTATTACTTATTACATAGGTTCATATTTTAATTGGTTCGTAATCGCTGAATCTGCCCAAAACAAGTGGGGAAATGGATTGTTAGTAATGGTGTCTAATAGCCCCATTGCTATCAATATACCCTCTCAGGTCGACCTCCAACTCGGTTACCCCTGGAAACCATCATGTTTAATTCTTGTCGAATTCATCATGGTGAGCCAACTGACCTGCATTCATTCTCACCTATCATCTTCCACTGGTGCCTCGTCGGTGTATACCGATAGCGCGGGTGGGGTTACCATTCCATTTTCACCCATTAAAAAAAGAGCCCAAGTAATCACAGAATGAAATTAAAGGATTTGGCCTTCGAAAGGGTGTTAAATTGACACATAGTCGCGTTATTTGTCTGTAAATTTTTAGTTGCGCTGAGATTTTGTGCTTTTATCCTGATTTATGTTTATGTTCGTTCATTGGTGGCGGGGTAAGTATTTGTTTATATATATGTGACCCATCTCCATCGTAAACATAATGGAGGTGGGTGCGGACGAGAACCCCCAGATGGTTAAGGTCTTACTGATTTTCCTGTTAATCCAGTTAATAGTACAAGCGACAGAAGACTTAAACTTGAATAGTGACGAAAACAAAAAAATTAAACGTTCCATCAGAGTGTATCAAGTCCTACTCTGTACATGTGACTGGAATAGAACCTAATAACAAGAAATTACATAGAAGAAATGATAAAATAAAAATTGTAAATCATATCGTTGCCTCCTTTCTTCTTATGCAAATATAATTAGTAAAAAGAGAACGAAAGATACACCATTAGTTGCTACTTTTGTCAATTCATAGCAGGCTAGTGTACAGAAAATGTTATACAGCTGTAACCCTACCAAATTCAAATACAACAGAACGAGGATGCAAGGCGAGCAAGTTTGGCTTTAAACGTGGAATAAAAATTGTAGATTATCTTAGTACTTTCACCAATAACGTTCGACTTGTTTTCTCCAAAAATAAATACTTTGGTACTTTCCTAGACAATTCATCAGCATATAATAATGTTCAGTTTCCGATATTCAGGCAAAAATTGCAAAAGCTAAATATTCTCACGAGACTGATCAATATAACTTGCAACCTTTTTATGGCTTACTTATTTATACCTTTTTATAAAAAAACCCCTCTGGAGTACGTTGGGGGTCACACCCGTGTAGTCAAAAATTTTATAGAATACCATAATTAGGAATCATTTTGATTATGGTTGCTTTATTTTAGAGCATTGTAGTGAAATCGTTCTTGCAAAGTTTAATAGACTCCAAGCTAGGAGTCTACGCATTATCTTAGATGCAATGAAGTCTTCTTCAACCAATGCAGTCTAAGTAGAGTATGTTGATCCCTCCTACATCTCCGTAGACAATTCTTCTCCAATTAATTTTATTCTTAACATCGCACAGTATATCACTCATTATCTACTGTCTGTACTAGAATCTACTCGTATATCTAATTTAATTCCTTCCTCTCTATAATGATCATACAAGGCCACACTCTGCTCCCTAATAGCTTTCACAAATTTAAAAATTCCAATACTCAAATAGTTAAAATGCCTCGACATCCTCTTTTTGAATTTAATTTCAACTTATTAATATCTTAGCCTAGTGTTATTTTGAATTTTAATATACAGAAACATTCCTCTATAGCCAATCAAGAATTTTATAAAATCATTAAAGACCATATTGAAGAATGAACACTATTTTTCACAAATGCATCCAGAACATCAGATGATGATAATGTTGACTTTTCAGTACAGATGCCAAAGTATAAGATGGTTCTTAACTTTAAGTGTCCTTCTTTTATTTTCATATTTACAGGAGAGTCATTGGCTATGCTGGAAGCTGTTCTATAATACATCGAATCACTTAAAATCTAAAAATCATTAATATTGCCAGATTCACTAAGTAGCCCTCAGGATATTACGAAGCTTTCATTCCATTCTAAAAATTCCCTCCCCGTTTCCTTTCAAATCCGCGAAGCCCTCCATAAATGCCACTACGCTAAAATAGAGGTTACCCTTGTTTGGATCCCGTCACTCGGGTATTGTACATAATGAGACTGTTGATTCATGCGTTCGACAGACGACAATAACTGGCTGTAACAACCATAAATTCTATTACTCTCGTGACTTTCGTTGTTAGACAAAACAACAAAAGTTTAAAACCTAACAAAGTTTAATCGTTTACAGATACCATTATAAGTTAGTAGATTTGAATAACTTTTTAGTCTCTATTTTGATAAAAAGTCTCTGCTTGCTCTGTTTGTCTCTGGTTCCAAAACTACATTATCTGTCATTATTTCAATCAGACTCGAGAAATTTTCATCCTTCTTTTTTTACTTTACGTACGTATTTTTATCCAATATTTACCTAAGGTCAACCTAAGTATTTAGAAATATATAAACCTATTTTCTTTACAGAAAGTCTATTTATATCAGCTGTTGTCATGGCCGATTCTCAGACAAACGACAATTCCACTTGCGTAGTGTGTTTCAAGAATGTGTTGTATTTTTCGATTGGAGAGTGCGACCATCCCGTGTGTTTCGAATGTTCCACCCGAATGCGTGTGCTTTGTCTTCAGAACGAGTGTCCCATATGTCGCCAGGATCTTTCGAGGGTAAAACTATCACTATAATGTTCTACAAAAGTATCAAAATAATTATTGCACTATATTATGACATGACGGTTTGTGGACAAAATTATTATAAACTGTGGTTTGTTTCCAAATGAAATTTAATTTTTGTATATCCATCTAAAGTATAAAGTATTATATAGGATTTCTGCAGCTTCACCCACACAGTGTCCACAAACTTAGACATAAGCTTTAGTCATATGCAGTAATTTATTGTTGCATTTGTATGTACAGGTGCCATATGAAGGCTTCACAAAAGACAATGCAATATGTATATGTATGCAATACTATAATAATAACATCTGGGGCTTCAACAATTCACAGGCCATGTATAGAATTTTTTGTAATGGGTCATAATGGCATGGTAACACCATCTGTGCTATCGATATACAATGGCGAGGCACCAGTGATAAATGACTAATGGGGATGAAAGCAAGTCAGTTAGCCCATCCAGACAAAATCAACTAGAATTAGCCACTATGGTTTCCAGGGGGAACCATGTGGAGGTCGACCTGTCAGGGTTATAACACTAGTAATGGGGCTATTTGACCCCATTACTAACAAACCCTTTCCCTCCCATGTATACCATTTAGAAGTGCTGTAATAGATTGATTGATGGCACAATAAGTGTTTAGAGAATATCTTTAGGGGCACAATGGGCCAAAGATTTGGATTAGAAATTTTGATGAATTTTTTAATGTTGCAGTAACTCTACTGTTATTAGTCCATCAGATAGGGTTTTTCAAAAGAACTTTAGCCATATTTTGAAATATATTGATGGGGTTATTGCAATGTCGAAAAATTCATCACAATTCTTCTAATTTCTGTGCCACTGATGCTACAATGGTACTGTAGAATTGATATATATCAGAAACAGAGCAATGTATGAAAAAATGTCATAACTAAAGTTGATCCTCATGAGAAACATTTAAAGCCTATGTTGATAAATATATGAAAATATTTCCCAAAACAAGTTGTAACTGTCATCTATAGTTATGAACAGCACCACAGCACAATAAATACATGTGGGGTGGAAAGGGATTGTTAGTAATGGGGTCTATTGACCCATTACTAGCAATACACCCTATCAGGTTGACCTCCACATAGATCCCCTTGGAAACCGTCTTGGTTAATTCTAGTGCAATTTGTCACGATGGGCTAATTGACCTGCCTTTTTATCCTCACCTGTCAACTCTCACTGGTGCCCTGCCAGCATATCCCGATAGCGCAAGCAGGGTTACCATTCCATTATCACCTGTTTAAAAAAAGTATGTAATCTGTTACATGTATTGGTTAATTATACTTTAATACTTTCAATTAATTATCTGTTAATAATAAAATTATGACTTAGGCTGGATCTTAATTAAATGGTTATACACACATGCCAATCATTGTCATTAATAAATGATGCATAACCCTTAGAGGACATTTATGTATTACATAACGTAATTTTTGAAGATTTTTTACTCTCCCTCCCCCATCCAACACGCTGTAACATTTTTCTGTGTGCCCCACCTCAACATTACGTAACACCAACTGACCATTTTTTTTTTTACCGAAAAGTAAACACTAACGAATACTGGCAATGAAAATAAAATAAAAATGACTTACAATGCAGTTGAGGGATTCCCGCATAACGTAAACAAAAAAGGTTGCCAACATAGAAGAACAAAATAAAATTAACGTACAATACAATCGAGATATTCCCGTAAAACATAATGGGAAGGTTTGCCAACTTGGAAGATTACAAGTCCCTATGTAACGCTTTAGGGACTACTCACACTTATTCAGCTCCATTCACGTTTCGCTGAATGATTTTGGTCAAACTTATACAGCTCCGCTTCTATCAACCGCGTATGGCGTCGTAAGAATGAGAAAAGTCGTTATAGCATGCTGTCTCCGCTAAAACGCTTGTTTACTGCGTACGGCGTTGAATATGCTGCATTTCGTAAAAATAAAATAATTATAATTACTATTAAATACGTGTGCACTCTTTAATCCTTGCGTACATAATGTTTACGCAATAATAAATCAAATAAATTCAGAAACAATACAGGTCGCAGCTTGTTGACAAGGAGTCACAAAACATGCCTAAATAAAGAGCTGTTCGACGCGCGCCGCGTTCGACGGTGAAAGCGGCGGAACAGCCCTGAACGCTCTCTATAGCATTCATATGAAAAATACACATTTTATATTATATATTTTATTTATCCTCATTTTATACTGAGTTGCCACCAAAGCAGAATAGACGCGGAAAGCTGAATGGGTGCGTACACATCTCCATACAAAATCGTTGTTTTCTATGGACAAAAGCTGAATAGAGCTGAATAAGGGTGAGTAGTCCCTTAGTGGCCTCTTACGACATCTACTAGAAAGGTAAGGGTGGCCCTTTTTATGCCGGGCCCACATGGCAAAATATAAAATTATATATATATTTTTTTATACCACTGAGGTAGGTACTCAGCAAGGAGTTAATAATTAGTCATATAAAATTTATTAAATCATCATCATCATCTTAGCCATTATCTGTCCATTGCTGAACAAAGGCTTCCTTCATAGACTGCCATAAGAAACGGTCCTGAGCCACCTGCATCATTTGTACTCGTATGAACAAATGCGGTGTAGGACAACACTGCGTTTGTTTATACGAGGTCGCCACTCAAGAACCTTACTCCCCCATCAAATAAATATCAATAATACAATTAAGTAAATAGAGCATAAATGAATTATAAATTAAATTTTTTATTAAAATATAGTATTTTATAATGTAAAAATTTAATGATTAGGAGACAGGTGTGACAGATATGTATGTATGTATTTTATTTTCTACTATACATATAATATAATTTTTTATAAAATTTAAAAATCTACTATGGTAGTGATGGAAGATTTCAATGTGGTAGCTTTGGATAAGCATTGCCAATGACAATTTTATATTGCAGTCATGAAACAACAGAAATTAGGTTATAATTGAAATTGGTTTACAATAGTTTGCATAGGCAAGTTACACTAATATGCATCTCTTATAGATACTATGGAGTCATTATAATGCTAGTATTGCCAAACAACTCGATTTCAATATCGATTTATTGGAATTTATTTCAAGAGTAATCCCATTGCTCTACTATTTGTCACACCTAGCATCCTTTCTACCTATAAAAATTTACCACTTGTGGTTTTTATTTAATTTTTATGTTAAGTTTTTTTTTAGCTTACAGTTAAAAGTCAACTTTTATTAATCATAATAATTCACTAAAATTCTACCGAAACTTAAAGTCTACCGAATTTATATATGTTTTAAAACTATTCGTCTTTAAATAAAAACGAGTCATACAGATGTTGTATCTTTTTTTGTAGTAGCAGTTCTTTTTATTAATTCTATGAATTAGTAAAAATAATATAGATAATTGATTATAAAAACTTGATATGTCGTTACTTTTAGAAGTATCTTAAATAAGGCACTAAATGTGCTTTTATTGTTGAAAGTTGTTATAAGTTTGACTCATTGGCGAAATATATACATATATACTTTAATATCCTTAAACCGAGACTCAGATATAAATCCAAAGTAATTAGTAAAAATAAACATCATTATGCACTGTTTACAATGTTGTTTCAAATATATTCATAAGAATTTTTTTTTTGTAAATAATTTTTATTTTTCAACTTACAGTATATATTTCTCCCGTGTACTGAGTATAAATTACATTATAGTATCCATATTCATGCACACATGGATAAAAAATTTATATTAATGGTGGAACATTTGTAGGAGATACTCCATCTATCTGCGGATGTAGTAACAGGATGTACAAGATGACAGAATGACTCTTCAGTTCAATAATTGTTATTTTCATTCATTGCAGGTTGTGTTTACGGATGCCATAGAGCCTTATAAAAAGCTTCGTAACATAGGGTTTACTGACAGATTCTTCGAAAGACACTTTAAAATAGGGTTTTGTAGTCAAGAAATAAAGAATGCTTATGAGGAGCTGTTGGAAAATCGATGCAAAGTCTGTGATAAAATACCACCGTTTCGTACATTCAGTATGCTCAGCGATCACATGAGAAAGGTCCATGAGAGATATTTCTGTGAATTATGTGTTAAACATTTAAGGGTAAGTTCAATTAATTGGTACTTTTTAAAATCTTTCCGTAATTGTTTGTTATTTTTTAACATTATTATTTATTTTTTTAATTAAAGTATGTTTTACTAAGATATTTACCAGTGAGCGGAAGTGCTATACACGTCAAGAGCTGGCCCATCACAGACGAAAAGGCGATTTAGATGACACTTCGCACAGGTACATACCATCCACTTTTACATAAAATCAATAAAACATATTAACTTTAACAACATCGTAAATAGAAAATATTACAATCTGTTTATCAACTTTTTCAGTTGTAAAAAGTAATGAAAAGAAAGAAAAGTATAGTAGAAATTTAAATATTTATTTCACTTTTGGTGCTGGCTGTATGATATCTTTCAGTACAAATTGCTACTTACTCATATTAGCACTTAGGTAACATGGTTTTGTTTGTTTTCCATTGGACAAGGAAACACCCTAATTGCCTCATATACAAAACATCACTTTATGAATAGGACAAAAAGAATTCGTCTCATATTATATGCTTACTGTGTTACCACATGGTATTTAGATTACGGGTATGTACAAATTTAAAGGTTCAATCTTTCGCCAACAGAGGTCACCCACTGTGTGAATTTTGTGAAGAAAGATTCATGGATGCGGACGAACTCTACCGGCACTTGCGGAAAATGCACCTCTACTGTCACCTGTGTGATGCGGACGGGAAGAACCTCTATTACGCGTCACACTCTGCGCTTGCGCATCACTTCCGCACCGACCACTATTTGTGTGAGGAGGGCGGGTGCGCGGGCGAACATCTAACAGCTGTGTTCAGGAGCGAAATAGATCTTAAAGGTAAAACAAAATTATCAAAAGAATTTTGTGTTATTGTGAACTGCTTCTTGCGTCTTCATCCGCGTGCACCAATATATAAAGTATTACGTTTCATTAGGAAAGTTTAATTAAGAAATATCCATCCACTATTCAGCCCTTTAAGCGTGATCGAGTAACAGACATTGATGATGTAAATAGCGCTATGGATAATGTGAATACGTGTTCGCAGCGCACCGCGCGACGGTACACGGGCGAGGTTTAGCGCGCGGTGCAGCGCGGCAAGCGCGCACGCTCGAGCTGCAGTTCAACATCGCACCGCACCCTGCCGCAGCGCACCGCCCCACCAGGTACGTCCCTATTGCATCCTCTGTTTGATCGCAATACCGGCTTCTCTCTACACATTCGTTCTGCGAACTTTAAATATTCTTTTCAAAATATTTTTTTACTTGTTATATCACAATCTTAATGCGAAGCATTTAAACATTAAATTGTCCTGATAGCAAACTAAAAAATTAATCATGCAATAAGATTCTTATTAAACTGTTACTGAAAATATGGATTTTGATGATATACAAGTATTTGTAAACTTCAAAACAAACACGTATATATAAATTTATGACATATGCAACTTATTCCATAATTAACACTGTATTTCGCTATCAAAGTACTTTTTAAATGTTCAGAAATATTTCACTGAGACAACCGATTGACATTGGCACACTTCGGTACGAACGTTCCGATTGTACTATAGGGAGAGCAGGGACAGCCGGGAACCGGAGGCGGCGGCTTCTCCGGCGACGCCGCCGCACATCGACACCCGCAGCGACGAACATTTCCCGCGCCTCGCCGCCGCGCCCGCGCAGCCTAGCCTCGTGCTTGCACCACCCATGAGACACTACAGAGGTACCGAGCTCACGACACTGCGTTCAAAACACACACGAAGATTACTATTATTGGATTTTTCTGTCCCTATTACTCTGTTCGTGGAGGTAGCATGCACGCTCCTCGCAGTTCCCTCTGGATACCATCGTGATTCCTTGTGAATTCGCATAATGGGCTAAAGGACATAGCTTCGCCCTCACTAGTATTTCACCAGTGTAAGCCGATAGCGCAAGTACAGTAATAATTCTTTGTTGTAACTAAAAAAAAACAGACTTTAGGGTGCTATTGTAAATTATCGAATGCACTACAAACTGAATGCCGCTTCAAATACTTTACAAATAATGAACTTGGTTATGCATGGCCGTCATAAAAAAATGCTTTCAACCCTCTTAAAAAAATAGCAGTGATAATAATTAGCTTAGTTCAAATTTGTATTCGATTTTGACAGCTGCAGATGGATTAACGCGTAACGACAAGAATTTCCCAGCACTAGATGGCGGCGGCGGCGGTACCGCTATGCCGACTACATCTGCCACTAGGCCTTCAGCCTCACAATCAGTCGCCGCTACCGTGCTCAGGAATTGTATGTATAACTGTCAGTTTTAATTTTATATTATAGTTGTTAGCAATTTATGATATTTCTACCGTGATTATATCGTTAGCTCCAATAGCGATATTTTGCGCTGTTACATGCATCATTATCACGAGTTGTAAATATTTAATAATTACTACGGTAAATATCTCGTTCATAAAATGTGTAGACTCTAAGTATCTTGGATTAAGCTCACTTTTCGGAAGGTATAACACCAAGAATAAGCGCTACAATTGTTGTTAACACCCTTTTTTAACTTTTGTTTGTAAACCCTTATTTTACTCGTATCTCATCAGCTTATACAAATCCTTGTTTAATTGACTTGTACAACCCCTCATTTTATTAATCGCTTTCAACCTTCTTCTTTTAGAAAGATCTCAATTTGGAGATATTTTTTTTGTTTGTTACCTCATAATTGCGTCAGTTATAAACCGATTGAAATTTTTTTTTGTCTAACAGAACTAATCTGAAGATATATCTATTAGATTGGTATCATAAAAAAAATTATCAAAATCGTTTCAGTAGTTTAGTATTTATTTCAAAATAATTGATTTTGCCATGATTAAAGTCGGTTTTAGGATTTATTACCAAAAATATGTAAAGAATTTTTATGGTGTAACTTTTTTGTGGAACACAATCTTCGTGGTTATTTATTTTATTGCAAATATACTTTCAGACTTTCATACAATATTCATAAATAACACGTCAGTCAACATTTGACTGACCTTAAGTCTTAGAAATACTGAGGCTGAAATTTTGCGTCATTTACTCCAGGTGGCCTCACCTCTTATTTTTCTTTTTTCAGCCAAGCCTAGTGTGTCAATACAGCTACATAGCCAACCGGCTAGCGCAAGTAATTTTCGATTAACGCAGACTAGTGGAAACCGTATCTCGATACCGCCGCAACAACGGAAACCGCCAGTATCCCTTAGTGATGATGACTTTCCTTCACTAGGGGTTGGAAAAGATGACCATCCTAACATAGGAGCTGGCACGGTACAACCGTCGAAGGTGACTACAGTTGAAATCATTTTCTCATGTTAATTCATACACAGTGTGCACTGTGATGTCAATAATATATTTATATTTTTATTATAATTTCAGGTAACATTAATAAATAGTCAAGAAATGAATATGCTCAAAAATAGTCAATCAAGTTCACAACCTAAGAAACCACAGTTGAATTCTGAGGCTTTTCCTGCTTTGTCGTCTACATCGGCGCCGTCTGCGCCGCCTCAGTGGATAACCGTTTCCAAGTCCAAAGAGAAACCTAAGCCTACAAAGCCCGAGCCGCCTCCTCAACCGCGAGAGCCAAAGTTTAACCCTGTCGCCGATTTCCCAACATTACCTGTTAATAACTCAAAATCGAAATCCAAAAAACAGCCACAATCGCAACCACAACCAGCCCCCACCCCGGCACCCGTTAATAATGATTTCACAAAGATGACTAAAAAAGAGAAAAAGAAACAAAACAATAATACTAAAAAAGAGCCACCTCTCGAAATACCTCATATAAATGGCGTCGATAAGAAAGTCGCCAGAGAAATGGCTTACGTTGGGATCAGTGTAAATAATAACGAGCAGAATAGTAATATTGATAAAAAGGTGAAAACTATAGAGTCGACATCGAGTGTTACTCTAGACTCGGATAAGAACAAGAATGGAGGTAACAGCGACTTCGCTCTCGCGCCCAAGGATTACCCTCCGCTGAATCCCAGGGCCGAGAACAGTGTGGGGAGCAAAAAAGTCGCGAATGGAAGTGTGCCGCCCGGGTTCAAGGCGCGGCCGGCTTGCGACGGGATGACGTTCACCAACTCGGCCGGCCAGACGTTCCCTGCGCCCGTGCACGCCTACATTCCGCCGCCGGATTTCGAGCAGCGCAACCGGGCACTCGTAAAAAAATTCGCGGTCGCTTTGGGTGGCACTGCCGCTGTTGAAGATTTCAAGGTACTGTTTTTATTTGACACCTGACATTATTTGTATTTTTTCTTTTATTATTTGTCGAATAGTGAATTTGCCAACAGCAAATATCACTATTTGCCATGAGGAAATAATTTTTCCCCATAACATTCGCGTCATTGTGACGAAATCTGTTTTGACGCTAATTGACCTTTTAATGGTTCCTGGTTTCTTTCCTATATAATTGTAATTTCATTAGTGCATTGTAATACTTTATGTATGTGTTTAAATTTTTTTATAAAAACAATAAATATACCAGTGTTTATCGTTTCTCTAAAATTCATAGTAAAAACTGTTTAGTTTGAGACTAAATAGTAAAGACTACATAACATCTTTAAGAGACCATAATTATATTATTTTAAAGGTGGCGTCGCGCGCGTTCCGCGATGGAATTATCAACGCGGACGAGTTTTATCAGCATTGTCGTTCAGCGCTAGGGTCGCAGCTCGAAGCTGTATTCCCAGAGCTAGTAGCGTTGCTGCCCGATATCGCCAAACAACAGGAGTTAGTCGTGGGGCGTGGCGCGGGCGGTGCGGGGGGAGGACTACACACGTGCGCTGCGTGCGGGCAACTGGTGGCGGCAACAGACTACGGTGCACATGAGGCTGCACACTGGCCACCACTCGCACCACGCTAGCTTGCCAACAACCGCCATGTGATAACACCTTTTTTGTCTAAAAAAAAAATACTGATAACCCCTAGCCTAGACCGCTTTAGTAATTCAGTCGAGTGATTACTAATTAAGCAGTGTCTGAACAATATTTTAGTTGTTTCTTTTACCCAATTTGTTTGTTACTAGACTGAATTACTAAAACAAGAGCTAAGCTTAACAAATAGTTGAAAATATAAGACTAAATAGCCATTTACACTTTGTTAAATTATTAGTCCAGGTGCAAAGTAGTTAATTATTATTAGATTTTTATGTTGTTAAGTATTAAAAAACACATTGGTTAGTGTGTGTTCATACATTATAATGAGTGTAAAGAGCATGCAGGTGTGAGGGGTTCACCTGCTAATACCATTAACTTATGAATATTGAAAACAGATTATACTTCTATTCAGTTTATCTTGCACCCATACTTATCATTTAACATCGTGTAAACAAACCAGAAACGTCCTGTCTTAGTTTTAGATAGTAGATTTCCTTTTTTGTTTTGATTATAACACATTGACAGAATTATAGTACGTGCCGTATTTCATGTTTACAGAATTATATTAAGTAAATTATTGACTCATTTGGTTTTGGACTAAGTAGTGATTAGACAAAATGTATAAATTTATATTCAGATTCTTATCTCATATTTCAAAACTTTATATTATAAGCGTATATCGCGCTTATCAATATATAAAATAAATGAGCACTGACAAATTGTATGTACCTTAATATATTTTGTTTCTGTAATTGTGTATGATAATCATACTAGCCACAGTTATTAAATAAAACATTTTATATTGATCTTTGTATCCTATTCTACTGTATAGTGGATATAATTAAGTAATCCTTTAGTAACAAGTTTAAAACTCCAATAATACGTAATTTGTTCTATTACTGAATGATACTTGAATTAGTACACAATATTTTATATGCAAAATATTGCAGATGATTAATGCAATATTTATTGTTACGCTCGATACTCTCCAGTATCGCAGTTAATAAGCTTAAAGTGATTTACTAAAAGTAATGTTACACAGTGTAAAAATATATTGTTTTGAAACTTAAATTAATTATATTTTTGTACTCTTCAAACACCAATAATTTAGTCTATGTAAAATATTTTGTGTTAAATACATGTTATTGGTTTTATTATTGCCCGTTTTTCCAACTGGAGTTAGGGTAAGATTTACTAATCAATAATACCTTTTTTATGTAGACAGATATATTTATATAAATTACTAGTAACATTAACTAGTCAAGTTAGATACATACATCTCATAAAACTTTCAGTACAGTATATTAGTATCCAAGTAACATAATATGTGTATAAAAACAATCACCTAATTATTTGTCGCTTTTTCCCCAACCTAAGAAACCCTTAACCAATCCAGTAAGACCTGCGCCTTGCTTTTTACTATCTGCTGCACCTGTCTTGTCATCCAAATTCGGGAATTCTATAAAATTGGATGCTAAATCAAAGAATAATGGTTTACAAGGAATAGCTTCCATCGGAGGTGGCATTTTATAAATGTTTGGATTTTTAGTTAAAACCTGTGTATCTTCACGGTATTCATCCAAACGATCAACTAATGGCTTCTTGTCCTTATGCGGCTTACCACTCATATACTTGTTTTCTTCTTCCTGATCCTCATCATCTTCTAGTACAGAATCGGCATGAACTTCAAATTTGCAACTTTCAATATCCTTCTTTAAAATCTGCAATTTATCCAAGAGTTGTTTGTCTGTCAATTTGCTAGCTATAGATTCAGTTACATAAGAATCGCATCTCTCAAGCATAGCTAGAGCTTCGCGGAAGCGCCTGAGCCCTGTCAGGACTTGAGCGATGTAGTAGCAACGGAATGCGCGATACGCCTTCATTTGTGTCTCAATCTCTTGTTGATATACTGCATCACTTTCAAATCCAGGTAGTTGTTGCAGTTCAGTGAAATTCTGCAAAATGATCTCGTAAAGTCTTGTTAAATCATGGGGACGCACTTTCTTCCCATCAATTTGTATATTATTCTTACGAGCATGTTCAGCTTGTTGTACAAGCAAATTGTTTCTGTCTATAGTGCGAACAAGGCGCAAATACATCAAGTAAGAGAGCAAATAATTAATGCCAGACATTTGCAACTCAGACGCCGATTTCAGTTTTGGATCACTTTTAATCTCATCTTTGATGGCAGATATAGCATCTTTACAATCCATAAGGATGTTTTCAAGTATATCGATCTTAGCCTCGACGGTCTGTGCATTGGCGACAGACTTGTCAAGATCTTGCAGGGCGATGAGGAACAGCCGGACCTTCTCGGGCCTCACCGTGACGCGGCGACCACGCCATTCTACTTCATGCATAATGCCGGAGCGGGATTCTCTGTAATCAAAATGACATATCATGGAATTGCAAAAATTGTTACAACTGAAAATTAACCTCTGTAAGTTTGGTGATGCAAATTTCAAAATGCCATCAGTGATTTTATTGATGTTAACAGGAATATTCATAAATTATCATGAAAGTACTATAGCTGTTTTATATAATTCGCCTTCACATACTTAGCCTGCGCCATAAGTGAGTCCAGGTTCTCTATAAGACCCTGGCCGCGCATTGCGACCAGGTCACCGGCTGCAGACTCGTCGCCTATGTTGTATGCACAGTAACGCAAGCTAGGCTTTAGCTCTTCCACCTACAAAGAAAAAAATACAAGAATGATATTAACACAATTTTTTTTTTATGCTTTTTTTTCATAGAATATAAAGTAGTAATTTAGACAAATTCTAATTTTGGAGATAATAGTTTTAATTTTGCCTTTTACAATATAAAATAGGATTATTTAATAAACTTAGTATTCTTTATTATTATATAACATACATATTCCAAAACTGAGAAATGTTTGAATTTTTTCATGTAGAATAATCCAAAGCCGTAAGCATTGATAGGAGAATCTTTTGCACACCGTGTTAAATAGTGAAAAGGACTGGATGCTATGTAACGATAATAAGGTGACTTTCTATGTAATTGGATTGGAATCAAATTTCTTAGTCACCCTGTAGGTGACAGGCGGGTATAGCGCGTACTAACCTTCTGCTTATAAACGAGCCTCTCGTCCTCGGGCAGTGCGGCGCTAAGATTGTCGAGCACGAGCTGCGCGCGCTGCAGGCTGTCGGCGGCGCGGCGCCACTGCTGCAGCTCCAGCAGCAGCGCGCCGCCGAGCCACGCCGCGTAAGCTCCCGCCTCTAATTGAGTGCGCGCGTCGCACGCGCCGCTCTGCTGCGTACACACAACAATGTCAGGATTAAAATACCCCAAGCTGCTTAATACTCATCATCTTCCTACCCTTATCCCAATTAAGATTCTTCTAGAATTCCTTTCCCAGAAGAAAAATGGGAGGGAATTGCTGCTTATTACTAATTTCCAATAATAAACAAAGTTAAATAAACATTTCCTCCTTATTACATCATATCAAGACTCAGTGTATATAAAATGTTAAACCACTGGGTTAAGATTAATAATAAGATATTTATTTAAGAAAAATCCATTTGGGGGATCTTCATAACACCAATAGAAACTAAAAGAATTATTTTCATAATTTTTCTTTGGCTGCTTGTTTGTTTTGTGATATTTCACAAAAATATGGCACCAAATTGGATGTGATTTCCACAGTTGTGTTTCTGAAGTTCTGACTTAGAGTTTGATGTATGTTTTAATTTAATACACTATCTAGAAGTGGTAATATATTTTGAAAATCCACCCGCAAGCAAAAACCAGTCCTTTATAAAAAAGCTTATTGTTCATTTCAAGTTACATTAAAAAGTCAATGAATAACCTGGCTATTGAGGCAAATAAATCTCTGAAAAATGATGTTCTTTAATGACTGATAACATATATAATTACTTCACACAATTGCAAGAGCGTCTGCGCATGCGAACATGCTTTCTTAAGGCGCGCGATGAGATGGAACTTTTTCCGAGGTTCAGTATTGGCCTCTTGGCGTAACTGCATCGCGTGGGCCCAAGCACGTTCGGCCTGCAGGAGTGGCACACCCAGCAGACGGTTCTCAGCGTTAGCCGCTGTCAGGTGCACAGTTGTGACATCGCGGCGACGGTAATGGCGTCTGTCACCCTAAAAAAAATATTTGTTATTTCATTAGTCCATATATGTGCGATTCTTGCAGCTAAACATTATAATTTACAGTTAAAAATTACCAGAGATTATAAATTTTTTACATTGCTGGCTTGGATATTGACAGTTGTAACACCGAAAAGTATATATATTACGCGCGCATAGTAAGTACCTACGCCGTGAGACCCATCTAAACGTATAGCGCAGGCGCGTCGACCGACCAATAGGAGCGCGCCTCTCGCGCTTCGAGAAAGTTCGCGACTAACGAGCGAGAGAGTAGTTGGGCGATGAGTGTCCTAGTGATATCATATAATACTGTTTCGCTGTTAAATATTGTAATATATTGTAACACATATAATTTTCAATAAAATAACGTGTTCACCCGTTACACAGTGGTTTATATGTAACACTGTGATAAATGTTAACATCCTAAAAAAATAACAGATTTAATAGAAAAATAGCATAATTGAAGGCACTCTAAATGTGTGTACAAAATAAACAATAGCTAAATAAAGTTTTTATATTGAATACAAATGCTAACATTGTTTACAATTGTACTAAATATTAAAAAATAGAATATACATAATACTAGCTATGTTATATATATTATTATATAACATCCAGAAAATATATATTACTGTATTCTTCACAGAGAACATATATACATGGTTCTAAAGCAGATCTATTAATTAAAATTGTTCAAACACCTGTGGTATTTTGAGCACTTTGCGTAGACGCCTGAGACGTCTGGAACAGTATCCTCGGTACCGTTGATAATCTCCATGTCGCAGTCCATGTTGCTGCTGAGCATCCTTGATAATACGAAATACTGTTAACACATTAAGGATGTTATATAATTTTTTAACAATGTTTAAATTTTTAATAACATAAGGTTTAAGTAATTTTTCAATCATACAAAGTTCTGAGATATAACATAAACATACTAAATATTTAAAAAATAAATAGAACATTTAGAAAAGAATAAATATGATACAAAACGACGAAGGAAGTTCTTCCATTTCTTTAGATGGAAATATTATGCAAACTAAGCAGAGCCTGGCCAGGACAATTTTATGATGTCAACATTATTGCATTAAATTGCAATGCCAAATATCTATATGTGTGGGTAAAGATGTTTCTGATGAATAGGCATGACAAAGCTAACATTCAGACATTCTCTATGAGGTTGGTGGAGTCTCAACAAAAATTTGAATAAAATACTTTGTAGTGTATTTATGGCAAATTTCATAATGGTAACAAAATTATACATACTCAACAAAATAGCCAAATAACTCTCTTATAATGTTGATATGGCAATGAAATTAAAAGATACAGAGGCATAACACTAGTCTTCAGGAATGGCATATAAATGGTATCATGGGTTACATAGTATATTTTGTTATGCCCATGTTACTGTTCATGTCTATAGGTGATAGTTATCATTTTTTATTAGGTGGCCGTTGGTTTGTTGCCATTGTGAGTTACATGCCCTGTAATAATATGATAGTATAATATAACAGTTTTTCTGTGCTCAGGGCTTGTTATGCCTCTCCCCATTAGAAGAGAATTTATACAGCCTGATATGAGATTTTATTACAAAAATTTTCTTTTCTTGCACCCATGTATAGTATCGAGTTTATCCAATACTTTCCCACAACATCGTAGGAAATAATTTCAATAATAATTAATGAAAATTACTATATCTAGATAAAAAATAATCCCAAACATATTTTATATACAGGTATATACAAATGTTGAGAAAATTTGAACTATGAGAAAACTGGTCCAACAGCTGGTCTTTTAAAGGATACTCTCTAATGTGAGAAGGTTCGTGGCTTTTCCTTCTTCTTTATCTTCGGTGGGAACAGGTTTTGCATCTCCAGCTTCGTCTTCTAACACAACCATGACTAATGATCAATTTTTGAATGTCTTTAAATAATTTTTATTAACCTATAAGATATTTTCAATTAAATAAACCTTACACGACTACGGTAACAGACAAGCGGTTCTTTTTCTTTTTTTTCTTCTTTCATTGATTCAATCAATGTCAGTTTAATATAGTAAAAGTGACGTCGACAGAGTTGACGTCACATCTTATAATTCATAGTTTAAGTGGTTTAAGGATATTACCTGCATCCACAGACATAATAATCAAGTTATTAAGTATATTTGCGTTATATTAATAAAAATGTGCTTAATGCATAATCTATAGTAGTATAAGTATTACAGACATATATGATAACTATAATTCACAGATATAATTATATGTGTGTGGTATAGTTATAGTAGCATTGCCAGACTGGGTATTTTTTTGCAATTTTGGGTAAAATATTGTCTGTTTATGAACTTTTAGAGAAATGTAATTCTTTTTGGTAATAGTTTTAGTACTTGGTAATTCTACAGATATATATGCGTGCGCGAAGGTATATAACAGTGGATGGGGTATAAGATAAGAGATAAAGAGGATAAGACATACAGAGCAAATAATAACTATGGCAAGTTTGTTTTTTTTTTTATGAGTATACTATGTATTATACAAATAAAGAAAACTTGGGAAAATAAAATGTTGAAACAATATAGTGTTAATCATATTTATAAAATGTATTATTACTATTTATAAAATATAATCACATTTTAGAAAGCAAAAATAACAAGAATGTATTGTTAAAAAATTACATTACCCGCCATTAGTTTTGAAGCCACAATGTACTAAAGATACTATATATGTGTATAAAGAGCGTGTGTGTGTTTTTTATACAATTTAGAATGGTAAACAAGCTGATGGCCCACGTAATGGAAAGTGGTAACCGTCGTCTATAGACATGAGTCGTCGATATAGTCATATGATGTGTGTCGGACTATATAATTAATTTCCTACAAAGATAAATCATAAGTGATTAGAAAGTATATGTATTACATTGTATCATTTTAGTATAACTATTTAGTTTTTCATTATAGTAGCAACAAGGGTTGATTTTGAGACGCCATTTTTATTAACTCTCATTTTATCTCTATAACCTAATGTTTTAAATTAATAATTTTGCGAAATTACTATTTTATAAAACATTATAAACTAAATTTAAGATAATTTTCATTTAAATTTATTTGAAATTATTTCATATTGGTCCTTAGACTTAAGATATTGTTGTGATATCAAATTTAAAGTTGAGATATTTCCCAAATTTATCATTTTAGAGAAATGGCGCCATACAATTAACCCCTACTATCTTAAACTACTATCAATTGAGCATAGATTAAGAATTGTAGCTAGTAAATTTATTATTGACATTGACACTTGACTTTTAAAGATTTGACAGCTTTTTGTTTTGTAATGTTTTCTTTCTTTTCTTGTTCAACGTTCTGCATAGGTTAGTTTTGTTTTGAAAGAATTAAAATTCGCTATTTATCTTTAAAATCGTGCAATATTATTTTATTATATTACATTCACGACAAAATAGATTTTGTTTTGTATGTTAACTCGTGTATATTTTATTTTTACAGAACAGGTAATAAACCGAAATGGCGAAGTCAAAGAATCACACAAATCATAACCAAAGTATGTAAACAGTTTTTTAAGTCAGTTTATAAATTAAAAAGTCATTAATTTTATTTCAAAATATACGATTGCTGTAAATAAATATTTTTATATTATTTTCAGATCGCAAAGCCCATAGGAATGGTATTAAAAAGCCTAAGAAGTTCAGACACGAGTCTACCCTTGGAGTAAGTTCACATAAATTAGTATTTATGATGCAGTTTTTGATTGGCAAATTAAGTCATTTTTGTTTCGTTCTAATATAGAAGTAATAGTAAGTTTTAATGTAGAAGTAACTAGCAGTTTCCCGCGGCGTTGCTCGTTTCTATGCAATTATCATATATTATTTCTATTGGAACCCTTCATGAATTTGGTCTTATGTTGTATTATATACTTAAATGATAATTACATAGCTTCATAAAGTTTCAGCCAATTCAAGTGATTATTATTTTATAGCATTTTATATGTGATTCTTTACATTGATATAACTTTTTTATTTATGAACTGATTGAAATAAAACAAACACTAAACGTTAAGTGCAGCAAACTGCAACACAATGGAAACCACATTCAAATAGGTTAAGCCATTTCTACGATTAGCGGGCACAAACAGATAAATATTTTAAAAATCATTGGGTTCTATTGTGTTCATAAAGCCTCATTATAGTAGTTCTTATATATCTTCCATATACAGACAGCAATCTGTTACAATTTTATTATATATATTTATATGTATTACATTGATCTATAAATAGAGGCAGAAAGCAAAACTGATTTCACTGAATAGGTACTTCATATTCATATTTGCCTGGTTTTCAAGCCATAATGTCTCTATAATCTCTTTTCGTAAACCAACATAGAAACATATATGAAGATAATTAAAATGTTCATTTAAGCACATACAAGAAACTTTACCATTTCAGTTATAGTTCCGATCTAAAACAATTGACAAGAAATTGCAGCTTATTAAGGGAATTATTATTTTTTATATTTGTTCAAAACTGTAATTAATTAATAGTAAAACCATCCCTTTGTGAGATTTAAAGCTTAATTATATGTGTTTGGTGGAAATATAAAGTACTTGTATATAATATGCCTAGTCGTTAGTGAATAATTATATTTTATTTTTTTTTCAGATGGATCCGAAATTCTTGAGGAATCAAAGGTTTTGCAAAAAAGGCAACCTAAAACCAGCAAAACAACTTGCAAAGGCAGCAGAGAGAAAAGCTGTGCGAGAATCGAAAGCTAAGAAATGAACATCTAGCTTTTAAGATAATATAAAAATCAACAAAATCCATCATATTTTTTATTTTTAACATAGACATCTTATACATGTAGATATGCTATTATAAGAACAGATAAAAATATCTGCAGTATTAAAATTACTAGTAATTACATATTTTAAGAAGTACATAGTAGGAATTAGGTAAAACCTATTGTACATATGAGAACTTCAGTTACATATTAAAATTTAAAATTACCATTTAGTTTACAATAGCAGAATAAAGGTCTTCAGACTATGGAATGTCCTTTTGTGTATGTAAAGTGTGTACATGTAGATATACATTGTAGTACAGAACCACCCCTTTCCCGTGGGTGTCGTAAGAGGCGACTAAGGGAGGGCGCACGCACACGCAGCAGCATCCCTTTTAAAATATCTCCAAAACTTAACTGCGGTTGCCAATCCACCTGCCAAGCGTGGCAACTATTGGCAAAACGCCCCAAGGGGAGGTTTATATTCAGCAGTGGACAGTCAGCAGTGGACAGTTAAAGGCCGATACGATACAAGAGCACTCAAAACAGGGGGTTTAAATTTGCACAGAGCATGTTCTCCCGTAGTATTAGTGCTCCTCATTTAACTCTATTTGAGTAAATGGAGAAATTCGTGTTTATGCTTACTTTCAATCCTATTTAGAAAACTAAATATTAGACAAAAACATATATTCATATGATAAAGTGCATAATATATTTTTACACATATGTGAATGCGAGTCGAGCTAGCAAAGGCACGTAAAACAAAACTCCATTTAGTTTAAACAATTGATTACAGCCTCAATGGTTAAATCGTTAGCAGCTTGAAATGGAGTTTAGCAGCTTTATTGCTTCCGATATACCCTGTCAGGTTTTGACGATCTCTGACCTCTGGAAACCATATGGTGACGAATTTAGTCACGGGTAGGTTAACTGACCTGACTTCATCTTTGTTTATTTGTATCATACACTGATATATGCCATATTAAGTGTAAGCAGATAATAGGTAGGATAATGATTCTATTTTCATTCCTTAATGTTGGACTCGCATGCTTGCCGAATGTAAAGCGATTCCACTTTTGTTGCTCAAGCAAACACATGGAACCCATATGGACAGATTTGAGCATATTAATTTAAGAACTTTATAGTCATTAGAATGGCCAATATGGATCTGACCTTAAACTTTATAATGAACAATAACTCAAATAATTATTATCTAGGAAGTGTAAAATCGCCTTTCTTATAGCGATATGCATTTCATAAAATATGAAATAATCATCCATATTACATGTTGTCATACTATCATTAGAGTCACAACTTTTATTTTCCGTAATATAAATATAGGACAATTTCCATGGTCAAAGTAGTCTATACTTATTTTTAAAAAATCATGACAAATTTATAGACATATATATATATATATATATATATATATATATATATATGTATGTATGTATGTATGTATACACACACACACACATATATATGTATGTATGTATGTATATATATATATATATATATATATATATATATATATATATATATATATATATATATATATATATATATATATATATATATATATATAGTAGCTATCAAAACTTATGACCACAGTATTAGGAAACTGTCCATATTTGTCACATTACATCATGGTAAAAATTGCAACTACTAATTTAGACTAAATACACAACAACGTAATGTGGATTGATATGAATTAGTATCTATATGTTGTAACTAAACTTTATATATATAATTAATGAAAGATTAAAAAACAAAATCTTGGAGTTGTGGTTAGTTCCTATTTAAGAGTTCGTACATAAGAAGCCCGGCAACATCAATAATTTAAATTTTAAACTTTGTTTACTGTATCCAATTTATTAAATAAAATGTTATTGTGTTAACTTTTTTGGCACTTTTCAAATTGAAGCTAGTTATGTAGATAATAGCAATATTTTATGGCCATCTCATAAGAGCACTGTTTTCTATATAACTATCTCCAGTTACTATCAATGAGAAATATAGATGTTGCCCGCCTTGCAGTATAATCCTTAGTTATTTGTATGCTGTTTAAATGGCTTTTTCGGGCCCTGGGGTTTAGGACCCGGTCCTTTAGGCCCTGGCCCTTTGTTTCCGGCACCTTTCTGCCCAAATCCCTTGGGTCCTGAGTTATCGTTTTGAGGTTTTGCATTAGTGTCTCCCTTAGATTTTTTTTCCTTGTTGCAAGATGAAGGAATTCTTTTTATGAAAAATCGGAATGACATCTTATTATCTTTTATAAAGTGGCCAAACATATTCAAAGGCATGATGCCACATTTCCCTATGCGGAACACTTCATCAGCTTTAAGAGCGTCATTAAAACAGTGTTCCATGAACACTATTTTTCTTCTGGTATCTTGCTTGCTTGTGACATGTATCTCATATACATGCTGATGTGCAACTGCTTTGCTTCCGATATGCTGTATCGTCCAATATACCATATTCTGTAAGGTATCAATTTTCATTGTAATTATAAACAATAGCTTCCCCTGTGAGATCAGATACATATAACGGTCATCTTCCTTGACATTTATGTTGTTCAGTTCCACATCAGTATCAGTGTTGACGTTGCAATTTAGTGGATGACGCTCTTTGAAATGATCCATCATCTCCTTCAGTTTACCTGAAAATAATATGTTATTATATACTAGTCTTTTTTTTTTTATTTTTATAATTTGTAATAGTGAGACGTTACTGACACAAATTTATTCCTAATAACCACGACCGCTTAAATGAGTATTTAGTAATCTTTTAAGACATGTTACAAGAAGGATTGAAATCGACAATAGTTTTATAAATAAGTAATTTGTTTGATTTACCATGCCATGAGCATCTTCCAAAAACAAGTCCAAGTGGACAATCCATCTCGCGGAAAATACACTCCTTCAGGTGGTCTTGTACATCATTGGATTCCATCATGTACACACACCCAAATGTTTTATTAGGGCAAGGTACTTTTGCCTGCAAAAGATTGATGATGTAGAAATTATGCACAAACATCAGACATTTTTTATTAATTTTATAGTTTATAGTTATTAGTTTAATATGTATTTGGCAGTGTTTTTGTCTGTGAAATTGAGAAATTTGTCAAATAATCGTCGAATCCAATCGTCGAAAAACGACAAAAACATCTTGAGCCTCTCATACTAAGACGGCGTCGACAAAGTCTATAAGTTGGTATGCGAGATTCAACATTTATTGATAAACGATTCGTATTTTTTTTTTTTGAGAATATGTTTTATATTGTAAAACAGTAATATATGAGTAACGTATTTCACTTTGAAGGGTTTTCCAATTTCTATAATAAGAGACATCTGTGTGGTGAGTAAAAAACTTAAAGGATCCCGAGGATAAGGAGGATTATATTAAGACGTACTATGTATTCTGTGATGATATGCTCTTTTATTAGTTATTTACATAGGTTCAGTAGGTGGACCAGTAACTTGTTCGTAGTTAAATATATTATCGAGATTTAACGCGATGAAACATTTCTGCAGGCAAATAACATCTAAATAGCTGCTTCTTTATTGCCGATATTTCGAAATCCGAAAAATTTCAATAAGGAAGATGGATATAGACTTTCAACAGCATAGGACGCAGTGATAAGTGATAAAACACGCGAAATTTTTTTTAAACGCAGTGTAGATCTACATAATAATATTGACAGAACCGAAAAGATTGCACGGGCTTGCTTCAGTTCTGCTGTGACCATAACATGCCGAAACGTCGGCAATAAAGAAGCAAGTATGTAGGTACTATTTACCTGCAAAAAATTTTCGTCGCGTTTAGTCCCGATAGTGAATTTAAAATATGTAAAGAACGTGAATGGTGAAAATGAACTAATTGTTCGTAATTCTCAGTAGTATAAAAGAAAAATATCAAAGAAAACCCACCTTAGATATCATTTCTTCGAGTTGCCAGTTTCTCATCTGTGTCATAGGCTGGCGACATAGAGGACAGATCGGTGGACACAACGATGTGGTGCATTTAATACAGAGGCTGTGCCCTGACTGGCACTGAAATATCGGTCCCAACATTGTCTCCATACATACAGGGCACTCCGGCAAATCAATTGCTGCTGATGCCATTCTGTATTTGACATAACTGGTTAATAAGTACTTCTTCATCATTATCATCGTATCAGCTTTTAATTGTCCACTGGTGAACATAAGCCTTTCCCCTTGAGGGGGGGGGGGTTGCTAGTAGTTGCCACGCTTAGTAGGCGGATTGATAAACGCAGTTTGACTCTACAGATGTTTTAAGAGAGACGCTGCTGCTCATCTTTCACCCTCCCTTGGTCGCCTTTTATAACACAAACGGAAAAGGATGGGGTGGTCTATTCTATGCCGAGACCACACGGTAATGAGTACTTACATACAATAATTTTATAGCAAATGGTAATTATCCATTAGAAAATATTAGCTAGATTAAGCTAATATTTTCTAATAGATAACCGTGCGGTCACGTAATTAATGAAATATATAAAAAAAATTCATTAATACTCTCCCATGAGATGGAATATTTCCCTTGGAATTGTATATACAATATATACAAAAATTCAAACTATGAACATATAGATATGTTTTTAGGTAGGTAGTGTATTTATTATTATTGACTTTCATGTAATTTTTACTTCAAAAGTAATAACTAATTAATCAGGGAATATTAGTTTTTACTTTTGAGGTATCATCATATTCTTGTACGTTCCTAGTGTACGTCTGCGTTACACCTGTTTTAGTAATTAAAGTATCGAGACCAATTTATGTAATTTTTTTATGCAATTTAGAATGGCAAACAGGCTGACCACCCATCTGATGGAAAGTGGTAATCGTCGCCTATAGACATGAGCTGTATCATGGACGTAACAGAATATACTGTTTCGCCCATGACAGCCCCCATGCGTTGCCATTCCTGAGGACTAAGGTGTTATTCCTCTGTACCCAGAAAATTCACTTCCATATCCCACCTTTAAACTGAAGCACAACCATGCAAACACAACTGTTTCAAGGTAGAAACACGAATGGAACATAAGTGCCCAAGCAAACGACTTTTGTATAAAGTTTCCCTCGAGTAAATATCTAGGCTATTAATTTCGATACTCTAAATACCATTGGATTTATCATATCTTTCTTACCTGCCCACCGCGTATCTATTTTTTTTTTTTTTTAAAAAGATATGCTTTCAGATCGCATTTATAGAAATTTAATCAAAATTGGTTTAATGGTTAAGTTTTAAATCATAAAAACTGGTTTTACCACGATTGTAGTCTTCTTTTTTTTTGTGAAATAAATTTTTATATTTTGTATTCCATTATGCCCACAACTTGTCAAAGAAAAAAATTCCCCAACCTACTAACTTAAGTAATCTTTTAAATATTTCTTTCTCTGAAAACACCAATATTTTATGGATTACAGTAAATGTTATCAAACGCATTAATATCAAACTATAAATTCTATTACATGTATTTATTTTTTATATTCATACGAAATATATATTTAAGATTTTTGTATTGATAATTATCACTAACCCATATTGTGTTGTCTTTTTCAGTTTTATACTAAAAGTAAAAAAATAGGCCAGCCATTAAGATATAATTTCTATCCAAGTATGAACCTCTTATACATGATGCTGCCAGAAATGATCGTAAAAATAGCGACCGATTGCCATTAACGAAAAGAAGAATAGGTACTTACTTTTTGTTAGCCTTAGCTGTTGCCATTTTTCTTGATGTAAGCTGTGATGAAAAAAATAAGAGTAAATGTTCAGTTTTTAAGATTGGGATATTCACTTATTTAATATAGAGAAATCGTAGTATTTTATAAATAAATAAAATAGCAATATAGATTGTGAATCAATCCTAATATTGATGATTTGACAATTAACTGTTTTTATAAAATACCTTTGTATAATATTAACCCAAGTGATAACCACCGAGTTTATATAGATTAAAACAAATAGTAGGTGCTTATTCGTTTTATCTATATAAATGCGGCGACTGATAATATCATACCGACAGATAACTTGTTTCGATATTGATTAGTAGGTAAGAATCTTCTATAGATACCTACCTGAACACAGTCAATTCTTCACAGGGGAGAGGATTGTTAATAATGTGGTTAATAGGATCCCTATATTGCTAGTCCTACATGTATATACAATCCCATCCTCCCCCCAAGTGAAGGTTGACCTGATATAAACAGTTAGTGATGTGCCACCCATCTCCCCCACACCAATCAGGTTTGGTTATTTTTAAGGGTGATAATGGAATGATAACCCTGCTTGCTCTATTCATATTGTTTCAGTCAATGATGAGAAGTGAGAATAAGGTAGGTCAGTTGGCACAGTGAGAAATTCATAAGGAATAAGAATTAAACAATATAGTTTCCACGGTAATCACAATGTTTTGTGGGTGAACAGGGAATGGTAGCCTCACCATAGTAGGTTGACTCATCTATCTGTTATTTCAATTGAAAACTACGTATATAATTAATGTTATCATCATTCCAAAAAAAAATATCAAACAAATGTTTAGGTGTGTAACTATTTCAAATTGATAGTTTTGCAAAATTACTGCTTTATGGACTATTATAAACTAAAATTATAATATTTTTGACTTAAATCTAAAGCAAAGTTCAAGCAATTTGTTTTAAATTTAGTCCATAGTTTGCCATTCTAAGTTGCATAAAAAAAAGAAAGAAAAGAATAAAGATTTTGCCATGATAATAAATTTAGAGTTTAGAGATAAGTTTAGAGAAATTATGCCACAGACAATATAATAGAACACTATAACACAGTTTACAGAACTTAAGAAGAAGAAATAACTTTTTTTTTTTCAGAAAGATATACTAAAAATTTGCTGTGTAGTCCCAGCATAGAATGAGCCACCACTTCTTTTCCCATGGATGTCTTAAAAGGCGACTAAGGGTACTTAATGGTTGAGGGATGGGCAGCAGCGTCCCTCGTAACACATCCGCAAAAGCCTGTTTGCTAACCCGCTTGCTAACATGGTATCTACTGGCAAAACCTCCCTTTATGGGAGAGGCCTACTTTTAGCAGTGGACAATTAATGGCTGATATGATGATGATGATACTAAAAAATGCTTAAATACATTCCTACTTGTCTGGATATTAGTTGGACTATAAAATATATTTATGATTATCTATGTTTATCAAAACAAAGGAGTTGCAGACGATACCAGTAATGATTCATAATTGTAACAGTTATTCAGAAAGTATAATGTAAGGTATAGGGACCAGAGACAGGGATGGTTCACAATGTGAAGTTAATTTATGAAGATAGCAGCTATGCTAAACAAAATAGTAACTATACACATAGTTAATTATTAATTACTTATATATTAATTACAAGCATAACCTTATATATTTAATTATATGATTTTGAGATCCACTGACTACTAAATGTAATAGACGTACATTTAAGGGATAAAAAAAAATACCACGACTGCTTTAGAGATGAGTATGTATCAATGAGTTACAAGTATGAAGGTTTCGGAGATGATCGTGTGAAGGTCGACCTGACAAGGTATATTATTAGCAATAAAACCTCTAGTCACCATTACCAACAATCCTTTTCCCTCTAATATGTAGAACTACGCTGATTGTAATATTTTATATCGCGGATAATTAATTACATTAAAGAAGGATACGTACCTTTTTCTTATTGAAAATAGGGGTAATAAGCTTCAAAACAAATGTGGTAAAATTTACGGATAAAACGAGAAAAAGTAAGTTTTGTAACTCTGATGAACAGCAGAAAGAAGAAATCGACTGAAACTACTAACTACGTAATTGGAGAAATATATTTAAAATTTTAAAAGTCGGCACTACTATAGCTACAAAATCAAAAACTATGCAGCTGTCTAGACTACCGCTTTAAATCAATCATGTACATCGAAGTCGTTAGCGACACATGAAACAAATAATCTGCCGATACTATAGAACATACTAAAATAAAAACTTCGTAATTAAAAATCCAAATACGGCAGAAAATCGTTTACTTTCATTCTAACATAACAGTTAAACGCGCCTAGTTGCTAAATACAGAAGGGTGCACTTTTTTGATGTTTTCAAACCAGCATGGGTCGAAAACTTTGACGAAATTGTTCAGTTTCACTGATTTCACTAGAATTTCACAGGAGATGGACTTTCATACATGCTAAAAATTTTACATAAATTAAGCTTCTTTCTAAAATGTTAGATAGCTTCTTGTGATACTACTTTTTCTAACTATTACAATTAATCGCGGTATGATGAAACACTATTTAAATTAAAAGCGTTTTAATAAATATTTAATGATGCATTAAGATAGTTGCACAGAAATCGTACAATCATATTTTGATTAAAGTTTCTTTTCAGGAGATCCAGTTAACTAAAGTATAACCTACTTAGCAAGGTACAAAATAAAATAGGTATTTAAGTTACATAACAAAAATTGCATTCTTATTAGATACGAATTTATACTTTATTCTTTTGGTATATGGCAGATCATGGCATAGGTAAATAACGATAAAATTATAATTTGATACGGGATTTCCCAGGTTTCCTATGTCTGTATTGCCAGAATCAGTGTCGAGTTGATTCTGAAACGCCATATCTCTATAATCAAAATTTCAGTTTGATATCACAGCAAAATCTTTACTGTAAAGATCGATATAAACTAATTTTCTAATAGACTTAAGTAAAAATTATTGTAATTTTAGTTTATGACGATTCATAGAAAATTAATTTCATGAAATTATCAATATAAATATTATGTTAAGAGATAAGTTGCATAGATAGAAATGGCACCTTAGAATCGGCGCCAATGTAACTAAATAGGCATGCATGGCGCTTTAAATCTAATATTGATATATTGATTGATGCGATCACTTGGTGATTTAGTAGTACCTGCCAACGACTCCTCGTTAATCGCTTATACGCAATGACTTAGTATAACGTACTTATGTACTAATACTATTAATAAGTTACATATCTAGTAGATGATATTGTCCATAAAACTTGTAGACTAATAAGGCAAGTAAACCATAACATGTAAATAAAGATTAATAGCAACCTTTACTGTTCATTGCTAATTGTAAAGTACAAAATACATTGCAAACAATTGATGAATGGTGCAATATTAATTACCATTCTTCTAATATTATATTATTTAAAAGCAAATAAGTAAATAATAGCATGCAATAAAAAAATTGGGGTCCTTTCTGAGGCGCCATTTCCTAAACCTACCTCTAAAATTAAATTTTGATATCATTATTTTAAGAACAAATATGAATTAAATTTTTAATGGATCCAAATCAAAATTATTATAGATTTAGTTTATGACAGTTTCTAAATATTTATTTTGCGAAACTATCAAAATAATATGTTAAAAGATAAGTTTAAAAATTCGCGCCTCAGAATCGATCCCAATCTGTTTAGTGAGGTCGATTCTGAGGCATTCTTTGCTGTAGACATTAATCGCTCTTAGTCTGTTTAATGTTTGAAGAGATTTGTATTAATATCAATTTTGTTCTGTCTACAGAGATAGTTTCTCTAATCTCCGCTATTTTTCTTTGAATATTTATTGAAATGTTTAAGTATGGAAAGTGTTCATAATACAGAATCATCAACACAATTGTTGAGTGAACAATATGACATTTTAAAAGAAAAACCAAATTTATTATTGTTATTATTAAATAAATTTGTAAAAGTGCAGCTCATTAGAAACCTTTCATTTGATGGGTTTGTGACTTCTATTGATCCAATTACTTACAGGTAAAGATGTTAAAAAGCACTTCTAATTGAAAATAACCTTTGGGTTTCCTTAACCAAATGTATTTATTAAAAATAAGAGAAATATTACTCCTAAGTAAATAGTTAGTTAAGCTATAAATTTTCATTACTTCACAAAAGCCTATTTTTTTAACTTTGTATTTATCTTGACCCATCATATTCTTAAGTACCACAGTAGACTAAAAAATAATATTTTATGTACATCATATTTGTATCATTAGCATGTAATATCTGTTATTGCATGTAGAAAATGTGGATGAAGAAAGTAACACTTGATAGTAATAAATATCTTAATGTTAACTATAATAGATATATTATCCAATAATTATACATCTGTTGGGGTTTCTTAGACCTGTATTGTCTCCTATATAATATATATATATATATAGCCCTACATAACATATATTGTAATACATTATTTTTTTTCTAGCCTAATCATTAAAAAACCCTATGAAGATTCATTTCAAACCATTTTAATACCAGGCCATGCAATATTAGATGTAACAGAAATAACTGCACCACCTAACATCAAACCTCCATCAAGAATACAATTGAGTCAAGTCTCAGAAATAGAAATATTAGATAGGAGATTTAAAATTGTTAAATGGTTAAAATGGAATTTACTTCCTGTGTCAGAATTAGATGATAAAATTATTTTTGGCAATGCAACTTTACTCCCTCCATATACAGCTATGGATATATGCACGGACAATCCTATGGTGGCGATGCAAATGAAGAAAATTATTCAGAGTATGCCACCAGACTTTAATCCGGAGTAACTTAGAATGACTTATATATTTATAATAAATTTTAAGATAAGTTTTCAATAATAAACAAATCTTGTAACCATATTGTTTTCTTCAGCTTTATATTCCTAAAATTGTAAGAATTATTGACAAATTTGGTTTGGAGTAGTAAATTATATATAAAAATATTACAGACAAATTGAAAATTTTCTTTTTTATAGTTGCTTATATAGATTAATTTTTAGACCATGTACCATTTGATAACAACCAGTGCCACAAGCAAGCTAACATCCCCTTAATGGAAGGCAGGAGCTGTTGTACAGACAGTTAACTGTCTGACAAGACATGAACATCATAAAGTGTGTGGTGAAATCTCAAAAGAGAAAGTAAAGGAAGAACTTGTTTCCTTACTTTAGTTTGCTTTTTGGTGAGATATTATATATATATATATATATATATATATATATATATATATATATATATATATATATATATATATATATATATATATATATATATATATATAGGCTTTGTACAAGAGTCGCCTGCATGTGTACTTCCCATCTGTGTTTCTGCCATGAAGCAGTTGGAGTTGCATGTCTGTGTCTTGTATTGAAAGGATAATGGATGGATTTAATATGGTTGGAATATATATGGCAATCACAGGGTTTGTACCTTGATGATATTACATCTCTGTAGGTGTAATATCATCCATAACAGCCATCAATTGGCCTGAATATAGGTTATCTCCTATTGGGGGGTTTTTCCAGTATTTAGCACGCTTGGTAGGCTGGTTGGCAACCAACAATGGCTTTGGTGATATTTTAAGAGGGATGCTGCTGTCCATTTCTCGACCATTAAGCCTTTATTGTCTCTTAGGACACCCACTGGAAAGGAAGGGCTTACTCTATGCTACGATATAAGTAAAATCTAAATTATTAAATAAATATATTAATGGGAGTGTTACAACCAGTGAAACAAAGATATTCACAAAGAAATATGAATACATGCGTAGATAACACAAATTTTTAATCTACCATATTAAGGGTACGGCGGGTCCACCTTTTGAATTAATACTGATTTAAAAGCTAATTAAAAATGTTTTGTAGTCTAAGATCCATGAAATTTCTGTCCTAATCAGAGTATTTCCACGTGGTTCTCCCTTGAAATCGTCCTGAATTCTAGGTATATTCATCACTATGAGCTAACTGACCTTCTTTTTCATTTTCAACCTAACTATCTATCATGCCTCACAGGTGCCCCGCCAGCGTATACTATACAGGTGGGGTTGCCATTCCATTATCAGGGGGGAAAGGTATTGTAATTGGGTCTAATAGCCCCATTGCTAGCAGTAATATTATATTTCCCTTGCAAACCAACGTGGTTAATTCTTGTGAAATTCGTCATGATGGGTTAACTGATCTGCTTTCATCTGAAATCATGACAACAAAATTTAGCAGAAATAATGTAATTAAAAATAAATTTAAAATATCTATAAATATTTAGAAATACATTATTCCTGAATAAATGTTCAACTGCCCGAACTCTATAATGGTACCAGATACATAACTACTCGTATTATGCGTAGGCGATGATGCGATAAAACGTAACTAGATGAGAATTGAGAAGTTATATAATCAACCATGTGAATAAACATGTGTCGTGTTAATATTTTTTTTTTCGGTTTTGTGATCTCGCCCTCAATTTGGGACTAATTTAACTAGAGTTAATACTCATAACCATTTGGATAAGTTACCGGCCGGCGGTAGTTTTAGTTATAATAAATTAGTCTTCTGATAAAAAAAACTAAAGTTATAAGTATTTAAAATTTTAGTGTTTACTTATAGGTTTATCTATAATGTTGTTATTCTGCAAATTTCGTATGTATTGTACCTGCCTTCACATCACTGAATATAGCTCAACAACAAAATAAACAATTCAGTGAGACATTCAGTTCATTCCGTGTTAGTACCTATTGATAAGAGACAGTCGTAGTTGTTCATACTCGTGTTTAATAATACCTTCAATAAACAAGGGTATTCACGTCAAATAGTCTAGACTATGTTGATATTTACGTAGATGGATTTAACTTTCTTCTTCTATAAAAAATAAAACATGAGTGAGAAAAATAATAGAAAAGTGCAATATTTGGCTGGCCTCTGTGGTAAGTAATGTATTAGCGGTCTACTATTTTGGCGCGGAAATTGAAAATTTTGGTACAATCAATTATTTAAATCCTATATTAAATAATTAATGTGTTAAATTTTCTTAATTACCAAAGCATCATTGACATTCACGTTTACTGGTGCCACGCTGGGATGGGCCTCTCCCGCAATTCCAAAGTTCAAAAGCGGCGAAGCTAATTTAGAAATTACTGATGTAAGTATATCCTAATTTTTTATTGCCAGATGATAATATATCGTGTTTGCTATTTGCACTTTTTTTGTAATATATACAGTTTTGTTAATGGAAATACGTATTAACTTTACAGATAAGTAAGTATATTTTGCGTCCATAATGATTTACGGTACCTATTTGATAACATTGATTGGCGGACTAACATTAAAATATATGTTAGTAAATAGGTACTTACTTCCCGTTGATCTAGTATTTTTAAATTTGGCACGTAGGTAACTATATAGATACGTAGTTATACGAAGCAAACTCTCAATTTGTATTTTTTGCTTTAGTCGTAGGTATTTTTCTGCCTTATTTTCTTTTTTATATGCTTTTTCTGTTTTAATGCTATATTATAGAGGCAAAAATGAAATTGATATAATACAGTAATTTAGTATATAATTATACTATATATTTATTACTTTATTATATTATATATTTGGTATATAATTTGTTTAATACGTTATATTTTAGATTTGGTATTATTCTATTTATTAAATGTTGGTAATTCAGTTGCATTTATTAACACCGTATAAATAAATAAATATCTATTCATATCGCAGGCTTTAAAGCATAGGATCGTATATGCAAAATTCTATTTTAGACATAAAAAATACATGTTTATAATTACTAGTTTATACATAGTCAAGATAGATTTTAATAGCTACTTTCTATGTACCTACATACAAATCTGCTTTATATTTGGTCCATTGTAAAAAATGTTATTAATTTTTTTCGCTTCTGATCTGTTTTACATGTACGCCTCTATGGTTTGATGCTCGCTTTATATTATACGTTGTATTATTTTCAAATTATTAATTATAAGTTTTTACCCGCGCATTTCGTCCGCGTGACTAGGATATAAAGTAGCTTATGTTCTTCAATCCTTAATTCCAAATCTCATCATAATTGGTTGAGCCGTTGCAGTGCACACATATTTATAATATTAGTAAGCATTCAGAAATTTTATAACGGAAAACGTTATATTTTTTTTTGTTGATGGGTGAAAATGGTATGGTAACCCCGCCTGCGCTGACGGGATACGCTGGCGGAGCACTAGTGAAGGGTGATAGATGAGAATGAAAACAGGCCAGTTAGCCCATCATGATGAATTCATCAAGAATTAACTATGATAGTTTCCAGGGGGAACCGCGAGGAGGTCGACCTGATTGGGTATATTGCTAGCAATGGGATTCTCAGTCTCCATTACTAACAATCCCTTTTTCCCCTTAAACGTTATATTGTATATGAAATTCGTGTTGCCATGCAGTCTCAGACGACTGATAAAATGTATGGAAGTACTTACACGTTCGATTATAGATAGATTAGGTACTTAGGTATTTGTTTATACCAATTCAGTGCACTTTTGATTAAAGTATAGATTAGGTTTGATAAAATGTAATTTAAATGTAACTGAACAGGCGCAAACATCATGGGTAGTGTCACTGCTGTCTGTGGGTGCGCTATTTGGTTGCTATATGGGCCAAGTACTGAACGAGAGCGTTGGCCGACGCCGCACTATACTAATCTCAGCTGTTCCTGGTCTTCTGGGAGCGGTATGTTCTATATTTCTATACAATTGAATGTATCGCAGATAAAATGTAATATATTTATGATTCAGTAGATATTTTTGCCCAACCATAGGCCCGAACTATTAAATGTAAATTCAGGATAATTTGCTCTTTTAGACTCGTCTTTATACGACTGTTACTCCTAGGAATGAGACTTGTTAGACTGTGGCCTTTAGTACAAAGGTATAAACAGAGCTATAACCATAAGAAATGGTATAACATAGCAAACGTAGCGCGGGGGCATATTCATTACGATGTACTAAATACAAGAGTTTGATTTGGTCAGCTCCAAACAGGTGATGTTGGACCGGGAATCGAATTAACTAAATGATAAAAAATAGTCTAGGTATTTTATTGAGTCTGATAAAGATAGTGAATAATATTCGATTACAAATATGTCGACATTTATTTACATGTCTTCTATTTACTGTTTAACATTATATAAAGATAAATATGTGATTAAAAGCCGATATTGATATAGCCTAGTACGTAATATTCGAAACGTCATTTTATATTAATTATATGTATATATGTATAGGGAGTCTCAATAAATATTTATATAAATTGAAATTATTGAAGTTGCAGTTCGTGTGAATTTTGTTTACCTATTTGTATTTTTATTTCAGATTATAATATTATTAACAAAATGGCCAGAACTCATGTATGTGGGGAGATTCATGTATGGCTTAACAACTGGCAGTCTGGCTGTGGTAATTATAGTACTTATATTTTATTATGATTATTGAATATTTGGTAACTATTAGTTGCGACTAATGAAAACTGAAGGATTCGAACCACCAATTCTTGTCATACATAGGGGAGATTTATATATATGTTATGTTATAGTATATTAATTATATTTTTTTTAATTTAGGGTTTATATTGTATTCTTACTTAATGAAACTTTGAAAAACAAATTTATTTAATTATTAAATCAATAAAAATCATTAAACATTAAGTTGTATTCCAGCATACAATGTGCTTGAGTAAGCGATTATCGATAGGATGCAGGTAGTCAAATATCGGTGAAGATCAGATATGAAAGTTGATGAATACAGATATAGAGACCGTATATTTTATCTACTATTTAAAATAATATATCTACCTGATTTTTGCTAATGACTTATGAGTAGTGAATTAGTTAACGTTAAAAATGGATATCTAATAGAGATAAAAGTTAAAAAAATAATTATAACTATAAATACCTAAGGTAAGTATATTATTATTGCTAGACACATTAGATGCGTCTTTAAATCAAAAAATCTAATGGTAAAAATTGTTTTTAGTTGATTGTATGTAACTAGGTAAAATAACAAAAATAACTAATAATATTTACTACTACTTACATGTATAATCAAGAATTTAAAATTTAAATTTGTTCATTGAAGTCATTTGACACTTATACATTGAATATAACTGTTGAAAACCGCTGGTACTACATTATGTAGGTAAATAATAAAAAAAAGACGCAACACGTTTTAAATAATTAAGCAATCTTTCTTTCTGTAAAATTTTGTAGTTCTTAATCGGCTACAAAAAGTAAACGGTTGCGGCCTGTTTTCGTCCACTTTCCACGATTCTCTTTGGATCTAAGGATGCAGATATTTTTGTGTTGGTTCCATACAAATTTCATTAATACTGAAGCCGAATTTTGAAAAAAAGGCAATTTATCATTATTGTTAAAGCAAATGTTTTGACATGTTAATGTAATTAATTGGTAAATCTAATACGATAAAACGAAACTAAACGTTAAGCTAAAATTGACAGGTGAATGTGATTATTAATTACATGCGAAGATTGGACGCCTATTACCCTACGATTTTATAAATATTATTCTCTGTTTTATTTATTTATTTATTTATTTATTCATTAGTACAAATATGTGTACATGGCGGACTTAATGCTAAAAACATTCTCTCCCAGTCAACTATAGGGAAGTGTCAGAATACTCGAATGCGGTATTAGTGATTATTAAAATTATATATATAAACGAATAAATATATATAAATAGCAAATATACTTACATATATATGACATATACTATATTATACACGAAATTGAGAATAATATTAAGTACTTACTGCTCGGAAGTGAGCATAAACTTTTTTTTTAAAGTATCTTTCTTTTTACTTAAGAGTTTCCTCTTGTCGATGTAACTAATTCATGCATTTTCTTCCAGCCAGCTCTATCCCATGCCATATCTTTGACCTCCCTATTCTCTAATAGTATAAAAAAGAAAGTGTATTTTCTCTTACAGGTAGTAATGATTTATGTAACAGAGATAGCAGATAAAGAGATAAGAGGTGCCCTCGGAATGTTAATTCAAGTCATGAACAACTTAGGAGGTCTCATTATGTACGGAGTAGGACCATTCGTGTCTTATACAGTACTAAATTCTATAATATTAACCATACCAATAACGTATGCATTATGTTGTGCCTGGATACCCGAGTCGCCCTACTATCATTTGAAAAACGAAAGAATTGACGCTGCAAGGAAAGAATTCATGTTCTTAAAAGGAAGAAAAGATGAAAAGGTACTTGTGTTTAAAACAAATTTATAAAACTAAAGGTTTCTTTTTTATTTTAATTAAAATATATATTTTGGGCTAAATCTCCGGTGATGTAAAATACCGTTAACAAATGAAATTAATCAGAGTTACAGCGGTAGGCTTGCTCCCTGCTACGTTGGATAAATAATTCCTGCCGTAGCTATGACCGTGTGAACATAGTAATGTAATAGTCAGGTACAAATATTTAATTTGGTACACTGTAAGATTCTTACACTATGGTCGAAATTTCATTGAAATCCGTTTAATCGTGATTCAGTAATAAATATTCAAACTTCTTTGCAAATTTTCCCTTTTACGTGTATAATATTGATAGGATTTTATGTTTATGATAACTTTTTCTGCAGTGGATAGACGAGCAGTTGGGAATAATGCGTGCCCACGTTAGGGAAAGCATGGAGAATAAGACAACGGTTAAGGAATTGTTGACCAATATGAAGTATAGGAAGGCACTGTATATAGTAGCAGGTAAGTACTGAAGTATGTTACGATTTATCACGAAACATACCCGAAAAATATAATTTCAGGTAGGTAATATGTAGGTAGATGATGATAACAAAAAATATTTACATCAAAAATGTCAAAAATAATCTGTAAAAAAATTAACAAAAAACTTACCATTAGAACATTACTTACATGAATAATGACGCAAAAGGAAAGAAATATGCTTGAGGTATTCGAAATGTGGACATGGAGGAGAATGAAAAGGATAAGCTGGACAGAAAAAGTAACCCATGAGGCAGTCTTGAAAAGGGTGAATGAGAAATGAGCATTAATAAAAACAATAGAGAATAAAAGAGGCAAAATACTGGGCCACCTTTAAGACATGACGATTTTTTAAAAAGGGTAGTAGAAGAAAAAATAGAGGGTAAAGAGGGAGGGGAACACCGTGAAATAACTATATGGGATAGATAAAGATAACACTACGTGTTGTCGTATAGGGAGGTCCAAGGTATGGCTTGGAATAGAGCTGACTGGAAGGAAATGTATGAATTAGTTATAGAAGAAACTCTTAAATGAAAAGAGAGGGAGAAAAAGAGATATAGAGATGACATCATTTGCCTATAATCTTCTTATTCTATAATCTTCTTATTGGGATACCTACTGAAACGGCCTAGAATCAATTTAGAAGAGTTAATTTTGTAAATTGGTCCGACCGGGCACTGAATCCCGGATTTCATTTACTGGGAATAAATTATCTTACACTGTGAAGGTCATCTAATTTTGTGTCTCGGTAACGGAGAAGAAATTCATGTTTTTGCGGAAAGATAAAACTCTTGGGATATCTAGATGCGGATGTAAAGATAAATAGCTGTGTATAGGTCGTGGAATAGAATGGGTTACGTCTTCCTTTCTCGTAGGTATCGTAAGGGGCGAGTAAGTGAGCTTATGATGGAGGGATGGGCAGCAACGTCCCTTTTAAAACATCACTAAAAGCCAAACTGCGGTTATCAACCCGCCTGCCAAGCGTAGCAACTACTGGCAAAACCCCCTTATGGGGAAGGCTATGTTCAGCAGTGGATAGTTAACAGCTGATACAACAATGTAAAAATATCGTTCTATATCTAAATAGGGTTCAAAAGGATTTATATTTTATATATTAATATAAGTGAATAAATAAATAGAAAAGAATAAATAAATCACATCAAAATTTTAATTTAAATAAAGATTAATTATAGATATTATTCGTACAAAATATATAATAACTTCGACAATACCACAATTTTTACCAGAGGGAGACTTTGTACAAAAGTCGATTGTTTGGGTACCTCTGTCCCATCCGTGTTTTAACCGTAAAGCAGTAGTGTTTGCATGTCTGTGTTTCGGTTTGAAGGGTGGGATATGGCGTGAATTTACTGGGTACAGAGGAATAACACCTGAGTCCTCAGGAATGGCAACGCATGGGGGGCATGGGGTGATACAGTATACTCTGTTATGTTCATGGTACTGCTCATGTCTATAGGCGACGGTTTCCACTTTCCATCAGGTGGGCCGTCAGCTTGTTTGCCATTCTATGTTGTATAAAAAAAAATATTATTAAATGCTACAGATTATTATGTTTTACAAATAAGTATATAAATATTTAAAAATAATGTATTCATTACTGTAGTTTTGATGCCATATGATCGAAGCAATCCTTACGCAAGCAATTCAGTAACTATTATAATATATATATTTTCAAACAATAAACATAATATTAATCTATTCTCTCAATGTAAATACGTTATTATGTAGATACAAATAAATAGATAGAAGTGATAATGAGAATTTCAGTGTGAATTTTAACAAGTATCTAAAATTCGTTCGTTTGGTGCCTAATTCTCATTAATCGATTCAGAACGAGTTATATTTTTTTGTATAAAATAATATTTGCGTATGGAACTAAAATGCCGCAGGTTGCTGACCCCTGGCCTAGAATCTTCCTCATGATGTTGAGATAGAGAGGGAGAGAGACCGATGCGAGATTGAACTTTTTATTTAAATTATAATAGTTCCATACAATCACCCTAATCACCTGATCTTTAAGCTACGATGAGGTATCAGACAACGAACATCTGGGGTCATAACCCATATCATTTAGACTCGACTTAATTCAGAAAAGTTTGTTTCCTAAATTGGCCTAATCAGGAATCGAATCCGGGGCTTCATTAACGCCAAGCAACGTGCCTACTTTTGCGTTTGCACTTAAAATATGTTTACTATGAGTGCTGATTATATTTTATGTTCTAAGTAGGTATTTTAGGTATGCTAACGTTTACTTTGATAATATAATTTTTGCCCTAGAAGTCTTTATCTCGCAGTGACGTCTATAACCTTGTATCTATTTGCATTGCTTTAATAGTAAGTACTAATATTTTTTATCTCATCATATCACATTCAATAATGATGCTATTCAGTCATTGTTAATTGTTCCTTTATTCTCTTTAGAACTGGTGATCTAAACCATTCTTTTGAGTAGATACTTTTATAGAAAAGATATTGAATATAGTCATTAATTTGAGAGGTGCTATGAATTCATTATTGCATTATATTTATTGTATATTGCTAAGTTAGTACGCGACAAGTAAACACAGGTTGATTACACACTGGTTTAATAAACGAGGTGAATGATCTTATAAAGGAGGACGTGGTGGTACGTGCTTAATACTACCCACATATCTAACAATATCAAAACGAAGGCGTGATGCCTATGATCGCAGAAAAAAAGTTCCGTATTAAATTTTTCTATAAATTCAAATTCAGAAACGAATTTTTTTAAATTGACTTCTGTCTGGTATATCATAAAGATTCTTAGCAATAATTATCAGGCCATCGGTTTGAATGGTGTCTAAAAAAAAAAAGAATAAATAGTCGGCTATATACTCAACACAATTACCTGGTTGTAACCGACGGCTTAAATTTTATCTTGACTATAAATCTACTTTAATTTGAGCCGTCCAACTTTATGTTTGTAGACCAATTTATTATGATAGACGTTATTATCTAGTAATGTTTGTTTTATTTGTTTTAGGTTTGAAAATAGTACAATATATGACTGGTGTGTTCGTCATACAGTCATATCTTGAAGTGATATTTAGGCAGAGCAGTTCCATCTCTGGTCCACATGTCAGCATTATCTATGGATTCGTGCAATTTGGAGCTGGTACTAATATTTTTACATCTATACTATACTATCATTACGATTATACTCATAGGTGTATTTAAGTAGACAGATAATGGCTGAAATGATGATGATGACGCCAATGTTAATGTTTAGAACCACGTTATAGAGGGGGATTATATTTTGTTGCAGGTATAGGCGCCACGTTTCTAAGTCGATGGTTTGGGCGACGGGTACTCATGTTGATATCATGCTTGGGCGTATCTATGTCCATGACTGCCATCGGCCTGTATTTCTATTTACAGGAAGCGGTAAAACTTAGCGAAGAAACAATGAAGTCTTTATCCCCTTTACCCTTAGTGGGTTTATTTGGTTTTAACATATTATATGCAATGGGCGTTGGTAATCTACCTTATGTGATGCAGGTAGAGCTATTTCCAGTGAATGTGAAGGCTGCGGCGTCTAGCTTGGCTACTATGTTAGCTTGCGTTCTATGTTTCGCAGTAACAAAGTGTTATATGAATGTGAAAGAGATATTCGGGCATTACACTGTCTTCTGGTCATTTGCTTTAATAGGTTACGTTGGTGTGTTATTTATATACTTTTTTGTACCAGAAACTAAGGGTAAAACTTTAGAACAGGTAATAGATAATATGCAAAAACCTGCCGAGGCACAACCTTTACAGAACAATTCTGAAGTGAAGAGTTAATTTGATTTTATATGAGCAGGTAAATAGAAGAATATTGTTCTATATATGTACCGTTAATACGAATGATTGAATGCGTTTGGTATTGCATATAGTCTGTGATCTCAGTGCAAAGTTTCAATAAGCAACCAATGTGTATAGACCAAAGAATTTTTTTTTTACATATTTACGATTCCTTCCTTATTTATATGGCTTTTAATATTAGATACAATCACAAATACGTAATTTTTAATAACTGATTAGAGTAAGTAGTAAATATAAAAGACCCGAATGGCACCCGGAATAAGTAAATACTAAGTCTCAATGATGCGTGTACCTCAACTTGTTTCAAGGCCTACTTTAGTCTTAAACGTCATTAAAATGCTGTCACTACTTAGATTTAAAATTACATGGTGATGATTTTACTATATACTCATAATGTTCACATACTGAAATCCGGAAACAGATGCATTATGTCAATTTTCGAAAATAATTTAAGAGGAATCATTTCATATTTTGAATGATTCTGATTGTTTGTTCTAAGATTTATGATGAAATCAAATGATAAACAAAACAAATTCTGTATAAATCTACCATTACTAAAAATGCAGCTATCTACTTATTTTAAATGTTTCCAATTATATAATTTATTACCCAAATTCAGTGATAGTTTCCAAAGATTTTATTATATAAAATTTCACAATAATTTTTCGAATTATTTTGTGTTCATAAGATTAATCTTTTTCTAGAAAGAATACTAAATTTTTGTGATAATCACGGAAATTAATCTTTCAGTTTGATATTATAGTAAATTATTATTATAAAGATCAGAAATTTACAATAGAATTCAATTAGAAATACCTACATTTGTCGATGGTCCGTCATATAAAACTTTTTTGTTACATTACTAAATTAAAATTTTAGTTTAGTTTTAAGTTTAGGATATGACTATTCAGAAATGATCCCAGTTTATAAATGTGTTTAAGATAGTTGCTAGTAAATATTGTCTCGGTAAATCAAGGTCTACTAGTATGGGTAATACACAGTAATTTTTTTAGATTTTTTTTTATCTTCTAAATTAACATTATAATGGGTTATGTATTATATTACAATTTGTCATTATAATGATAATATATACCAAAAAAGATGAATCAGAAAAGAAAAAAAATTTTTTTTTCATTATGTTTACAAATTAATTTACCGATTTTATTAGTAAACTGAACATGCAAGTACATATATTTTGCATTCCAATTTTTACCCTTAACAGCATTACGTGTTAAGATTGGAAGCACCTGTCAATTTACAGACAATATGATACAACATTATCGATTATTCACATCAATTACTTTCGTGTTGCTAGTAAAAAAAATATGCTTTTTAGAACATGCCAAAATTTTCATTTGGCAGGCAACTACTTAATATTAGTGTCATTTTGATTACTCAGTTGTACTGAATACATTACTATATTAAATGTTACAAACTAATTTGAGTATTTTATTGAAATAAAACACAAAATGTGACAATAAAACTGTATTTCACTAAATATAAAATCGAAATACATTTACATATGCGGTGTACACTATGTATGGAGCGAATTGTCGAAATAGTACGACTTTATAACGTTTTATACATACAAACCAAGGTGTACAACGTTTAAATCCTCTTGGGATTTCCATAAGAATACAATGGCGCAAATGGTGTGTCTGCTTGTTCATCTCCACTCTCTTCAGATGCGTCGGATTCAAACGTGTTATCCGGAATGTCGTACAGACGGATCAGGGGCTTGTTTGGATCCTTCATGATTAGGTATTTACCTGTAAATATATTTAAAGGGTTTTAATATACTTTATAATTTATTGGTGGATCTTCCCGTATGAATTAGAATGAAACGTACCGTATGTATTAATCTAGGTTTTTGATCTATCTGTGTACCTAACTTCAATAAAATTATTGCTTTTTCTTAAATTTTTGTCAAGCTTGTGATTCTAATTGCAAATGAAGTGGGGGGAAAGGGATTGTTAGTAATGGAGACTGAGAATCCCATTGCTAGCAATATACCCAACCAGGTTGACCTCCTAGCGGTTCTCCCTGGAAACTATCATGGTTAATTCCTGATGAATTCATCATGATGGGCTAACTGGCCTGTTTTCATTCTCATCTATCACCCTTCACTGGTGCTCCGCCAGCGTATCCCGTTAGCGCAGACGGAGTTACCATTCTATTTTCACCCATAAAAAAAAACAAAAAAAAATTGCAAATGAAGCATACAATATTGAAAATCTATGATAAAACTAAATGAACAATGACTGTGCGAGAAAGAGATTTTGAAAGAAAAAAAAAATGTGTAAGAGGTTTTAATAAAAGCAGTAGAAGCTGAAATAAAAACGTGTTAATATATTATTTTGTCTGTCTGTAAGTGTGTTCCGGTATTATGCAAAAACTACTGCATCAAATTGAATCTGCATTATTTTTACTGTTAAATTCCTGAAGGTCAACTTAAAACTGGTCTATGTTCATACGCCATCTAGAAGTGGTTTGTTTCATTGGATTTTTTACTTCTGAACTCCGCGCATACGAAGTAAAAAGCTAAGTATTACATAATTCAATTGATGTAGATTTAGCACTTTAACTATTTAATTTTCATATCCTTATATCATTCGCTTATTGTGATTGTTTATATTGATGAATGGAGGCAGCGAAAGAGGCTTGTTTGAATCGAAGCATATGGCATTCTATTGTTTTTGCCTATTTAAATGGGAGACAGACGTGATATTTATGTATGCAAATATACTGGTATGAACAAGACCGTAAATCATTAAAGAATATGTAGTATATTCTATGGTACCTCTTCTGAGGATGAGGTGTTATATCTCTTATATCAAAGATTACATTAATTGATCCTATAGAAATTTCACGCACTGTTAGTTTACGGACAGCTGAAGACTGGTAACTGTACACACTTACACAGAAATTTCACATGATTACAAACATAAATAAATTATATGTAAGAGAAAAAATCATATGTATGTGGCAGTGACTGTAAGGGAGACATACCATCTTTCTGCTTCATGCAAATGTCGATGATGCAGCGCAGTATTCCCCAGGCGTTGTCCATGGAAAGGTTGATCTGCGCGGCGAACTCGTGCGGCTTAAACTGTTGCGTGCCGAGTATCACGTGGCGCGAGTTGTCGCGCACCTGCGACCGCGACACGTAGCCGAACTTCAGCTGGTCCGAGCCCGCTAGCAGCGCCTGTAGTTTAATAATAGATGTAATAGTTAATTATCTTTAACACTTTGTTGACTGAGAATTCCGTCACGTTTGAAATCTTTGGAATTAAATTAAAATTGTGATAAAAACCTAAATATAAAGAAAAGAAAATTTTATTGGACATGAATACTTAGTAAATCAAACGGTCTTGGCCATCGTGGTAGGAGGGCGTAACTACATTTTAGTGCAATGACGAGTTTACTCGTCTCTGGTCAGCAAAGTGTTAAAATATATATTTTTTATATTACTGTGGTGACAAACAAGTATATGGCTCATCTGATGGTAAAAGTATACTATAGCCTATGGATGCTTGTCACACCAGGGACGTATATCATTATGATATATGTCCCGGGTAATAGTAGGTTTAATTAACAATAAATCTGGGCCTACACAGAAAGTGGTGGAAATGTTATTAATAGTGGATGCTAGCAATCCCTTTGCTAATATGGAGTATATTACCAACAGGATTACTAATATACTTGTCTTGTGAGTCTTGAAAATCATTGTGGTTAATTCCTGGCCTATTCATCATGATGGGCCAACGGACTGATTTCATCTTCATCTGCTACTCTCGATGAATACATCAGAATAAATCAATAGTGCAGACGAGGTTACCATATTATGAAGATATACTTACAAATAACTGCAAGTTCATAGTTACTAACATAATATAGAAATTTCTCTTACATAGGCAAGAAGTAAATTTTTATGAAGACACATTGATTTTGTTCTTGTTACAATTTTATGTAAAAGAGCTGGAAGTGGTTATAATTTTCTAAATGTATTAAAACAAAAACCAACCTGCACAGTCCATTTAGCTAGCTTGCAAGAGTTGTTCCTTAACTCGTTGGCGAGCACGGCGCCGCGCTGCGTGTCCAGCTTCTGACGCCACTCCACGCCATTGGCGAGCTTCGAGTCCCACTCGTTTAGCGCCTTAATTGTCAGAAACTGGGTCTCATTCTGAGGTCCCTGCATTACTGCGTCGTGCTCGCAACGGGCTACTAGTACCTAAAATAAATTGTGAATTAAGGGTTGTGTATATGTATATTTGTGAAGAGAATAAAGAGTATCTAAGCGTTATAAAAATTTCTAAAGCTTAATACTTAAATTGGTGGCTTATAGGCAGACTAAGAGACAGAAGGTGTTATTTACTAAATATCAATGTTTAGTGTACTAATCAATTTTCTTGTTGACCCTTAATAAAATCTGTTTCAGGATAGTCAACATTTATAAGCATACTAGAGTTCAGTAAAAACAAATGAGTAAAATATTATTTTACATATAATTAAGAAAGTGTTATGACTCCTGATAAAAGTTAAGGTATCTGAATGGTAAACTATTAGCCTTGTTAGCCTAAAGGCTGATTTCTATTTCAGTAAAATCAGTAAGAAACCAACAAGTGAACTTTATGAGTAAAAAAAAAATTAATACACAATATTGATAATGTATAAGTCAGCTTGTTAATTCTACTTTTTTTATGTTGGTTAAACAGAGTTGTTTACTTACAACACCATTGTTGAGGTTCCACTTGCGATAACGGTAGCCGACAGAGGCCACTTCTCCCTCTTCCTCCTCGGATACAAACGGGTTCGCTTCAGGGAACTTGTACTTGGCCTCGTTGGCTCCTGATTTCAGCACCTGAAAATGAATTTAGATTTATTTATGATTGAAAATTGAGAATATAACACTCATTTTGAACAGACATGTAAAAAAGAAATTACCTGTTGGCTGAAGTTATGATTGATGAAGGTCGCCTCAAGCGCGAGGTTGCGCGGCGAGTTGATGGAGTTGCCGTCATCGGCGGGAGGCTCCACAGACGTCTCATTGACGGTCAGCAAGTCAAACTCGGTGTTATCACGCTTGTCCAGGAACAGCTTGTCACCTATTTTGAGTAATTTCTATTTACACATCCACTGGATATAATGTGAAAATTTAAGGTGTTACAGAATCTTGTTTTAATCACTGGATTGATTTAATAGAAGTTTGCTAAGAGAAATTGTATACTAGATCAAGTTTTTTTCTTTTTACCCTAATTCATGTTGACAAAGCCACAGAATATAGTTACTATCATATTAAGAGGTATCAGTAGTTTGATGATTACCATTTGTTGATAATCAAAATAAAGAACACGGTCTATAGGAAAAGTAACAATATAAGCTATAAGCGACGTTGTTATTTAAAAATGTCAAACAAATGTGATTTTCCAAACTAATTTTAATAATTAAGATATATTTTGTAGTCCCTTATTATCTCGGTCATTATCTGTCTACTGCTGAATGTAAGTCTGCCCCACAGAGTGCCATCAGGACTGTTCCTGAATCACCTGCATCCATTGACACCTGCAATGCATTTGAGGTCATCACTCTATTCAGTGGGAGGGGGGAGGGGCGGGGGTGTCACACACACATGCTACAATATGTGTGCTCATACAGGTTCGTTACTCAAGAACCTTTCTTCCCCGTCTTAAAGTCTCTTATGAATTATTATAATTTTAGCTTTTCAAAAGTATGAAAATAAAAAAAAAAATACATTTTAATTTACTCTAACATCAAAATCCACATTCATCAGTGTTAGTAGGTTAACACTGGTATACTTAAATGCTGGGCACTGTAAAATTTTTAGAAGTGTTTATTATTACTGACCAATCTTTTCAATGACAATATCCCACGAGTAGTTAGAGCGGGTGCAGCACATGATGGTGGCTAGGATGGCATCAGTAGCATAAACAGTGCCAGTTGTCTTGCTGAGTCGTCGGATCACTGGGTCATCAGTTGTTGTTACCTGAATAAATATTATTTATTTGTAGTTATTACCATAATTAAAATAAATCTCTATCATGTAGATTTTTAGTACTAAGAAAATAATTTGTTGTAGTGCTAATAGTATTAACAATAATAGCTAAGTAGTTAGGTGTTGGAGTAAATTATGTGCCAACATGTTGTCATAGTCGTAGAATACTGATGGATCTGACAAAGATTACATATAAAGATCCATCAGTATTAATATATATATTTTTAAATATAAAATATTTAATTAATTTTAAAAATATTACATTATTTAATATAATATTTTTAAAATTAAATATAATTTAATATTTTTAAATATATAGTTATATAATTTTTAATGAAATGTCAACTTACAGTATGGAAGATACGATCAATACGCTGCAACGCCTTCTCATGCTTGACATTAACGCGATCATAAGCTTTATCATAGTATTCCAAAGTACCACAGCACACAATATCTTCACCTAAAAGTAATTTAAAACATTAAATAATGTGATTCACAGGACAGATGTTTGTTATGAAAAAAAGAGTAAAAAAACCTGACATTTTTTTTTTATAAAATTTTTGTTGAGGCTTTAGTACAGCGGAGTGACTATGCCAGCCTCATAGGGATTATCTGAAAGTCAGTCTGTCAGTCCATCAGGGACACCTTTACCCACAGATATATCCGTCTTGCATTGCGACTGCCACGTTGACCCAGTATTAAATTGAAACCTGACATGAATTGTAGAATAATGAGAAATTATTATTGTTTTCTATTTGAAAACAATATAATCATTATTAATTATATTTTATTCAAGTTGAAATGGTAGATAAGCTGAAGTTTAACTAACGAAAATTGGTAACTGTTAGTTACTTAGACACAAAAACTATAGTATAGATCAGGGGTGGTCAACAGATCAATCATGGATATTAGTCCAGTCGATCATAGCAAGCCAAAAATATATTTTGCTAATCTAGTGGAAGAAGCTTAGACGCTAATAATATACATAAGTAGTAACTAAGAATAATTTTCGTTACTATGTTTTCCTTCTTAATAAAATAAAAAATACTTCATAATTGTGTACTGAACTATATTGTTTCATTTAAGATTTCAAGAAATATGTAATTGGTAGATTGCACAGGGTTTTGTCAGTAAAGAGTAGATCTTGGGTCTAGCCAAGTCAACCCCTGGTCTAATCATTTTAGTTATGAGGTGTGGCAACATATGAGAATGAAAATACACACTATTAATACACCATGAATAATATTATTTATTCATAATGGTGATGATTACCAGTTTCTATTTAGTGAGCAGTAAATTTTATTGTTAATGCCAGTAGTATATTTGAAATGTTTATAATAGATGCCTTATAATTTCAATATAAACATATTACTCTACCTTCCTTTATTCCAGGAAGTGACAGCTTTGCTAGTCGTGGGAAGTCCATATCTTCAATAGTGACCCATGCTGGTCTGACAGTTACAGAAGCGTCACGGATCTTCATAGGAGCACCTCTCTGACCCCATCTTTTGCCTAGTTTGCGGTCGCGTTGCTGGAAGTGGAAATATAAGTTAAGACTGATTAATACCATTTATGATCTACAACAATAGGAATTATGATAAAAAAAGAAACTTATGTAACATTAAAAACAAAAAAACCTATTCCAATAATGATTCAAGAATAGAGAAGAGTGGAGAATGCTAATAGCATTAAATTTGCCTTATGTACCTCATTTACTTTTGGTCAATAACATTATTTAAATAAATAAATAAAGACGTCATATTCCCTTTTTAAATATTAGTAATGATATACATATTACAGGTGTATTAAATTGAATTCCTACTTTTTTATTAGTATTTTATACTATAAATGTGTAATTTATGCGATTAGTCCTTTTCCAAATTAATGTAATAAGTTTAGACACCTATTTTATATAGTTCTTATGTTTTAGGAAATCTTTTAACGTTTGCCTACACTATTTAGGGAACTCGTGTGCAACAGCTGATTTAGACTGCATTTTTTGTCAGTGTTAAGATTTTTATTAAGTAGGTAGATAAAATACCTTATTTAAAGTAGTCATGCCACCAGGCGTACGAGCGCCTCTAGCACCTCGTCCTCGCTGTCCACGAGCACGGCCGCGTTGGTATGGAGGCTTCTGAACACGCGTAGTATCCACCAGGTGGAACGTGCTCTCGTCTTCGTCATGGAAGTATGCATAGGACGAACCAGCGCCAAATTGCGAAGCATACTTGTCTAACGGGTTAAAAAGTAACAGATTTGAAAAGAAAATTTATAGTAATAATTTTAAAATGTAGTAGATAAGAAAAACATGTACATGTAAGATGTGAAAGTATTCCTAGTTATTATTCAAATGTCACTATAACCTTAAAATACAAGAATTAAATGTAAATATAAACAGGATTTTGTCGACAAAATGTATGGTTGTATACTTACTTTGGTATTTTTTATCTTGTACTACAGTCCAATCACTAATTTTGCCTAAGCGATCCCCTTTACTAAAAGGTTGATATGGCATGTCTCGAAATTGTTCCGGCATTTCGCAGGGTCCCCATCCTGTGGGATTGTCTTGTATAATAGGTGCTATAAATCGTATCGGCTCTTCTGCCGGTAATACATGTTCTGACATCGTGTGGACGATAATAAATTAAATTTTATTTATAAATATCCTACTAATTCCACATTGATGCCACACGACACTTTCAAAAGAGTTGAAGGTTATTTTTTTTAGGATACGCCATGGAGTAAAAGAACAATACTTATACAGCTATATTAAATTTATATTACGTACTTTAGATTTTGCGTTTAAAAAGAATTTCTAAATATTTTTATTTTATTGTTTTTGTTTATTTCCTTCTTTTTATGTCTTAAAAAATACATAATTTTTTCTGCATTCTAAGAGATATACGTATTTATAGTTATCTCGCTTACAATGATTGTGCAATAGAAAGAGACTCCAGTCTATGGTAATAGATTAAGAACTGTTATTGGGATACTGTTATAGGGACTTTATAACTATACTAGGTTTTTATTTTCTACTTCGTGCGTGTGGCTTTTAATAGCAGGAAAATCAATTATAAAAAAAATACATAAAAGAATTCCTTGTTAAATACAAAACAAAAACGTTTTAGAACTTTAATTATTGATTGAGGTATTTTTAAAAATACAGTTAAATCTTTACGTTTTTTAATAAGTAAAATCCTTAAAAAAATGAAGGTGGGATAGCTTCGAATAAATATTTTTAATATTGCTATATATTACACGTATTGTATTTTATTTTCGTATTTTTATTATTATTCTATATTAACAACAAAAGTTAAATACAAGCAAGCAAACAAAAATAAACAATTTGTAGATTTTAATCATTTCGTTTTTGTCTAGGCGCTTCTTTTGACATCCTATGTTGTCAGGATATATAAGTAAGTATATATGCTATTTCTGTAGAATGTAACATAAATGCAAAATCTTTTCAGGAAAGGTAAATGTAGGTAAAATATATATATATAATATATATATATATATATATATATATATATATATATATATATATATATATATATATATATATATATATATATATATATATATATATATATATATATATATATATATATATATATATATATATATATATATATATATGCATATTTGTTTAACTAATACTACCTATACATTATTAATACAGAATTTCAGAAGTTACAACATCTAGAATTATACTTGTATTATCCCTTTTATTAAAAAGAAGAATGTTCTCAATTCATTTGTATTTTTTTGTGTGCATATTATGAATATCTTTGTCAGTTGCAAACGCATTTTGGTGCTTATTTTTATAATCGGTAGGGTTTACTCCTGTGATGATACCACATAGAATAAATTCTGTAATGTAATTATAATATTGTTACCTGTGCCTGTTTAGGGACGAGTCTATCTACGGAACTTTATTCACATTTTTTCCTTACCTTTCCTATTTTTTTATCACAAATATTATATCAGGCTAGACAGTTCAGTATATTTTATCGAATTTTGACATGTTACTTAAGTATTGCTATTACTATACAAAATAAATAGTAAATTTGTCCTGACTGACTATCAACGTACAGCCAAATCTACTAAGTCTAGAAAGCTGTAATGTACAACTGCTGTACTGTACTGTAATGTACTTTTTATAACGTAAGCATCCGCTAAGAGAGCATTTTTGTAAATTCGTATATTAGGAACACGACTCTACGTGTGGAAAGCTGTGGGCAAGTTAGCAACTTATAAACTATTTTTACAAGGGTTTTTAATGGGTAAAAATAGAATGGTAACCTCACCCGCGCTAACGGTATACACCGGCGGGGCACCAGTGACGGATGATAGGTGAGGATGAAGCAGGTCAGTTAGCCCATCGTTACGAATTCAACAAGAATTATTCACGATGGTTTTCAGGGGGAACCACGTGGAGGTCGACCTAATAGGGCAAATTGCTAACAATGGGGCTATCAAACTCCATTGCTAACTGTCCAATCCCTTTCTCCCCTTTTTAGAAGGGTTAGAACGGACTTAGTTGGGTATCTATCGGTTGATGATTGTAGTTGTCGGTATGAGTCTTTTATCGAAGATAAAGCTCAAATAAGTTATCGGGATTACCCCGGTTATGTAGTAGGACAGGAATGTTTGTTGAGACGATTATCAAATGTCGTTAGGCAACATAATATCTGTGATAATATGCAACAAACATTTAGGGGCATCACCAAAATTCTAGACTCATGTCTAGTCAAATTCCGGAGAACGTTCTCCTCACGGTTCTCTCTGGAAACTATCATGGTTAATTCTTGATGAATTCATCATGATGGGCTAACTGACCTGTTTTTATTCTCATCTATCACCCTTCACTGGTGCTCCGCCAGCGTATCCCGTTAGCACAGGCGGGATTACCATACGATTTTCACCCATCAAAAACAAAAAAGTACATGTAACTAAACCTAAATTTATATCAATGAAGTCGCATGTTAATCTAATTAGATTATAAAGTCTAGATAAGAGATAAAACTTTGTTATCACTATAAACACTATTTTCGTCTAATGTTATAATTAATTACAAAGAAGATTAACAATCGTCAATACTAGAAAAAAAATTAAAAAGATCTACCTATTTACTACGTGTCCTAAAAACAATGCCTAGTGCTAGTCTAAGGTGCTAACATAATATTTGTTTATTTAAACGAGCAATAGGATAATTGAGTACTTATTAAAAAATTTTAAAGTTTGTTATTTAGAATCGTTATTTAATTAATCCGACAAGAGAATTATCAAAATTGGTTTATAATTGGCGATGTATATGTCATAAAATATAGAAAAACTGTAAACATGGTCATTTTGAAATTCACAAAGATTTTTGCAAGAGCGATACCGCAGTCAATGACTAATAAGATAAAAAGTTAAATTATTGTAGGCGTTTCCTTTATTTTTCTTAATAAAATTAAGCTATAATTCTATGATCCAACCAAATTATTTTAATAACTCATCTTGTTTCTAGTTTGCTAGTGACATAATGGGCAACATTAGTTAGCAACACTAGCCATTTATTAAAATAAAAAAAGACTGTGGGCACTGATAAACATTGGCGAATGGCGGGAAAAACCAAGTGATTCCCAGGAGCTGTTAGTCAGTTATATCTGGCGAATTTCCAAAGATAATGGATGGATATTATAATAAAGAATCTGAAACAGTTGGTTTTACCAAAACTAATTAATTTTAAGAATACTATCATAAATTAGATAAAAAAAGTTTGATACAAATGCTGTACGATTCCGGGAACTTGTCTCAGAATCCTATAGTTGGTAATTGTAGTTATCATATTTATTTTGATTACATAATATGGTAGTGTTGTATGAATTTATTTGTCTTTAAAAACAAAGCGTTCACCCAAAATATACAATGTATTTGTATCGATTAATTATTTGAGAGTTCGGGATTTGGGATCACAAATAATCATATAATTGATTATGCAATCTATAATACAATGTAATCGCATATGAACAATTAATTAATACACAATTATATACATATTATGTTATAAGAAGTATAATGTATAATAATTAAGTTACTGTCGATTAATCCAATGACGCTTAGTAATATTATGGTATTGTTTTGGACTAGTTATTAGTATTGCGTCAATTAAGATGTCAATTAACGTAAGATAGACTAACTACATTATCTAACTAAGTTGCCTATAACGTAGCCTGTCTCGTGCTAAAGTAAAAGTATAAAAATAACTATAAAAATTATTAGGTTATAATTAATTAAATTGCGTAAAATTATCAGTAATATTACTATCAGCTATATCACACATAATTGATATCACAGTATCGATTAATTGTTTATCGATTATTAGTGCGACACTAAGGTACGGATGTAAAAATAAAATACATGTTCCGCCAATTAGATTTACCTAATGAATTTGCTGCAAAATGGCAATTATTCATAGTGAACCATTGGTGTGTGAAGTTCGTGAAAATCGCGATCGTCTACGCGACATGAATGATACGAACGCGAGGCGAATGAATTCAGTTGCGGTGCAGACTTCGAGAGATTAATTCCTTTTATTCTTATACCTAAAGCACTTACTGCTATTTTTTTATTCAATCTTAATTGTTAATTACTTAGTATTTGCAACAAATAATTTAATTTCATGTACCAATAATTTGAAAGGTTATATACTACCTATATTTTATGAGGTTCACGTGGTCTCTTTTTGGTAAGTATGATTTGTATATGTTGAATGGACATACTGTTTAGTTTTTGTTTGTTTATTTAGCATTTCTGTATTTATAATATAATAGTTATGGTCAGAAATTTTCTAAACTAAATATTGGTTCGTTCAGGAACAGGGAGATAATGTGAGGGTCTAAAATGACCACTTTGGCGATTCATAATTAGATCGTAAAATGTTTCATATTTGCAGTTTATTCCAGACACATTTTCTATGAGGAGGATAGTTTTTAGGAGAAACAATTTTTAAGTGACAGTTAATTTGTAGTAACTTTTATTTAATATTTTTTTATAATTCTATTTTTTTGCATGCCTCTTAGTTTGTATAGATAGAGTGTCACCATACAAATGCCATTCCTAAAACAAGTCAACTTTTTTAATCATGAATGCGTGAATAGGAGTACCATAAAGTACAAGTCTTACTCAATATATGGGATAAATATATGTAGGTTAAGTTAAAAAATAAAAATGAAGGAATATATTTAAAAGAACAGGCTAAAGACTGTATAATAATGCTTATTTTTATTGATTACCTTGATTTATTTCTGATTATAGATTTAAAATAAGTACGTTTTCGTTTTTATATAATTGAAAATGATCATTTGTATATATGTATATTTATATTATATCATAAAAAATAATATCTTATTTGAAATTTAAAAAATCGTCCTAATTTGGGAAATGTTTAACCAAATATTTGAACACTAAAGGAAAATCGCCATTTTATTTTGTTTTGATTTAAAAATTATATTTCGCAAAATTTAGACACACGTCATTTTGGCTGACAAAATTTTAAGCTGTTCGGTTGCTCATGAAATAAATCCCAATAGATTGATATTGGAATTGAAACGTTGTGCACTCTCGAATCGAAAGTATTAGCGGCATGATGGTTCTGCAGTGTTCTGATAGATGCATTTTAATGTAAATTGCCAATGCAAACTATTGTGATCCAAATTCAAATAAAATAAAATAAAACCTAATCTTCTAATTGTTGGTTCGTGAGTGCAGTACAAAATAATATAAAATAAAATAGTGTATTTAATGAAACTAAGTATACTTATAGTTTCATGAAAAACAGTAAAGTGGTCATTTTAGGCCCTCTACTGAAATATTTCAACAGATTTTTTCAATTAGGAAATTGAAAATAGTTCGTAAAAAAACGTAAGTTTAGCATAATGTGTTATTATAAATTTATTACATTATATATTTAATAATAAATATAAAATTATTTATTATTATTAAATATATTATAGTGTTATTATTGCCAACCCTGAAGAAACTTTAATATACCCTATTTGAAGAATCCCATATTGTAGTCTCTAGGAAAAACCTCGGCAGGGAATTCTTTTTACAGCCTAAGCGTTCGTCAGAAAAAATTTCACTGGGACTACACTGTACTCGTATGTGACCATTTAGGTTCAAGCGTGTTAGGATGAATTTATTGTCGATGGCGAGCGGTGCGATGATAAAAGTGGCTGTAGGCGTCATTTCAAAAAATACTGAGTTTGTTTTTAAAAGGAATTTTGATAATTTTTAAATACTGTACTAGAACACCATTACTATCATCAAATCTCGTTGTTTTTAGTGATAAAACCAAATATTTAAGTTGTATTAAAAAAAACTCAAACTTGCCTGTTAGAATTATGTAGTTCTTATAAGTAAGTTTATTATCTGTAGTTTTAGTGCACATTTGCCAGCTTAATCAGTGAACTCGACATCATGTGTGTGTTAAAACGTTTTATAATAATAAACAAATACGTTATACTTTGTAAAAAAAGCTACTTTAGCTGTAAACACATATGCATTGATAAGCGATAAGGTGTTACGTAAACATATATTTTAAATAATCGAGTTTAGAGTTCAGAATCGTGTGTCTACAAGTAGATTTTTGAAAAATAATATTCTATCAATAAAATTTATAAAAATCGGTTAAGGATTGGTGACGTAATTGTCACAAAATTGCCAAGTGTGAAACTCCTTTTGAATGTTGCTTACCATGACAGTATAGTGGTGTTTCGATTCGAAGTGAAATTACAGTGTACATCTTATAGTCTTTAGGATTTGAAGAGCATAAGAGTACCATTAGAATTATAGTGTATTTAGAGACGTTCATGATACTGTATGATAATGTCTATAGGTGATGGTTACCATTGCCCATCCCTAGCGGATGCCCATCCCTTGCTTGCCATTTTTATTTGCATAGAAAAAAATTTGATTATCATTTGCCTATCAACATATGATTTTTACATCGCAAATTCTTGTTATCATTATATTAATGAATTATGCTCAGAATATTAACAGAACAAGTAAGGATAAACTTTGTTGGCCTAGTATTTGTAATTAGAGAGTCGCATTTCTCACATTTCCTCTGCTTGTATTTAAAATTATTATACTATGATTATCATATAGTCCACAACACATTATTATTATTTGTAAACTTTCAGTATAACTGAATAGATAAAATTATAATTTGAAAAATAATTTTGCTAGTTAAAAGCTTACAAAAAATTTAATAACACAAACGGGGAAGCGATTGTTAGTAATAGGAACTGTAGTCTCTATGTTAGTAATATCTGGAACTTTAACAATACTTCTGTGTAAGATATTTAAGTCCTAGAAGATTATTCACGACAGACCAATTATCCTGGTTTCACACTTATCGTTTTATACTTCACTGATACCAAGTCATTGTATATCAATTGACACGTTACGTGGTCATCCATAAAAAAATCAAGACAATGGTATGCTCAATTGTGAATATAATGTGCGATTTTAATGTACATAGGTAATAAAAGAGGCAATATATCGTAGCTCTGAAATTGGAGATCTCATTAGTGATTTCGGCCGCGTGGCACTGTATTGCAATTACATTTACATCAAATCGTCAGCTTAGACGCTTTAAGTCGATTTAGATACTCGCTACGAGTATGAGAATTGACGACGATCCCATACTGTTGTGTGGTATCGCGTCTATTAGTTTAAGGCGTGACTTTATTATATTCGGCATGCAAAAGGGCACAAAGTTTTTATAACAGACTGTGTACTGAGTAATTGTTTGTCACAGTTAATTTTTATATCATCGTACTTTTCGCTATCAACAAGGAATTCGTTATACTCAAGAATATACACTGTACTCGTATGTGTATTAGCCTTGTTATGTCGATTTGCATATTATATTATTATTTTTACAACCGTTTACTGTTCGCTGCTGGACATAAGCCTTCCTTATAAGGGGAGTTTTGCCAGCAACTGTTGGCTGGCTGGCTGCTGCCACGATTGGCAGGCGGGTTAGCATCTGTAGTTAGGCTTTTAGTGGTGTTTTAAGAGGGACGTATTTGTTTGTATGATTTGTACATAGTCCTCATGGAAATCACTACGGATAATGACCGTTAAATTTGTCTTGATGGTTCAATTGACTTGACCTATCATCCCCCATTGGTACCGTGCCAATGTACCTAAATAAATACTGTAGGCATGGTAGTCATTTCATTCTCATCCCCTAAAATATATGGCCAGTATAACTTATGATGACGTCTGGATTCTAAAGACACACCATCCTTCCATATTTGTTTAGTATTTAAAAGTTATAGTGGAATAAAAAAATCACAAAATAATTATCTTCAAATTAGCAGTGATATGGATATCCGTAAGATAACACCTAGTTCAGTACAATAGAAAAAAATACAAACATATGTACATGAATCTTAAATACATTACACTTCTTTTTTGCGCAGTTGTTTAAAAAGTAGGACAGGTACAAGTACTACAAATATGTATTCTATTTAACTATTATATAAAATTCTTAAATCATAGAAAATTTCACACAATGTTTATAACCATAATTAACATGAAATATTAATAATAAAAGATACAGGAAATATTATTATATATATAATGATTCAATAAGGAGGTATATAGTACATAGTTCGTAAATATTAATTAAATTAAATTGCAAATTGATATAGAAATACATATTATTAAAATATGAGTCGAAGTTTTCATATGTTTGTTGCTTGCCGAAATAATGATATCACTGCATAGTCATACATACATACATAAACATAAAACAAAGTCGCTTCCCGTCTGTCTGTCCCTATGTATGTTTAGATCTTTAAAAATACGCAACGGATATTGATGCGGTTTTTTTAATAGATAGAGTGATTCAAGAGAAAGGTTTATATGTATAATACATGCATAATATAGTAGAGAAACACTAAAAAAATATTATCGTACTTATAAGTACGTTACGATAAATTAAAAAAAATATTAAATATAATATAAAATAATCGAAATTATATTCTGTAGTATATATAGTATCAGCACTGCACCCGTGCGAAGCCGAAGTGGGTCGCTAGTATAATTTAGATTGATAAAGATATTCTAAAAAGGGGGAAAATTATAACTATTTTATTTATTTAGCACATCACAAATTGAAACCAAAATAAATGCTTTATAAGCAAATAACACAAATCTGAATTAGCTTTTAATTTATAAATTAATTGTTAATTATAATATGTTAAGTAACCTTACTTAACATATTACTTAGAATATGTTATGATGACATAAATAACTTGAATGTTTTGTGTAAGCATATTTGGTAAGACAAAAGGGTTTTAATTGTAAATAAACAGACAAGAAACTAGAGTGATAATAGTAACCGTTGTTTAGAAACAAAAAATACTGCGAAGCAAATGTTGCCTCGTGCTTTGTCATCTCTAGGTATTAAGAAGTAAAGCGAAATACGAGTACAACCATGCAAGAACATACATGTATATGGTCTCAGAATTATGAATAGGACAGAGGTACTTACGGTGATGACATATATTGTACAAAGGCTCTAACTTGTAATTTTTTTTCACTTTTTCCAGGAAATGGAGCAAGGCAACAGAAAAGCACAATATTTGATCGCTGCGGCGGGTATGTTTCTTTTTATATTCTATATACTTTCTAATTGATATTGTGTGAAATACTCTTAAGTAATAAATAAAAATTAGAGATAAAACATTATTGTACGTACACATATCTTTACATTTATTTGAAAAACGAACAGTTTCTTGCCTCCAAACTATTTATAATTAGTCTTCTTCATGCAAAGGTTGCCTGGAAGAGATCGTTTTTAGCGATAAGGCTGCTCATTATTTTTTCTGTGTAATATTTACTTGTAATTGGTTGTATTTATAATAAGTTTACTATTGTAATCTAATGGAGGAAACAATAAGGAGTATCTATTTATTTTGAATTATTTCAGTATCACTGTCAACTGCTACCATAGGAGTTTCATCTGGCTGGCCAACTCCTGTTATTCCAAAGTTACATAACAATCAAACAAGCATGCATTTCAATGAGGTAATTGTTTAAAATATGTTACAATCACGTGAGACTTGTTCGTAACGATAGTAAATATCTTAATAAACATACCGAAGAATTAAAATATTTTAAATACTTTATTTTGACTGTATCTACATCTTACAGTGGTCGACTAGTTTCTAACATAATTATGAGAATAAAAACAGCTACATCGTGCATTTGTTTAGTGAAATAGATCGTTCGTATGTACATGAATTTATATTTTAATAACATGTGGAATATTCGCTTTGGTTTACATTCTGATACTGTAGGTAGATATATTACACTCAAATAAAATGTTGCGAAAAGTTATTTAAAAATATTTACTGTTTGCGTTTTTTTGGAGCTCGCCATTCCGAATCCGATGATTTAAAAGTAAATAAGTTTAAATAAATAAAGATTACCCTTATCTCATTACTTGTTACGAAGGGCACATGCAAAAACTTAACAATGCGGTAAAAAGTTCGAAAACGTCGTTATAAATAAATGTAACTTACAATTTATTTCAATTACTATTTTTATAGAATATGAATAATCTTCTTTTTCGATTGTCAACTCTATATCTTCCGAGTAAGTAAACCCTGAGTACGTTACGAACAATAAATACTGATATTTACTAATATTATTATTGTGACAGAAAATTTATTTGTCTGTTACCACTTGGAGCTTTAACAACACAATCAATCATCATGAAATTTAGTTTATTTGTTTTCCCTATTTGTCCTTGGAAGAACATTTTGCACGCTAATGTAAGTAAAACATGGTAGATCTATACATATCCATTAATGAATAACCAGTATGTACCTTCTATATACTACACATGTTTGCAAATAAATTTATTTTTATCTTTATTGTTTGTATAAATGTTATTGTTAAAATTAAAAACAGAGAAAGAAAAAAATGAAAAATACTTTTTGGGTTGGATAAGGATACTACGATTATGTTTTATTTAATACTCTGATCACGTGGATGACGTTGCGAGTAAAAATTTATGTTGGTCAGTTTAATAAAAATGTTTGTTCTTCCAGCAACAAATATCATGGATGGTAGCCCTCAATACGCCTGGTTTCGTGATCGGCAGTTTGGCGACATCTTATATATCGGACACTTATGGGAGGCGTTCCACGCTTTTAAGTAGTGCCCTTCCCATCGCCATTGGAACTGTGAGTAATTAACTAATTGAAAGATTTTTTGAATTAATTCCTCAATTGGATAGCGACTGGTCTGCTCTGTCACTGCAATTGATTTCATCATCATTATTATATCAGCTTTTAACCTGTCCACTGTTGAACACAAGCCTTCCGCTTGGGGGGGTTTTGCCAGTAGTTGCCACGCTTGGCAGGCGGATTGGCAACCGTAGTCAGCCTTTAGAGTTGTTTTAAGAGGGACGCTGCTGCCCATCCCTCGGCCTCTCTTAGTCGTCTTTTACGACATCCACGAGAAAGGAAGGAGTGGCCTATTCTATGCCAGGACCACACGGTAATTGATTTATTTTGTTAATTTGTTCAAATTATATGGGAATATCCTAATTTTTAACATGATGGGCTAACTGACCTGTTTTCATTCTCATCTATCACCCTTTACTGGATCTCCGCCAGCGTATCCCGTTAGCGCAGGCGGGGTAAACATTCCATTTTCACCCATCAAAAAAAAAATTGCGGTTATCAACCCGCTTGCCAAGCATGGCAATTACTGGCAATACCCCCTTATGGGGGAGGCCTATGTGCAGCAGTGGATACATAATGGCTGATATGGGGTTGCTTGCTAGGTTATATTCATAATTTTTATTATATTTTACCTTTTTGAAAGAAGCAACAGCTGGATTTCTTATCCGTTCTTCTCACTAAAATTCCGTCCAGAAAGGGCGGTAAAAAGTCAATTCAAGAATACTTAAATTTAAGTTTACTCAAGTAAAAATAATAAAAAAAAACGAGAGACATGCTTGCTTGTCTAAGCCGAATGGAAGAGAGCGAGAATCAACGACAATTCTAGTTACATTTTTTACTAAATCGTAGACTATAAGAAACTGAGATCCGGCCTATTAGGAATAAATTATGATTAATTGAACTAAATATAAAAATGAGATTTAGACATGTTAAAGAATATAGTATTGCGTTAACAATAATAATAGATAATTAAAATTAATTTAAATAATTTAAAAGTATGGTGGTCCACGGCAAACCGCAGTCACTGCTACTAGACCGCGACGGCAGTTTGTTTGAATTTGGATGACACCAAAACTTTGTATGTCAATTTAAATTCACGACTATTTATCCAGTGTTAGAAAACACGATAGCAAATCAAATTAATCCAAGTCACGGTGGTAAGCCGCGTCCCGGGTTGGATTCTAATATGCTCTGTGAAACATGGGCATATGTAGTGTTACATTCATGATAATGGTAACTCAAAATAACGAATAATAATATGTAGTTGAGACATGTGTATGTGTGAAAAAATCAATATGATTTTTATGTTTATAAATATAATAAATGTTGTTAATTTATTACTTTTCAGATGATTGTTGCGTTTTTCATGGAAGCGTGGCTGTTATCTGTCACAAGACTGATGTGGGGCCTCGGCACGGGCATGATTAGTACGGTGAGTAGTGTATTACTAAAAAAGTTTATTACTCTTTTTTATATTACTAAGGTGGCAAACAAGCATACTGCCCGTCTGATGGTAAACGAGGCTAACACCAGGGATGTCACGCGCGTTACCGAATCTTATTTATTTTATAAAATTATAAGTAACCATCTGGACGAGTGGCGATCTTCCACCGTGCGTTTTTCAAGGCACTTTCTTCCACGCACAATCATTTTTTGGAATCGACTTCCAGCAGCAGTATTTCCGATCCGATACGACGTCATAATCTGTAAGAAAAGAGAATATTCCTATTTAAAAGGCCGGCAGCACACCTGCAATACCGTTGGTGTTGTGGGTGGCACTTACCATCAAGAGAGCCGCATGCTCGTTTGCTCCCTGTGTTGTAAAAAAAAAACTTTTAAGTTTGGCGAAATGTGAGCACGTCGAATATTAAGGTCCACTACAAGGCCAAGAGTTTGGACATGATTGACCACCATATTATGATTGTAGTAGTGGATATGTTAATTTTTTTATTTAAGTAATACAGTCATGCAAGTTTGAAAGAATGAATGAATGAATATTTATTTGCAAGACAATATTTATCTGTTTGACAGACATACGGGTGGAACAGAGGTACCCAAGCTTTGTTTTGAATAAATTCTCCCTGTAATAGAATAGAATTTAAATTCACAATATGTTATTTACAGGTCGTCAATATTTATATGGCGGAAATAACGGATAAAGATATAAGGGCGAGGTTGACTGTTATGACTAAATTCATGTTCAACTTCGGGAATCTTTTAGTAATAGTCATAGGATACTATGTATCATATAATACGTTAAACTATATGATGCTAGTACTACCTATATGCTATGCGTCAGCCTGTTGGTTTACACCAGAAACCCCGTACTACTATCTTAAAGAAGGGAAGGTAGCCGATGCAAAGAGGGTGCTATCCAAACTGCGAAAATACAAAAATGATAAGGTATGCAAATGTAATGTATTTTTATTAATTTGTAATGATTTTTAATTAATATATAGGTACTGGTAATTATTTTTCTTAATATAATATTTTTAAACTGTTATTTTGAACTTTGTTAATGTTAATACATTATTATCATACTTATTTGTCACATTAGGCTGGTTACATAACTAGAACAACCAACAATCGGTGAGTAAGAATAGTTCTTGAGTGGCTGCCCTATGCAAGCAAACGCAGTGTTTTTTTTTATGGGTGAATGGAACGGTAACCCCGCCTGTGCTAACGGGATACACTGGTGGAGCACCAGTGAAGGGTGATAGATGAGACTGAAAACAGGCCAGTTAGCCCATCCATCATGATGAATTCATCAGGAATTAACCATGATAGTTTCCAAGGGGAACCGCGAGGAGGTCGACCTGGTTGGGTATATTGCTAGCAATGGGATTCTCAGTCTCCATTACTAACAATCCCTTTCCCCCCGCAAACGCAGTGTTAGACTACCTCTCATTAGATGGAATGACAACCTCAAATGCATTGCAGGGAGTCAAGGCATGCAATTGGCTCAGAACGGTTCCTTGTGGTAGTCTATAGGGGAGGCCTATGTATAACAGTAGACAATAAACGGCTGTTGTGATGATGATGATCATACCTACTTGTAGAACAATTAGTTTGTTACTCTAAGGTTGTCTTAAAATATTACTAAGTATGACTGAAGTAAGGCAGTCTTATAGAGACTGCTTTACTGTACTTATATAATTGTCTTGTTTTTTTTTTTACCTATGTGTAATAACGCAAAGGGTGGTTTTGTACAAAAGTGGATTGCTTGGGTACCTCTGTCCCATTCGTGTTTCAACCGTGAAGCAGTTGTGTTTGCATGGCTGTGTTTCGGTTTGAAGGATGGCTTATGGCGTGAATTTACTGGGTACAGAGAAATAACACCTGAGACCTTAGGAATGGCAATGCATGGGGGGTATCATGGGCGAAACAGTATACTCTGTTATGTCCATGGTACTGCTGATGTCTATAGGCGACGGTTATCACTTTCCATCAGGTTGGCCGTCAGCTTGTCTGCCATTCTAAGTTGTATAAAAAAATACTTATTCAATCATTTGTAACTATCTAGTTGATAGTTTCGGATGTAAGAAACGACAACGCATCATTTCATATACGTAAACGACGGTAGTTAACAATAAATAAATAAAGAAATAGATGATATAGTCGTCAATATAATTAAATGCATGTGTATTCTTCTTGGAGCTATAATCGAGAAGTATTCGCGTGTATAATTTTATTTTTTTGCAACTTAGAATGGTAAACAAACTGACGATCCACGCGCCTACCTGATGGAAAGTGGTAACTGTGGCCTATAGAGAGAGTATACTGTTTCGCCCATAATACCCCCCATGCGTTGCCATTCCTGAGGACTCAGGTGTTATTCCTTTGTACCCTGTAAATTCACTGCCATCACCTACCCTTAAAACCGAAACACAGCGATGCAAGCACAACTGCTTCACGGTAGAAACACGAAAAGGTCAGAGGTGCCCAAACAAATTACTTTTGTACAAAGTCTACCTCCAGTAACTCTATTTCCATTGTTGAACATATATCCAAATAATTTTTTGTAACATAATTGGGAATAGTCAATAAACTGTTAGCTTATTTGATAGAAAATAGTAACCATCGATTACGTACTTAAAAATATGAACTGTAGTCGACTTAAAGTTCACGCATGCAGTATATTAAAATTAATAGCACTCCTTTAAGAAAATATTATATCAAATAAAGGATTATTTGGACGACTTCCTAGTCTTCTCGAAAGATGAAGAGGAGCACAAGCACCATCTAAGACAGCTGTTTACTAGACTCCGCGAATACGGTATGGTAATTAACACCTCGAAATGCGTGTTTGGTGCTACCGAGGTGAAGTTTTTAGGATACCTCATTTCTGCCGATGGTACTAAGCCGCTTCCCTCCAAGGTCGAAGCTATACAGAACTTTCCGGTGCCAAAAACAATACGGGAACTGTATTATATAATTGTAGTTGTCCATAGTGGTAGTAAGGTAAATATGGAGCATCTATGTGGTAACAATAATAGTAGTATTACAATAACATTAACCCAACAATCAGTGAAGTGAGCTGGTTTTTCGCAAAATATAACCTATTCATATATAGCTTTTTGTTAAAATTAGAATATTGATAATTTCAGGAGTTGGAGGATGCGTTAACTCTAATGCAGCAGGACGTGAAAAACGAGATGCGTAGATCTAGTTCTTTCAAAGAATTAATCGTTGGGAAACAATACAGGAAGGCTGTTATTATTTCTATTGGTAAGTTATAGCCAAGTATTATAAATATTAGGGGAAAGCCAACAAAATAATATACAAGTGGGTATATAATTGTAAGAAGACCCTCAATAGTGCGAGTTTGAACTGAGCTGAGGTCGTAATTTGTGCTTAAAGTTAAATTTCCAATTAACTGTCAGATGATGGTTTACATCGTTAACATAATTAATCAGAGAGATCACCATGAGTTTGGGTACCTTTTGTCATTTTGGATTTTAATAAATTTAATTAAATTTTGGTAATACGAGTGTTACTTATTTTGACCACAACATCTTTAATCAACGAAATTCCTCTAATTAATTGTTAATGCCATCTTATAACATTTCTTCCTATATGGTACTGTGCTATAAATAAAAAAACAAAAAAAAATAGCTTTTATTTATCGTAATTACAGTTTTTATATTACATTAGTTTTATGAGAATTAAATGAATACAATATAAGTATTAATTGATTTTTAAAGTTTTAAACATTTTAAAAACGAAGTTATCTCTTCAAAGCATATTTATTATTATTTTGTTTAATTAAAATTTAATTTAAAGAAATTAGATTATATACAAAATTTGCATGCTATATGGGAATATTATTACTGTGTATTGCGATTTAAGGTTTCTCTGGTTTTACAAGGACTATTACTACCATCGATGTCTTAGCAAAGGTCCGGTTGTATGAAAACTATGCAAATTTTAATGAATAACTTATCTACTTGATCGATCTAGGTTTGAGAATAGGAATGGTCATGACGGGCCAGATCACTACACGGAACTACTTGGGACGCATCATGCAAGAAAGCAAGTCTAAAATAAGTTTGGAAACAGTGTTCATTATATTCGGTGCTGTTAACTTTCTTGTGGGTAAGTTCAAGATGTATACTTTAAAATTTATTTTACATAAATGACCTCTATAGGACATTTTTAGTATCGAATAATTTATGTATTAGGATGATATTTCACTAATTAATATCTTTTAATCTTCTGATTTCTGTAATACAAATGTCCACTCCAAAAACAGAAGCATTTCTGGAGTGGTGTTTCTCCTCAAACGTTTATTCAGAAGTAGTTAATCGAAAGCTTGTGATAGTTGATCAACTCTACAACAAGTCTAAGAATAATTTGTTGCAAGCATAATATACATAAGCGTCTCGGCATAGGATGGACTACCCATTCTTTATCCGTGGGTGTCGAAAGAGAAGACTAAGGGAACTTAATGGTCGAAAGATAGGCAACAGCGTACCACTAAAAAAATCTCCAAAAACCTAGCTGCAGTTGCCAACCCAACTGCCAAGCGTGGCAACTACTGGCAATACCCTTCTTCTATGGGGAGGCCTATGTTCAACAGTGGACAGTTAACGGTTAATATAATAATAAAAAAAAATAATAAACATACTTAGGAATACAAGTTGAATTACATCTCAATCTTATATTTTCTTTTACAGGTGTAATGTCATCGATTTTGGTCGACCGTGTTGGAAGACGGCCGTTGCTTGTATACTCTTTCCTCGGAACGGGACTATCGCTCGCTCTAACTGTCGGTTATTTCTTCTGCCAAGAAATCCTACGCATTGACGAACAATATCTCAGTCCGTATGGTGTTATACCTTTCATAGGCATTGTCCTTTCCACCATCATCTCTGGTCTGGGATATAATTCTATAATATTCACAATCGGTGCCGAAATTTTCCCATTGAACGTCAAATCAATAGCAATGACATCACTGAGCGTGCTTAATGGAATTTTAGGTTTCGGAGTAGCCAAAGGGTATCAGGAAATCAAAAACGTGTCGGGACTATTTGGCGTGTTCTTTATCTTTACCACTGTGGCGTTCGCGAGTGCTATATTTTCTTACTACGTTGTTCCTGAAACTAAAGGGAAGAGTTTAAAAGAAATACAAATCATATTACAGGGTGATATGTATACTGAAGATGAAAAATTAAATCATGTTGTCACAGAGAATATAAACGAAGAAGAACCAGGTGAAATGACTGAATTAAAAGTCTTCGAAAAGAAGGAGTAAGACTATTTATAAATTGTTTTTTTTTTATTTGGTTAGATTTGAAAAATATTAGTATCTCCTAAAGGAGTGTTCTAAGTTGACTCAAGAAATTGTGCCTAGTAAGAATTGGTTATATCAGTACTGCTCTGATATCTATATATTGTATTCCTTAGGATATTGATTATGGAAAAAAGGTCATTATCCATTCTGATATACTATGCAATATAGATATCCAACTAGTAAAGGTATCAGTTGGGTATCTATATTCATTTTGATCAGGTTATTCTTTTTGATATTACATATTGGATAACCAAAGTTTAATATATCCGTTATTGGGCTAATATATAGATATTGTAACTACAACATATAGATATTACAATATACACTAGGGACAGATATTACAATATCTGTCCCTAGTGCCTAGTGGGAATTGTTTGGTTTATTTCAATAGAACTTGTTATTCAATAAAAATATAATTGACCCAATGATAAGACAATATGCCAATATCCAATACCAGTACATTAAAAGCCTATTAATTTGTATGAATGTCGTAAGTTTCCAAAATTATCCACTAGAGGCTCAATCAAGTTTTCAATACAATTATCAACATACACGTTTATTGCAGTAGTAATGTAAATCTGTATTACGAGTATTTATAACTTTGGTAAGCTAAAGTTGCCATATTTCGGCAAAATTATCTATCAATTTTCAAAAGTAATTGAACGTTTTCAATATTGAGAAATGACTGATTATTTAAAAAATTGTCTGCTAGCGAACTAAAACATTAATCGTGCATTAATGTTTTATAAAGCTTAAAGCGTTTATAATAAAGCTGTCCCTAAAAAGAAAAAAAGAAGAAAAAAGGAAAAGTTCTTGAGTGGCGACATATAACAGCAAATACAGTGTAGGACGACTTCCCCACTAGATGGAGTGATAACCTCAAATACATTGCAGGGAGTCAGTGGATGCAGGTGACTTAGGACCGGTCTTTGTGGCAGTGTATGGGGGAGGCCTATATTCAGCAGTGGACAGATAATAGCTGAGATGATGATGATGTCTCTAAAAATTTGGATTTTGATGGTAAAAATGTATTTGAAAATTTTCGAAGCAAGATATTATGTAGTTGAAGTTTTTAGTGGTGGAATCATTTGCCTCGTAGGTATTGTATGATTAACGTTTTAGTTCTGATTTATTACAGTTATATATGACTGCTCAACAAATATTAATTAAATTTGTTGAGATATGAAAGTATTTTTAAGCTTTGGACTGATAGGATAAGTAGACTGGTTCAGTACTAATTACATTTAGGGACTACTCACACTTATTCAGCTCCATTCGCGTTCGCTGAACGATTTTGGTCACACTTATACAATTCTGCTTCTATCAGCCACGTACGGCGTCGTAAGAATGAGAAAAGCCGTCATAACGTGCTATCTTCGCTAAAACGCTTGTCTACTGCGTACGGCGTTGAATATGCTGCATTTTGTAAAAATAAAATAATCATAATTACTATAAAATACGTCTGCACTCTTTAAACCTTGCGTACATAATGATTACGCAATAATAAATCAAATCAATGCAGAAACAATACAGGTTGCAACTTGTCGACAAGGAGTCGCGAATCATCCCTGTAATAGCTGTTTCGCTGCGTTCGACGGTGAATGCGGCGGAACGGCGCTGAACGCTCTCTATAACATTCGCATGATAAATACACATTTATTCTCATTTTTTACTGGGTTGCCACGAAAGCAGAATAGACGCGGAAAGCTGAATGGATGCGTCTCCATACAAAATCGTTGTTTTCTACGGATAAAAGCTGAATAAGTGTGAGTAGTCCCTTATATGATGTAAGTTACAATTTATAATAAAGTTTATATAAAAATGAAATATTTGTATTGTGATGACAATTATAAATAATGTTTAGAAATATCAAATATCCAATATGGAAGCATGCCGTGTGATCCCAGCATAGAATAAGCCACCCTTTCCTTTCCTGTGGGTCTCGTAAGAGGCGACTAAGGGAAGGCGACGGATGGTCAGCAACGTCCCTCTTAAAACGTTTCAGAAGTGCGGTTGCCAATCTGTCTGTTAAACGTGGCAACTACTGGCAAAATCCTCCAAGGGGGAGGCTTATGATCAGCCGTGAGCAGTTAAAAGCTGATATGATATAAGTGAACTGATATGATGAATATGGGACCACAGGAATTTGAGGACTTGATGATTTTAATTCTTTGCATATTTATCATTACTGTTTTTTTTTAATTAATTTAGACTTCGTTGGATTCAATTCAACTTATGTCCGTTTGAGATGCTATTTATGATTAATTACATAATGTCCAAAGATTGACTTCCTTTCCCGTGGGTGTCGTAAGAGGCTAAGGGAATATAATGGTCGAAGTATGGGCTACAGTGTCTCTCTTAAATCAACACCAAAGCCTAACTGCGGTTGCCAAGCGTGGTAATTATTGGCAATACCCCCCTTATGGGGGAGGCCTATGTTCAGCAGAGGACATTTAATGACTGATACAATGATGTTGAAATGTATTACTAATACTTCTTCAGCTAGTCATTTATATGTATTCGTAATAAGAAAGGATTTCTGTAACTATAGATTGAGTATATTTTACTAGGCAATGCATTGGCTTTCACATTAAATAAACAGCTTACTGAAAGAGAAACCTCAAGAAAAGTACAAAGGTAACTCAGTACCAGATTTAGTACTTCATTTTACCTACCTCATGTAAAGCATGTGCTAGTTAGCGCACTAAGAGAATATTATAGTGTTATAAGTATAATATATACATTGTAAATAAATCGCATTACATATAGTTTTTGCATCGCAACCAGCAGTATTTTGCTCCACATAAAAGTAGCAAACTACTATATATATGTAACGGGAATTTAATGAACTTACTATGTTTGTCGTTTCAATTATTAATAATTATTTCGACTTCATCTTGAAGTCTTCTTTGGGAGACATATGACGCTTTGCGTTATAGGGTCTTGTCTCGCATTGCGTGTTTCAGCAATCCTTATAAAATTAAAACGATATAAGATTAACATAAAAGTATATAAATGCTATCGATTGTAAAAAGAAAGTTTTTGGTTTACAACTTGTAACATAATCATGTAACATAGACAAATAAAAAATTCAATTAAATAGGAACCTCCATTTTTGAAGTTTTTTTATGAATATAACAGAATATATATGTATATATATTTTACAATATTATATACTACATACTATATTTTTATACATATGAATAATGCGGTTATGTTGTCTTTTGTTATATAAGGTAATATAAGTGTGTTTTGTATAAGTCTGAAAGACTACATTGTTTTAATATTTTTGTATTTTTAGAATAAAATATACTGAAAATTAAGTTATAGCAGTTATTATTTATATTAATGTCCAATTTATTTAATAATTTTCATTTTATTTAGCTTTACTTCACGCAGAGACAAATAGGCCTATTCTAAGTAGAGCTTGCTTCTATTTATGCTTTTGTCTTAATAATTAATTAATGTCAAACCGCTACACTATGGAAGTACGACTTTTTTAATTACGACGACGACGAGTACAACTGCTTAATAATTTTTTATAAAGATGCACATTATATAGCATTTGTTTTTTAATTCTCACTATTCCTTAGATCACAGTTTTAACATATTCCATATTTATTCTAATTTAAATTAGGATTTTGGATAATTGGGGCATAAGGCAGACATATATTCTGCAGTGAACAATAAATTAACGGCTAAAACGATGATGATAGAGGTACGTAATAACATTTTTCTGTATCTGAAATCACATAATTTCACCTAATACCTTTTATGCCTATAGTTGTTCTAAAATAATCTTTGGTAGCTGTGGTACCTTTACAATAATGTTCTTTTGTTATAAACAAAGTGGTTATAGGTCATATAGGGCTTTTAAAATACATTAACAAATTGAGTAACTAATTATTTGTTTATGAATGTATGAAATTTATTGTACAAAAAACTATTACATCGTTACTTAATATGTAATTTATACGTAATATAAGCAGCGACGTGTGAGGCCCGCGTCATGCATCAGTTCCCAAATTATGTAATAATTTTTGTTAGACCGGCTTGAATGAAATTTTGATGTCAAGTCAAGGTCTAAAGAATTTATACACAAGACAAATATTAAAGTTTATTATGTAGCAACATAAGTAAAAAAATTGTATATATATTGGTATAATACATGATTTACTCAATATGTATTATAATATCTTTAAAACTGATAAGATCCACTATGGATAGACGTAAAACGATTGTGCGCGACTACGTAAAAACGAGATACCTACATTAAGCGAGCGTGATTGTCCACTCGTGTTTAGTATATTTGTATAAGTAGAAGCATTTGAGTGTACAAATGTAGTGATTTATGTTTGTAATAAATGCGTCATGCTAAGTGCCAAAAATTCCCAAAAAAATTTACCTGTGTAGACTTCTCCTATATTTAATTCAGTGATATTATTTTTTAAACATCCTAAGACATGGAACATGGTAACAGAAAAGTGCAGTACATAGTGACACTGGCAGGTAAGGTTTCTTTTAAAATAAATAATTATACATATATGGGACAATTTTTTACCTTTTTGGAATACAAAATTATTAACAATATTAGCATATTGTTAATAATCACAATAAATTTGTATTTAAAAATCGAATAAAATATTAGTATTGAAATATACTCAGTTTTCCTTGCGCAAGTGGTAATGGGAGTTAAATTTTCGTGTTCCCAAACTATTTTACTTTAGTCATAATAATTACATTATTTTTTACGCAACTTAGAATGGCAAACAAGCTGGCACTTCACTTGATGAAAAGTGGTAACCGTCGCCAGTAGACATGAACAATGCTACAAAATATTACATGACACTCCTGGTACTCCTTATGATTTGCCATTCCTGAAGTTTTTGTCTTCGTACCCTGTAATTTGATTATCGAAGAATCGTCGACAAAAAGGGATAATATCTTAGTCGAACAGTGCTTAAAGTGATTCGGGGATTCCTAGATGGTGAGGATGAAGTAGGCCAATTAGCCTATCGTGACGTATTCAACAAGAATTGTTCACGATGGTTTCCAGGGGGAACCACGTAGAGGTCGACCTAATAAGCCATATTGCTAACAATGGGGCTGTCAAATTCCATTGCTAACAATCCCTTTCCCCCCACTGGTATTGATTAGCGCGAGCGAAGTTACGATTCTATTGTTATACATTGAAAAAAAAAATAGCTATTAAATTACCTTTTTTTGAGCTAAACTCAACAGGCTGTAACTTAAATATGATATCATGATATATCACGCATTTTTTGTATGAAATGATCAGTTATAGTATAAAGTGTTAGTATGCTATTTATATATTTATATTTTTTTTATGTATCAGTTTGTTAATTTCTACCAAATATTATAAATAACCATAAAAACGGTGTTTTATGTTTTATTTAATTTTGTATAAGTTTTAATTATAGTTTACTTATTTCACTGACAGTTTCTCTGGCGGCGGTGACTACCGGTGTGTGTCTTACTTGGACAACTGCAGTCATACCAAAGTTCTACAATAATGAAACTAATATTCATATCACGGACGTGAGTATTTAATATATACATTAATGTAGAGTAAATATATCGGAATTTGAACATTATTTCCAAAGAAACTTGGGTCGAAAATCCATAGAAAATCTTAAGCTTCCTTCTTTATTGCACTTAAATATATATATATATATATATATATATATATATATATATATATATATATATATATATATATATATATATATATATATATATATATATATAGCCAATACTGTATCAGTTTATTTATATTTTTAATGTAATATATTGTAGGAACTTGGACGATATTGACCTTCGTATCATAAAATGTATAATAATTCCGTCTTTGTATTCGCAACTTATTAGTACATATCTGTTATGTTGTTAATCGGACTAAAGTGAATGAACCGCTTGGAAACCATTTTTTTTTTATTATTATACTGATTTTATATATTAGTGGCGTTTAACTGGCAGCAGGCAACTTGAGTGTATTGCATTATATTTTTTTTCATCTTTTATTTAAACTAAGTTTAATAAAAAATTCTTGTACCTGCAGAAGTCAGTAGCGGGATTTTAGGCTATTAAAACTATGAAATGCTAAAATTTATTATTATTAAGTAGGTACAATGTTTTTTCTTTTTGTCTCGCGGAATGACTAATTATATACTAACATTAAAAAAGATGATTGATGATGATTAAAAAGTCAAAAAACTTTGTTGATTTTCCGTAATTACCCCTTTTGTTGCCTTACGTTAAGACTCTTAAAATGTATTTGGTTATATTTGGCAATAAAGCATACACTATTAAGTTTTAATAGACTATTTGGGAAATATTACCTATTTTCATGTGGCTTTTTAAATAATAATAGAGTCGTTATTTGAATATTTAGTAAACCATTTGTATAATATTATTCTAGTAAGACGGATAAATAAGAAAAAAGACATTTGCATTCTTGTTATACGTGTAGATACTTAATAGGTTTTCGGACAAAACAGCGTTGTATTTTTTATATTGTACCTATCGCGAACATAATCTATGTTCAAGTAAATAATACATTAATATATAAAATTAAAAAAGATTTTAAAAAATGTGCTTAGGAATAGAACAGCTCTAATAAGTGTCTGTAGTATTTCCAATATTTGATCATTCATCATATAATCTACCACAGGTTTAGAAACTTTAAATTTATTCGAATTTTCATATAATATATGAGTACATAGGTAATAGAAGACGATAGGGCCAATTACTTGAGTTTTGAGTCGCCATTACTCTCTAAAATTAATATTTGAATTTGGTAACATAGAGATATCTTTATTATAAGGACTAATATAGTCTAAACTACATTTAAGATAAAATTATTATAAATTTAGTTCATGATGGTTTACAAAACAAAAATATTAGGTTAAGAGATAAGTTTAGAGAAATAGTGCGTCAGAATCGAACCCAGTTTCAATTAATACCTTTAATCTCTTTATAATTTATTTGTAAAATTTGACATTGTCAGTAAGTTGTTAAAATAATCTACGTTATAAATAGAGTATAATGTTTATGTACCACGTCATGCATGTAAGTCAAGTTCACCTTTAGATTATCCAAGGAAAAAATTAATATTTTTCAAGTATATACAGGTGTAATTGAAATCATTAGAATCCCTTTAAGAGAGTGTTTCGCCAGTGAAACTAATCATTTTCAACCGATTGCAAAACGGAGGTTCTCAATTTGGTTGTATATTTTTATGTTTGTTACCTCATAACTCAGTCAGTTATATACCGATTTGGAAAATTCTTTTTTTATTCGAAAGGATACACTTACAGATTAGTCTCATAGAAATTTTATTAGAATCGGTTCAGTAGTTTAGTTTTTAAATCAAAACTAGCTTTCACAATTGAAGACTGTTTTTTTGTGAGACACAATCTCTAATTAGTAGTATTATTATTATTATTTATTTAGTAGTTACTAACATGGACAAAGATTACATAATATCTTGGTCCATGACCCTGAATTTCGAAGTAAAATTTATCTTATCTCTTAATAGGCTTGATAATGTAATATCTAGTGATACGTGTAATACGCTCCCTATGTAGTAGTAATACCCTTCTCCATTCTAAGTTATCTATGATTATGTCCTAAAAAGATAAATCTGGATTAAATGACTGATAAGACTCATTGCTAAAGAGTTAAGGCTTCCAGTAATATAGAAAGATAACTAGACATAAAGAATTTGCGTCTGGAAATATATTATACACATCTATGTTTATATGAGAGGGAGATTTTGTACAAAAGTCGTTTGCTTGGGCACCTCTGTCTCATTCTTGCTTCTATCGTGAAGCAGTTGTTTACATGGCTGTGTTTCGGTTTGAAGGGTGAGATATGGCAGTGAATTTACAGGGTACAGAGGAGTAACGCCTGAGTCCTCAGGAATGGCAACGCATGGGGGGTATCATGGGCGAAACAGTATACTCTGTTATGTCTATGGTAGTACTCCTTTTTATAGGCGACGGTTACCACTTTCCATTTGGTGGGCCGTCAGCCTGTTTGACATACTAAGGTGCATAAAAAAAATTTTGGTTGTATTTGTTCAACAGGCGGGTATATCATGGATGGCAGCTATATCCTCGCCAGGTTTTGTAGTTGGCAGCGTAGCATCTCGATTTGTCTCTGACAAGTTCGGCAGGCGAGCTACTTTGCTGAGTAGTGCATTACCTGTTACTGTCGGCTCAGTAAGTAATTGTTTATTGGTATGAATCTTGTTTTTAGTTTAAATGTTTAAATAATATAGAGACTATTTAAAAATTACACTTGTTTCATAAATCGGAAGGCATGTAAAGATGTCGCTCAGTGAGCAATGTGAGAATCGTTCGTATATAACGAAGACGGCCTACAAACCTTTGATAACAGACGGCGACACATGAGTAATAGAATTGTTCACCAATGTTTGACAATTCCTATATAAGATTATAGTATTACTAGCGGCCAGTCCCGGCTTTGCACGGGTAGACATTTTTACAACATTTTAAAAAGTGATTATTGTGACATAACGATAATAGTTGGACATATAGTACCGCAAAGTTTTTTATAGTTATTGATATTTTCTTCAATATTGTAGAACATACTTTTATTCTATCACCAATAGTTTCCGCAAGGCACGCGATGAAAGATATTTTATAGCATTTTTTTACACCTTGATTTACGTTACTAAAGTTTTAGTAAGGATCCCTAATCTTTTCTAGGAATAAATATAGCCTATGTTACTCATAATGAATGTAGCTTTCTAATGGTGAAAGAATTTTTTAAATCCGTAAAGTAGTTTTTGAGTTAATTCATTACAAACATACACACAAAAATACAAATCTTTCCTCTTTATAATATTAGTGTAGAGGTAGTATGATAATGGATGGTCTAGTAGCAAGTATTACTAGTACTCGATCTAGCTATTTTGCCGCTCCGGGCAAAAATATTTTTCACCCTTTTTAATGAATGTTTATTTATTGTGAATTCATTTTGCCGTTTTGGGCATTTGTACGGTTCGTATTCCCGTAGATCGTGCTCTGAATATTGCTTATTTACTTTCAATCAAGCTCGTAGGGATACAAAGTAGTAGGTATGTATTACGACTTAAAATTACTGGCCCGCAATAATTCTGTCAGAGTAAGCCAGTAGTGGCCACGTTTAGTAGGTAGGTTGGCAACCGCAGTTGGGCTTTGGAGATGTTTTAAGAGGGACGTGGACATTCGTGTTTCAACCGTGAAGCAGTTGTGTTTGCATGGCTGTGTTTCGGTTTGAAGGGTGAGATATGGCAGTGACATTACAGGGTACAGAGGAATAACACCTGAGTCCTCGAGAATGGCAACGCATGAGGGGTATCATGGGCGAAACATTATACTCTGTTATGTCCATGGTACTGCTCATGTCTATAGGCGATGGTTACCACTTTCCATCAGGTGGACCGTTAGCTTGTTTGCCCTTCTAAGTTGTATAAAAAAAAAGACACCCACGGGAAAGGAAGGGGTGGCCTATTCTATGCCGAGGCCACACGGCAATATCCGATAGTAAAGTACTAGTACTGTTACACTTATTCCCCAGAACAAGATATTTATGATATTACTATAAAATATCAATATTTGTATTCTGATTTAATTGTTTTAAAACATTTTATTAATTTACTTAGGTTTATTTTTAGATAGCCACTTTATCCGGATCACACATATGGATTCTATGTGCTGCAAGATTTTTGTGGGGTATCGGTACTGGTATGATTAGCACTGTAAGTAGAAAAATATGTAAATTAAATTCTTATTTCAATATTATTAAGATTCATTCTCATCTATCACCCTTCACTGGTGCTCCGCCAGCGTATCCCGTTAGCGCAGGCGGGGTTACCATACCATTTTCACCCATAAAAAAATATTATTAAGATTTAAATAATTGATATGTTTACTATTACATTATCATTATTAATCGGTATAGTATATTTATTTTAATTAGTATTCTTAGTTGCGCGCCCAGGCTTCGCCCAGGTAGATAGAAGACCTCAATTTTTTTACAGTAAAATATAGCCCATTTTACTTGCTTATAATGCACTATAATTATAAGTAAAAGAATTTTTATAATCGGTCAAGAACTTTTGTGTTTGTCTATCATAAACAAAAAAATAAAATTTCTTCTTCATCAATCAAACTGTTTATAATTACTCCTCTCCATCCAAAGGTTTCCTGGAAGAGATCGCTCATTGTGTTTTGTTTTCTCACTATGATAATTTCTTCTAAATGTTTATATTTATAATAAGTTCACTATTGTAAATCTTTTGGAGGAAACAATAAAGAGTATCTATCTATCTATTAGTTTAGCTCATAAATAATCATAAACGATATACCTGATCACAGTATCTGTAATTAGGCAGTGGCAAGACATAGATGTGTGATATCAGAGGTGCTATAGTAAATCGGTAATAGCCATAGTATAATCATAGAATATTAAGAATATATATATGAGTATAGCATATTATATACAACTATAGCATTGATAGCTACTTTTCGACAGATGGCTCGTGATTGATATTTATATTATTAATTCACAGAAAAAATACTGTATTTGAAAATATTATTTTCTTTATCTATAATATGTTTCATTAAACAGGTATCATCCATTTATCTGGCGGAGATAGCCGACAAGGACATCCGCGGCTCTTTAATCGTCGCCAACAGATTCTTCGTCAATTTTGGAATCTTTCTAGTTCTGGTCATTGGCCCCTTTGTCTCGTACAATACAATAAACTACATGATATTAGCATTACCTATCTGCTACTTCGTAAGTTGCTGGCTGATCCCAGAAACGCCCTATTACTATTTAAAGGAGGAAAAAGTTGATAAAGCCAGACATGTATTGAAGAAACTCAGAGGAATAAAGAATGAGAAGGTATTTTAAACATATATAAATGTAAAATGTAAAAATCTATTTATTATCAATAATACCAGACAGACAGAGAAAATTTCTAAAAATTATTGTTTTGATTTCTATTGCTTATATTAAGACCCCCTTATGTAAATTTTTCCTAAATATTTTTGCTATATACAAACATCGCCAAGATACAATTTTATTATATTGGAATATATAAATAAATATTAGTATTATTTCAATAATAATAAAATTTAAAGTAATAATTTAGAAAAAAATATTACAACAATTACGTAATAGGAGACAAAACTAATTGCAGGTTTTGGAAGACGAGCTATCAACAATGCGTTCAAATGTAGGCAAGGATATGCGCCGGTCGGGTACCGTTAAGGAACTGTTTTCTGGCAAGCAGTATCGGAAAGCTCTCTTTATAATTGCTGGTATAATATATTTTGTGTACTTATTTCTTAATAATAAATTCATTTGTTAAATTATGGTACAACAAGATGACAGTAAGAATAACATTCCAATCAATTTTTACCGCCGTGTAGGTCATGGCATAGAATAGGCCACCTCCTCCTTTCCATGGATGGCGTAAGAGGCAATTAAAGGCTTATGGTGAAAAGATGGGTAGCAGCGTTCCTCTTAAAAAATCACCAAAAGCCATACTGCGTTTGCCAACTCGCCTGCTAAGCGTGGCAACTACTGGCAAAACCCACCTTATGAGAGAGGCTATGTTCAGCAGTGGTCAGTTAACGACTGCTACAACATATTTTGCTGTTTCTGGCATATAAATATTTAAAAGTATATAAATAACTACAAACAGGACAGGCACATCATATTGTGTAGCGTTATACATAAAAGTAATTTAGTTTTTATACGAACGAAATTCTATACTTTACAGGATTAAAAATAGGACAAATGATGACTGGATGTATCGTGATTCAACACTACTTAGGCCGAATAATGCAAGACAGTCGTTCAAATATGAATTTGGCGACGGTATTCGTTGTGTTTGGTGCCTTAAGATTTACAGTTGGTAAGACATCGTAACCAATTATCTATCGCATATTTACTCGACCTAAGGTCGGTTTGAGGCAATAATATTTATAGTCTCTTTGTTATTGTTTTTGACCTTGACTAGAAAAAAATAGCAGTTCTTTGTAGAATAATAATATATTCTTACTAATATTAAAATGTGAAAGTTTCTTACCTTATAGCGCCTTAACAGCTTAATCAATCACTATGAAATTTAGTATACACGTACTGTATGAGATCGAGAAGGATATAGGTGACTTTTTATTCTAGTTAGTAAATATCTTGATCATGCAGACGAAGTCGTGGGTAAAATTTTGTAAATAATAATTTCCAATGTAAATGCAATACATTGATTTTCATATATATTTGTGGAGATAAGTCATAGAACGTTATCTGGTTCTAATCTACAACAGCAACTGAAAGACATAGTTAAAATATTATACATATCTTTCACGTTAAAGCCAATACAAAATAGTAAACAGTGAAGCAGTAATCTTTGCATGGTTATGTTTCGGTTTGAGAGGTGGAATATGGCAGTGAATGAACAGGGTACAGAGGAATAATATTTGAGTCCTCAGGAAAGTCAACGCATAGGGGTATCATGTGCGAAACAGTATACTCTATTACGTTCGTGGTACTGCTCATGTCTATAGGCAACGGTAACCACTTTCCAGCAGGTCGTCAGCTTGTTTGCCATTCTAAATTGCACAAATAAAAACATATACATAAATATTTATTAAGTTGTCATTAAAATTCGTGACTATTCGAAGTTCGCCGTATTATTTTTGATAATTTGATCAAATATATTTCATGTTACTTGTACTGTAACCATATTTTCATTTAGCATGAACCACGTGTTCAATTTACCACCCATTCACGTAAAACTACCTGTATTAATAATCATTCGTATAGACATATATGCAAACTTTTGTAAATAAGCAGGAATCTTTGACTGTTTCTAAAAACAGCGATCTCAATAATCTTAACATTACATCTATACACATTCAAACTTGCTGTAGGCGACGCACTACGATTTAATTTATTTTATTATTATTTGTACTTTTTTACACCTATTTTTGTATACCTATATAAATGTACCCACTTATAATTTTATTATTAATACAGTCCATTATAAATAAAAATTAAAAGTACTGAGGGTACGCACTATATTTATAAATATAGAATTACCTTTTTCCTTGATTTAGTGCGTGCTCTGACAGTGCTTAGGCAACATCTAAGAAAATTGGTTTTTATTTCGCATCCTTTATAAAGCTGATCCTTCTCGCCAAATCTGAACCAGTACAATGTTTAATACACCGCCGCGTGATAAACTGTTATCGTACAAAGAACGTCATAAATTAACCGATCGATTGGAATGTGCATCGGAGCATGTGCTCGCTAAGGACGCCGCCGCTGTAGTTCCCCCGCGTGGCACGGTACGGAGTAATATATCGCTACGTGGTGAAAATGAGCTCTTCAAGCAGCAATCACGGCAACATCCTACGAGTATGAAGAACGAATCTACTACGTCATCTAAACTATCAAGGGCGTCAGAGGTCAAACGAAAACAGCTGGAACTGCAGGCTGCCCGCGCGAAGGCACAAATTCAGTTGGATTTGATTGATAAGGAGCTTGAAGCTAACCTGGCGATCATCAATGATGGCAGCAGGAAATCGGACCACTTATCCAAGTCCGCATCTATATGTGATCAACATGTTCATTCTCACGTTGAACACTGGCTGGAACAAAGCAATGTGCAACCGTCGTGTTATCCTGACCTGGATCTAAACACGGCACCGACGAAGAAGGCAGTGCCGGCTACCGATTGTCTACAAAACAGCCGCCCTGTCACAGGTATTGAAGACAGTATATTGCAACTAGCACACACCCTCAAAGATATGATGGTGAACTCGTCATCACGTCAGGATGAGCGTTTTCTAAGCCGCATGGCTACACCACGTGACCTACCTACCTATAGTGGAGACTGCATTGAGTGGTTACATTTCAAAAGTGCATACCAGGAATCAACAAGAGTGTGTCAATTCAGTGATTCAGAAAACCTTTGGAGGTTACGTCGTGCATTAAGAGGTGATGCTAAAGAAGCAGTCACCGATCTGTTAATCGGAAACACTTCGCCTAGTGACATCATGTCTGCGCTGGAGCTGAGGTTTGGCCGTTCCGATATTATTATACAATATATAACTACACAGATAAAAAAGTTACCACCTTTACCTACAAACTATCAACAAGATATAGTTAATTTCTCGATTAAAATAAATAATTGCGTTGCTACACTTAGTACATTGAAATTGCATGATTATTTGCGTAGTCCTGAACTGGTGTCAGCAATAGCATCGAAATTACCAAGCATACTAATTAGTAAATTCACTGATTACGCATTTGATCGATTATTGGACGGTACACCTAAACTTATGTTATATGCATCATTTTTGAAACGTGAGGCAGAAATGATATCGGCAATCGGTTTATCACAACCGCGAGAACAAAAGAAACTCGACGTGCCTACGTCATATAGCAAGCGAACAGATGAGCGCTATCGCCATAACTATAATAATAAACAAATGGTATTTACAACAACGGCTGTTAATGAGAATAATTCTAAATTATGTCAGTTTTGTAAGAAATGTCAACACTTATTGCCAGATTGCAGAATATTTAAAAGGGCTATGCGCAGAGACCGATGGTATTTTGTAAAAAATAACAAATTATGTTATTGTTGTTTACTCGCCCGGCACGATCGTAGTATGTGCGCTGCACCTATGTGTGACATAGATAACTGTGGGCTGCCGCATCATCGATTATTACATTATAGGAAGCCTGCCCACACAGATATGCAACCAGTAGCCTCTGTGGAGATATCACCACCACAATACGAATCATCATCAGGCACGGACGCGACCATAGCCTACGTGGACTCCGCTACGAACGTGAGCGCGCCCGGTCACCTGAGCCGCGCAGACTCGGACGCGGTGACGTCATGTGATGTGATGCTAAAAATAGTGAAAGTTAAGTTAAGTGGACCCAATGGCACAGTGAGTACTTATGCGTTACTAGATGATGGAGCTTCTATATCAATGATCGATTCTGTTTTAGTTAATGAGCTCGGTCTTGAGAGTTTAACTTCTAGTTCTGTTAAATTTATTGATGCTTTTGGTGTAGAAGTCTATCAATCTGATGCTCCTAAAGTTTGTTTACGTATTTCTGGTCATGATAACTGTAACTATAATATAACTTTACGTAATGTGTCTGCATTAAAATTACCTATGCAAAATTTGTCCGTAATAAATAATATTCATTGTAAACATTTGTCATCTGTGAAACAATTTGTATGTACTGAAAACGTAGTGCCTCGTCTCTTAATAGGTGAAGATAATTATTTTCTTTTGGCGCCACTTGAAATATTGCATGGAAATAAATTTGAACCCTATGCAACGCGTTGTCGTTTAGGCTGGTCGATACATGGCAATTATAGTCGCTCAAATTCGTCATTAACACTGGGGCATAGCTTCCACGTTATGCACAGCGACGAGGTAAGTGAAATAAATATTTTAAATGATTTAGTTCAAAACTCATATAAACTGGACTGCATTGGAATCTCGACCTTATGTCGTGAGAATACGGCCGACTTGAGAGCGGTCAACATATTAGATCAGACCGCGCGTAATGTAAACAACAGGTGGGAAGTAGGATTGCCATTTGTTAAGGATGAATTATATATACCAGATAGTTATAACTACGCACTGTCGCGCTTACAGGGGTTGTTAAGAAAATTCAAAACGGACAGCGCGTACGCAGCTAGGTATCGAACAGAGATGCACAAGTTATTTGATAATGGTTACGCTCGAGAACTGAAGGAAAATGAACTTTCGGCTGACCGCATATGGTATCTTTGTCATTTTGGCGTTCTAAATCCGAACAAACCCGATAAGCTAAGGCTAGTATTTGACGGTGCTGGTAAGGTCAACGGTTTATGTTTAAATGATATTTTACTTACGGGACCCGATTTATATAACTCATTGTTAGGTATTATGTTGAGATTTCGGGAACATAAATATGTTATTGTTGGAGATATAAAGGACATGTTTTTACGTATACGCATCAGAGCTGAAGACCAACATTTACTTAGGTTTTTATGGCAGGAAGATGACAATTCACCAACAAAAACATGTGTCATGCAAAGTTTAATTTTCGGAGCAACTTGTTCCCCATTTATTGCGCAACACATAAAAAATAAAAATGCGCTCAAATATGAAGATTTATATCCGGAAGCAGTAAACGTCATAATTAATAACCATTATATGGATGATTGTTTATATTCGTGTGACAGCGAGGAAAAAGCTATTAAATTAGTCCGCGAAATTACCGAAATTCATAGTCATGGCGGTTTCGAGATAGGCCGTTGGTCGAGCAATAGCAAACCGGTTTTAAACACAATACCGCAGCAGTCGCTCGCGCAGTCTGCTGTTGCTTTTAAACATGGAGCTAATAATACAACTGAGCGCACTCTTGGTTTGATATGGTATCCTAATGACGATGCATTTTCTTTTAAAATATCATTTAATCGTATTCCGCAAAATATATCAAATGGTATTGAGCCCCCAACAAAGGCTCAAATGCTTAGTATTTTGATGTCCGTATATGATATTCATGGATTTCTATCTCCTTGTATAATCAAAGGGAAAATATTGTTTCAAAGCGTGCATCGTAGTGGTGTCGAATGGAAATGCCACATCCAACCTAAAGAGTTTGCCCAGTTTACTAGCTGGTTACATGAATTAAAGAAGTTAGATACTTTACGTATCCCTAGATGTTATAGTAATTGTAGCGAGTGGACTCATTGTTATAACAATATATCGAATTATGTATCTTGTAATAATAATTTTGTAGATATACAACTACATACTTTTTGTGATGCCTCGACTAAGGCGTACTCTGCAGTATCATATTGGCGACTGACGCGATCAGATGGTTACGTTCAAATTAGTTTCGTGGGTAGTAAAAGCCGGGTAAGTCCGCTTCGTCCCGTGTCAATTCCTAGGCTTGAACTGCAAGGAGCGTTGTTAGCCGCTCGTCTTGCGAATATCATTGATAGCGATCATAAAGATTTCAAACCTACCACACGCTATTTCTGGACTGATTCCAGTACTGTTTTACAATGGATTCGTAGTGATCCACGTAATTACAAACCGTATGTCGCTCACCGCCTTGGTGAGATCGATGAGTTAACGAAAAACTGTGAGTGGCGTTACGTGCCGTCTGATATTAACATAGCCGATGTAGCTACACGAGATGATGCACTACCACTCACGTACTCGGACTCGTGGTTTCAAGGTCCTGCGTTTCTACGCCGACCTGAGAGTGAGTGGCCTAAAGATCGCAAGTTTTCCAAAACATCGCAAGATGTCATTTGTGAGGAACGATCAATTAATGTGGTCACCTGTAGTTCAGAGTTATCTTTGCCTAGTGAAGATAATATCTCGAACTGGATCACATTAGTGAGAGCCACCGCCCGTGTATTATTGTTTATTAGAAAATGTCAGCGTAAGAATATTCAGCTTGATGTTTCTTTAATGAAAGAAGCTGAAAAATTGTTAATAAAAAAGTGTCAACAAGATACTTTTTTAACTGAAATATCTTGTTTACAACAAGATAAACCTATTATGCGTAATAGCCGTTTGCTTAAACTTACCCCATATCTCGACGAAACAGGCGTGCTGCGTGTCGGTGGCCGCATCGACCGCGCGGCTGGAGTAGAACCGTCTACTTTGAGACCTGTAATACTTGATGGTCGACATAGAATCACTCGACTCCTGGTTTACCATCATCATAAAGAGGCAATGCATGGATCTAACGAGCTCGTCGTTAACCAGTTACGACAGCACTACTGGATACTTAAATTAAGACCAACGGTTCGTACTGTGGCTGCCCAATGCCTCAGCTGTCGATCACGGCGTGCCTCTCCGCAGCCTCAACGGATGGCCGATTTGCCTGCAGCGAGACTGCAAATTCACAGACGGCCATTCAGTTTCACAGGCGTCGATTTTTTTGGACCGATGGACGTTACTATCGGTCGCAGGAGGCAGAAGAGGTATTGCATGCTTTTCACATGCTTAACTATTCGTGCAATTCATATAGAAGTGACCGAAGATCTATCCACTGATTCTGCCATAATGGCCTTACGTCGAATGGGAGCTCGGCGAGGTTTGCCTACAGTTATTTACTCTGATAATGGTACGAACCTAAGAGGCGCCGATACAGAGTTAAAGCGTAGTATTGCAGAGATAGATGTGAAAGCACTGTGTGATGATGGAGCAATACGGGGGCTCGAATGGCGTTTCATTCCACCTGGTGCTCCCGAAATGGGAGGCGCATGGGAAAGGATGGTATGTACTGTAAAGACGGCACTTAAAGTGACCCTTAAAGAGCGAGCTCCTCATCCTGATACACTGGCTACCATTTTAACAGAGGTTGAATCTTTAGTTAATAGCCGACCTATAACACATGTCTCTATGGATCCCAATTATCCAGAAGCTTTAAGCCCTAATCATTTTTTGATTGGTACATCATCCACTGGTCCCATGTATGGACAATTTAACGATTCTGACCTTTCTTTACGAAAGCGTTGGCGTATAGCGCAACGCATTACTGATATGTTCTGGAATCGCTGGATGAGGGAGTACCTTCCTACGTTACTGCCCAGACAAAAATGGACGGAGGAAACCAGATCACTACAGGTAGGTGATTATCTTTTAATAGTTGATCCCAAATTGGACCGTGGTTGCTGGCGTCACGGAATAGTCACCGCGAGTCATACAGGGGAAGACGGCCGCGTACGCGTCGTGGACGTACGAACTCGGGCAGGGCTAATGCGTCGACCAGTTACACGCGTCGCCTTACTATCACCGGCTAGTATTGATAGTGCTAACTAGTTAGCACTAAGGAGGCAGAATTGTAGGCGACGCACTACGATTTAATTTATTTTATTATTATTTGTACTTTTTTACACCTATTTTTGTATACCTATATAAATGTACCCACTTATAATTTTATTATTAATACAGTCCATTATAAATAAAAATTAAAAGTACTGAGGGTACGCACTATATTTATAAATATAGAATTACCTTTTTCCTTGATTTAGTGCGTGCTCTGACAGTGCTTAGGCAACATCTAAGAAAATTGGTTTTTATTTCGCATCCTTTATACTTGCTGTTCCGAAATATCGTTTAGAAAAAGGTAAAAGGTCTTTTATGGCAATGGACATTAAATGTTGTAATGAGATACTGAAGGATATTTTGGAATAAATATTTTTTTTTTATAAAATTTAATATGTTATTAAAAAAACATTTATTAAACAAAATCTGTTACATACTAAACGATTATTTGAATGACAAATGTGCTTGGTGTCAGTAGATCATTCACGGGCTTTTTAATGACCATGTAATTTTAGACATAGTACATTTAGGTAAATACATACAATGTTAACAGAGACTTAAAAGAGCAATTCTTCAGTTTCTTGCGGGCTCTTCTCAACAGATAACTTTCTGAACCAGGCATTCATAAAAATCTACGATTTAAAAGTGCTTGTAAAGAAGTCTATTTGAAGAAAGACAATTTGACTTTGTATTTGACTTTTATTTTCACTAATTATCTTTTTAATAAATCACCTTGATAAATTTTATCAATCTGTTATCATTTCAGGTGTAATGTCATCAGTGATAGCTGATAAGGTGGGTCGTCGTACGCTATTCATCTACTCATTCTTGGGGACAGGATTATCATTAAGCCTAATCGCTGCATACTTTTGCTGTCAGGAGGTCATAAAAATAGAACAAAGTCAACTCGCCTCTTATGCAATCGTCGTTTTCATTGGAATCATTCTTTCTAACATTATTTCCACTTTAGGTTACAACTCCATTATTTACGCGGTACAAGGCGAGATATTCCCATTGAACGTCAAATCCCTTGCAATGACCTGTTTGAATATATTTGGAGGGACACTTAATTTTTTAGTCACCAAAACCTATCAAACGCTCAAGGATGTTTCTGGAACATTTGGTGTGTTTTTATTATTTACAATTATGTCTTTTGGTAGTTTTGTATTTGTGTACTTCTTCGTCCCCGAGACTAAAGGGAAGAGTTTGAGTGAAATACAAAAGATACTACAAGGAAAGTACTATGACGATGATAGTATACAAGTGAACAAAAACTTGAACGATGTTAAAGATGGTACAGAGTTGAAGTTGTTGGAAAATAAAGACAGATAGTGGGCTATGTAGACAGATATATACTTACGATATATGATGTATATTTATTTGTTAGGACTCCTGCTAAGTAAAGCAAATATTACCTATTGTGGTAAGTTATCAGTGAATTTACAGGGCATAGAGGAATAACACCTGAGTTCTCAGGAATAGCAACGCATGGGGAGTATCATGGGCGAAACAGTATATACAGTATACTCTGTGATGTCCGTGATACTGCTCATTTATAGGGCGACGGTTATCACTTTCCATCAGGTGGGCCGTCGGCTTGTTTGGCATTGTAAGTAGCATAAGAAGAATAAAATTCCTTTTAGACGATATCATCCAAAAAATGTAAATATATTTTGATATCACTAAGTGAAGATAAATTTAAATTATTGCTTATTTGCTATTATAAATATTTAAATAATTGGTCTATTTATTTAAAAACTATACCATAGACACACAGTCGGGGTTTAATAAATGGATTGTACATCAATATTACTCTAATATGTTGGTTGTGAGGATTATGGCACTTTCAGAAAATTATTATTCAGGTAGCAGAAATATACTCTTTATTGTTCTTTACAAAGGTACAGAATACAGTAAAATATTTAGCTGAAACAAAAATTGCAAGGAAACGATCACACGGGGATCGTGCGATCTTATCGGCAAAAGCGATCTCTTTCAAGAGTTTCCAGGCAATCTTTGAATAGAGAGGAGTAATTATAAAGTTTCCTGAGAAGTCTAAGTTAGTATATTAATAAATTTGTTTAAAACTTTAAGATTGCAATTTCACATAATGTATAGCAACTATTATTGTAATCATTGTGGTAATAGAACATTAGGCACTTTTAACATTTAATGTACTTCATTTTAAACATTCCAAATACGTCTTGTATGAGATAGATATAAATCCAGCATTAAAAAAAACATAATAAACATAGTAACTATGACAGATTGATTCGTATACAAATGGATTATAAAAAAAATGGTACTTGATGTAAAAATTTATAAGAACATTAGAAGATAAAGATATAACGAGAGTTGTTAGGTAATGTGGATAAGTTAGACAATTTGAAACTGTGATCTCATCTCAGATAATTATGTACACTACTAGGACAATTTTGACTTGTAAGAGAAATAAATATTGTCAAAATAACCGATAGCATTTTATTTACAACGCAAAAAAATATACGAAGCTGGGGCGGCTATCTACTACCTACCTACTTTAGTAATGTGGATTACCAGTCCCATTGCTAGTAATATACCTTGTCAGGTTAACTTCCACGTTGTCTCCCCTGGGAACCATCATGCTAAATTCTAGGTATATTCATGATGATGGGCTAATTGACCTTTTTATTCCCACCTATCATCTCTCAATGGTATCTTGCCAGGGTATACCGTTAGTACAGTTGGGGTTATCATTCCATTATAATCCATTAAAGACCTACTTACTACCTAATTGGTAAACAGGCGTGACTGTATAGAGAAACATTTATTTTATTCAACGATAGACTTTTAAACAATTAGCATTGTAAATGTTCGCACACATAGCCCACCGGGTCAAAGGTTAATATTCCGCGAAACTGTTGCATCACTTAATGTTATCTCCAAGTGGACCTTATAAACCCGCGTCTATTTAACTGAATGAGTGATAATGTAACTTGTTATTAGTTTTGTTTGTTGCGGCCGAGTTCAGATGGGCCGGGATAACGACCTTCCTGTACGGCATCGTTAAAAGGATCATACATACACCCTTTATTCTAAAGGACAGGAATATTATGTTATGTTATATGAACTTGTTTTTAGTGTTCCGTACACTATACTAATTCTACTAATATTAATAATGTGAAAGTTTCGTTTTTACTAAACAAGTTAGTATAATTAATAATATATATACCCTTTCACCATCGCATCGCTTACCATCGGTAGGGAACGTGGTCACCTACAGTGTGTTTTTTTTAATGGATGATAATGAAGTGGTAACCCGCCTGCGCTAACAGTATACGCTGGGGGGAAAGGAATTGTTAGTAATGAAGACTAAAAATCCTATTACTAGCAATATACCTAACCAGGTCAACCTCCACGCATATTCATCATGATAGGCTAACTGACCTGCCTTTTCATCTCACATATCATTCCTCACTGGTGCTCCGCCAGCGTATCCCGTTAGCGCGGGCGGGGTTACCAATCCATTTTCATCCAACAAAAAAAAAACGGTATACGCTGGCGGAGCACCAGTGAGGGATGATAGGTGAGATGAAAAAGCAGGTCAGTTAGCCTTCCGTAAAGAATACGAATTTAGTACGATGGTTTCCAGGGGATACCATGTGGAGGTCGACCTGATAGGGTATATTGCTAGTAATAGGACTGGTAGTCCGCATTACTAACAATCCCTTCCCCCCCATACAGTGCAGTTTTAGAGGAGCTTCCTCCCACGAATACTCAGATTGTGGAATGAATTTACCATCATACGGGTCATATGCTTGTTTGCTATCATAGTAGTATATATATATATATACATATATATTGCTGGTAGTAGTTCCTATTACCAGCAAAATTAATTGTTTTTGTTTTCTTTTTATTGTTGATTTTTTATTTTCTTATTATTGGTAATAAAGTTTATCTATCTATCTAAAAAAAAAGAAAAATCTGCACGTGCTCCGTTGTGGCTAATTATGGGTGAATTCGTAACAGTGAGCCAGTTGACTGGACTTCATTTTCTTTTATGATCTCATACAGGGACAGTATATATTGACAGTGCAGGCGGAGAAAAGAAGGTTTTAGAGCTAGATGATACCGTATCTTGTATGTACAGATATTATTGTATATAGATATTTAGATGTTTATTCTATGAATGAAATCCGATGAATTTTTTTATCCAAGTATTTGATGTATGAGGTCCGCTCAAACAACAACTATTTTCAATTTCATCGCATTGAGAAGGTCAACATTAATTAATCTACAAAAGTAAATGTAACGATTGATAAAGAGAGAAGTTGCAAAATATATGGCGATTTACAATTAGATGGTCAGACAGGCGTAATGAAATAAGAGAAATATTTGTACAATTTAATAGCGGAATCCTAAAAATTATGTTAGTAAGTACATTTGGTAGAAATAATATGTCGTCTGCATACACAGGACAATCAAACCGGCTGACCTAATCACATTTTATGATAGCTAAGAAGTTTTCCAGTTAATATTTGAAACGAGCGGTGTCATTTATTCTCATTTAATTTTATAGAGGAAAAGTTTGTACGGCTGGAGTTATTGTAGGTACCCAAGATAACTATTTGTCATTGTTTTGACGTGATAATATTATTTTTATATACGAGCTGTATTCTCGTGGCTTTGATCGCCTGAGTCAGTGTATAAAGTATCCTATGTGTTAAGATATAGCCTTTTCATGTACCAAATTTAATTTAAATCGGTTCATTTGTTTAAGTTTACTTAATTATAGTAATAAATATAAAAATATCCAAACACGTTTAAAAACTTTCACGATTATAATATTAATAGGATGTAGTATTAGATATACTGCATCATACTAAAATTACAAACATGAAAACTTTAAACTTCAAGTTTGTAACTACCAAGTGAGCTATGGAGAGGGCTATGATCGGAGTTTCTTTGCGTGAGAGAATACGAAATGAGGATATCCGCAAAAGAACCAAAGTGACTGACATAGCCCGAATGATAAGCAAGCTGTAGTGATAATGGGCTGAAAGAACTGATAACCGATGGAGATGGTTTCAATAACTGACAACCGATGGGTGAGAAAGGTTTCTGAATGGCGGCCCTGACAGGCAAACGCAATGTAAGATAAGCCTCCACTAGATGGAGTGACGATCTCAAATGCATTGAAGGGAGTCCATGGATGCGACTTTGTTTTATACCATTTCAAAATATGTAGTCCAAAAATAGTTAGCTGTCAGTGTATTACTATAAAAAAATTGCAATAATTAATTTTGAAGTTTGTTTGCATAGGTTCTTATGTCCCATCGGTGTTTCTGCTGTAAAACAGCAGCGTTTGTAGTGAAATTACAAGGTAAAGAGGCATAACATTGTATTTCTTTTGAATGATAGAGCATGAAAGGTACCTTGAGCATCATAGTCTATTCTATGATACTTATAGTGCAGATTATGTCTATAAACAATAGTTACAACTTTTGATCAGGTGGGTCTAAGTATCATAAAAAAATTAGTTCTTAAATAATATAAATTCGATATTTTACTGTACTAATTATTTTAACATTCATTGGCAAGAGAATGGTTGGACAGATTCGATTAATGTGCATCGCACAATAGACGAGCCTACAAAATGAATTGATGATGCTGCAAAGAAGGGATGACAGCCCCCGGCCTTGATATGCCTTGATCGACGGCCTGCTAATTATTTTGACTGCGTAAACAGCGTTATATTGTTGATACACTGTATTCAATATGAAAAAGTAAATATAAAAAAGAATATAGAGAAAAGTAAACCAGCAACTTCAAATGTGAACACAACCAGAAATAAACGTTTACCGTAGGCAATACTTTGTACAAAAATTATCTACTTGTGTACTTCTGTTCCACTCGTGTTTTTGTTGTGAACTAGTTGTGCCTGTGTTATTGTGTTTTGGTTTAAAATGTAGTACATAATTTTTTGGAAAATTTATAATGGTATTATTTGGTATTATTGGTTATTGGTATTATTCTATTGCAATTAATTTTTATGTGCGACGTATTCGTAATAGGTAGGTAACCTACTTCATTAAGTATCTTTGTATAAGAATTTTGCACGTACGTTTATCTCATTTCATTTCAGCACGAAAAGAGCATTCGGGTGTCTTGTTCGGCTTACATAATTAATTATTAGGCCTATGTAGCGTTATCGGGTTAATGATTGATGTACGAAGTTCCTTATAAAATGTACAGTTTTTGTGCAAATAAATAATACATTTTATAAGGAACTTTGTGACGGTCAGCCAATAATTGGCTAATGCGTTATTTTCTATACTGTTAATGTCAAATTCTATTGATTATAGAACAAATTTATTTATTTCTTTTATTTCTTTCTTACAATGTCTTTATAGGATATATCTCGATTCGACATGATACAACAAACAACATTGATTTAGATTTTACAATAACAAGTAGTAAACAATCCAGCCTTTGTGAATTTCGTCTAAGAACATATATAGAGATCTGTACCTCTATTCTAAATATTATTTAATAAAACAAGTGCTTTAATGAAAGGCACGTGATGGAGCAAATTTGTTTGCCTTAGGTATTTTAAATAACACAAAAAATACTTATACTAGACGTATAAGTATTTTTGTTTAGTACAAAAAAGTTTACCAACAGGTAGTCAATATGACAGAATTTTTTTTCTTCTATTAAAACCTGTATATGTATAAATATATATTGTAAGGTTTATTTGAAAAAAAAAAAAAACAACAATATAAAACAAATTTTATATTTTTATTTGGAAAAATGAAGTAAACACAGCATAATGTTTCATAATAATGTGTATTTTCATCAATAACTTTGATACTTTAGAATAGATTAAAATATCTATTCGTTGTCAGAATCATTGAAAGTTTGTTTTCTACTAATACACTTATTTTTTTTAGAAATCTAATTGCATATTAATTTGCATGAAAAAAACATTTCCTAATTTAAATTTAAATACCCACCTAACCTAGGGAATTTGTAATCGAATTATTTGCAACAATGGGGTTGAGTCTAAGGCGCCATTTCTCTACTCGTAAGCCTATCTCTAAAATTAAAATTTCAATTTAATATCTAAGCAAAATCTTTATTCTAAGGACCGAAATAAAGTAAATCTAATAGATTTAAGTAAAAATTATTATGAACTTGGTTTATGGTAGCCCATAAAACGATAATTTCGCTAAACGAATAAATTTAAATGTTAGGAGATAAGTTTAAAGAAAATTGCGTGTTTTGTATAGTTAAAAAAATGTGTCTGCCAAAAATCACTTTTGGCTGATTGAGTTTTGGCTTGTTTATAACATTCGATTTTCTTTGGGCATATCATTAAGTTTCCATTTTTTTTTATGCAACTTGAAACTTGTGGTGGAAAACAAGCTGACGATCCACCTGATGGAAAGCGGTGATCGTCGCATATACTGTTTCCCATGATACGTGTAA